TCTGGCCTTACCCCACCTGTCCCCTACACCAGGAAAACCCTAGTGCTGGGGCACTCAGTTCTCACCCTGCCAGCCCACTCGAAGGACCACCCTTTTGACTGCCCAGTGCACGGACTCCAGCAGTTTGCCTTATTAAATGCTATGTCCACCCTGCGGGGTGGGGTGGGGTGTCACCTGTTGATTCAACACCTTAGCTCAAGTTTAACTACAACTTCCTCAGGCACCCGCGGATTCCTGCAAACCTGTCACTTGCCTCATATACCGATCTGACCCCAAAATAAAAACTGGAGCTTTGAGTTACAGTTCTTTGCAGGCCAGGGGGAGCCAGGACAAGGGACTTTTGAGCAGGAGAGAAAAAATATATAATTCCTCTGGCAAAACAAATGACCAACAAGCCTTTCTTTTTTTTTACCAGATGCATTCTGATATTCGATTTACTGTCGAATACCATCCATTTACTGAGAAGATAGTCTGTGCCCAGCTTTAAAAGCACACATAATGATCTCAAACTTTCCATTTCTACGCTGTCTAATATTTCTCCCCTAACCATTCCTGAATGTATGTCAGGTTCTTGGATTTCCAGAATTTTGGCTAACAAATTTTGCGGTTTTTATGCTGAAGATCTATTCTCAAAAAAGGTTTCTCTTGAAGCCTTCAGAGTGGACTCAATGGGCAGGCCCTTAGGCTTCTCCAACCTGGTGCCCTCCAGATGTTTTGGACTACGTCAGCCCCACCACCATGGCCATAACTGGAATTATCCACACATCAGTTTTCACCACTGCCGGACTGCAGTGGTGTTGGCATCTGGAGTTCCCCAGGTGTGATCATGCTTCTGAGCCTAGGGGGAACTGTGGGAACAAGTTTTGGCTCAGTCCATCATTTTGATTCAATTGGGATTAGCTCAGTTGGTAGAGCATGAGACTCTTAATCTCAGGGTCATGGATTCAAGTTCCACGGTGGGCAAAAAGATTCCTGCATTGCAAGGGGGTGGACTAGATGACAATCATGGTCCTCTCCAGCTCTACCATTCTAGGGTTCTATGTTTCCCCCTGCCTGCTCCAAAGCCAGCTACACAACGACATAATGTGTCATTGCATCGCATGAACCCCGAGCAAAGTCTATCCACACACAATCTGTCATGCTTGCTGTTATGAATTTAGATTAGGAGGAGTGCTATATAAAGCACCAGCTACTACCAGAGGGTGCTATGCCACCCACAGTACACAAACAAGCAAATGGTCCACTAATGGGTGGTTGAAGCATGCTTTGCTCCCCAAGTATGAAGCTGTTAGCCAGGGGTCAGCAACCTTTTTCAGCCGTGGGCTGGTCCACCATCCCTCAGACCATGTGGAGGGCCAGACTATATTTTGAAGGGAAAGGGAAAGGGAAAGGGAAGGGAAAAATGAATGAATTCCTATGTCCCACAAATAACCCAGAGATGCATTTTAAATAAAAGCACACATTCTGCTCATGTAAAAACATGCTGATTCCCAGACCATCCGCAGACCGGATTTAGATGGCGATTGGGCCGCATCTGGCCCACGGGCCTTAGGTTGCCTATCCCTGCTGTTAGCAATGAAACTGTTGCTAAAATTGGGGAGAGGAGTGCTGCCATTTTGGAAATGAAAACATCAGCCACAATCACACCATGCTGTCATACCTTGGGTTGTGAACGTGATTTGTGCGGGAGGCACGTTCACAACCCGCAGCATTCGCAGCCTGAAGTGCTGTGTCTGCGCATGTGCATGATGCGTTTCGGTGCTTCTACGCATGTGTGTGATGTCATTTTGCGCTTCTGCGCATGCCCAAGCACCAAAACCCAGAAGTAACCCGTTCTGGTACTTCCGGGTTCGGCGCGGTCTGCAACCCGAAAATGCACAACCCACAGCATTCGTAACCCGAGGTATGACTGTACATTTAAAAACATCATGATGCCACTTTAAACCGACATGGCTCCCCCCAAAAAAATATATATATATTGGGAAGTGTAGTTTGTTAAGGGTGCTGAGAATTGTCAGGAGACCCCTTTACCCCTCCAAGAGCTACAGTTCCCAGAGTGGCTTAACAATCAATTGCTCTTCCCAGGGAACTCTAGGAATTGTAGTTCTGTGAGACTAATACCGGGGTCTCTTAACACCTCTCAGCAGCCTTAACAAACTACAGCTCCCAGGATTCTTCGGGGGAAGCCATAGCTGTTTACATTTAAAGCAGTATCATATCATTTGAAGCTGTCATGGCTTCCCTCAGAGAATCCTGGGAGCTGTAGTTTGTTCAGGGTGCTGAACAAGAGATGCCTACTCCCTTCCCAGAGCTATAGTTCCCAGAGTGGTTTAGCAGTCAATTCCTCTTCCCAGGGAACTCTGAGAATTGTAGCTCTGTGAAGGGAGTCACAGCTAAAAACATTTTAACTTCAATTACAGTAAATAAAAAAAACATCCTTCCAGCCAAGGTAAATGGGTGGTATTCTCAAGGCGGCCAGGGATGAGTATTCCTCAGGCACGAAATGCCTGGGTAACCAGGAATGTTTTTAAATCCATCCTGAAAGTTAATAATTATGGAGACAGGTGCATCTCGCTAGAGAGGGCATTCAACTACCAGGGAACCACCACTGAAAAGGCCCTGTGGTAGCTCAGTGCCAACCACCAAGGCCTTACCTGCCCATTGTAGGGCCTGTGATGGTTGGTATATCTATTTCAAAAGCTCTCCTCGAAACAAATACACCCTGTGCTGAAGTCTGATCTGGATGGACCCAGAACAGGTGCTCACAATGCAGGGGCAGCACCTGGAAGAACCTCTCAGGCAGGGTGGATTTGATTGAAATCATTTTTATTTATTTTTACAGAAAGACAGTCCTGCTGGTATAATCTTAATATTTACAGCCAGATGAAGGTTTAATTTTTGGAGTAATAAATTTTCAGAGTAGTTTTTACAGTCATGTAAAAAATGACTGATTTGGTTATACTATTAGAAATACATAGACAGATAATTATGAAATTATTGTGAGGTTTAATAAGTTAACTGTTTATATTTGGACAACTTTTCTGCTGTACTTTATTGGAAGGAGAAAAATAATCATTTCCTTAAATAACAATTTAAACAATTTATTTAACTAAAACAATGACGTTATAGCATATGTATCCATGTTTGTTAACTGATGTGGTTACACATTTTTTTAAGAAAACAAACTTAGACTTCAGCACACATCAAAAACTTAAAATAAATCCTTATTTCCTGATGAATAGCCTTTGGACTATAATGTAACTTAAATAGAAAACTGTCCATGGGCTGGTAAAATACCAGGTAGACTGGCAACCCTAAATTCATACGCTTTGTAGCAATCTGCAGCCATAAGCATATAGAACCTAAAGTGCATGAATTGGGCTGAATTAAGCATTCAGCTTGGCTATGTAAGTTGCCAGCACACCACATGAGGAAATGAGGAGAGCAGAAAGTCTTGCACTCTGAGCCTCTCTTCCTGATTATCATTTTCTGCAAAACGTTTACCTCCACGATATTGGATTTATCTGTTGCAACAGCAGCATGCGTTACCTCCTGGCTACATCTAAATGAGGAAAATGCTAATCTCAGGAAGCCCCAGCAAACCGCTGAAAAGCATTTCAATAAGGAGAGGTTCTGTAGTAAAGCAGGACATTGAGAATGATGTCACAGTTTTGCAGCAACGAGAAACAGCACCTTTAGGAGACACGTTTCTCTGCTGTTAAACATGCTTGACTTCCTTTTTGGCGAGCTGAGCATCTTTTAAAAATATTGAGATCCATTTTACATTAAGGATTGAACAAAGCGCTCTACATCAGAATAGATTTCAGTGCTACCAGCCTCACAGTAAATATGTTTTTGTGATCGTGGCAACTCTTAAAATATTTTGAGATTATAAACCGTGTCCATTTGTATTGTTTTATCAGAATGTGATCCACCTCGAAATCTTTTTCAATGAAGGGTGGGATATAAATATTACTAAGTGAATAAACAAACAAACAAACCTTTTTTGAAACTATCACCTTTGAGCATGCCCAAAGCCTTTTACACTCTCAGTGCAAGGTGCCCTTTTATTTCATTGCTGACTGTTTGGAATACCCATTGTGTGTTCAAAGCTTCAGGACTAAAAACTTTTTTTTTTTTAATGAACAAGTTGAAATTCCCCTGCAGAAGAAGTACCTCAGCCTTGAGGACTAGAAACTTAAAAAAAAAAATGTACAGGTTGAAATTATCATGCAGAAGTCCTACATTGCTCAGTCAGTATAGCATGAGGCTCTTAATCTCAGGGTCATGTGTTTGAGCCTCACACTGGGCAAAAGATTGCAACATTGCAGGGGGCTGGACTAGATGACCCTCGTGGTCTCTTCCAACTCTTAACAATTCTCTCATTATAAGTACCTCAGTCAACACCCACTGCCTGCAAGGCATATGTAGCTCCCAGCTGCTCCTACCATATTGTGCTTATCAAGTCTACTCGATTAGGACAAAACACCTCAGATTTGTTTTCACTTGCAAACAGCTGCTTATTTTACCTCTCCCCGCTTTGCAAAATCCTGCCTGCACATGTCAATCATCCTTCTCCCCCGCCCCACCACCCTGCCTCAGCTTTACTAGAACAGATTCTTGCCAAATGTTGGGTATTCCTCAAAGCGAAAGCCTTGCTCGATACATGGAAAGGGATGTTGTTCCTATATTGCCTGAAGCTTTTCTGTAGTAGGCATAAGGTGCTTGGGCCCTCTGCTGATGCTGAACCAGCCTGTCCAAAGCTTCAGAACTGCTCTGCATCAAGAATTCACAACCTGAGATCCCGACAGTTTCATGGAGGGCTGCAATTCCCAAAACTGGTTTAGGAACACAGGAAGCTGTCTTATGCTAGGCTGTCATTAAAATTCTAAATGAGCCAAAATGTAGCTGTCTAGCTACTGTCTAGCTCAGTACTGTCCACACTGACTGGCAGCAGCTCTTGAGGACTGCATGCAGGGAACGTTCCCAACGTCACCTAGAGATGCCACTGAAAATTGAGACTGGCAGGTTCTGCACACAAAGCAGATGCTCTCCTACTGAGCCATAGTCCATCCCAAGAGTTTAAGTGTCTGTCCTGCCTCCCAGGGACATTGTTAGAAAAAGCAGCTACTTGTGGCAAGCATGGAGTTCACTGCATCCCCTGACCCAGATTGTCCCATGCAACCCAACAGCCAATAATGACAGCCAGACATAGCATCATCCATGTGTATAGAATCACACCACAGAAATTTCCAAAGAGACAGACAAGTTTGTAATTAGCTGTTTCACCTGGAAAATGAAGCCTATCATCTCTCCTGCAGCAACATGTCAAATCAACCTGTAGACCTACTCAGGGCCGACCCACCCATTAACTTCACTGAGGCACTTGCCTCAGGCACAGGCTGAGGACAGCTGAGAGGGGTGGCATAACTGGAAAGAGAAGGGCATCCTCGCCTGCCTTCATTTCTCCTTTGGCTGCTGATAGGAGCCGCCATCCCAGGACAGTTCCTCTGCTGCTGCCCCTTGTTCCTCAATGGCCTCCTTTTTTCTCCCCTGCCAGCTTCGGTGTGTTGAGGCTTCCCTGGGATGCCTCCAGTTGCCTGTGGCAGCAGTAGTGGGCGCCGTTTTCTGATCTGCCTCAAACAGCAAAATGTCTTGGACCGGCCCTGAAACTGCATGGCTGTTAAGGACGCAGGGATACCGCGACCAATTTCCAGAGTTATTCAGTAAATGCATTTTCGCCTTAGGAGCAATTGTGGCACTCATCCACAACTGCGAAATCCTGCTGTGTCTCGTAAGCCACAAGGCCCGCTAACGCCATGCCATCCTCGGCCTCCAGCTCAAATTCCCTTTGGCCAGCTCTCCGCAGCTAAAACACCTATCATTAAGCTATTTGGTGCACCCACAAATCCCAACCTGCTCGTCAAAAGAGGAAGCTTTAATACAGTTCTGCTCTGCCATTCCCCACAATGCTCAGCTCATACATCCGTGTTCTTCCAGTGTGTAAAAAACAAACAAAAACAAGGGTAGAAAACATGTGTCAGACCAAGGGCTACATTTTCTTCTCAGGCAACCTTCCAGGGGCCACATGCTGGTGGGTGGAGTCCAAGGCCAAAGAGGGCAGAGTAATGGATGTGAATTTCACCTTTCTATAGCAGCCTTCATTCTGACATGTACCGCTGTCCAAGCAGGAGGCAATGACAGAGTTCAAGGGCAAAATAAAATAAAGGAGGGTGAAATGGAATGGGCTGTGGCTTGGAGAAAATTATTAGGGCCAGACAGAGTTCCAGGGGGCCGCACTAGGCCCCTGAGATTGAGCTTCCCCATCCCTGTCGCAAAACTCTTCATCCTTTTTTTAGAACACTGCTCTAAGGGACCTGCCTCCAGGTCTTCCAAAAACCAAGATAAGCTCAAGCATGGCTTGTTAAAGGTCCAAACTGAGGAAGCACACCTGGGCCATAGATAACACAAACCCTGCAATTGATATAGCTGACTGTGGTCAGCTATAGGCCATAGGGAGTGCTGCAAAGATAGCAGCCAGTGGGGGGGGGGGCATTGCAAGCAGATTCCCAAGGGCAGGAGTCTAGGTTTGCAGAGTGTTGGAGGAAGTGGTTAGAGAGAAGCTTCCCCTCCCCTTTGCACAATATCAGAACCTAACAGGGTCATATAGTGAAGCTGAAAGGTTGGCGACTCAGTACAAATTGTATTCCTCCACACACATACATTTTTTTTAAAAAAAATTGCAATGTTAACTGATGGAACTCACTGCCACAAAATGCTGAAATGGCCCATTGGCTTAGATGCCTTTAAAAAGGGGGTATTATTATTATTAATTCAAATTATTATCTTCCCCATACACTCCCAGGGCATGCTGCTACAAAATATAAAATTAAGAAGCAGTTTAAGACAAATCACAAGAACAGCGGTGGGTCTTAAAAATATTTATCATGGGTGTCAAAGACCAGGGTAAATATCCTCAGTGAATTTTTCTGATAAGGCTACTAATAGCTGTTATTCCTGCATTGCAGGGGGGTTGTACTAGATGACCCTATGAGTCCCTTCCGACTCTTTGATTCTAAGGCTACTTGTTATTCTGATTATGCAAACTGAGCCTTAATTCATACAAAGGCTTGCAGTGGTCTCAGAATGTAACCTCAGGGCACACCCAACACACATGCGTCCATGTGCGCACACCCACACACAGCTGAATCTTCGAAGGCTGGCATGTCTAAACATTGCTTTTTTAAAAAAATCCTGGGTTTAATCCCTCCAAGTTCTACTCAGAGGAGACCTACTGACATTTACAACCCTAAATTCATCACATCCATCAATTTCAATGGGTTGACTGCGCCGGACGCAACCTCCAATTTTCACCTTATTTTTAAGTTTTTTAGGATTTACGCCTGTTTTTTTCCAAAGAGCCCATCGCAGTGAACTTAGGAAGAGCCCAGCTATTGTATCAAGCCCCAAAAGTCCTGTCTTGTCCAGCCTCCTGTTCTCACAGTGGCCAAGCAGATGCACCCAATGGGAAGCCCCAAAGGGGGACCTGATTCCCCTCCCCCATTCTATCCTCACAATCACCTTGCAAGGTAGACCAAACTAAGAAATTGCTGTGACTGCCTCAAGTTAGTCCCATGGCCAGTGGGTCTCTCCAACCCCATTGTAGGGCAGATAAAAGGCACTGGGGGTGGCAGTGTTAGTGGTGAAGAGGCTGTTTAGGGGTAGAGATGTTTTGCTGCTAATGCATTGCAGGGGGGTGGCCTAGATGACCCCTGGGATTCCTTCCAACTCTACAAATCTTGGATTCTAGGGTGAGAGGAAGAAAGGGTGCAACCTAACTTCCCAAGATCAACTGCCAAGTCCCAAGAAACCAGGTAAATAGAAACCTGCAAGTCTGATCTTCCCATTTCAAACCAGTTTCCTCACAGCCTGTTTTCTCTCTTATAAGGGTACTTGAGGCTGGATCATTTTGTACATGAAAGCCACTGCCTGCCCTTTTTGCTCTCTAACCAACTGAGCTATCCTAAACCCTTGCAACAGAAAGGCAAAAACACATCAGAAAGGAAGATCCCAATTTCCGACCTTGTTCCCCCAGCCTTAAATCCTTTAAAAAGAAATGCATTATTTCCTTTTCTTTACTGAGACCACCAGGACTCCTCTCCCAGGAAACTGTTTTATCATGGACATAAAACACACCTCCTCTTCCCTCCCCCCCCCCCTTCTCCTCTCTCCATTGCAGTCTTGGGGGTGAACACAGCAATGACACATATTTCCTTCCTCAAGTTGGGAAATACAAATGATTATTTTTTAAATAGGAAACGTCACTTGCTCCTCTCACAAACCTTCACCAACGCTGCAATATTTTTGAGGGGGGGAGGGGAGAAGGAGGAGGGGGTTGCAGCCAATGTTAGACCTACGCAGAGTAGACCTATTGAAATCTCTCGTGATAGGATCAACTCAAGTCCTTACATTCCAATGGGTCTACTCCGAATAGTCTAGTGCGGCGCTTGGGTTCTTTTAACGACAGTATTCATTATGACATTCCAGAGGGCAATTATTAATTATGCATATAATTAATATGGACATGTGTGCACATACTCATTCGCTGGCTATCTCTTCCCTTCCCCTTTCTCAACTGTGGAAACACCTGGGGGTTTTTTGCAAAGAAAAAAGAAAAAAGGAGCTAGTAAACACTACATTGCAGAGGAGGGAACACGAGGAGGAGAACCGTTATTTTCAGGCGGCAGAGAATAAGGCGTGTAGAGAGGCGAGCAGAGATAACTACTGTTGAGATCTAAGGACTTACTCAGAGTAGACTCGTTGCAATCAATGTATTTTAGTGTTTGTTTTAAATACTTCCCCTGGTCCTCTTCTTGCAAATTGTTTTAACTGATTTAATGTTATGTTTTTATACCTTTGCAGCCCCACTCAGGGACATATTTATGGCAAAAGCTTAAGGTAACTGGCCTTAATATTTTTTGTGTGTGTACTGCTGGTACCTGCTGTGTTATCTTACTGCGTAGGATTTGTATCCAGTGTTAGCCCTCCTCAAGAGTAGACCCCTTGAAATAAAACGAGCATGGCTAATTTAAGCACACTGATTTCAAGTGGGTCTGCTCTGCGCGGAACCAACCTTGTGGTTATTAGGGGGTTGTACGCAATCTCCACCACTACCGTAAGTCCATTGATTTTCAACGGGTCTACTCTATGTAAGACTTACTTGGCTTCCACCCATAGAAAGACCGGCTTTTGCATTCCAACAAACCCTATTCAAGAGTGTACCCACTAAAATGAATAGACCCAAACTAACTATACCCCTTATTTCCAATGGGTCTACTCTTAGGAGGTCGGATATTGGCCGAAACCTGGAGGTTGGCTTTTATTTTTGGAGGAGTTAACTTTCTCACACCATTTTCTAGGAAGACTTAAATTGCCAATAGAATAAAGACCTAACTTTATTGCACTGTTTTCCTGTGCAGATTTAGAACTCTAATAGAATGCCTATCTGTATCTAACCTTATCGCAGTTTTCCATGCAGATCCAAACCCCCAGCATTTTGTGTGTGTGAGTAAGTGAGAGGGAGACATGCATGAAGTGACGCGCTCGTCGCCCCCCACCCCAGCTCAGGAATAATGCAATCCCTCTCCCCCACATGCTGCTGCTCAGCCATGTAGAAATAGCCCCCACCCACACACTGCAAAAATCCATGCCTCTCTTCCACGACCACCAACCCATTTCTTCCTCTTGCTGCTGCTTCTACTTACCCAAAGCTCCGTGCCCCAACTCATGGCTCCAGCGACGGGTGGGCTAGGGGGCCGGCCCTGGGTGCGATATTCAACGCCGGGGGGTCCACACCCCCTCGTCCTTCGCCTGCCACCCCAAAAGCGAGGCCAGCACCCCTCCAAACCGCTTGCAAAAAGAGCATAAGCTTGCAAAACTACAATATAGCAACAATAATAGAGCTTTGTGCCCTTGATTTGCTTGCTTGCTGGGTTGCCTCCTCTCGTGGCTATTGTTGCTACCACCTCATTGCTGCCTCCAGAGCAAAATGGCCAAAGCAGCAGCAGCGGCAGCAAAATCAAGCGAGTACTGTAGCAGTCAGAGTAGTAAAGGGAGGAGACCCAGGGAGGAATTGACAGCACCTGGGAAGCGCGCATGCGCCCGGCAGTAAGGCGCATGCAAGGAGGAGGGGGGGATTCAGTAGTCTGGTGCTGGGATTGCGCAGGCGCCAAGAGTGGGCTCAACTGATGCTCCAGGGGAATTTTATTTTATTTTATTGAGCCAAGCTGTCAAGTGAAGCTCCTCAAATCTCAGTGCAGCATCCTAAGGCTTTGCAGCAGAGATGCAACTGTGGTACAGATTTGGTACAGGTTTTCTTATTTCGTTTTGTAATGCACAGAAAGCAGAAAAAACCCCAGTTATAACTACAGATGGAAACGAAAAGATTAAAAACAAAACTATAGAATAGGCATGTAGAATGAGTCCATTTGCATTTGGGTTAAAATGATGAAGTCCAGCTCATAAAAAGAAGAGCATGAATAAACTTTGCCTTCACGTAAAGAATATTAACGTAATCTCATTATCAAGTATAGTCCCAGATGCCTTGAAAAATATTAGATGGTGCAGTTTCGGAATGTGGCCCACTGTGGCACGTGTAAACGGACAGGAGGTGGAACCCAGAGACCACCACCCATAATTCTATATTTGAGAATATTTGGCATGCACACTGCAGCCCCCAAATCATCCTCCTCCTTTTACACACATGAGCCATAGCAAAATGCTTCCAGGTGCTTCACAGGAAGTGTGGTGAAGTGGTTAGAGTGTTGGATTAGGACTTGGGAGAGCAGGGTTAAAATGGGCCATGGAGCTTGCTGGGTGACCTTAGGTGAGTCACTGCCTAGCTGACTATCCTACCTTACAGGGTTATCATGGGAATTAAATGGGGGGGGGGACCATGCATGCCACCTTCTTCACTGTGCTGTGTTTCCAAGTGATGCCCACTGCAGTGTTGAATAGCCACTACAAGAAGGTCCTATACTCAGACAGACTTTGTATTTGTGGTCAACCTCAAGTGGAAGACATTGCTCATTATCTGTTGCCTGCTCCTTATATAGAGACCCAGAATATCAGTTTCTGAAACCTTTGATCACACAAGCAAGCAGGTGCATCCCAGCAGAAGTAGTTGGGTTTCTTCTGAGTGACAATAATAGCCTCGTAGCAGACAGAGGGGCTCCTCTATGCACTGACTGCCCCCCCCAAAAAAAATCAGAAAAAAATAGTTAGATGCAATCATTATAAATTGTTGTGATTCAGAGTTTAGTTTGAAAGCAAACTGGAATTGAGTTTGTTGGTGTCTCCTGTAACCTCTCTCTTACTTCATGTAAAACAGGTGTAGGTATAAAAACGTTGTTTATATAAAAAGGTAAACAATATTCACACAAGGCATCAGATCAAATCCAATATAGCAAATCCAAAATACCAACTGGTATTTTATCTTGCTCTTCAGCCAAAAAGGCTATCAGGGTCACTTTAAAAAAAACCTCCTCCAGCTTATTATTATCTTTAGAGACATGGCACCAAAGGGAAAGTGGATTGGGAGGGAGAAGGAAAGAAGCAAACTCAGCAACAAGATTGTAGTTACAAGAACTATAGAGCACAGTGGGCCCTACTTTGAAGTAGGAGCATAGGTTTATGCTAATTAGGCTGCAGTTCTTTAGCTACTTACATGGGGGCAAGTCCCACTTTACTGATTTGAAACTTAACTTCTCCGTATACATGTATGGGATTGCCCTTCAAAAGCTACTGTTTCAACTGATGATTTCCTAGGGGCAGTTTCCAATTCCCCTCACCCCTGACCTTTGGCCATGTTTTCCGGGGCTGTTGGGAGCTAGAGTTTAACAACATCTGGAGGTCATCAGCTTTGGCACCTCTTTTACAGAGACAGTTTTATTACAGTTGCATGGGCCCCTTAAAGACTAACAGATTTATTGTGGCATAAGTTTTGGATGAGGGCAAGTAGCTCAGGGGTGGAGCACCTGCTTTGTATGCAGGTCCCAGGTTCAATCCCTGGGATCTCCAGGTAAAACTCCCATCCTGAAACCCTAGAGAGCTGCTGCCAGTCAGTGTAGACAGTACTGCGCTAGATGGACCAATAGCTTGTTGCTTCTTTTTTAAAATCATACCTTTATTTACAACCAGGAAGACTGGAATCTTATTTTCTTTGGGGAGGGGAGAAGACTGTAACTCAGTGGTATACTCTTAAGAAAGCCCTCAGGTTCAGTCTCTGGCATCTCCATGTAGGGCCGGGGAAGCCCGCAAACATGACCTGAGTGCCCTCTTGTGCGGTTGTTCCCAACAACTGGGATTCAGAAACAGGCTGCAGCTGGAGGTGGATGTAAGCGGAGGTGTGCCAAATCAAGCCAACAGGCTCATTCAGTCCAGCCTCCTGTTCTCACAAGGGCCCTCTCATTTCTACTTTGCTTTGGGTGGCAACACTGCATTTCTTTCTCACTGTGCATGATGGACCAGGAGTCAGCTTTGCCTGTTGAACAGCAGCCTGAAGAGGGGAAAGGCGAAGCAAAGTGACTCGTACCCAGTCCCAGTCCAAAACCCATGCCCAGTCCCAGACCAATGCCCAGTCCCAGACCAATGCCCCACAACCAGTCGCAGTCCACTGCCCATGACTGGACCTGGGCCAGGGTGTGGGGCAGCACAGAGGGTTTCTGTTTCAATCATAGTCTCAGAGAGCAGCCGACAGACCTCAAGGAACTATTGCCAGTGAAGAAAAGACTGAGATACAGTGGTGCCTCGCAAGATGAAATTAATTCGTTCTGCGAGTTTTTTCGTCTTGCGAATTTTCGTCTTGCGAAGCATGGTTTCCCATAGGGTATTAACGGTTTTAAGAAAAAGGAAACAAACTTGCAAGACGTTTTCGTTTTTCGTCTTGCGAAGCAAGCCCATAGGGAAATTCGTCTTGCGAAGCAACTAAAAAAAGAAAAACTCTTTCGTCTTGCGCGTTTTTCGTCTTGCGAGGCATTCGTCTTGCGAGGTACCACTGTACACAGATCACTAGTCTCACCCTGTATGAAGAAAAGTTGTGTCTTGCTCTGCCCACAGGGAATCCCCTGATTTCCATGAAATGTCAATCCAATTATAATCATTACTTTATTTATATTCCACCTTTCCTCCAAGGAGCTTAAGGTGGCGGTGCATAGTTCTCCGCCTTCCTATGTTATTCCCACAACAACCCTGTGAGGTAGATTAATATGAGAGGCAGCGGCTGCCCCAAGGTCATATACCCAGTGAGCTTTATGGTGGTGGTGGGGAGGGGAGATTTGCATCTTGTCCTAGTCCGGCACTCTAACCATGACACCACATGGCCTCTCCTTAATTGAGTCATTTCCTTTAATATCGGTTACAGAAAACAACATGGTAAAGGAAAACAATACTACTATATATGATGGTAGATACAGTGGTATCTCTGGTTACGTACTTTAGTTGTTCCGGAGGTCTATTCTTAACCTGAAACTGTTCTTAACCTGAAGCACCACTTTAGCTAATGGGGCCTCCTGCTGCTGCTGCGCCGCCGGAGCACGATTTCTGTTCTCATCCTGAAGCAAAGTTCTTAACCTGAAGTACTATTTCTGGGTTAGCGGAGTCTGTAACCTGAAGCATATGTAACCTGAAGCATATAAGCATATGTAACCTGAGGTACCACTGTTGAACATTATGCTGAACAGAGAATTTTTAATCTTTGCAGAATAGATTGTATTTAAAAAAATGTAATCTGAATCCTGAAATACCGTTCATGGGAAGAGGGGGTAATTAATGTTTATGCACAGTATTATTATTTTTGTTAAAAAAAATTATTTGTAAAATAAAACTTACTGTAAAATGTTGTTAAGCTCCCCACCAATTCCTATCTGTAATGTGGGGGAAGGGGGGATTTCTAGGGGAGGGGGCAAATTTAAGACACTTCAAATTAAGCCTTATTAAGCTCTATACAGATTAAGGCCAAAACAAGGTTCTGTCCACTGAAGCAATATAGGCAGAATTGGTTGTTTTGAAATGTACTCTAGTAATGGGGAAAATGCATCATCCCCCTCTCCTGGTAATTATTTCCTGTCCCAGATAAGTTTCTGGGTGGAAAGTGGTGGGGCTGGTGTGGGCAAATAATATCCCCACCCCTGCCAAACCTAACTGTGTAACATTAACTCAAAATAAAACCAGTGTGAAAACACTGATAGGAAGAAAGGGGGCACCCTAGGATGCTGTTGGAGAGGAACAAAGGCCTCCATTTGTTATTTTAATCCTTTGAGGTTAGGGGTGCAAACTTACTTGAGAGGAAAGGGGATGGCCTGCTCTTGTGTTTTGAAAATAAACTTGTGAACATGGTGATAAATATTTATGCCAACAGGGAGTGGGATAAGACGCCTTATCACCTGCTAACGTCTGGCTGCAAAGGGCTGCTGATAGTAGAAGAGCTCAGATGGAATGTGAATTGAAAATAAACTAGAGAGAGAGAGACAGAGAGAGAGAGAGAGAGAGAGAGTCCGCTTGTTGCTCTCTGAGCCAGGCTCATATTTGGTGAGGTCTGCCAAGCTTTTACCAGCTCTGTTGTATTTCCCTTTTACAGTAAAGAGCCTGACAAACACACATTTATAGCTGGCTTTTTGGGGGGCATGGTAGCAAATTTATGGGGATTTTTTTATTCCTCTTGCTACATTTCTGCTCTAACTGCAGCTTTATATGCAGGGGTCAGAATATGCACATCAAAACTAAGGAAGAAAGTGGTAGGAAAATAATGGAATGTTCTATTAACACACAGGAGCATGGGTTGTAAATAAGCTGCCAACCCTATTTGTGGCCTGAGTTGGGTCACATCCTCCCTCAGGGGCAAAACGGCTTTATTTCACCTGGGTCAAAGACCCAGTTTGGCACACACACCCCATGCACATTTGCGTACACACACACACAAAGGCTGGGAGCCTCAATGGCATCCCTCTAGAGGCTTCACCCATGGCAACCAACCTGGCTAGCTGCCCTCTATATAGGGTGTCACAGTGCTGCATGTGGTACACAAAGTGAATATGCTTGCAGATGACACCTTTCTAATTTTGCAAAATCCAATAACAGCCCTGGAAACACTTAAGCAGCAGTTAGTGGTGCATCACTGGGTAGCCAGGATCGCATATCAAGTATTCTAAATCTGTGCTCCTTCCTATCAATGTAGAGGACACTACAAGAGACTTTAACTCTCTGTTTGCCACAGCACATGGAAGATTTAAATACTTAGAGGTGTTAACCTTATTACAGACAATAAACCAGGATGTAGAAACTATAGGGGACATGGGTGGTGCTGTGGGTTAAACCACAGAGCCTAGAACTTGCCGATCAGTAGGTTGGCAGTTCGAATCCCCGCTACAGGTGAGCTCCCATTGCTCGGTCCCTGCTCCTGGCAACCTAGCAGTTTGAAAGCACGTCAAAGGGCAAGTAGATAAATAGGTACTGCTCCGGCAGGAAGGTAAACAGTGTTTCCGTGCGCTGCTCTGGTTCGCCAGAAGCGGCTTAGTCATGTGGCCACATGACCCAGAAGCTGTACGCCGGCTCCCTCGGCCAATAAAGCGAGATGAGCGCCGCAACCCCAGAGTTGGTCACGACTGGACCTAATGGTCAGGGGTCTCTCTACCTTTACTAGAAACTATAGGGCAGAGATTTTCAACCTTTTTGAGTCCACAGCTCCCTTGACCAACTACATTCTTTCTGCAACACCCGTGGGGCTCAGGAGCCCAGTTATGTCACCCCTTGCATGCAGAGCTGGCAGCCCCTCACCCCTTTTCCAACACCCTCGCTTGTGGAGTGTTCCCTCAGCCTCCTCTCCTCTCCCCTCTCCCTGGTCTCTGAGCTGCCCCCACCCCCGCCCCAAAGAGAGGTGCTTTCTCACTTCCCTACAGGGGCCTGGGACAATCTGTCCGTTCCCAGGAGCAAAGGCTGGCAGACTGGCTGGCTGGGCTCCCTTGCCCACTTGCTTGCTTACTCTGAGGCTGCCTCAGCTCCTGGCAGCTAGCACCCCCTGGCCAGCCCCAGAGGCACCATTCGCCTGGAGAGCTTGTAGCCAGGGCTGCTGCAACAAACAGCTGTGCAAGCCTTTGGGAGGCAGAGATGCGAGAGGGCACCCCAGGGTGCCAGAGCACACTGGTTGAAAACCGCTGCTGTAGGGGATTGCATAAAGGCAATCAACAGGAATTTAGGAAATGGAAAAATATCAATCTTGGTCTAAATGTCAGTATTTTTATATTCCTATATTTATGTTCTTATAGTTTTTTAAAGTTTGCCTGTTCCCATCCCTCCTCTTCAGTTAAAGAGAGGGCAAAACATACTCAGTGCATTTGTGTTGGGAGGCAAAAAATCTAGGATAAGCAACAAAACTATAGACATAGAACAAACAGAGGGATGGAAATGCCTAAGTTAATGTTATATTTTGCTGCTTTTCAAATCAAATCCTTTATCCCATTGCTCAGGAGAACCCTGAGAGCAGGGGAGAGGGCCTATTTTGTTCAAATCCATATGGAGCAGGCCAGTATATGACCTGAAGGGTGCCTCTTCCCTAATATACAGCAATCTATTGGATCATGAGGGGGGAGGGGTGCTAGAGGCCTTGGAACTGTTTGGGAATCAGAATTCGGTCGCCCAAATACAGATCATAAATGGGAGGGTATCTGGACCCCCCCCCCCCCGTTTCAAACCATCTCTGCTTGCTTACAGGAGGCCTTGCTCGAGGTCATCCTCCATCGGCCCTGGATACCAGTCAGGCTTGCAAAATTTAATCCCTCCCTTTCCTCTTTATGTTGGAAGGGTTGGGGAAAACATGGTTTATTTATTTGTGTTTTGTGGGAATGTCTCCATGTTAAAAACTTTTGGAATAGAGTATTCTCCATTATATCCACCATGATAAGCCAACCCCTTTCTCCAAATCCTGCCTTAGCCCTACTGTCTTTGGACATGGGCTCCATTCTCCACCACAGAGAACTAGACAGTTTCTTACTGACTGCAGCACAATTAGAGATAGCTCAGCAACGGAAGAACCAGACTGAAATACTCCTGAGCATATGGGGAAATAATACAGTATACGGAATACAGCAAAGTCTGAGGAGGGCAGACTTACATCTAAAGTCAATGGATAGGAACAAACACTATTAGATGTAATGCTAGATAAGTGTTTAATGGTTCCTGTATTTGTTTAAAAACAAATAGAAAAATTGTTAAAAGTTTGGGCAACCAAAAGCCACTTGCTGTCTTCATGTGACATCTAGTGGTCACTGTGAAGATGACACCTTTCCTATGCTAGTGTATATTGTCTCCCTGCTTATTTAACTTATATGCAGAATTCATCATGTGAAAGGCTGGGCTGGATGAATCCCTAGCCAGAATTAAGATTGCCGGGAGAAATCTCAACAACCTCAGATATGCAGATGACACAACCTTGATGGCAGAAAGTGAGGAGAAATTGAAGAACCTTTCATTGAGGGTGAAAGAGGAGAGCGCAAAATATGATCTGAAGCTCAACATCAAAAAAACGAAGATCATGGCCACTGGTCCCATCACCTCCTGGCAAATAGAAGGGGAAGAAATGGAGGCAGTGAGAGATTTTACTTTCTTGGGCTCCATGATCACTGCAGATAGTGACAGCAGTCACGAAATTAAAAGATGCCTGCTTCTTGGGAGAAAAGCAATGACAAACCTAGACAGCATCTTGAAAAGTAGAGACATAAACTTGCCAACAAAGGTCCGTATAGTTAAAGCCATGGTTTTCCCAGTAGTGATGTATGGAAGTGAGAGCTGGACCATAAAGAAGGCTGATCACCGAAGAATTGATGCTTCTGAATTATGGTGCTGGAGGAGACTCTTGAGAGTCCCGTGGACTGCAAGAAGATCAGATCTATCCATTCTGAAGGAAATCAGCCCTGAGTGCTCACTGGAAGGACAGATCGTGAAGCTGAGGCTCCAATACTTTGGCCACCTCGTGAGAAGAGAAGACTCCCTGGAAAAGACCCTGATGTTGGGAAAGATGGAGGGCACAAGGAGAAGGGGACAACAGAGGACGAGATGATTGGACAGTGTTCTCGAAGCTACAAACATGAGTTTGACCAAACTGCGGGAGGCAGTGAAAGACAGAAGTGCCTGGCGTGCTCTGGTCCTTGGGGCCACGAAGAGTCGGACATGACTAAATGACTAAACAACAACAACATGCTAGTGGAATTTATATGCAAGAAAATGTGCAGACTGGTTTTGGCTTGGGTGCGGTTCTGGGTTTAAGAACATAAGAGCCATGCTGGATCAGGCCACTGGCCCAACTTGTCCAGCATCCTGTCCTCACAGTGGCCAACCAGATGCCCCAATGGGAAGCACAAAAACAGGGCATGTTTGCAACAGCAAGACTTTCTTCACATGATTCTCAGCAACTAGTATGTACAGTGGTACCTTGGTTACAGACGCTTCAGGTTACAGACTCCGCTAACCCAGAAATAGTACCTCGGGTTACGAACTTTGCTTCAGGATGAGAGAAATCGGTGGCAGCGGGAGGCCCCATTAGCTAAAGTGGTACCTCAGATTAAGAACAGTTTCAGGTTAAGAACGGACCTCCAGAACAAATTAAGTTCTTAACCCGAAGTACCACTGTATTCAGAAGCATCACTGCCTCAGGCCAGGTTTTGCTGGGCTTGGATCCCGAGCTACAGAAAACTAATGGGAACCCTCAATGCTATGACTCACAAGGATGAACCAAATGGATTAGATTGGACTAAGGAAGCCATGCAGTGTTTTTGAGTGCATTAAGAGAGAATGAAGGTCCACTCCCGACTGCGGAGGCAGAGCATAGCCCTCACCATGAATTTGTCCCTTTTTTAAAGAAGCCATCTAAGTTGGTAGCCCTCACTGCCTCCTGCGGAAGGGAGTTCCATAGTTCAACTATGCGATGCATGAAGAAATACTTTCTTTTATCTGTCCTGAATCTTCCTACATCCAGCTTTGTTGGATGTAAGAGAGGGAAACCTCCCCATCTGCTTTCTTCATGCCACACATAATTTTGTATATCAATATGTCCCCCCAACTTCCCTTTTCTCTTAACCAAAAAGCTCCAAATGCTGCAGCCTTTCCTCATAGGGGATTCGCTCCACACACCCTGATCATTTTGGTAGACTGTAGCTTTAGCTCAATCTCAGATACTGTACCTAAAAAATCTTGTGTTTGATTATCTTTTATTTGTTTGTTTTAAAGAGTTATATAGCGCTTGAGTGTAATAACACCTCAGAGCGTTTTACAATTAGAATCAAAAGATTGCTAAAAAAATAGTTCAAAGCAACTATTTAAAGCATTCACAGATAATAATTAAATAAAATCAGCAATAAGCGATTGGGGCATGGAAGCTCGCCGGGTTTGACTTTGGGGCCAGTCACTGCCTCTCTCAGCCTAAACTACCTCACAGGGTTGTTGTGAGGATAAGATGGAGGGGAGGGGAGAACCACCTATGCCACCTTAAACTTCTTGGAGGAAATAATTCCATATACTGTATGGTGTTTTCATTGCCCCTCCCATTCCTTAGGTGAGAAAAAACCCCGCGGCTTCCAAGGCTCGTCTCTTTCGTCCCTAGTAAACGTCTCTCTACTCTAACGCTATCTCTCTATGAACCCGGGGGCTGTAGCGTAGTTTCCGGTCTGTCGCTCTTCCTCCTCCACGTCGCCCCCTGACCCCGGAAGTAGGAGGGGCCTGTGAGGATGCCCGGTGTTGATGCTGGAATAAACATGGCGTTGTGCAGGAGCAGGAGAGGCGGTGGCGGTTCCTGCTTGGTTCCTTCGCCTAAGGCGGCGCTGATCCTGCTGGCGGCTCTGCTCCTGGGAGACCCCGCGCGGGCCCGAGTTCACCACCTCACTCTCAAAGTAGGCCCGCTGGAGAGGGGCAGGAGGGTTGGGGGAAAGGAGGGGGAGGAGAGAAAAGGAGATGAGCGAATCGGGCGGGTCACGGTGTGCCGAGGGTTGAAGCCGGCGAGGCAACTTCTTCCACCTTGCTAGGGCTGGGATCACTGTTTGCTCTTACTCGGCAGGAGACCCTTTGAAAGATAGTGGGCAGTGACCTCAGTGGGTTCTACTCTTGAGTAGGACTTCGTTGGATGAAGCCCATCCTTATCGTTATTGGTTTGTAGGCAGTGTTAAGGCTTACTCGAGAGGAAACCGTTGAAATCGGTGGGTAATGGATCGGAAATAACCAACAATAGTAATAATAATACTGTAATACCCAAGAGGAGACCTCTTGAAATTGATCCGTGTGGCTGACTCTGGGGTCACTGCCCTCCAGTGGGTATTGTAGGACTTAGATGGCTAGAACCTGTTTTTATTGGGTTGTAGCCAGAGTTAATGTTACTCAGTGCAGGCCCATGGAAATTGATGGTTATGACTGAGTTGGTGTCATTGATTTCCAGTAGGTCATCTCTGAGAAGGACTTAATGGGGTGGTTTTTATGAATTCATTTCAGTTGGGGGTTTGGCTGGGTTTTGATGCAGAAACTGCTTTGGCCACCCTGTATGATATCCCCTGGCAGAAGAGAGACATGGGAAATGCATCCCTGCCAGTTCTTTACCTTAACGGCTTTCGATACCATTGGCCATGGGTTCTTCTAGAGAAACTGTCTTGAGTTGTGGGTTGGGTGGTTCTGATTTGTGGTAATTCCAGTACTACTTGGATGGTTGTTTTCAGAGGGTAATGCTTGAGAAGTGCTTTTCGGCCACATGGAGCCTTCAATGTGGGGTACCTCAGAGTTTGGTTTCCCCCGCTTATGCTGATCAACATCTACGTGAAACTGCTGAATGGGGTCATCAGGAGTTCTGTCAGCAATATGCTGATGACACAACTCTACTTTTCCTTTACATCTGTAGGTGTGGCAGTGGATGTGCCAACAAACTGAAGCTCAATCCAGATAAAGCAGTGTTGTTGGGTGGTTCCCTAAGTCTGGATGGATAGGAGGTTGCCTGTTCCTGATGGGATTATACTCCTTCTGAAGGAGCAGGTATGTAGGTTAGGGGTCCTTCTGGACCTTTGATTTTGCTTGAGGTTCAAGTGGCCTCAGTGGCACAGAGTGCCTTCCATTAGTTTTGGCTGGTGGCGCAGCTGCGCCCCATCTGGACAGGTATAGCCTAACTTCTGTCGCCTATGCTCTGGGACCCTCTAGGTTAGACTAATTCAATGCATTGTACATATGGGGTGCCTCTGAAGACAGTTTGGAAACTTCAGCTGGTGCAGAGTTCAGTGGGGAAGGACATATTGCACCAATCCTGGCCCACCTGCAGTGACTGCAAAGTAGTTTCTGGGCACAATTCAAAATGCTGGTTTTGACCTATACAGTCTTAAATGGCTCAGGATCACACTATGTCAAGGACCATCTCTCCCCATCGGTGTTCAAAATTAGCCAGGTGCCTGGTGCATTTGCACCTGGCTATCAACCACTTGTGACCAAGCGAAGATGCCTGGATGCCAGAATGGTGCCTGACATCTCCACCATCTGAAGGTGCATGCCTGAGGATAATTGGATCTGGACTGTTTTTACACACTAATACCACATCCTGTAGAATTCTATTATGCTTTATCTGTACATTTGGAATGAGTTTCATGAATCAGAATGCTTTTTCTGTGCAGCCTGAGCAGGAGCAGTGACCATTAAGAAAAAGAGGTAGGAATAGGCCAGTATATATGTAGACTGTCCCTGGATCACCTCAGAGCTGTATAGCTGCTTCTTGGGAGAAAAGCGATGATAAACCTAGACAGCATCTTAAAAAGGAGAGACATCACCCTGCCAACAAAGGCCCATATAGTTAAAGCTATCATTTTCCCAGTAGTGATGTATGGATGTCAGAGCTGGGCCATAAAGAAGGCTCATCGTTGAAGAATTGATGCTTTTGAAGTATGGTGCTGGAGGAGAGTCTTGAGAGTCCCATAGACTGCAAGAAGATCAAACCTATCCATTCTTAAGGAAAACAGCCCTGAGTGCTCACTGGAAGGACAGATCCTGAAGCTGAGACTCCAATACTTTGGGCCACCTTAAGAGAAGAGGTGGAAAAGTCCCTGATGTTGGGAAAGATTGAGGGCAGAAGGAGAAGGGGCGACAGAGGACGAGATGGTTGGACAGTGTTCTCGAAGCTACCAGTATGAGTTTGACCAAACTGTGGGAGGCAGTGAAAGACAGGAGTGCCCGGCGTGCTCTGGTCCATGGGGTCACGAAGAGTTGGACACGACTAAATGACTAAACAACAACAAAGGAAGTCAGACCTACCTCTGTGTGGAGGGACCTGCCACAGAGAAGGTGCTGTCCTGTCACAGTTCAGAGTGTCCAGAAGCTCAGATATTTGGAGCTTAAGTGGTTTAGGGCTCTAAACCCTAATCTGAACACCTTAAATTGGGCCTGGAAACAAATGAGTAACTTAGATATGTTAAGTTCAATGGATCGATGGTGAATAGGACTAAGTTGCATACAACCTATTCTTTTTGTTACCAATATAATTAAAAGTTATTTGTGTTTAGTATTTGGGATGATAATGAGCATTACAGTAAGCCTGCAACTTATGTGGAGGTTATTTTTCAGGTATCGCACCAAAAGCCAAAATTGTATATAATCAAAACACATTGGGTTCAATGTTGGGTGGGATTACCAAAGTTATTTTTTCAAGAATTCTGTCCTCTTTCAATTTTTTTTTTTTTTGGCCACCCACTTAAAGCTGAATGTGCACAAGTCAAATATGCATAAGTTACAGGTGTGGTTAGTTTGAGACTTTGTAGGTAGCTGCTGATATGCATATGGACTTAGGTGCTGTGGTTATCATGTGCATGTCCATTGTCTACTCATCTAGTTATTATGTGCGTGTCTCTGGTTTTGCAACCTGAGGATATGAACAATTGCTTGAGCCACTTCAGAACCCTGTGTTGTCAATAGAATCGGGAAATGTGGGTTATCCTGCCTTAGCTAGGGCTGTGCTTCCCTAGAGGACTCTTGTTCGGAGTCTGGGTGTTCTCCGGGAACCATCAATGAGCCTGGGTATCCAGATCTTGGCAGTAGACTGGAACGCCGTAGGATAGCAGAGGTGTTAGATCTGGCCATGATAACGTGCCTTAGTTACATCTAATGTGGACTGCTCTAATATGTTCTGTGCAACTCTGCCTTTTCAACTGTGTTTGGAAACTTGAAGCTCTCTCTGAATGCTGCAGAAAGGTGTTGAATGGAAAGAGTTACAAGAACTTGTGTGGCTCTCTTGGGGCAGAGCTCAAAGTGTTGTTCACGACCTGGAAAGTTCTAGAAAGACCAGGTTACTCAAACGACTACTTTCTTATCAATGAGCCTGCCTTTGAGATCTTCCAGAAAGTCCTTCTGCCAATTCTTCTAGTCTCCAAGGCACATGTGGCAGGGATGGGCCTCTTCAGGGGTTGTGCCCAGACATGGAATTACCTTCCTATCAATCTCCTTCTGCTGTCAGGAAAAGACTTTATTCAGGTAGTCATTTAGCCTTTCATGCTGCTTTGACTCTTTTTCCCATTTATGGCTTGTTGTACTGTGGCTGCTGTTAGGTGTTTGTTTATCTGTTGGTTTTTAAAAAATATATTATTTTTTAAAGTCAATGTAGATAGTACTGAGCCTGACCAAAGGTTTGGCTCATAAGGGAAATTCTTATTCTTTAAGAAATAATGATGAAAGACCATTTCTGTCCTGTCCTTCCTCTTAGGAGCTCAAGACAGTGTACTTCATTTTTTCCTCTATCACCTCCCCACCTCATTTTATCCTCTTTATCCTAACCTCTAGGACTGGTCAAACGATCACCTTTCAAGATTCTTGGCAATGTAGGGGACTTGAATTTTAGTCTCTGTCACACACCCCTCCCCAAACCCTCACAACAATCCTTTGAGGAGGTAAGGCTAAGACAGTGACCAGTTACTCAGTGAGCTTCATAGCCAAATGGAATTGGAACTTTGGGGTTTCCCACCTTGGTGATACTTATACACAAACACCATTAATGAGGGCTGTTGTACAGTAAGTTCAGATCTTTGAAAGTCCTCTAAGTTCAGGATATCAATTATTTTATCTTATGGCAGCTAATAGCACCAAACTTTTAAGATGGTAAAGCGCAGGGTGATATGAACCTGCCTTATCTGGGAAAGGGCTCAGTGGTAGAGCATCTGCTTTGCATGCAGATGGTTGCAGGTTCAACTCATGGCATCTCTTGCTAGGGCTGGGAGAGGCTGCCTGACTGAAACTCTGGAGAGCTGCTGTCAGTGAGTGTAGACAATATTGGACTAGGTGGATCCAATGATGGGACTCAGTTTAAAGCAGCTTCCTATACACACTGAGTCAGGCTGTTGGTCCATCTATCTCAGCATTGTTTACACTTAACTAGCAGCAACACTCCAGGGTTCAGAACTGATTCTTTCCTGACAATGCCAGGGCCTAAACCTGGAGCCTCCTGCATCCAGATCATGCAGTGTAATGTGTAGACAAGCCTACAATCATAGGGGTTCTAAAATATGCTTCAATCCAGGTCACATCCATGCTTTACATTTAATGCACATGGCTTTTCTGAAAGAATCAAGGGAACTGTAGTTAACCACTCAGAGTTGCAATTTCCAGAGGTCTTAACAACCTACAGTTCCCAGGACTATTTGGAGGGTAGGTCACATGTTGGACTTTCTGCATGCAAAGCTGGTGCATCCCCCTAAAAATAAAGGAAGATTCTAGTCTTTGCAGCTTGTACTTCTGGAGAAAGGGCTTAGTGAATCTGGGAAGCTGCCTTATAGCTCAGTATTGTATATGGCAGCTCTCCAGGGTTTCAAGCAGGGAATGGATATGGTGGGGATTGAACCTGGGACCTTCAGTATGCAAGGCAAAATGCCCCACCACTGAGCTGTGGCTATTCCCTGGATCCGCATACATAATAAAAATTGGGGGTAGCCAGTGTGGTACCTTGCATATCTTGTGGTCTCCTATCAGTCCCAGCTGTAACGACTAGTGGTCAGGGATGGTGAGGGCTGGAGGCCAGGCTTCAATGCCGGCGGTCAGGGACATTCCATGGTGTTGGAACCCTGACTAAGAAGGCCCTGCCCTTTGTAAGCTGAGCTTCATTCCATGATGTGGCATGTGTTGAGCTAAGCATACCAGAAGATGTGGGTGGCCTTGTTTGCCATCATCTTAGGCAGTGTTATAATTGCACCCATTACAAGCTTTTTTCATCCCTTCCCATTTCTTGTTCCGTTTTCTCAAAAGCTGTCAGGAAATACCAGGCAACAAAAATGCTTATGCATTCTTTAGATCAGGGCTCAGTTGAGCAATGTCCCTTTTAGCAGGTCATTTCCTTCTGTTGTAAGGACTAGTGCATAATGCCTCAAACTGGAAAACTGCAGCTGAACATAAGCTTCAGGTTAATTTGCCTTCTCCAAACTCACCTTGTCTTTGTTCTCTTCATTACACGGGGACAAAAGAAATAAACATGTAAGCTATTGGGCATTCTGTAAATCAGGGGTGTGGAAACTTTTTGAAGATGAGTGAGTGCCCCATTCCCTTCTGGACAACATTCGGGGGGCTTCATGCCAATGGTGGGCTCGGCCAGAGGCAAAAGTGGGCCAAGCCATGGATGTGACTCACCCACCTGCCAGCCAATCAAAGCTTGGAGATTTTTATACATACAGAGAAATGTGAGGGCCTGGAAAAAAAACCAGAAAAATTCGGGAAGAAATTGCAAGAAACTGGAGTGCAAATATTTCTTTGCTTCAGTTTCACGTCAGCTTCTCAGTTGTTTGTTTCTGACACGCCCTTGTTTCCCCTAATGTTTTCTGTCCGCTCCTCCTCCAGCCTTTGCATCTCCATGTCATACACACATCTCCGTCCTCCACTGAGGTAATCAAAAGGCATTGTCACAGTTCAAGGGTGTTCCAGCCAAGCAAAAGCACTTGAGAAGAGTGTGAAGGGGTGTGGCCTGGGGAAAGGGGTGTGGCCCAGGAAGTGTACTGGGAGCCAGATAGAGAGGCCTAGAGGGCCGCTTCTGGTCCCCAGACCTGAGGTTTTCCCACCCTTACTGTAATCCACTTCAACTTCCTAGGGATGTTTGCTTAACAGTAATGTTGAAGTTTACAAGCATAATTTTTCTCTCCCAGTGCTTTGTTGTTTGCTACTTCTAACTTTGTCAGCATTGCAGGAATGCAACCCTCTGTCTGAAAACTGTTCTCCACTCCTAGAAGCCATTATTTGGCTTTCTGTGTTGTATAAACAAGGCTACTGTTTACTGTTCTGGTTGCAGCACCTCAAAAAGGATTTTGTAGAGCTGGGATGGGCCGCTAAACTGATTAAGGAGCTGGATCAACTCCTCTGTGAGGAAAAGTTACAACTTTTTGAAGCTTCCAATTGGGGCATCTGGTTGGCCACTCTGAGAGCAGGAGGCTGGACTGGAGGAACCTTTGGCTTGAGATTCAATCAAGTACAGTGGTACCTCGGGTTACATACGCTTCATGTCACATATGCTTCAGGTTACAGACTCCGCTAACCTAGAAATAATACCTCAGGTTAAAAACTTTGCTTCAGGATGAGAACAGAAATCATGCTCCAGCAGCGCAGCAGCAGCAGGAGGAGGAGACCCCATTAGCTAAAATGGTGCTTCAGGTTAAGAACAGTTTTAGGTTAAGAACGGACCTCCGGAACGAATTAAGTATGTAACCAGAGGTACCACTGTACTTGTTTTGCTTTTTGTTCTTGCAGACTTCTTCGCCTGAAGTCTGCTGCACCTTATGTCAAGCGACCTGAGGTCATGTCAGCAGGAAGTCAACAATGTTGGTCTTAGGTACACATCCACGTATGATGTTTTTTCCTTTTGGAATTTTAACAGGTACAGCTTAGCACACTGTACTGAGAGGTAAAGCATTTGCTTAAATTAGCTCTATTCCAATTGGAGGTTAAAACTATGAGAGCTGGGCTGGAGGACTCTTGTTCCCTTTCCCTTTGGCCCCAGGCAGCAGGAATAATGGCGTCCAGCAACATCTGCAGAAACTCAAGTTCATCACCTCTGTTTTAGAGGATAGGGCTGTAGCTGAGCACTAGAGCCTCTGCCTACAAGCAGAACGTCCTGAGTTCATCCCTGGTGTCTCCCGGTAGAGCTGGGAATACTCTTTGCCTCTGAAATGATGGAGAGATGCTGCCAGTCAGTGTAGGCAGTACTGAGCTGGACTCACCAATGGTCTGACTCGGTATAAGGCAGCTTCCTACATTCCTGTTTGACTCTGCATTTTATTCAGAACCATGAGGACTACAATGTGGTAGTCCTGACATTTTTGGGAAGTTCGTTGACTATAGACAAACGTCTTTGACAGACAGTTAAAAGAAGAGAAACATAGTGATTCCACTGTTCTCCTTCGCATTTTAAAGGAACAAATATTGACAAAATATCTGAAAAAGGAAACTTTGTTGTTAGATCTGCTTTTAAAAGAAATTAAAAAAAAGAAAAGAGATGGATACAAATAGAAGTTCTTCCCCTAGAGGGAGCCTGTGAAACTGTTACTAAATTTGAACCGGGGAGCTCTGCAGCTGCAACAGATTAAGATCGTGGGAATAGACTTCTGACCTTGTATAACAATGTATTCAGAAGCTCTGGTGCGTGCTTTCTGCAAAACAAGTGCCTTATTGGAACAGTTACATGAGAAGGCGGACTTGATGACTGTTGCGATCAGAAATTTTGAACAGGTAGTGAGTAACTATATAGAACCCACCCAGGAACCAACTCAGGAGTGTGCTCTGACAGATCAGATGAGGAAGGAGGATGTTGCTGAACCTCGGGTGTCAGAGATGGAGCGAGCTGTGGTCCAGCAGGAACATGAGTTGTTGGATCTGACAAATTAACTTGGAAAAAGCCAGATTTGGAGAGATAGAGTTTTGTTTGGTTTGGAAATGGGGGATTGGATAGAACCCCCCCCCCCCATGCAGGGATGTTTTGACTTTTCAAGTCTGGCAATGGGCCGCAAGATGTTTGGGGTTGTGGGGGTTCTTAACTCTGGAGGGACTTTGAAACATGTTTTTAAATACCACATGGAGTTTAGTGTGGACTATGGAAAAGGGGCTGATTTGTCGAGAAGGGACAAAAATACTGTCAAGTTGGAGTTTCCACGAGTGAAAGGAGCAGGAGACAAAGTAAAGTACAGGTATAAATATGAAGAAGATCTGCGGAAGGGACATGGAAGAGACTTAAGGGCCTCGGACATAAGATTACCAGGTTAATGAGCTAGATGGATGGGATAGAAAGGACTGACAAAACCCGGGACCAGGAGGAAGAGACGTTGGATGAAGATTGGAAGAAAGTTTTAAAAATTTTTTTATTAGGGTTGTCTTATAAAATTGATGAATGTTAGAAAAATGTTGGAACGAAATTATTTGGCTTTAGTAGAAATGTTAAAAGAATTATGTAAGAATATGTTATGGTTATGAGAAATTGGTATAAATAAGATCTAAGTTTTAGGGTCTTTTATAGTAAGATAAGGTTAAAATAGATTAATGTAATTTAATGACAGAATATTATGAAAAATGGAAAGGATTTGCTGTGATAATTAACAGCTAGAATACAAAAAAGGGGAGGAGTGAGGAGGTCGATGAAATAAGGCAATGACAGTTAAGGATTTGGGAATATTGGATTTGTTTTTAAATTTTTGTGGCTTATTTTTGCTTTTTGATTGTGATGTGTTACGTGTTTTGTTGTTGTTTTTTGATTTTGATTTTGATCAATTTGTATTGTTTGATTGTGGTTTGTTTTTTTGTTTGTTTTTTCCCCTTCTTTTTCTCTTTGTTTTTCCTGTAATTTTAAAATTCTTAATAAATATCATTTAAAAAAAAAAAAAAAAGACTGCACTTCTCTGCAGACTTGGGAGTGAGCCTGATGGACTCTGAGTAACATAGTGGCACTGTAATGAAAGCTGAATCCTGTATTGATCTGATTAGCCACTGTAGGAAGAACAGTATGTGGACCAGAATAGCCAATCTGTGTGATTCAGTGGGTCTGTGCAATGCTCTGTATATAACATATCCCATGGAGCACACCGGGACTTTCCTAGTGATTTTGCAGAGAGACTGTAGCTCAACTGTAGAGTGTTTGTTTGGTGTGCAAATAAAATGGCTGTTGTACCACTGGTGTGGCCAGGCTTCTGTATCTTTGCTTGCAGTGGCAAGTGCACCCCAGCCTTTCTCCCAACTTTGGCATTGCTGAGATGAATAGTGCCCCAGAAGATGTGAACAGTGATCCCAGGTGGGATATTTGGTTGTGGCAGGCTTGACATTGAAGGTGGCCACTGGGTAGGCGTGTTCCGTGGAGTCCCTCACACACATGCAGGACCACCTTGGAAAGCACCTACCACCAGAGAGGATGTTTTGTTTTTCCCCCCTTTCACTGTTGCACAATTCCATTGGCAAATTCTCTTTCCATGAGTGGGGAACCTTCTTGGCCATTGTATGTCCAAAATGCTGGAATCTCTTCACCTTCAGTTCTGGTGGACCACAGCATATGAAGCCCCTCTGGTTCAGTTCTTTGGAGCCTTGTGCATTTATTATTTTCATTTATTTATTATTGCATCTATATCCCACCTTTTTCTCCAAGGAGGTCAAGGTGGCATACAAGGTCTTCCTCCTCATTTAATCCCCAGAACGATTCTGTGAGGTAGATTAGACTGAAAGAGGCAGTGACTGGTCCAAGTGAGTTTCATGGCCGAATGAGGATTTGAATCCTGGTCTCCCTGGCCCTAGCCTGACACACTAACCACTGTACCACACGCTCTATTATTATTCATTAAACCTATTAGCCCCTTTTAAAAATGAAAATAACTGTTTAATTTAAGGCACTTATACACTGCTTAACTGCTAGCATTTGGGTGTGTGACATGCTTAAAAATAACTATACAGAGAACAAAATGATAAAAAAGTAATGCCGTTTGTTAGGAGGTTTGCCATGGTCTTCTGATCCTCATATGCATGATTGGTGAGCTGGTATTGTGGTTTGTCAAGCTGCAAGTACAGACATGCGCCATTAAGCAAGAGTATGGATGGGGTAAACGAAAGTAGATGTGTGAGGCTGATGCTTGAAAGTAAAACTATGTTGACTTTATTTTTCTCCCTTGTCAGTTTCCTCCATCACATCTTACTCATTTCCCTAGCTGGCCTGCAGTTCTTTCTCAGAAGTTGCAAAACACTTGTAACCGAAACCGTAGAATAATGGGCTGCATAGATAATATATACATTTGAAATCTCAATGTGGTTCTATGACTAATTCAGTCTTGTGAAATTCAACGGCTGGGTGTGGGGAGAGACCAATCCAGCCAAAAGTTAAGCATTTTAAAAATCCTATTAATGGTAAATTGACATGCTTATATTGCTTAAAATAAGGGTTTGAACTGATAGTTAATGCATTTCCTTTTTTATTTCCTGGTCTGTGATTCCCCCACCCCAAGTTAGTGTATTACATGTATATAGTTCTTGTCTGAGCATCCTTGGACTCCCCTCCCCCCTCACCAAATATTTTATTGTTTTCACATATTTATAGAAGAAGCAATTATCAGTGTTCAACAATCCCCCCTCCAGAAGCACCAAATTTATATTTAATTACATTTAACTTTCAAGTCATTTCAGTTTTTAAACAAAGGTATCATTTCTTTCACAAGTTGCCATGTGTGCTTGGAGGCCTATAATCATGTTCTGTTGATTTTTCATATGTAATAAAACTTTGCTAGGTTGATTGAAAAGTAGTGGTTTTCTTGTCCGGCTCTCTCGAACTTCTTTATAATGGCAGGTATAGGGTTTACCAGTAGGTGTTCTTTATAAACTGCTTAGAGGTCTTCTGTTGAGCAAGTGGCATATAAATTGTTTTCAATTAAAAAAAAAAAGACTATGCAAGGTTGATTGAATTCTTCCCTCTGTCTATTTTGAAAAAAGGATGGTGGCTATGAGTCAAAGCAAGTTATTTCTTCAGACTTTAGCTGTGATATGTGGTTAGGGTTTGTAAGAATTCCTCACTCTTTTTATATATATATACACACATATATGCATACACAGACAAGCGCACACACACGCTAACTGACCCAGTGATTTCAGGAATCCCCAAAGGACATGAAGAGAAAACTCTCCCCTGCTGTTGACCCCCAATAGGTGGCTTTCTTAGGTAAAGGTAAAGGTACCCCTGATCATTAGGTCCAGTCATGACTAACTCTGGGGTTGCGGCGCTCATCTCGCTCGAAGTAAGTAAGTAAGTAAGGCTTTCTAAAGTAGTGGAAAATGCAGGTTCAGCATTCAAAACTTTGACACATTCCCATGCTCTTGTTAATAATTGTTTAAAGATCCCCCCATGCATCCAGACTTGGCTTTTGTGTGTGTGGATATGCCCCCATGAGCGTTAGCAACCATTTCCAGTCCTGTTTCATGAAATCCTTTAGTTCCCTCATTGTACATGGGCTGTGGTGATGTTGCCCCCTGCTGATTAAAACCAGAAAGTGTTGATCTTCAGATTTCAAGTGCTCCAAGGTTGCTCTTGTTTGTGTCTCAGTGATAAATCTAGCGGGTGTCTTAAGAACCTCTGTCTCTGTAGCAAGTCCTGGACATTTCACATGTAACTGATTTCCATTGAGTAAATGTAACACACTTCTTAACTGGAAGTAACGGCCAGACAAACAGCGCTGCAGATATTGGACATCCATCAGCAAGCCAGGTGTGTGCACTTGAGGTTGGGTGTGTGTGGGAAAACAGAACCATGAGGTGTATCTTGGGCAGGGCAGATTGTCATTTGAATGAATCGCTCCTTGTCCGCCTTCCATGGCGCAGGCAGAGACTTGCAGCTGTGGTTTTATTTTGCATTTCTTGGGTTGCTGGTGCAGACGTAACATAGCAACACATGGTGTCCTCCAGATGTTCATCAACTGGCTCGGGCCTGATGGGAGTTGGAATCCAACAACATCTGAAGCAGCACCAGGTTGTTGAAAGCTGGTACACCTGTCCCTTTTGGCGGGGGTGGCCAGTATGGTGCCTTCTAGATGTGACCTTTTGGCCAGGCTGCCTGCAGCTGATAGTAGCTGGAGTCCAAACAACAACTACAGGACATCAAGCTGCCCTGCATTGCTTTTATATATTTACTGCATTTATATCCTAACTTTTTCTCCAATGAGCTCAAGGTGGCATATGTTTCTTTTTCTCCCTCATCTAATCCCCACAAGAATCCTGTGAGGTAGGTTAGTCTGAGAGAGGCAGTGACTGGCCCCAAGTTCACCCAGCGAGCTTCATGGCTGAGTGAGTATTTGAACCCTGGTCTCTCTCAGGTTCTAGTACAGGGGTTGGCAAAGTTTACCTCTCCTGGGCCGGTTCATTCCAGTGGAGATCCCTCCGTGGGCCAGATTGTGTGCCCATGATTTTTGGCGTCTGCGCAGATGAGATTTTTGGTGCTGCGGAAACGAGTCCCCATGCTGTGCTGTTTTAGCGCAGCGGGCGGGGACTCACTGAATGGGCGGCTCGGTTTGAGGGTGGCTTGTGGGCCAGTTAAACGACCCCCGTGGGCCACTTGTGGCCCATGGGCCTTAAGTTGCCAACCCCTGTTCTAGTATAACACACTAACCATTGCACCAGTGACAGGCTGCAAGAGCCTATGCTCCCACCTCTCTAGAGTGCCATTCTTCTCTCCCTCAGTGGACTTGACCAGGTTAACAGGTATGTCAGTACCACCTTTTAAACCAAGGTTGCCACTAACCAGTTTCCCTCTCAACCAGGGTTTGCTAACTAGTTTCAAACCCTGGTTTTCAAATCCTTCTTCAAGGCAAACCCAGATTGACAGTAACCATTGTTAAGGTGAATACAAATGAACGGAGGACATCATGTTTGTGGAGAGCACATTATCCTGGAGCCTATCCCCCATTATACCTTTAACCACAATGAGGCTAAGACTATAATTATATCATGGTTTTGCCCATTCTCCTCCTCTGTCTCCTAATGGCATCAAAGCCCAAGGCGGCTAGAACGTGCTGCTCATATTTTTCTTATGATTGACCAGATGGTTCCCCTTCAGGAATCTTTGGCAATGCCTGCCTAATTCTGATAATTTCCTTCAAATCCTTCAAGTATACTTCAAGCTCCACTTGATTTGGAATTCTTCCTGGCTTGGACTTTCCCTTTGTGGGCTTGGTAAAGATACGTCATTGGCTTAGGGGGCTGTTCAGAAGCTTCCATTCAGGGGGCTCTGGGCACTTAGTGCTTCAGTGTCAAAGCATTTAATATAGGTTTGGATTGCAAATAGTGCCTGAGTAAAACTTAGCTAAATACCACCCACAATTTCTTCCCCTCCTTGGCAAAGAGCAGTATGAATGGTAGGAAGAGCATTGAGGTGTGTAAGGAACTGCACTGAACTGTCAACCTGTGCATCAGCATGCAAAACGATTAGCTGTCTGCAATAATTGGGAACAACCAAACAGACCCAGAATAGGCTGCCTTGCCTTTCAGAAGCTCTGCCCAGCCCAAGCACAAGAATCAGCCTATAGTCTGCTAAGTAACCAATTGTTTTACATGTCGCTTCTCTTCTGCTGTGGGGAGAGGACTCTACAGCCTTAAGGACTAAGGGCATTGCCCATATGTAAAAAAAATCTAAGGTTATCAAGATCTGATGCACTTCCAGGAGGTATGGAATGGTAGATAACAAGAAGTCCCTTCTTTGGGTCCCTTTGCCATATTGGGTATGGTGTGTAGGCTACTGGGGTGACTGTTATTTGTACTTGGTAAACTACTTAGAAACTTATTTTGGTGTTAATCAGTATATAAATTAATATAAAGTAAATGATTTTATAAAGTTGTCCCTTCGATGCGGTGAAGGTATCCTGTCCCCTTAGCAGAAAAACACCCCCAAAGCATAATATGTCCCCCTCCATGTTTAACGGTGGGGATTGTGTTCTTGGTGTCGTAGGCAGCATTCCTCCTCCTCCAAACACGGCGAGTTGAGTTGATGCCAAAGAGCTCGATTTTGGTCTCATTTGACCACAACACTTTCACCCACTTCTCCCCTGGGTCATTCAGATATGCATTGGCAAACTGCAGATGGGCCTGTACATGTGCTGTCTTGAGCAAGGGGACCTTGCGGGCTCTGCAAGATCTCAGTCCTTCACGGCGTAGTGTGTTACCAACTCTTTTCATGGTGACTATGGTCCCAGCTGCCCTGAGATCATGGACAAGTTCCCCCTGTGTAGTTGTGGGCTGCTTCATCACTGTTCTCCTGATCATTGCAACTCCACGAGATGAGATCTTGCATGGAGTCCCAGACCAAGGGAGGTTGACAGTTATTTTGTGTTTCTTCCGTTTGCGAATTATTGCACCAACTGTTGTCACCTTCTCACCAAGTTGCTTGGCAGTAGTCATGTAGCCCAGTCCAGCCTTGTGCAGGTCTACAATCTTGTCCCTGACATCCTTGGACAGCTTTTTGGTCTTGGTCATGGTGGCTAGTTTGGAATCTGCTGGATTGATTGCTTCTGTCGACAGGTATCTTTTGTACAGGTACTGTAACGAGCTGGGATTACAGGTAAGACCTCTCCCTTACAGCAGGTGCTTCTAATCTCAGCTCGTTACATACAGTGAAGATACCAGGTAACCTGACATCTGGCTGGTTGATAGGGGATCAAATACTTATTTCACTCATTATAATGCACACCAGTCTCTGACTTTTGTCTTCTGGGTTTCTGGGGTTTTCCTGTTGTTATTCTGTCTCTCACAGCTGCAATAAACCTACTATTAAAATTATGGACTGGTCATTTCTTTGTCAGAGGACAGACGGGCAAATTTAGCAGGGGATCAAATACTTTCCCCCCTCACTGTAGGTCTAGCCTCATCCTCATCCTCCCTCCCTGTTGAGTTCTAAAAGGTGTAACACTGAGACTGAGGATCAGGAAGCTGCCATGCAGGGTCACCCTTATAGAGGCAAGCAAAAAGGGGCTGGCTGTTGGTAGACTTATCCATAGAATTGTAGAGTTGGAAGGGACCCTGTGGATCATCTAGTCCTACCTTCTGCATTGCAGGAATATGCAGCTGTCCTATATAGGGATTAAACCTGTGACTTTGGTGGTATCAGCACCATGTTCTAACTAACTGAGCTATGCTGAAACACTTGAGGTCCATGGGGCAGCATCCCACCTGCCCAATTGCCCCCCTCTTCTCCTTGAATGACAAGGCATTCACCAACCCCAGTGACAAGCACCCTCCCTGCCCATCCCTGCATCAGCTTGCCTCACTGCAGCTTGAAAAGAAGCCCTGTTTCCTTTTTTCCAGGAAGACGTACGTCAGAAAGTCCATCTGAACACCTTCGGCTTCTTCAAAGATGGCTTCATGACGGTCAACGTACACAACCTCTCAGTAAAACCGGTCGGAGTGGGTGTCAAAGACTACCTGGTAGGCATCCCTTTTGTATTTTGCACCCCAGCTGAAGGAATACCCCCCATGCCTTCATGGAAGGGTTGAGCAGTCAAAGGGAGGGTCATGTATTGGGATCAAACACCACTTGGCCCTTTGCAAAGGTCTATCCTTTTGAGCCAGAAGTGGTGGTGGGAGCCTTTGACTTTCCAGATGCTGCTGGACTTCAATTCTCATCAGACTCGGGTAACTAACAACCAGGGGTGATGGGAGTTCCTAGAATTGTAGAGTTGGAAGGGACCCCAAGGGTTATCTAATCCAACCCCTGCAGTGCAGGAATCACAGCTACAGAATCCTTGGCAGATGGCCATCCAACCTTCGCTTAAACACCTCCAATGACAGTGCCACTTTCTGAGAGGGGCATTGTTGTTGTTTTTAATTTCATTTATGTACTGCTTTAGCAAAGTTTTTCTAATATGAGAAATGGCTGCTTTTATCAAGAAGTAAAAAGCTTGATTGCTTTTTTTTTTTTAAACACATACTTAAAATCTGTTGAAAACCTCAAATTTTAATGCTTCTTTCTTTGAAAAAAACATGTATGTGCTTTTTTCTTTTTTAGGTGGGATTCAGTTTAGACCGAACACGGAATGATGGATTCTCCACCTATCTGGTAAGGGCATAGGTTGAGCACATTCTAGCTCAGACAAGACCAATTAGAACGCCCAAATTTATCATTGTTTTCTGCTGAGCTCTTTTGGCTAATGAAGAAGAATGCTCTGCCTTGTACAAATTCATCTTGGACACAACATGGACTGAGGTGACAATGTATTGGTAGTACCTCCTTAGATTTATGTCTGCTTCTCTGAAAAGTGATGTTATTGCTACGTGAAAACCTCTGGTGGTGGACCTATCCAGCTGTAAAAGAGAGAGAGAGAGAGAGAGAGAGAGAGAAAGAGAGCCTTTTCGGACAGAAGTAGCAGAGAGAGAGAAGTATAGGATCCTAAACTATGTTTATTATCTATATCGATGGAGAAAATGCCAGGAGTGTTTGCAAACCTGTAATCACTTATTTGATGGTCGGAGCATGCCTAGTTACTTCACAATGATAGAAAATTGTCTTGTCAGTTATAGAGAACTGGTACCAAAAATTGCTGTAATTATGGCAGTTTCTGAGAAGCTTACTCATTATCTGTGCACCTTGAGAGGGCAAACAGAACTTGAAAACTATGCAGCAAGTGATGGAATTTTGTATTACATTTGTAGTCGATAACAAGACCTAGAAGGCCACAGGTTCCTGTACCCACATTAGATGCTTTGGGTGGCTCTTGTTCCTGCCTCGTGTTGCCCAAGATCTCTGGTTTGCTTGTTTTTTACAAGCAAGCAGTACATACGTTTTATTAAATAAATAAATGTAAATATAACAACTTTCTGGCTTTTATGCACTCTTAAATCTGTTTGGAGAAATTTGCAAGTAATTTGATTTTCGTCCTTTGTTTTGGTTTTATGTATTCCTTGTTTGAAGTCAGAATAAAGAATGAATAATAATAAAAATATTGACAAGCAAACTCCATAGGCCATTTACTTCCTTCCCTGATGCAAGAAGGTGGCAGGTGTTTGGAATCATCAGCTTTTGCTTACTCCTTCTTCTCCAGGATGAAGAAATGGAATATTGCATTTTGAATAAAACACCGGACCATGACATCTCAGTCACCCGTCTGATACTGGACTTCACAAAGAAGATGTAAGAGACGCTTCTCATATCTCTCCATTCTCTCACCCGCCACCCCCAATTTGGAGCCTGTAGCAGAAAGCATAGGCTCTGGGAAACAAAATTACAGCCCAGGGGCCTCATTCCCTCCTGGGGAACATTCCAAGGGCCCCATACCAGTCATGAGCGGGGCCAGAAATAAAGGTGGGCAGTGCAACGGCTATGACATCATATGCAAGGTCCATCTAGCTTGACATTGTCTACACTGATTGGCAGAAGTATTCCGGGTTTTCAAGCAGTAGGATGGACATTCCAGACACTACGTGGAGATGTTAGGGTTTGAACCTGGGGCCTTCTGCATACAAGGTAGGTGCTCTGCCCCTAGGTTACAGGCTTTTCTTATATAAATAAATAAAATAAACAATACAAAAAATGTGCACCCTACCCCAGAGACCATTATTTATCATAATTATCCAAGTTTCCAAAAATTTAACACTTCTTGAGATGGTTTGACCCCTTTCTGCTTTAACAATACAAATTCCACAAATGCCTTCCACATTTCCTCAAAATAATTTCTCTTCCATATTCCCCTTCTCTGATAGCACACATGAATTTATCATTAATCTCTACGTTCCACACTTTATGCCATTCTTCTATTTGAAATCTACCTTGCTTGACCAAACTGCGGGAGGCAGTGGAAGACAGGAGTGCCTGGCGTGCTCTGGTCCATGGGGTCACGAAGAGTCGGACACGACTAAACGACTAAACAACAACAAACCTTGCTTCAGGTGCAGTCTTTACTTCTACAGGGTGAGTCTTTTAAAAGAGGCTCTGTGGAACATGTGTACTCTGTATCTATGAGGCCTCTTTTAAAGGACTCACCCTGTATATAATAGGCTGGTTTCTACACACCCAAGCTTGGCCCTGAAACCCCAGAGAGCCAGTCATTGTAGACAGTTCTGCCCTAGATGGACCAGTGTTCTGACTTGGCATAAGGCAGCAGTTTCCAGGGTTCCAATGTCATCTCATATATTTTTTCTACCCATATAAATATTTTTGTGCTATTAAATCATTCCCTCTTTCTCCCCAGTGTGCAAGTCAAGCCCAAATCCAATATTCCCCAGTTGCCAGAAATTGTATTTGATGACGCTGATGGGAGTGTGAATGCGGGAAGCAAGCAGAATTCAGGTAAGTCTCTCCTACCCGCACTCCTATGGCTGGCCATTAATTTAATGAACAGCTTCAGTTGCATGCTCTATATCACAGTCCTGTGTTTTATCAGTAAAAGGTGCATGTCAGTAGAGTTCACTACCGCAATGCAACTACTGGTTCCAGTGACTTTAGAAATGGATTTGGCCTAGTTGTCTGTCAGTGGCAGTTAGCTGTCCTGGCTGTACAGAACCTGCAGGAGAAAATGCCAGAATTAGCCTTCTTGGATCTCTTTTACTGGGGGAAATCAAAACTTTTTGCTGACAGGGGTCCATCTTCGTTCAGCATCCTTTTCTCGCAGTGGCCAACCCCCTGCCTCTTGCTCTAAGCAGGACCCGAGCTGAGCACCACTTGCCCCAGCAGAAATGTTACGCCATGTACTGTAAGAGGAACACAGTGAAGAGTTTTCCTGCATTTTGTGCTCTGAGTAGAACCATAAGAAGAGCCTTCTGGGTCAGGCCAATGACCCATCTAGTCCAGCATCCTCTTCTCACACAGTGGCTAATCACTGGGAGACCTATATGGGAGAACCACAAGCAGGACTCAAGCAACTGGTACACAGGAACATTGCTGTCTCCAGTTACAGAAGCAGGGCATAGCCATCATAGCTGGTAGCATGAGAGCACTGAGCACATAGGACTGATAGTCTCAGTAGTGCAGACCACCATGTAAATGACCAAGGTCCCTGTTCTCACTCTTGTGTGTTTTATTCTTCTAGATCCTAAGCAACCACAATCCAAGCAAAACGTGACAGAACTCCAGGTAAGAGAGTGTTGCCTTATTTTGAATATTATTATTATTATTATTATATAGAATATGTAGCAACCAGGAACAGAATGGACATACACAAAACAGAAAAATGTAAGAACAAGTACACCATCCAAAGAATGTGAAGAGCATAAGGGAAAAGGGGAGAGCCAAATACTGAAATTATCATCTAAAAAGAGTCATAGGGTAATAGAACTGTGAAGCTGGAAGGGATCCCCCAAGAGTCATCTATTCCAACTCCCTGCAATGCAGGAATCACAGCTAAAGAATCCCTGACAGATGGAGCTCAACATCCGTTTGAAAACCCTCCAGTGAAGGAGAGTTCAGCACCTTTTGCGCAGCCAGTACAGGGATGAATCACAGAATCGTAGAGTTGAAGGAGAGTTTGAACCTAGCGACAAACACAGGTTTGCCATCCCTGGCATTGCACAGTTCTGGGGATGGTCAGAACTTTAATGCTGTTGCGCTGTGTAACATGCCCTTTATATGACTGCTGTTCACAAGGCAGGAGCAGCAGGGCCTTTTTTGTGTCTCCCCCCCCCATGTAATGCCCTCCCTAGCGAGGTGTGTCTGCCTCTCTGTCAATATTCAGTTTCAGGAGGGGTTTGAAAACAGCTCTGTTTACCCAAACTGAGGAACCCTGTTCCTGGCAACCTTGAGGATGGAAGAATCTTTTTAGCTGTAACTTCTTTTAGAAAGTTTTTAACTAACTCCCTTTTCAATGTTTTTGATTGTAATTGTTTTTAGAATGTTTTGATCTGCTTTTGCTTGTTTTTGATTTTAAATTGTGTGCCTCTTTACCACCCTGGGCTCCTTGGGGAGGAAGGGTGAAATACAAATTCAGTTAACAACAACTTTTTGCATATCTTAAGGCTGCTCAGATGCGGGTGGTTTTGCAGTTAGCATTTTCTTTGACGAATTCAACCTGTTCCTAGTGAATTGGCAATAGCTTGACTTTGTCTCAATTGCTTCTTGATCCAGTTGCCGCCAGAGAAGACACATCCCATCCAGAGCAAAGATGGTCACTATTCATTCCAGGTCAGTGCTCCTGAAACATAAGTCGGGTGTGTGAGTGTTTGCTTTGCTGGAAGTTGCCTAAAATACCACTTTCTCATCTTAAACTTGAACAGTCACCAAAATCTGCTTCAAAAGCCTTTCTTGGGGCCCAGAAATCCGAGATTTTGGAAATGCTTCATTTTTGCCGTTAATGACATTACAGTTCTTTGTATCTTTATTGTTATGAATTACATGGGGGTTGCTTGATTTTGGTGTCCACTCGTTGAAATGTTTTCATTTATTGTTTATGACTTTTTAAAAAATGGTTACATTTTTGTGATTGTTAAGGTGAATTATTCAACTTCTTCAGTGTGCTAAGCTGCCATTAGTATTGTTTTAACTGTGGAAAGGTGGTGTACAGATCAGTGATGGTGAGAAATGGACAGGAAGCCAGTGCCATTGGTGCATAATCAGTGTTCCATATTCCATCTCTCTGGATTCCACCAACACCTAGGCTGCCTCCTTTTTCTCTCTCCCCCACTGATTAAAGTTTCCAAACCATCTTCAGAGTCAGCCATAATTTCTTTTACAATAATCTCTTTCTTAAAAGCCTGGTCCTTCTGTTTCGATAGCATCACTTGGGAGAGCAGTCATAGATTTGTAACTCAGTTTTGTAAACTGCTTGGAAGCCTCTCTCTTGGTCAGAAGCAGTATAAAAATTAATAATGCTGAGCTGAAAGCAAGAAGTTGGTTTTAGAGTTGGGGCTATTTATTATTTATTATTTATTTGGGGCATTTGTACCCCATTCCTCAGCCAAAAAGCCTCCCAGTGTGGCTTACATACAATCAGTGCCCACAGGCTTACAATTGGAGGATGGATGGAGGATGGATGGATGGCGGCTAACAGATTGGGGTTGAATCCTGACAAGACAGAAGTACTGTTTCTGGGGGACAGGGGGTGGGCGGGTGTGGGGGATTCCCTGGTCCTGAATAGGGTAACTGTGCCCCTGAAGGACCAGGTGCACAGCCTGGGAGTCATTTTGGAATCACAGCTGTCCATGGAGGCACAGGTTAATTCTGTGTCCAGGGCACCTGTCTACCAGCTCCACCTGGTACGCAGGCTAAGACCCCACTTGCCCGCAGACTGTCTTGCCAGAGTGGTGCATGCTCTAGTTATCTCTCGCTTGGACTACTGCAACGCTCTCTACGTGGGGCTACCTTTGAAGGTGACCCGAAAACTGCAATTAATCCAGAATGCGGCAGCTAGACTGGTGACTGGGAGTGGCCGCCGGGACCACATAACACCGGTTCTGAGAGATCTGCATTGGCTCCCAGTACGTTTCCGAGCACAATTCAAAGTGTTTGTGCTGACCTTTAAAGCCCTAAACGGCCTCGGTCCTGTATACCTGAAGGAGCGTCTCCACCCCCATCGTTTAGCCTGGACACTGAGATCCAACGCCGAGGGCCTTCTGGCGGTTCCCTCATTGCGAGAAGTAAGGTTACAGGGAACCAGACAGAGGGCCTTTTCGGTAGTGGCGCCTGCCCTGTGGAACGCCCTCCCAGCAGATGTCAAGGCAATAAACAACTATTTTACTTTTAAAAGACAACTGAAGGCAGCCCTCTTTAGGAAAGTTTTTAATGTCTGATGCTGTACTGTTTTTAATATTCAGTTGGAAGCCGCCCAGAGTGGCTGGGGAAACCCAGCCAGATGGGCGGGGTATAAATAATAAATTATTATTATTATTATTATTTATTATCTGGAAACAAAACCATAACACAAAAGGGAAAAGGAATAGGGAGAGCAGAGGAAAAAATCAAACTCAGGCACCAATTCTTAAACAATTGTTTACCTTAGCTGGACTACTTTAAAGTGGAATGACTCGTGAACATTTGTGCAGATTGTTGACATTTCCTTTCTTCTTCTCAGTTCTCCTTCAACATCAGCTCAGAAAACCAAGAAGGCCTCTACAGTCTGTATTTTCACAAATGTGTCCCGAAGAATGAGCAGCTCCTCTTCACTCTTGATGTGAGTTGGACTTTAGTTTGCTTTTTTTGCTTTGAACCTAGACACCTCACCCACCCAGCTCCCTCCTGGTGTTCTGGACTGCTTTGGGAGAGTGTGAGAAGGACATCCAAAATATTTATTGGCTAGGAATGCCCCATGGTATCTCAGGTGCACCATCTAAATTGGCAGCAGTTGGTGTACATTGGAACTGGTGGGGTGGAAGGCAGGGAGCTACAGCCAGTGACGTGCCCAGCCAGAGTTGGTGGTTGGTGGAGCCAGAACCATACCAGGCGGAGCCAACTGATTCTGGTCTTATTCTCCTCCTCCTCCCCCCTCCTGAGTTCTACAAGGGGCAAAACAGACTAAGGAGGAGGAGAAAACGGACGACTAGGGTCACCCTCTGGACTGGTTCTAATCAAAAAGGCAGGCAGGTGGGGGCTGGCTGGGAGCAGACAGTGTTTGGTGGGGCAGTAGACAGTTCACCCAAATGGAGCAACCTCTGCTGATCTGAATTCTCCATGCTGAAACCTCCTTTTCAATTTTCCTAATTTCCTGGCTTGAACCTCTTTTTAAAACTGCTTTAATTGCTACACGGTTTTTTCCTTTTACATTTGTCTTGTTTTATTGCATGTTTTAATTGTTGGTGCTTATTTTGATTTTATTTTTTGAATAACTTTTTATTGGGTTTTATAAACAGGAATCATAGGAAAAAATAAATGATAGAAATAAACAGACCAAATCTTCTCATGTCATTTGTACATGACAAACATAGCATAGTAAATTCGCAGTAATATCTACAACACGTGGTTCATCACTAGTGGTCAACATCTAGGTTATTGATTCTTGAATTGGCTTAAAGAAAAATGATGGGAAAACAGGATTGAACAGAGATAACAATTAACATTGTATAGCGTGAATGTTTATTTTCATCAAATGTGCCAGTTTTTTAAATAATGAGTTTTATGCTTGCAAGTGGCTTAGATGCAGCTTTGGCAGTTGAGTAGTTTATACACATTCAATAAATGACGATGCTAATAGTGCAATGCTTTGTCTGCTTGCAGATTGAGATTATGGAGAAGAATCCAAGCAGCTACCTCTCAGCAGGAGAGATCCCTCTCCCTAAGCTGTACATCTCCATGGCCCTCTTCTTCTTCATCTTTGGAGCCGTGTGGATCCACACTCTTCGGAAACGCAGGTAAAGTGGGGATCCTCAGCAAAGCAGCCACTCATTCATAGAGAGCCAAATTTCTGCAATCAAATAGATAAATGCAAACATAAAAGCCATCAGTTTAAAAGAGTATACAGTGGTACCCCGGGTTACATATGCTTCAGGTTACAGACGCTTCAGGTTACAGACTTCGCTAACCCAGAAATAGTACCTCGGGTTAAGAACTTTGCTTCAGGATGAGAACAGAAATCGTGCTCCGGCAGCGTGGCAGCAGCAGGAGGCCCCATTAGCTAAAGTGGTGCTTCAGGTTAAGAACAGTTTCAGGTTAAGAGGAGACCTCCAGAACAAATTGAGTACCGTATTTTTCGTCCCATAGGACGCTCCGTCCCATAGGACGCACCTAGTTTTTTTGGGGGGAAATAAAGGAAAAAAATATTTTCCTTTATTTCTCCCCCAAAACCAGGTCGGGGAACAGCGGGATGGCGGCGCTGCGCCTCCCCGCTGTCCCCCGAGCTTGTGGGGCTGGCCGATGTCTGCCCAGCGGGAGGGGCGCTCTGCGTCAGGGCATGCCGGGCGGCAGGCTGCTATCCGCAGCGTGGGAGCCCTGCGGAAACGCCTGCTGGGCTCCCCACGCTGCGGATGTGTGCCCGGCGCGCAGGGCGCTCTGCTTCAGGGCGCGCCGGGCGGCAGGCTGCGGATGTCTGCCCGGCGGGAGGGGCGCTCTGCTTCAGGGCGCCCTGCACGCCGGGCGACAGGCTGCTATCCGCAGCGTGGGGACCCCTGCGGGAACTCCCACAGGGCTGCCTAGGCTGCGGATGTGTTCCTGAAGTGCCGGACGCTCTGCTTTCAGTGCGCCCGGCGCTCCGGGAAACAGGCTGCTATCCGCAGCCTAGACAGCCCTGCGGGAACTCCCGCAGGGCTGCCTAGGCTGCGGATGTCTTCCTGAAGCCTGGAGAGCGAGAGAGGTCGGTGCGCACCGACCCCACTCGCTCTCCAGGCTTCAGCAAAAGCCTGCATTCGCCCCAAAGGAAGCACCCAGATTTCCCCTTCATTTTTGGAGGGGGAAAGTGCATCCTATGGGGCGAAAAATACGGTACTTAACCCAAGGTACCACTGCATATACTCTTGACTCCACAAGGCATAGTTTTCAAGAGTTGGTGCTCAGATGTGAGATCTGTTTCATACATCTTAGATATATGTCAATCAAGTCAACGTATCCCTCTGAAATCCAGGGTCGGGGTTGATGTGTGCAAGACTTGGCCACCAGTCCCCTGTAAAGGCCTCCTGTTCTGTCTCGCCCCTAGCAAGCCTGCATTGCTGTGTAAGAGGCTAAGGCTAACACTGTGCACTAACCCTGATAGCTATGCTCTGCCTCCATGGTTGGAGGCAGTAATGCTTCAGAATAGCAATTGCTGGAATTCACAGATGTGCAGGATGCTGTTGTGCTCAGGCCCTGCTTGCAGGTTTTGCATGGGCTCCTGGGTGGCCGCTGTGAGAACAGGATGCTGGACTAGATGGGCTGCTAGCGTGTTCCAGCAGGGCTGTTTTGCACTCTTTTATTTATTATTATTATTTATTAAATTAAATTATTAAATTTTTATGCCACCCTATGCCCTCAGGTCTCAGGGCTTCTCAGCAAGCATCAGTTTCCACATGCCCACCTCCCCAAAGAGATCCTTCCTCACTCTTCCAGAAATTGGCTGTTTCCATGTGGGTAGCCGTACCAAGATAGGTTTTCAAACTGTCGTAAATAAGTGCCTTACTTTGGTCCTGAAAGAGAGAGAGAATCAAAACTGTCTTGCGTACATTATTATTTCCTGCTGCGCATACCTGTGACTATAAATATTCATTGCCAGGAAAGGGTAACAGTATTTTAATAAAAAGCAGTAGATGTCAGTGGGCTCTGTTGCTACAGTATTTTGATTCAAACTCGCCTTTTTTATTATAGATATTATTATTATTATTATTATTATTATTATTATTTGCTGTCAGGAGAGTGTCAGCAGGACTATTCTCTTCTGACTTTCCCTCTTGTCTTTGTTTCAGGGCTGATGTGTTCAAGATCCACTGGCTAATGGCTGCTCTTCCTTTCACCAAGTCACTCTCATTAGTCTTCCATGCAGTAAGTAACCACTGTTTTTTTAGTTGCAACTAGCAAAGAAAAAAAACTGTCTTAAATGAAACTGATGATTATGAGCTGTGCGTTCAAATGTAGAAAAGGCAGTGAGATCTTCAAATCATTGGGTGATATATTTATTTATTTAACAAGGTTCATATACTGCTTGATTATTGGCTGGCTGCACACTTTTGACATCACTCCTGCCCTTTCCCCCTCCAGATTGATTACCACTACATCTCCTCTCAAGGTTTTCCCATCGAAGGCTGGGCTGTCGTCTACTACATCACTCACCTGTAAGTATGTGGATCATGATGCTGTCCGCCATGTGGTTTGCCACCTCCACAGAGGCTGGCCAGGGGAGTGTGTGGGTCCTCTCCTCCTTAGATGATTGGTCATGGGGAGCACCGAGTTGGTCCTGCTTGATGTCTGTAACCATTGTTGTAGGTGCAAGAATAGTTATTTTGTCACCTCCATCTGTATTGGCTGTATTGGGAACGTTTGGCCCTCCAGATGTTCCTGAACTGTATCTCTCAACAGCCCCAGCAACAGTGTTGGCCAGGGATGATGGGAATTGTAGTCCAAAAATGTGTGGAGAGCCAAAGCCACCTGCTCTTTATACACTCATAATATTGTTTCTGATTACCTTATTATGTTTTATATTCTGCGGTTGCTGCCAATGCTAGTGTAACTCAGATTAGACCCATTAGAATTAAGGGGCCGAAGTTGGTCACATTCAATAATTTCAGTGCACCTACTCTGAGTAAGACCAGCACTGGACACAACCCCATTTCTGTAACCCTTAAGCAGATGTGGTTGGTGTTCTCCTGTGCTTCTGATATGTGCCTTTGTGTTCATTTTGCTAGTTAATTGATTAATTTTCCTAAATTGCTTTCTCCTGTTGAGATGGCTTGGAGTGTAAGCACAGAAATTAAATAACATGTTTTTGAAATCCCTAGTGACATTTACATAAAGATTGATCAGTTTCTCTGTAGAGCACTATCAACATCACATGGGCATGGTTTTTTCTTCTTGGTTTTCATGCATGTAGCTTCTGAAACAGTTGTTCAAGGAAGCATTTACTCCCCCTGCTGATGCCAATTTAACTTAATTTATTTTTTCACCAGGTTGAAGGGGGCTCTGCTCTTCATCACCATTGCTCTCATTGGCACAGGCTGGGCATTCATTAAGCACATCCTTTCTGACAAGGACAAGAAGATCTTCATGATTGTCATTCCACTCCAGGTGAGGTCTTGACCACCTCTGCAGGGGTGTGCTGTGTTGCACTTATGAACTAAGAACTTCTGAGTTCTTCGAACACCCTTTATGAGCTTATGAAGTCATCATTGACCCCCAACCCAGATTCTTAGGAATGTTACATGAAACAAAGGCAAGAATAATAAAATCTTAGAGTTGGATGGGACCCCAATGGTTGCCTAGTCCGACCCCCTGCAGTGCAGAAGTCTCAAATACATCATACATGACAGGTGGCCATCCAACCTCTGCTTAAAAACCTCCAAGGAAGGGAAGCCCACCACCTCCAGAGGGAGCCTGCCCCACTGTGTACCAGCTCTTTCTGTCAGAAAGTTCTTCCTGATGTTTAGTCAGAATCTCCTTACTTGTAAGTCGAATTCATTGGTACGGGTCCTACCCTCCAGAGCAGGAGAAAACAAGCTTGCTCCATCTTCCATGTGACCACCCTTTTGATATTTGAAGATGGCCATCATATCTCCTTTCAGTCTCCTCTTTTCCAGGCTAAACACACCCAAGTCCTTCAGCTGTTCTTCATAAGGCTTGGGTTTCCAGATGCTCAGGTGACTGATGTCTTGCTTACTGCCCTTCTAACCAGGTCCTGGCCAACGTAGCCTACATCATCATTGAGTCAACAGAAGAAGGCACAACGGAGTATGGTCTCTGGAAAGAGATCCTTTTCCTGGTCGACTTGCTCTGCTGCGGGGCCATCCTCTTCCCAGTTGTATGGTGAGTACCAGCGAGGGCAACTATTTGTGAGTGTGATGTGAAGTTCGTCTCTTTCTCCCTCTACCTTCCCTGTCCCTTTTTGCTTTTGTGCCATGGCCTTTAGATTGTAAGCCTGCAGGCAGGGACTGTCTTGTATGAATTGATGCCATGTTAAACCTCTCTGGGAATCTTTGGGGCTCAAGAAGAGCAGGGTACAAATGCTTTAAATAAGTAATACTTACTCCACCCACCATCTTGTTTTTACTCTGCCTTGATAACTGTCTCTAATTCCTTTGATACCAAATGGATTAAGCCTAATACGTTAAAAGATTCTTTCTCTGTGTGTGTTTTGTTTCAAAACTGCCTTTGTCTGTCTTGCATGCCTGGCTGGTCCAGGGAATGTAGCAGCAAGTTTTCCTAGCCAGCAGAGGATGCTCCTCACTTGCATAAAGCCCATTGCAGTCTGTGTGCCTCCTTCTGGTGGGTTGGTGGTGCCATTTTTGTCTTTTCTGAGCATCTATTGACTTGAACTCATAAGATGGTGTCTCCTTACCAATTCACCTTAATTCTCTCTTCTAGGTCAATAAGACATTTGCAGGAGGCTTCTGCAACAGATGGGAAGGGTAAGCTGTTCATTACCATTGAGCTCCTACTCCCCATAAAACTATTGTGGGGAGCGAAGCTACACAAGTCCAGTCCCTTCCTGCCCCCACCTCATGCTGGCATTTTGTTGATCCTTTTTAAGGGCATTCAGATTTTCTCACTGTGGAGTGAGACTTCAAACCTATTAATTGTATCCAGCAAAATCAGTAGTTCCCAGCTTTTCAAAATCTGATAGTCATTTACACCTTCAACACCCCCTTGCTGCTCCCTTGCCTCTTAGGTAATCCCACTGCCCAGGTGGCAGTGCAGCCCACTTTGAGAACCACCGAACTAGAGAGAAAGGGGACATGCCTCTCAAGACTGTGTTTGCCATCTTTAGCTTCTATCGTTACTTCTGTTATCTGTTTTATTTTTTAAGATTTATTAGGAAGCCTGTGTTAACTGATGCAACATTCAGACATATGAAGCTGCCTATGTCAAGACAGCCCCTTGGTCTCTTTAGCTCAGGATTACCTCTTCTGACCAGCAGCTGCTTTCTCAGGCTGAGAGAGCCCTTCCCATTCCTGTAACTAGAGCCATTATTATTATTCTCATCATTATTTTATTTATTAAACGGAGATACCAGGAACTCAGCGTGGGACCTGAAGACTCAGATGAAGCCTTCCTAGAGCAGATTACCAAACATTCAAAAAGGAGAGCTATAGTGGTTATGGAAGACTTCAACTTCCCTGATAACCTATTGGAACTCACTCTGCCAAGAACATAAGGTCCAACTAATTCCTCCATTGCCTTGCTGACAATTTAATTTCCCAGAAGGTGGAAGAAGTATCAACGGGATCATCTATCTTGGACCTGGACCTCATCAGCAGGGAGAAATTAATTGACAAAGTGGAAGTACTGGGAAACTTGGGAGGAAGTGATCATGACCTCCTGGGTTTCATGATTACAGAGGCAAGGGAAAACTCTGTGTAATTGGACATGCCCTCTGGACATTAAGAAGGCTGATTTCAAAAGCTTAAGGAGCTAGCTACTGAATGAGATCCCATGGTCAGAAATACTCAAAGAGAAGGGAGTCCAAGATGGATGGGAGTTTCTTAAAGGTGAAATAATGAAGGCACAAATGCAGACAATTCCAACAAGAAAAAAAAGTGGGAGGCATCTAAAGAAACCAGTGTGGCTGCATAAGGAGCTTCCAGATGAGCTGAGATTTAAGAAGGGCATGTGCAAGAAATGGAAGAACAGGGAATTCATGGAGGAGGAGTATACAGGAGTAGCCAGTAGTTGCAGGGAAAAGGTCAGATGGGCCAAAGCTCAGAATGAGCTCAGGCTTGCAAGAGAGCTTAAGAGTAATAAAAAGGTGTATTTGGCTATGTTTAAAGCAAGAAGAATAAGCAAATAGTAGGTCCTCTGCGTGGTGAAGATGGAGAAATGCAATTGGGTGACAGGCAGAACTGCTCCGTGCCTGCATTGCTTCTGTCTTCACCCAAAAGCAATAGTGTCCAACCTTATGATAACAGAAAAAGGAATGTAAAGATGGAGCTGCAGCCCAAGGTAGGAAAAGAGGTGTTAAGGGAACACTTGGCTCAAATGTGCAAGGCCTATACCCAAGGGTACTAAAGGAACTTGCAGATGTACTCTCAGAGCCTCTGTCTATAATATTTCAGAATTCTTGGAAACCAGGTGAAGACCTAGAGGACTAGAGGTGAGCAAATGTCCCAAACTTCAAAAAAAGGGAAGGAGACCCATGTAGCTACCTACCAGTGAGCTTGACATTGATACCAGGAAATGTCATAGAACATATAATTCAACAGTCAGTCTGTGAGCACTTAGAAAAAGATGTTGTGATTACTAAGACCCAGCATGGGTTTCTCAAAAATAAGCCATGCCGGATGAATCATATTTCTTTTGTTATAGAGTTACAAGCTTGGTGGATCAGGGGTATGCTGTGGGTGTAGTGTATCTTGATTTCAGTAAGGCTTTTGACAAAGTGCTCCATGATATTCTTGTTGACAAGCTGGTAAACTGTGGGCTGGGTGAGGTAACTGTTAGGTGGATTTGTAGCTGGTTGACTGACTGAATCCAAAGAGTGTTCACTAAGGATTCCTCATCGTCCTGGACAAAAGTGTCTTGGATGAAGGAATTGAGGGGATGCTCATCCAATTTGCAGATGACACCAAGCTGGGAGAGGTAGCTAATGCCGCAGAAGACAGCATTGGGATTCAAGATGACCTTAACAGATTGGAGAACTGAGCCCAGACTAACAAAACGAATTTCAATAGGGACAAATGAAAGGTTTTGCACTTTGGCAAGAAGAACCAGCTGCACCAAATATAAGATGGGGAACACCTGGCTTACTAGTAGTACATTTGAAAAGGATCTATTGTCCAGATCAAAGGAAGTAATAGTACCGTTCTATTCTGCCTTCATCGGACCACACCTGGAGTACTATGTACAGTTCTGGGCACCATAATTTAAGAAAGCTATTGACAAGCTGGAACGTGTGCAGAGAAGGCAAACAAAGATGATCAAGGGTGCGGAAACCAACCCTTATGAGGAATGATTAAGGGAGTTGGGTATGTTTAACATGGATAAGAGGTGACTAAGAAGAGATATGGTAGCCATCTCAAATATCCAAAGGGCTGTCACATGGAAGATGGAGCAAGTTTGTTTTCTCCTGCTCTGGAGGTTAGAACCAAACCAATGGCTTCAAGGTACAGGAAAGGAGATTTTTAAAACATTAGGATGAAATTTCTGGCGGTAACAGCTGTTGGAAATGGGAATGGCTCCCTCAGAAGATGGTAGACCCTCATTCCTTGGAGGTTTTTAAGCAGAGGTTGGGTGGTCATCTGTCTTGGGTGCTTTAGTTGAGATTCTTGCATTGCAGGGGTTTGGACTAGATGACCCTTGACATCCTTTCCAGCTCTAGGATTCTATAAATCTGTGATCTGTGACCTTCGTGCAAACGCACTGCTATCACTTTTACTCTGCGTTTCTCCCCCAACTCTCCACTTAAAAATATATATATATGCATATTTAATGTCTTGTGAGCCCATGCTAGAGCCCGTTATACTAGACTGCTTGATGCATTTTATTTAAGAAGTAAAATCCCTGTGCAGATTTTTAGGAAAGGCTCTGCGCAAAATTGATCACATAAACTTATATGTTCTTGGTTCAAGGGTGGATAGGTCTGCCGGTGAAATATTTGGCCAGTCAAATGTGCACCCACGGTCGATGCTGGCGAAAGAGGGAGAGAGAGATGGGCGTCTGCATCCAGAGTTGTCTGGTGGTTGATTTACGGTGTACCTTTCCTGCATTGAAGCTGGCAGCCTGGAGGGCTTTTGCTTTAAATTATTAAAAAATATTTATAGCCTGCCATTTTGTGCAAGTGCATCTCCCAAGGCGGCTTGCCAGGAGCCCAGCAGATAATGAAATAATAAAAGATGTAGTAAATGAATGTGGCGATAAGGTGGGGGGAGAGAGAGTGCAAATGGTACCAGCAGCAGCAAGCAAGAATTCCTAATGCAGCAGTTTGGAGGGCCTCAGTTATCCTTTGGAATCAAATCACGCTAGTAGGCTGGTGGAAGGAAGGCCACAAAGAGGAGCAGTCTAGGCTTCCCTTGGGGTGATTTCATAGGGAAAAGGTGCCCGCCCCAGGTATTCTGCTTCTCCCTTTTCATATTTCAGTGAAGGAAACGGAGGTCAAACTTAATAAATAAACATGAAGGTAAGTTGGTTGATTCTATTCCTACATCCATAGCTCGGTGGCATCTCCAGGCAGGGCCAGGGAAAGACCCCCTGCCTGAAAGCAGCTGCCAGTCAGTGAGCACACTACTGAGCTAGATGGGCTCCAATGTTCTGATTCTGTTTATGCAGCTTTCTATGTTCCTATTTATTCAGAACTGATGAGGACTAGAATCTTGCTTTGTTTTTAGCTGAAGGGCTGTTGTTCAGCAGAGCGCATCTGCCTTGCATTGAGAAGGTCCAAAGGTTCAGTCCCTGGCATCTCTGGGTAGGGCTGGAAGAGCAGCTGCCAGTCAGTGTAGACACCACTGAGCTAGATGAGCCCAGTGGTCTGACTTGGCAGCTTCCTTTGTTCATAACTGGCAGGCATATTCTGGAAAATGCCTGCTCTTGCCAGTTTAAGCTGAGGCTGCCCATCTTCAGTGACATCCGGACATTCTCCCTTCCTGTTGACTTCTTTCAGCGTTGTAAAAATAGTCTGCTAGGCACTGTGAGAGGTGTTTGCATGTAAGAGAACACCTACTCTGGTTTCTCAAACTCTGTGCTTCCCTTGCTCAGCGCCACTGGGCACATTGCAAGGGCAAGCAATAAAATTAGAGGAAAAGGCTGGGAAAGAGAAATGGAAGGAGCCCAGTAAAAGATGATGCTGGGGCGCAGGAGGGGAAAGTGTCTGTCAAGGTGACTTATTTGAATTGAAGGAAGCTCTCTGTGTGGCAGGTAAAGGGAGCACTTGCCTCTCCTCAAATAGGATATTGCAATAGTTGGAAAGGGTTCAGAAAAGGGCAACCAAAATAGTGGGTATGGGGTGACTTAACTGTAGGGAAAGCTTCCAGCATTTGGGACGTTACTTTAGATAAAAGGCAAGTACGAAACAACATGATAAAAGCTTATAAAATGATGTGCAGCATGGAGAAAGTGCTAGAACTTGTGGACACCTTATGAATCTGAATGTTGGAAGGTTCAGGACAGATGAAAGAAGGGGCTTATTCACACAGAAGCATAGTTAAACTGTGGAACTCCCTCCCTCAGTAGGCAGGGATGGCCACCAACATGGCTGGCCTTAGACGGGGATTTAACAGAGGGCTTTCAATGGCTACCAGCCACATGCTATGCTTTGCCTCAAATTTGGAGGCTACAATGCTTCTGAAAATCAGCCGCTGGGAAACGCAGAAGGAGGGGAGCTTGCTCTTGTGGTTGAATCCTATATGTGAGTTTCCCACAAGCATCTGTGAGACCAGAATGCTGGACTAGATTGGCCATCGGTCTTTTCCAGCAGGCTTTTCTTATATTCTTAAAACTCTTTTCTCCAGCCACGCTTGTCTGCGTGGTCTTCAATGCTCCAATAATCCCAAAGAGAGGGCACAGTGGGAGGAGCTAATTTCTTGTGTCATTTAGAAAAGCCTCTGTTCCTGCTTCCCTGGAGACAATCAGCACTTGCCATAGGTGAGCATGCAAGTGGGTCTTGGACAAGCCCACTAGGACCTGTTTAATCAGGACAATGCAAGCCGCCTGTCTGCAGGAGGTATTCAGATGCATACTTCTTGCAACACTGAAATTAGAACAAGTAGGAGCTACTTCTGCAGGGGAACATAAGTCATTAAAAAACCCCAACCTTTGAAATGGCAGGCAAGTTCTTTAGCTATCATCTCCTCACCTTGCGCTTTTTTAAGCATACCAAATGAATCACAATCCATTATGTTCCCAAAATAAGAGGCTAAAGGCAATTGGGCTGGTAGCTTTGAGTCATAAATGGACTCTGTGATTTTCTCTCACCCACCCCTCTGGCCTGCTGCTGTCTCTTTTCCTTTATGCTTAAAAGTTTGGAAGAAGAGGGTGGGTAGAGAGAGAAAACCCATCCCCCTTCAGTCAGTTCACCACTAATTGGGAGGCTAGGTGGGAATGGAAAAAAGAAACGACAGAAAAATGCAGAATAACCGCACGGTATACAGTTCCACTCTTCTCCCCATGACCCTCTATATTTAATCCAGCTCTCTCTCTCTTGCTTTAGAATAAATGTTTTTCTCCTAACATTTTAACTGAATAGCTAAAAACAATGAATAAAAATATAGTTTCTCGCTCCAGAATTTTTCTTCAGTGCCAGCACTGCAAATCAAAGCTCCTGATTACAACAATTTTTTACTTACTACCTATGCTTCACCCTAGCATCTCAGGAGTGGGTCACAATTTAAAATATAGCATTAAAAAAATGTTTAAAACAAATGACCATTTATTTATTTATTTGTCAATCCAGCATCTACATCTTGGAACTCCCTGCCTGTTGATTTCAGGCAGGTGCCTTGGAATCAAGCAGTGCATACATTTTATGAAATAAAACTATTTTATTCATTTTGTAAGACTTATACACTGCTGGATTATTTTGGGGGGAAAATGCAAACCCCCCCAAAGCATTTGTTGCTCCACCCACTTTTACTGTTGGCCCCACCCATCGTTGGCGTGTGACCCTCAGAAACTTAGACTGGAAGGGGATGTGACCCTTGGGCTGAAAAAAAAACCCCTCTGTCTCTGATGCAGAGAGGCTTCTTTTTTGTCTCTGAAAATAATGACAAATGAAAATCTCTCTCTCTTTGCGCAGTGCCGGGCAAGACCCGTGCGGTGTAAATTATCCCCTTTTCACAGTTGTTCTGCAGGAGAGTTCTTGACTGCTTTGTAAGCAAATTGCATGGCGGTTCCTGTTAGGCTGGTGCCCCCTTTGCCCTCGGCAAGGTCAGGGGAACAACAGGAGCCCACACTCCTCATGCCCTCAAGCCAAGTGTGACAGCTGCACCATCTGCCATTGATTGCTGTTCCTGGCTGTGCCGATAAGAAGAGCCATGTCCTGGGTGGGGAAGATCTCTCCCTAGCCTTTCCAGTCAACCAGCGCCGTGGCTCTGGGCTCCCTCGTCATAATGCTCATTGACTAACCTGCGAGGATGTGTCATGGGAACCATGTTGCTCCTTATGATTGAGTGTGGCTCTGTCCCATTATGACCACAGCACGACTTACCGGAATGAACCTTAGCTGCTGCTGGTGTGGGGTCTGTCGTCTTCATTTGACAGATCGAAGTGAACTCAGACAGCTTTAAGAGAGGATCAGGCAAATTCATGAAGGATAAAGCTGGGTACGGCTGCAAGCTGTGATGGATGTGTGCTACCTCCACTGCCGGAGGCACTTATGTCCTGCTTGTGAGCTCCCCATAATAGGCATCTGCTTGGCCCCTCTGAGAACAGGATGCTGGACTTGATGGGTCTGTGGCCTGATCCAGCAGTGCTCTCACATCCTACATCCAGAGGCCGTTAAGCCTCTGAATACCAGTTTCTGGGAATAAGAACGGGGGAGTGCTGGCATGTTCAGGTTCAGCTTGTGGGCTTCCCTAAGTGCCTGTGGAAAACGCTGAAGCAGAACCTGAGCACAGGAGCCCTCTATCCTCCTGCGGTTTCCAGCAGCTGATATTCAGAAGTGTTACGGCAGAGCATAGCTATCATGGCTAGTAGCTGTTGATAAAATTCTCCATGAATTTGCCCAGTGCTCTTCTAAAGCCTTCCTAGTTGTTGGCCCTCACTGCCTCCTGTGGGAGTGAGTTCCATAGGTCAACTATGCACCGCATGAGGGAACCCTTTCCTTTTATCTGTCCTGGACCTTCTAACATTCACTCTCTTAGGATGTCTGTGACTCCCATTGTTAACGAGAGGAAGGGGGAGAGGGAGAGAGAAAGAGGGGGATGGGACATTTCTTTGTCCAGTGTCTCTATGGCACGCATTGTTTTATAGACTATCAAATTGTCTCTTGCTTGCCTTTTCTCTAAAGTAAAAAGTCTCAAACACTGCAGTGTTTCCTCATAAGAGAGTTGCTCCATCCTTATGACCATTTTGGTTTGTCCCCAGTGAACATAAAATGCAGGACCAGTCAGTGTCCTCATTCGAGGGACTTTGTTCTGCGTGGCAAAGAGAGTCTGTCCTCCTCAAAGCAATGCAGGTTCTCAACCTTCACTTTCTCCTTCAGGTTGCAGCAGAGGCTTCTCTGTTTCCACTCTCCCCCTCCTTAAGTTGATGGCACTGCAGCTAGCCTTGTTTTCCATCACCGCACTCTGTGGACTCCTCTCTCACATGTCCCGCCCCCCAACACCTTGTCCTTGAAACCAGCATGGCTTTGGGTCTCTGGCAAGGCGGAAGCCAGCAAATGCTAACTTGGCAGGTGGAAAGAGAATTTTGGCTTATTTATAGCCGAGGCTTTCAACCTCCCTGCATCTTGGCCTTCTGAATAGGTTCTGGCCTGAGAGATTGCGTGTGTGTGTGTGTGTGTGCACGCGTGTGCATGTGGTCCAGTGCAGAGGTAGTGAATCTTCTTAAGCCTGATAGCCACCCATGTGCAGAGGAGGGTGACCCAGATGATAAGGGGCCTGGAAATCAAGTCTTATCAGGAGTAGTTGGGTATGTTTATCCTGGAGAAGACTGAATTGCAGGTGTGTTGTATCATTTTTTAAAATGATAAAGTGCAGGGTTTTCCACAGGGTCAATATGAGATTGTGCAGGAGGTGAATAAAGATCTAGAGGTCAAAAGGGCCATGGGTAGAAAAGAAGTTTACAAGGTATGGTGTGAAAAAATTAATTAGGGACCATGAGCCTAAGAAGTCAAGGGCCTGGACATGCACAGAGTATTATGGTACCCTATTATTTTCACTTGTTCTACTTCCTTATATTTTGCATTTTCTAATTCTAGTGGTGATTTATGATTGATAAATGACTTGATTGATATTTCTTGACTTCATTTCACTTGCATTCCTCAGAATGTGGGTTGTGGATAGGGGTCAATAAAAACTTTTGTGTGTTCATGAAGAGCTCATGGAACTCAGGGGTTTGTGTTTTGAGTCTCTTGGAGACCTTTGGGTTAAACAACAATAATTGCATAAATGCTACATTTTTCTCCCTTTGCAGACAAGCTTTTGCCACCTTGCCCCTCCCGTCTTCAACCATCCATACTTTCTCCTTTTTCCACAGCTGCTATTAACCTAGCAAAGCTGAAGCTGTTCCGGCACTACTACGTCATGGTAAGGAGTTTGACACGAGCAGCTGTGAGCGGGGAGTCCTCGTTGCTGGTCCCACACTTTGGCACCGTCTGACTAACCCTCCTCCACTGCTTCTGAACTGCTCTTGCTTGCTCATTGGGGCCAGGAGTAAGCAGCTGCATAGCCTCTTTCAATAGAAGCCATGTTTTGGAGATCTCACAAGTAACCTCCTGTTGAGATTTTAGGCACTCTTCCCTCTCTGCAGAGGCAGGGAACCTATTAGGATGGCCCACCCTCGGAGGCTGATGGATCCAATGGATTTTCAGATGGCCCTAGAGGATTTTCTGGCTGATATGACTGGCCCTCCCATCAAAGCCCCAACTGACCTCTAGAACATCTGAATGTCTCGGGGCATTGACACGATTGCCCCTGAGCACCCTCTCCCACTATGTGGAGCCCACTGGGCTCCCTGGTATATCCCGGAGCATAGGGCGAGGAAACAAGCTAGAAGACGGCTGAAACGCAAGTGTAGGAAAACTAGTTCAATGCAGTTGAACTCTGGTAAGGACTATCTAGTGGCAGTTAAGGCAGCAAAGAAGGCATACTCTGCTGCTGCAATTGCATCCTCATTGTACTTTCTGGCAGAGCTTTTCTGGGTGGTGCTGGGGCCTCTTACTGTCTCGCCCGAAGAAGGTTGCAGAACTGGTGGTAGCTCGCTGTAACTTATTAGCAAAGTATTTGTTGATAAAATAGCTTGCCTCTACTGGGATCTTGACTCTGAAGATGAATCTGAAGGAGTGTCCAGAGCACTGTCTAGTCCTGTTGTGTTGGATGAGTTTCAATTAGTAAGGCTGAAGGATGTGGACAAGATGCTTGAATCAGTCAGGTTGACCACTTGCATTCTTGTCCCTGCTAGATAAAAACTAGCAGGAAGGGGACAGTTGGCTGGGCCAGGCAGGTGTCTCCTTGCTAGAGGGGTTAATCCCTGTCTGCTTGAAGGAGGCAGTGGTAAAACACTCCTCAACAAACCCTCCCTGGATTTGGAAAATCTTGAGTAACTACTGGCCACCTGCCAATCTCCCCTTCTTGGGTAAGGTTTTTGAGCGAATGGTGGTAGACCAGATCCAGGCAGTCTTGGAGGAAACTGATATTTTAGATCAACTTCAATCAGGGTTTAGGCCCAGTTTTGGCCCAGAAACCGCTTTGGTTGTCCTGTAGAATGACCTCTGTCAGGAGAGAAACAGGGGAAATGTGTCAGTGTTAATTCTCTTCAACCTCTCAGCAGTTTTTGATACCATCGACCATGGGATCCTTGAGGAGCAGCTGTCTGAGTTAGGGATGGGTGGCACCGCTTTTCAGTGGTTCTGGTCCTACTTGGATGGCAATTTCCTGAGCGTGATGCTTGAGGAATGCTGTTTAGCTCCATGGAGCCTTCATTATGGGGCTCCATATCCCTCATGCTGTTTAACATCTACATGAAACCACTGAGTGGAGTCATCTGGAGCTTTGGAATGTGTTATCAGCATTATGGTGATGACACATAGCTCTTCTTCTTTACACCAGCAAGTGAGGCAGCGGATGTACTGGATCATTGTCTTGCCGCAATAATGGGATAGATGAGAGCCACTAAACTGAAGCTCAATCCAGATAAGACTGAGGCACTATTAGTGGGTAGTTCCCTAGACCAGATGGATGGGAGGTTGCCTGCTCTTGATGGGGTTACACTCCCTCTGAAGGAGTGGTTACGTAGCTTGGGGGTACTCCAGGATCCATTGCTGTTGCTTGAGGCTCAGGTGCTGTTGGTGGCATAGAGTGCCTTCCATTAGTTTTGGCTGGGGGCCTAGCTGCACTTCTATCTGGACAGGAGTAGCCTAACTTCTGTCGCCTATGTCCTGGTAACCTCTCGGTTAGATTATGGCAACGTGTTGTGTGTATGGCTGCCTCTGAAGACGGTTTGGAAACGTCAGCTAGTGCAGAATTCAGTTGCCAGGTTGCTCACTGGGGCAAGATGGTTTAAGCATATTACACCAATTCTGACACAACTGCACTGGCTGCGAATTAGTTTCCAAGCCCAATTCAAAGTGTTCGTTTTGACCTATAAAGCTTAAATGGCTTAGCATCGCAATACCTCAAGGGCTGCCTCTCCCCATATAAACCAACCATCATCTGAGGCCCTTCTTTCTGTGCCTCCTCCATGAGAGGTCCAGAGGCTAGAAACATAAGAACGGGCCTTTTCTGTGGTGGCTTCCTCTTTGTGGAAGTCTTTCCCTAGAGAAGCTTGCCTGGTGCCTTCCTTATATACTGTATTTTTCCATGTATAAGACAATGTTTGTTGCTAAATTTGTTTAGTCAGAAATAGGGGTTTGTCTTATACATGGATTATGAATACACAGGGTTGTTGTTGTTTTGTTTTTTTAAAAAAACACTACTTGCCTTCCTGCGGCTGCCATGAAGAAGCTGCCGGAACTGCCAATGGTATCTTTGGGCACCAGGCAAAAATGTTTCTCTTTAACTAGTCCTTTTGCTGATTAACATTCCATGTCCTTTTAAATCTGTTTGAGGAAGGGGGATTATTGGTTTGTTGTATTTTTGTTTTATTACTTGTTTTCGTTTTATATTTTAATGTTGTGAACTGCCCTGTGGCATTCAGATGAAGGGCAGTATATACAAATTTAATAAATAATAATGCTTATTCTTCACTGACCTGGTGGCTTCAGATGTTGTTGGGCCACTGCTCCCATCATCCCTGATCATTGGGTGTGCTGGCTGGGGAGCGATTGGAGTTGGGAGTCCATCCACATTGCAGGGGATTGCATTAAATGACCCTTTGGGTCCCTTCCAGCGCTACACTTCTATGATTCTGTGAACATCTGCAAGGGACCAAGGGGAACTGCTTTGTAAAGAGCCCCGGTTCCATATTGTCTGTGCTGATAGGCAGCAGATCTCCAGGGTCTCAGGCAGGGAACCTCTCCCACTCCTACCTGGAAATGCCCATGTGGATTGGACCTGGGACCTTCTATGTGCAAATCATGTGCTGTTAGAATTTCCAGTGCGCAGAGCATGGCTTGTGTCTCTTGCCAGAAGGTAGACTTCAGTTGCTGCAGTCACACACACTGAGATGCTTGTACAGTAAGAAAACAGCAAAGTTGTTTATTATAGGTAGCTTGTCACTTGGTTGGAAATGGTTTCAAGTTCTAAGCTAACTCACTAATCTAGAGAAGACAAAGACAGCCATGCTGCATCCTTTGTTCTCACAGAATAGATCAAAGATTACCTTCTGAGGAAATTGCAAACAGGATGCAGCCTAGGATGTATCAGTCTAACATTAAAGAGACAGGAAGGTTAGCACCATAGGTCAAAGGTACAGGGACAGTCTGGGAATCTGGGAGTCTGTTGCTCTGTTTAACCCTGTGCAAAACCCTCTCAGCAAGCTCAGTGGCACCCAAACTTTCGTTGTGTGTGCTCTGCTACCGAGCTGCCAGTGAAGGACAGACTACCCTGAGAGACCTGGAGAATGGACTATTAGATTGGTCCTACCCTGGTAAGTGCCTGGATGGGAAGTCTGCTTGGATGCCGCCACGCCTGCCCCTCCACAGACCATAAGCCACATTGAGTTTTAGTTATAACTGTTGCCAAATGCCTTGCCTCTCTGGCAGGAGAAGAAGAATATGCTTGTTGGGCAGTCACTGCTTGAGGTAATTATCTTCCCTAGAAGGCACCAGCCCATTGAAACGCAAATGGGATCCATCAAAATTAGTAACAGGTTGATTCGCTGTGACTCAAATGATCAGATGGAAATCAAGTGCTGCCATTCCTCCAATTCCACCTTTGTGAGAGGCATTCCCAACCGACTTACAGATGCATGGAAAGCCCATCCATTGCACACTGAAATCACATGGCTTCCCCCTAAAGAATCCTGAGAGCTGTAGTTTGTTAAGGGAATTCTGAATTTGAGCTATGTGATGGGGAAACTACCATTCCCAGTATTCTTTGCGGGAAAGCCATTTGTTTATTTGTGTATTGCATTTATATCCCACCCTTATTTCCAAGGAGCTCAGGGTAGTAGTATATGTGGTTCTCCCCCTCCTCGTTTTATCCCCACAACAGCCCTGTGAAGTAGGTTATAGGCTGGGAAGCAAGTTCATATGCAGTGAGCTTCATGAATCTGAGTGTGGATTTGATTCCGGGTCTCCCAGGTCCTAGCCCAAGACTCTGATCATTGCACCACACTGATTTTCATGCGCTTTAAATGTGTGTTGGGTGTGCTTTCTATGTACGCTGTGGCTCTGCCCCAAATCCCTGGCGAGATTTTGATTTATTGGTGGGGCGTGAGTCTCTCTAGGGCTGTGTCTCCGTCGTTCTGACTGCTAACTCTGATCCTCTCCCTCTGCTCACAGATCGTGTGCTACATTTACTTCACGCGGATCATTGCTATTCTCATCAAGATCGCCGTTCCATTCCAGTGGAAGTGGCTGTACCAGGTACCCCACCCCCCACTCCAGCATGCTTCTTTCAATGCTGTAACATAACATAAATCTATCATGGAAACCTATTCTTAAGCTTTGGCACTGGTAGCCAATATTTCAAGCCTGATGCTCCCCCCCTTCCTGAAATGTTGGTTCCCCCACCCACTCTTTCCCCAGTTTTTTTTCCTTCCTGCAGGTTATTATACGCTAGGACTGAAAAGTAATTGCTTTATTGATCTGAGAACACACACATTCAAGAAATGCCCTTCAGACATTAATTGAGAACACAGAAAGGGTCAGGGAGAGATTATGGGGAAGGGGGGTGGGAACATAGCAAGAAAAGCAAGCCCTAAATTGGAAAATAAATAAATGAAAACTACCCATAAACCATTAGAGATAATAATAAAAATACTTAAGGGTAACAGCCTCATACCTGGAAAGTCAAAGAAACAAAAAAGAGAATCATTGTAGTTTTGAAATTGGTTTGGTCCATCATCTCGATTAAAAATGGTGTCTAATTTTATCAGGAAATAGATGAAAACCTGCTCGTTGGTCTTGGGAACCATCATGTAAAATTTGCTTACAGTATCTTAAGAGGTGTCCAAATGCATAGCAAACAGGCAGGCAACTTTCCAAAACATATAGTAGATATACAAATCACATTACGATTGGAGCATAAATTTTTAATGGACAGCATCTGATAAAGCTGTGTCAGAGCATCCAATTCACTGCTGATGATGGCAACACTTGCAACATGTACAAAGGCATGATGGAAAGCCTTTGAACCAACAGTCAGGAAAAACTGCACCTTTGAAAACCTTGCCAGGAGAGATCATCACAGACCACAGCAAGCAGATGAAGCGATGGGCAGAGCACTGTCTAGAACTGTACTGGTGGGAAAATGTGGCCGCTCACACAGCAGTCGACGGCATCCAGACCCTGCCTCTCTTGGAAGAGCTGGATGTCTCTCCCTCCCTTGTCGAGCTGAAGAGACCATCAACTCTCAGGCATGTGGTAAAGCCCCAGGACAGGAAGGATTCCCAACAGAAGTGCTGAAAGCCAGCCTCAATTCCTCCCTCTTGACACCTCCACGGCCTCGTATTCCAATGTTGGGGGCAAGGATCCTGCCACAAATCATACGCAACTCCAGCATTGTGACCCTTTACAAAAACTAAAGTGACCGCTGTGACTGCAACAACTACCGTGGGAGCTCCTTGCTTTGTCCTGTGGGAAAAGCCTTGTAGTTCTCAACAGATTGCAGTCACTCACTGACAGGGTCTGTCCTGGGTCATTATGCAGCTTTAGAGCTCAGAGGTCAGCAGCTGACACGATTTTCTCACTGTGTCAGCTGCAGGAGAAAAGAGCAGAGAGGCCTGTTGTGCATTGCCTTCATAGACCTGATGAAGGCCTTTGACCTCATCAGCCAAAAAGGACTCTTCACACTGTTCTACAAGATAGAATGCCCACCTTAGCTCCACAAGATGATTGTGTCCTCCTACAAGAACATGTGTGGCACTGTCCAGTATGATGGCTTATTCTTGGACATCTTACCTATAGCTTTATGGACGTGAGTTTTGGTAAGCTTACGACCGCCAGGAGCAATGCCTTGATGCCCCATTGCCTTCCACAAATGCTGCATCAGGAAGATTTTGGGCATCACATGGCAGGACAGTCTCAAACAAAGATGTTCTCTCCCAAGCCCACATTCCCAGCATACTCACACCCCTTTCTCAGTGACATCTATGCTGGCTTGGTCCTGCCCACAGAATGGAAGATGGCAGGATCCCCAAGGACATGTTCTATTCAGGACAGACCCACCGAAACTAACCAGCTTTTCAGACCTGTGCTAGGCTAGACGGAATAATGGTTTCACTTGGAATAAAGTTGCTTCACATGTAAGCACAGGTGATCGATCGTAGCTTCAGCAGTGGCTGAGTCTAATGAACTAAGAGCCCCATTTGGGTGGGAGTCCTGTTGCCCAGCAATCTTTTCCAAGTGCCCCTCTCTTCTTTGTTGCAGCTGCTGGATGAAATGGCCACCTTGGTATTCTTCGTCCTCACCGGGTACAAGTTCCGGCCTGCCTCTGACAACCCCTACTTGCAGCTCTCTCAGGACGATGATGATGTCTTGGACATGGAAGCTGTGTAAGGAGCCTGTTTCCTTGTAATAATTTATATTAAGATGTTAAGCATTACTATATACAGTACAGTTTTTTTAAAGGGGGGAAACAGATAAATTAGGACTCTGCAATTTGTCTCTTGATTTTGGTGCATTCTGATTATAACAGATATTATGTGACTCTTGTTGCTGTTGGGTGCGTCTGGAAGAATCAATGTTAGACATTGATTCAATCTCAACATTTCTGTTTAATACAGTCCCAACTCTCTGTCTTTCCAAAATTCAAACCCTTCAGTACGAAATGTTCTCTGGAGCAGTGGCAGAAATGGCAGGAAAGGGGGCATCCCTTAATGTCACTTATGATCCCTCCCTCCCCACCACTTCAACAATTAATATATAATTTGAAACCCAAAGGGTACTTTTGTAGTGCAGGACTTCTACTAGAAAGGAAGACCAATAAATTGGAGCAGTTACAATTGCTATATTATGATCCAAATCTTAGCTGACTCCATCTGGGACAAACTTTACATGATCCCTCATTCAAACCCAGGTGATTTTGAATGTTGGTCCACCTGGGAAAGGATTTGCAGCAGCAATGTGTGAAGCATTGCTACAATCTACTTTAGGCAATCCAAAGAGTATTTTGCGTATTGGGATTCCTGCCCAGCTCCTGTGGAGTCAGCCTGGCCTACATAGAGCAGCAAGGTGGGGAATTGGGTGAGAGATGTGTTGAATCAGAAGCTCCTAACAAGGTGGGTGGTCCCATGATCTGCTCTATCCTGTTAGGTCAGGAGTGGGGAACTTGTGGCGCTCCAGTTGTGGTTACATCTTCATCTCCTATCATCCCCAGTCAGTGGGGCCTATGTCAAGGGATGATAGGAGCTAGGAACAAGACCTAGGTCACAGGTTCTCATATCCACGTTAGATGTTTTGGGTGGCTCTTGTTCTTGACTCATGTTGCCCAAGATACATGTTTCCAGATCCATTATCTAGCTATCTTTTAGTGTGGCAGACCCCACACTTTGGAACTCCCTGCCTATTGACATCTGGCAGCTGCCTTCACTTTAGTCTTTTTGGCATCTCTAAAAGCAAGCCTGTCCTGACATGTAGAACGTTGACATGTGTTTTAATCTGCTTTATAGCTTCACGTTGGTTTCATTTTTCTTTAAATGTTTTAAATAGTTGTTTTTGTTTGCTTATCGTTTAATTGCTTTATACCTTTCTTAAAACACTTCAGTGCTTTATTACAATCAGGTGGTTATATAAATCATATGAGATATCTAAAATAAATTGGCAGGCCTGCGGGTGGGGCGGGGGGGGGCTGAATTTGATGGATGGGTGGAGCCACCGACCTGTCAAATCACCTGGCATCTCAATGGCTCTCTTTAGCATTTCAAAGGGACAAGCCTACAGTGTGAAAACAAAATTTGCATTCTTTGCTCTGCTTGCTTTTGGCTCTGGCCTTTTCCACCACTTGCATGTGGCCCTCCGAAAGTTGCCTTGAAGCAAATGTGGCTGTTGGGTTGAAAAAGGTGGGAGGTGGTTTCCATGCTCCAGTTTCAGCCTTCCACTGACTCTTGTCCAGTGGCTAAAGTCTTACACCTTTACTCCCCAAAAGGATCTTGGGATGATTGTCCTGTGAAATGCTCTTGAGCTCTGCTCTGTGTCCCTGTCAGCAGGATCAAAGATCTGTTTGCTGGCTTTATGTCCCCTGACGAGAATGATTCTTCTAGACATCTGAATGCCGCAGATGTCTTGCAAAAGCTTTAAATCTAAACTCCCAGGACTGCTGACCTGTTAGAATTTTTCTTCCAAGGCTGCTGAGCCAGCTGCAAATAGAGTGTTAAAGCTTGGACATTTGTTGCTTGTGAAGGTGGTGGAAGCAAGGACCGAAATCCTCCAATGCAGCCCTCCCTGGTCATTGCACTAAAGATCATTGACATGTTCATCATCAGTATTATTATTAATTTATTGCTCAACATTCACCCTAAGGTTTCCAGGGAGTGTCTGTGTGGCAGGGGGTACAACACAACATTAGAAACAATTGAAAGCAACTTATAACCACAAATATAAGGCGGGTCATGAAACGTACACTTCAAGTGTCAAGAGGCCAGCGTCTTCAGCACCCTTTGGAAGCTATGCAGTGAAGATGCCAGACACACCTCTGTGGGGACAGAGTTCTACCACTCAGGTGCCGCCACAGAGAAGGCACTCTCCTTCATTTACCATATTTTTCGCCCTATAGGATGCACTTTTTCCCCTCCAAAAATGAAGGGGAAATGTGTGTGCGTCCTGTGGGGCGAATACAGGCTTTCGCTGAAGCCTGGAGAGTGAGAGGCTCTCGCTCTCCAGGCTTCAGGAAGCTCTGCGCAACCCTCCGGAGCCCAGCGCGAAGCCACGCCGGCCTCCGGAGCCTGCGCAGAGCTGCCTCTGCTCCCGGGCTCCGTGCAGCTCTGCGCAACCCTCCGGAGGCCGGCGCGGCTTGGCGCCGGGCTCCGGAGGGTCGCGCAGAGCTGCCTGCATTCCGAAGCCTCGGGCGCGCTGAAGAGCGTGCCCGGGCTTCGCACAGCTGTCCGCAAGCCTAGGGAGACCGGCGCAACTCCCTAGGCTTGCGGATAGCAGGCTGTTCTGGGGGCTGGGGTCGGGGGAAGCTTGGGCTTCCCCCGCGCCAGCCCCGTGCCGCGGGGGGGGGAATATTTTTTTTTCTTTATTTCCCCCCCCCCAAAAAAAAACTAGGTGCGTCCTATAGGGCGGTGCGTCCTATGGGGCGAAAAATACGGTAATCCCTACAACAATCCTGTGAGGTTTGTTGTGAGTTGGGATTTGAAACCTCATCTCCCAGGTCTTAGACCAACACTCTAACCAATGCAGCACACTGACTGGTTGCTGTCAAAATATTGGGGTCAAATACATTCCAGTTATTCATTCATTTATTTTTCAGGATTGTGTAATTCCATGTGGATGCAGTGCGGGGGAGGCACAGAGAGTTGCAGCCAACAAAGTTTTACTCAGAGTAGACCTATTAAAATCAATGTACCTCAGTTAGTCATGGTCATTTGTTTCAGTGGTTCTACTCATGAGAAGGGGTGACATTGGATGCAACCCAGAATTCATTCAGGTGGTCTTTGCCCCTAAAGACCTGGCGAACTCTTGCCTGATCTTCTGTTTGCTTAAAGGAGCAGTGCCTTGACAGGAGTGGCTTTCAAAACAAATCCAAAGCTGGATGATGATGATGATGTGTTCTTTGGGATTGCAACCCAGAGGTGTCACTGTGTGTAGCCTGTTGCAACGGAAACCACAGAAGTTGTCTTGTGGAGTAATAGACTAATCCACAAGTACTGGGTGTGTGTGTGGTTCTTGCAGAAGCTAACTGCGGTATGTGTAATTTTTGCAGAGAACCAAGAACATACAAATGAGAGTCAGCATGGTGTAGTGGTTAGAGTGGGACCTTAGGGTGAAGAGCCAATAGTTAATAATAAAAATAGTGTAGTAAGCCCGCAACCTATGTGGGGGTTACGTTTCAGAGATGGCTGCTAAAGCCAAAATTGTGTATTGTCAAAACAGATTGGTTTCAATGGCAGGTGAGATTTCCCAGGTCTTTTTTGCTGGATACCTGCCCCGTTTCCACCCCCCTTCTAATATATAATTTACCAAGTGTATAATGCTGAATGTACAGACTTAAACGCACATAAATTTCAGGCTTATTGTAATAATAATATTTATTTTAATGATATATTGTTTGTTTCTTAAACTGTACGCAGGTTTGAGATTTTTTTTTTGGGGGGGGGATGTTTTTAAATAAGTAAAGTGCAGCTTTGTTGAGTCTAATCCCAGCTGGGAGAAGGGGGTGGGGAATAGGGTGCAGGGAATGCTTTTGCTTGTGGCACATGTGCCCGCAAGTCTTTTGATGGCAACCCACAGATTGCCACATCTTTTTGATGTGCACTCTTTTCTTTTTTAACTAAATTACATCTCTTTCACCCAGGAATGGGTTGTCGGGGGGGGCGGGGAGAACCTTCCCGCCATGCGGCCCTGGTTGGGGCAAGAACAGCACTGAAGTGTTGCCTTATCTCTAAGCGATTTTTTCTGCTGTCCTCCTCCCCACAGGGTGACAACTTCGGGGGTCATGGAAGGTATGAAGAAAGTCAAGAAGGTGGTCAATGGCTCGTCGTCGGAGCCCCAAGGCGAGAGGGAGAGTGCTGCATGATGGAGTCAATACTTTCACCACCACCTCCGTTTCTTCTTCTCTCCCTTCTGCGCCCCCCACCCCACCCCCAAAATTAGGACAAGGCAGCACTTTCAGATAAACTTTAATTTATTGATTTTCTGCTTCCCTCAACAGAAGGGGAGCAAGTTGAGTTTCCTGATATGGGAACTGGAGAACATAGGGCAGTGGGAAAGGGCGGCTGGGGGTGGGTGGGGGCAAAATCCTGTGCAAAATTGAGAGAGAATCACAATCCTGCGTATTCATTTGTCCTGGGGATTTGTGGCTCTTCTAGAGCCTTGCAAGGAAGCTCTCCTGTTTTATGGTGATGGCAGATTTGTTTTAATTTTTTTAACCTTTTAACATTTTTGCTAAAGTTTTTTAACGCTCCTCCTGCTTTCTTTCGGAAACTTGACTGTGAGAAAGAAAATAGAACCATCGGTTCTATTTGGCTCTTTGGGACACAACTTCCAAATGTGAAAAAACCTGGTGAGAGTTGTATATGTAAAAGTATATATGTATATCTATATTTTATATGATGCCTTCTGACATGCACCCCTCCCTGCAATGTGTAACCTTTTGTGTGTGCTGGGGAGATTTGACAAAATGGTTTTAAAAGTGTTGGGTGTGGCGCAGGGGAGATCTTTTGGGGTTTACTTGTAAATGTTGTGCTGAGTTTAGGCATCTTTTTCTCTCCCCCTTTTTCATTTGAATGGGGAGCAAATAGGAATTCTGCCTCCAGATAGGAATAGGAATGTTTTCTTTCTTTTTTCTTCCTTTTTTGAGACCAAGGCTTCCTTACTACCCTCTTTAATGGTGTGGACCAAAAAGCTGGGTCCCATTTTGACTCTATGCAGTTCCCTCAAGGGGTTCCAAATATGTGCAATGGAGGGGGGGATATTCACTGAATTATTATTATTGTTATTATTGTTATTTCTTCTCCCCCTTTGCTGAAAAGTGGTGAGGTCAGGTTTCAAATCCCCGCCCCAAATAAATTACTGCATATAAGGAGTGATCCATGAACAGCTGCTCCTAGAGGGTTTCTTGGCTAGAGGATCGGTGAAGCCGAGCTCTCCAAATTCTTGGGAATACTCTCAAGAAAGGAACCCCTGCTGCTTGCTTTCATATGTGAAATGGGGTGATTCACAAGCAGTGCAAGAAATCTCTCTTTGCATTGAGAAAACAGCCCAAGCAGGTCTCTGACCTCACAACGGAAATTCTGTCTTCACTCTGTGAAGAGAACATCAGCCTTTTCTCTTTTTTTGCTTATGCATTGTGAGCTAAAAACCCCTTCTCCCTCCTCTTCCAGTGCCCCCTTCTCTACCTGGCTAGCTTGGGGATAATGCATGGAAATTGCATTGCCCTTGGGCAGAGCAAATGTAAGCTGGCAAAGCAGGTAAGCAGAGAGAGAGTTTGTTCACCTGGCAGCTGGAGGGACGCCTGGGGTCTCCAGTCAGGAAGATAAGTTTGTATGAAGGGTTACAAAGAAAAGCTGCATCCTACCATTTAGATGTGCTGGCTTCTGGAAGAGCGGGATCAACGAGTGACCTGCTGTTGAATCAGGAGCCATGCGGTCCTAAGAGCCTTTCTTCTTGTTTATTGTGAGTGAGGTCTCTTCAAACAGCAGCTGGCAGGTCCAGAAGTGTCAATACATGTCTTCTGTGCTCATCCAAAGTTGTGCTCTCTCCCAAAGTTTGCATGAAGGACACACAAAGCTATCTCAAAGAGAGGCAGGGTATCGTCTTCCCACAAGAACAGCCCTATCAGCCTCAAGATGCCATTGGTGTTGAACTCCGCCGCTCAGATATTTGGTGGGGCCACCAGCCAGGATCATAGCATCTTGAGCTCTGGTATGGCTTGCCCACTAAGGGTTCATTCAGTAGCCATCAACCTTGCTTCGGCCAGCCAGACTCTTCCAACTTCAGTCAGCCCATTAGAAGTTTTGTTGACGGACAAATGGCAACGTCAGTAGTTTGGGTTGAAGTTGAGGAAGAGGCCATCTTTTGGCACTACAATCTCCACATATCCCACTCCTTTCCTTATCTTCCACCTACCCATCCTTCCTGCAGAATGAAGGAACTGGACAAAAAGCACTACCCCCCCCCCCCAAAAAAAACCATGCCTCTCAGTAGATTGCAACATAACGCTAATGCAAATGGGAAGGATTTTTCCTTGTCCATTGGAACATCCTCCCCCAACCGCCACAGTATACACCCCTAAGTCTGTTACAGAGATTCCCCTGATCCTCTGGAGCCAATCTGGGGACAGTGCACAGCTTTCACAGGAGGAGGCAGGGGAAAGTCCTACTGTACAAGTAGAAATCATTCTGCTAACACAATTACTTAGTTGGATGCTCTGGGTTGAAGCTTTATAAGGCCTTTGGGTCCAGCTGGCCTGTAAAGAGAGGAGAGATTGCAAGAACAAGAGCTTTCCATTGGGCTGAGAGTGGGAAGTGTTTCTTGGCCTGCAGCAGAACAGGAGCTGGCATGTACAAGTATGGGGGGCTCAGTCAGTCACTCTTCCACTTGTCGAAACCCGACGCTTTTAAATGTTGTCGACTCTGAATCATACTATTGATGTTTTTAAAAAATGGGTAGGTTGTTTTGCGGGGCGGGGGGAGTGGATAACTCCCCCCCCCAACTGATGTTTCATCTTCATCCTAAAATGAGCTCAGCTTTCCTCTCTATGTGCTTCACCCACTCCTCTCTTTGACAGCCAAATCTTTTGGACAAGCAGCCAAGAGAGTTTTCTCCACCCAGTGTGTTCCCTTCAAATGATGAGCCCACTGCTTCAAAAACCAGGACTGTGCCACTTTTTAAAAAATAAAAAGTATCCCTTTTTAAAGGTGGGTAGGAAGAAGGAACAGCTTCTCTCGCTCCCAGTTCCTCCTTTCTCTCTCTGGAATCCATTGTGCAACTGCTCTAGAACCCATTATGTGACTGTGCTGGAACCTATGTTTTCTTGCAGAGTGCACTCATACCAGATGTGTCCTCACTCCCAGTGGAGATTTTGGCATCTCACACTGAAAAAAGGAGCTTGCACCATCCACATCAACCCAGGGGATAGTCCTGCTTTCTTTTTTTAAACACCTGAAGACCTGTGTAGGTGGAGGACCAATTGGGTAGCTTAGCAAAGAGACTTGGTTAATCTCAGAAAATAGGTCCGCATGATTCCTGATTTATTTATTTATTTGTAACATGGGCTGCACCTGCAGCCCTCTGGATGTTTTTGGACTACAACTCCCATTGTCCCTGGATAATTGGCCTTGCTGGCTGCTGGGAGTTGGAGTCAGATAACATCTGGAAGGTCACAGGTTCCTTCACCGCTGGAACTTTTAGAAGTTAAAATAATAGATCCTTTTTTCAAAAAAAAAAAAAGGAAAAAAAGGTGTGCGGTTTATTTTATTGGGTGCTTCAAACATCTGTGTATTCCTTCATGAATCTCTTCATGTTTTAAAGTTGTTGTTTTTTAACCTTTTATCAGAATAGATATATGAAATGGCAGTATTTCTGTAAAGGGGAGCAGGGGGCAATACCAATCAGGGGACCTTTTCTCTCTCTATGTAATGTGGTTTTTCTGATATGGAAGAGATGTACAAAATAAAAGACTTGATGACTAGGAAACTTTCTCCTGGGCTGCTTTATTTAAAAAATGGCTTCCTCCTGGGCTGGGTTGAACTGCTGTGAGAGACATGGTTCATATTGACATATTCTATAGCCAGTACAGGGAGTGGTTAAAGGAGGAAGGGGGGTTTCCTTTTAGGCGCTGCTGGTGGGCTTCCACAAGCATCTGTCCAGCCAGTGAGAAACCGGATTCTGGACTCAGATTTTTTTTCTTACTCCCTCTTGGTTGCACTAAAGCATCACAGGGATGAGGACAAATAAAAGAAAGTCCTTCTTCACTCAGTGCATAGTTAAACAATGGAACTTGTCCCCCCTGGAGGCAGTGGTCGCCACCAATTTGGATGGCTTTAAAAGAGGGTTGGACAAATGCATGGAGGAGACGAATATTAATGGCCACTAGCCACAATGGCTCTGCTCTGCTTTGGAATACCAGTTGCTGGAAACCACAGGAGGGAAGCATCCTCTTGTGGTTGAATCCTGATTGTGGGCTTCCTGTAGGCACCTGGGTGGCTATTGAGAGGACAGGATTCTCAACTAGATGGGCCAGCAGGGCTGTTGCGTTCTGTCTCCACTGTCAGAGGCAATATGTCTCTGAACACCACTTTCTGGGAATCTCAAGTGGGAAGAGTTGCTGTTTCACCCAGGTCCTGCAAGTGGGGCATCTGATTGGCCACTGTGAGCTGGGTGGAGTGGACCCCAATGGACTGATTTAGTAGAAGGAAGGGTCTTTGCATCTTTTGATCATGCCTAGTAGCTGTTGATAGCCTCATCCTCCGTTGGACAAGATGACCCTTGGGGTTCCCTTCCAACTTTACAATTCCATGATTCTATTATCCTTTTAATTATGCTTGTGTGTATATCCTACTAAGCCTGTCCTGGGTTGCTCACCATTCTGTGACGATCCGTGTGTCGATTATCCTTTGGTGTAATGTCTTCCTCCCCCCTCAAATGCCCTCATTTCAAGATGTTTGGCACACCTCCCTTCCTTCAGGCTGATAAGCGTCTTCATCTGTATTCCTGCCTGTCAGATAATTCTGAACTAGGGCAGCACAGTTTTTAATCAATGCTTTTCAGTGGCAGTGTTAAGAACCTCCCCCACCTTCCCTTCTGTCTCTTACCTTCCCTTCTGCCCTGTTTGGTGAATTTCTGCATTTGGAAATAAGATTGTAAGAAGTGCCTGCTGGATCAGGCTTGGTGGGCTGATGGGAACTGGAGTTCTACAATAGAGAGAGAGAGTCGCCTCTGATCTAAGGAGAGGGGTTTCCTTCAAGGAGCTCAAGGCAGCATACATTATGCTCCACCTCATTAAATCACAGAACAGACTTCTCACGTCCTGGTGGGATGACCTTCTCACCCAGGCTGGCCACTGGATCCTCCTGAACAGGAAAAAACAAAGTAGGACTTCAACTGCTTGAGTGACAAGATGTGACACCTGATTTTCTTGGATCTTGGAGATTTAGATAATGGTTAGGAGATACTGGGCACATAAAGGTAAAGGTAAAGGGACCCCTGACCATTAGGTCCAGTCATGACTGACTCTGGGGTTGCGGCGCTTATCTCGCTTTATTAGCCAAGGGAGCCAGCGTACAGCTTCCGGGTCATGTGGCCAGCATGACTAAGCCGCTTCTGGCGAACCAGAGCAGCGCACGGAAACACCATTTACCTTCCTGCCGGAGCGGTACCTATTTATCTACTTGCACTTTGACGTGCTTTCGAACTGCTAGGTTGGCAGGAGCAGGGACCGAACAACGGGAGCTCACCCGATCGCGGGGATTCGAACCGCTGACCTTCTGATCAGCAAGTCCTAGGCTCTGTGGTTTAACCCACAGCGCCACCCGTGCTTACTTACACAGTTTGTAGTTAAACTATGGAACTCACTCCCATGCAGGGGTTCCAATAAAATATTGGGGGACCCACGGAAGCCCTACCCAACATAATCACATGACGCAGTGCAAAGACACAGTGCATAGACACAAATATTTTATTGGGGGGGCGAAGGCACCTCGGTTCCTAGGAGTTGGCTCCTCTGCTCCCACAGGAGGCAGTTATGGCCACCAACATGGATGGCTTTAAAAGAGAAGGCTATTGATGGCTACTAGCCATTATGGCTTTGCTCTGCCTCCATAGTTGAAGGCAGCAATGCTTCTGAATACTAGTTGCTGGAAACCACAGGAGGGGAGGGTGTACTTGCACTTGAATCCTGCTTGTGGGTTTCCCACAGGCATCTGATTGGCCACACAGAGGGGGATGCTGGAGTAGGAGGGCCACTGGCCTTTACCCAGCAGGTGGCTTTTATGTTTCTCAACCCCAGTGTAGATAGACAATCCTGAGCTAGATGGACTCAATGTAAGAGGAGGCCTGCATTCTCCACCACTTTTGCTTCTCGTCTCACCACAAGCTTTTTCTAACCCGCCTGCCACCCACCTGGAGCCACGAGTCATCGCAACAATGCGATGGCACATTGTGTCATGAGATGACACATGACACAGCTGGCTGTCAAATGCTTCAGATTACGAGTCAGGATATTGGCAGGTGGTAAATTTCACAAGAGCCTTGATTACTGAGTTACAAGGAAGGACATTAGACGTTCCCAGAAGTTAGAATTGATCAGGGAGGGAAATGTATGTACTTTACTTTGGAGTCGCGCGACAGCAGTATGAGGTCTCAGTCCTTTGGATCTGAGATTAGCATAATTGCTCCTTGGGTTGAACCTGTTGAATATTACTCTTTAGATAGTGTCATTAATGTGAGCAGAAACCTACAGAGGAGGACAGGGCCGGGTCTGCAGTTTCATTAGCTTAACAATCAAGCTTTGACTAGCTTTGAAAAGGCTCATAAAAAAGCAACAAAAAATAGAACCTGCCCACATGACTCTGACACAGAAACATTGCACATGCACTATGTAAAATAACAATGAACGTTCTCGAGAGGAAGCTGATAAAATGTGGGTTGAACAAGGTAATCATTTGGTGGATTTGTATCTGGTTGACTGACCGAGCCCAAAGAGTGCTCATTAATGGTTCCTCATAATCTTGCAAAAAAAATGACAAGTGGGGTGTCCCAGGGTTCTGTCCTGGGCCAGCTGTTGTTCAACATCTTTATAAATGACTTGAATGAAGGAATTGAGGGGATGGTCATTAAATTTGCAGATGACACCAAACTGGGAGGGGTAGCTAATGCCATAGAAGACAGAATCAGAATTCAAAATGACCTTAACGGATTGGAGAACTGGGCTCAAGCTAACAAAATGAATTTCAATAGGGACAAACATAAAGTTTTGCACTTAGACAGGAAGAGCCGTCCAGATGCACAAATATAGGATGGGGGACATCTGGCTTGCTAGCAGTACATGGGAAAAGGATCTATGGGTCTTGGTGGACCACAAGCTTAACATGTGTCAACAGTGTGATGCGACAGCAAAAAAAAGCTAATGCTATTCTAGGCTTGATCAACAGCATTATAGTGTCCAGATCAAGGGAAGTAATAGTATAACTTTATTCTGAATGTCAGTCAGACCACACTTGGAATACTGTGTCCAATTCTGGGATGTTGACAAGCTGGAAGGTGTGCAAGGAGGGCAACCAAGATGATCAAGGGTCTGGAAACTCAGCCTTATGAGGAGCGCTGGAAGGAGCTGGGTATGTTTAGCCTGGAAAAGAGGAGACCGAGAGGAGATATGATAGCCATCTCTAAATATCTTAAGGGCTGTCATATGGAGGAAGGAACATGCTTGTTTTCTCCTGCTCTGTAGGGTAGGACTCAAACCAATGTCTTCAAGTTGCAAGAAAGGAGATTCTGACTAATCATTTGGAAAAACTTTCTGGCAGTAAGAGCTGGCAGTAAGAGCAGTGGAACAGACTCCCACAAGAGGTGACGGACTCTCCTTCCTTGGAGGTTTTTAAACAGAGGTTGGATGGCCATCTGTCAGGGAGGCTTTAGTTGAGATTCCTGCATTAAGGCGGTTGGACTAGATGACCCTTGGGGTCCCTTCCAACTCTACAGTTCTATGATTCTACCCCTCTTCTCTCCACCCCCCTCCACCCCTCTCTTCTCTCCCAACCTGATACTGTATACAACATTAAAGCCTCACGTCAAATATAACTTGATCTGTAGAAAGACACTATGAACTGAAAGCAGAAATGCTGTATGTACTTTTGTAAACCAAGAAAATCTTCAATACAAACATGGTCAAGGGGATGGAGTGACCCAATGAGGAAATGTTCCAGCATTTGGGGCCTTCTTAGTTTAAAGAAAGAGGCATGGTTGAAATTATTCATGGTATGCAAGAAATGGATAGAGAGCAGTTTTTCTTCCTTTCTTATACAGTGGTACCTCGGGATGCGAACGGGATCCGTTCCGGAGCCCCGTTCGCATCCTGAATGGAACGTAAGATGTGATGGCATGTCTGCACGTGCGCGGGTCACGTTTTGCCGCTTCTGCACATGCGAGTGACGTAATTTTGAGTGCTCATGCGCTAGCGGCGAAACCCGGAAGTAACGCACTCCGTTACTTTCGGGTTGCCGCGGAGCGCAACCTGAAAACACTCAAACTGAAGGACATTTAACCCAAGGTATGACTGTATACATGATTTGAGGGTGTCCAAAGAAGCTGAATGTTTGAAGACTCAGGACAGACAAAATAAAGCATTTATTCAAGTCTCTGCTTGGGCATTACCTATTTTGATGAGCCTGGGATAGCTCAGTCGGTAGAGCATGAGACTGAATCTCAGGGTTGTGAGTTCGAGCCCCACCCTGAGCAAAAGATTTCTGCATTGCTGGGGGTTGGACAAAATGACCCTTGTGATACCTTCCAGCTCTATGTTCCTATGCAGCACATGGGTAAATTATGAAAATTGTTCCTGCAAGCGCCAATTATGGCCACCAACTTGGATGGCTTTAAAAGGATTAGACAAATTCACGGAGGAGAAGAGGCTATCAGTGGCTGCTAGTCACAGATACCAGTTGCTGGAAGCCACAGGAAGGGAGAGTGGGACCTACTTGTGGGTTTCTCATTGGGGCATCTGGTCAGCCACTGTGAGAAGAAATAGGCCACTGGCCTGACCCAGGAGCCTCTTCTTATGTTCTTAATTTAAAATTCAGGGCAAGGGGGATATGGAGGAAACGGGTTTGTGCCACACCAATGTTCTGGGGGACAGAGGAAGAGGTGACTACATAAAGAGTACAGTTTCTCTTAAGGCAGCAGAAGGTCTTTGGGATGCCTGGACGTACAATAACATTGCAAAAGAGGCAGACTCTGCCAGTGTTGTCCTTGGCTTCTTCCTGGAGGCCAGGAAGGGCTGCCGAAGCCATCTCTGGCTGCTGTGGTCTGGAACTGAATCATCTGGGGCAATCTTAAAATAGCCCTCCTGTGAGGTTGTGCCTTGCCAGTCAAGGAGTGGATCAATGGTGTGTCTGCAGATTGGAGACCGGGGGGGGGGGGGGTTTCAACGGGCAAAGAAACCGCTTCTCAAAAAAATCAGGGGGCATCAAAAACAGCCTTTGCGCATTGCCCTGAAGGCCCAGCTGGCATGGTTTTCAAGTGGATCCTTGAGATCATAGATTCATAGAATTCTAGAGCTGGAAGGATCCCAAAGGGCCATCGAGTCTTCTGCAAAGCAGGAATATCTATATGCCCAGCCCATCGTTTAGCTGCTCCTGCTCAACAGCACTGCCCTAACTCATCAGCTGCCCACCCAAAGAGTACTTTGAGAGATATGGTTGGGACCTGCCACAAAATGTTGCAGTGGGTGTTCCTGTTCAGGGTACCAGTCAACCAACTATGCCCTCTTTCAATATATGCTATTCTGTCAGTTCTCCCACATGCCCAGTTCAGTTCTCCATTCTCCCATCCACAAGTGCTTCATAATCAATGGCTACCTAGTACACTCAGTCCTCATTGGGCTGTCTGTCTTTTTTATTTTATTTTATTATTTTATTTGTTAGGCCTTATTATGAATGACAAAGGCATCGTTTTAAAAATGTTACTGCATTTTGTAACTTCATGTTATTCTTTCCCCCCAGGAGTTGCCTTGAGCATTGTTTTTGACAGAAAGGCAGTACAGTGGTACCTTGGGTTAAGAACTTAATTCGTTCTGGAGGTCCGATCTTAACCTGAAACTGTTCTTAACCTGAAGCACCACTTTAGCTAATGGGGCCTCCCGCTGCCGGCGCCATGAGATTTCTGTTCTCATCCTGAAGCAAAGTTCTTAACCTGAGGTACTATTTATGGGTTAGCGGAGTCTGTAACCTGAAGAGTCTGTAACCCGAGGTACCACTGTATACAAATCAGTGGTGTTGTTTCCTTTGGAGCATCTATGGGAAGAGGTTGCTGGACTAGATGGTCCCCCTTTGGCCTGATCCAGCTGCAAGGCTCTTATTTATTATTTACCTATTGCAATCATATCCCACCTTTCCTCCAAGGAGATCAAGGTGGTGCCTGTGATTCCCCTTCCTCCCCACTTCATCACCACAACAACCCTGCAAGGTAGTATATGCCAAGAGAAAGTAACTGTCCCCAACGTCTTCCAGGTCCTAGTCCCATGCTCTAACCACTGCACCATTCTGCCTCTCTTCTTAGGGTCCTACCGTCTCCTTGGGATGAGGCAGGTGAGAAATCTGAACCACACAGGTATTTTATTTTATTTTTTAATAAACATCTATTCAAAAGTAACAATACATCTTTGTCCACTGCTATGGTATCACAGAATGATCACTCCAATCCTCAATCCCGCATCACTGTCATGTTGACTTGTCGAATACCCTCAATAGGAACCTAACTACCGATCCGGTTTGCTAGACATTTTCAGTCAATATATCCCCTCCACAGCCACCTCTGTGATGATGATGACATTAAAATACACCCTGTTATTCTTCAATAAAAGAGAAAAAAGGAGACCAAATCAGGTAATTTAATATTGCAAATCTATTGCGGAATAAGCCGTGTTAAAGGCTACACTGCTAAATCAAATCCGCATTGACTATGGCTATGACTGGAGTCCGTTTGACTGCCGCGGACCTTACTGCTGATCATTCCACAAAGCCTGTCTCTTTGCTTACTCAATTCCTCCCGAATTAAGGGGCCAGTCGGGGGAAGCCGCGATCCTCAGCGAAGCGCGCTTGCATAGTGGCTGGGTGGTGGTGGTGGGGAGTTAAGCCCAGTCCAGCTCTTACTACCGTAGCGGCTTCACCCCTGACTCGCGAGAAAGCCTCCCACGCTACCCCAGATCCTAGAAAGCGGAGTGGGCGAATTCGGATTGGCGCGTCGCCTTTTGGGAGCGGAGCCAATTCGGAGCCGCAGCGCGTCCCCCCCCCCCCCCACTCCGCTGCGCGGCCTCTTCCTCCTCCAGCCACGCCGAGGTTTCCCGGCAGCGGCAGCCGAGACCTTCCGCAGCGGTGAGTAGCCCAAGCGGGCTTCGATCGGGATACACGTGGCGCCTCCTTCTGCGCCTGCACCCCCTCCCTTCCCAGCCCGCATTCTTGAATGGGAGCCCATTTGCCAAGGCTTTCCTCCATCAGAAGCTGGGAATCTCACTTGGTTGCATTGTCTTACCCGGAGTCAGTACTGTCTGCACTGGCCGGCATCAGGGGCTCACCAGGGTTTCAGGCAGTGTGTCTTTTCCTAGCCCTAACTGGAGATGCCAGTGATTGAACCTGGGACCTTATGCATGCAGTTGCTTGACCGCTGAGCTATGGCCTTTCCCGTAAAAACAAAGCAAGATTCTAGTCCTCATCATTCTTAGTAAAGAGCTGGGTTCCACAGGAAGCTGCTTCTTTCATAGCTGGGACATTCTACATGCAAAGCAGATGCTCCAGCACTGAGCTATGGGTCCTGCATTATCCTGAGTAAGGTCACTGGTCCACCTAGCTCAGCATTTTACACACTGGTTGGCAGCTACAGCTCTCCACAGTTTTTTTTGGGGGGGGGGAGCAGGGACCCCTCAGCCCTACTGGGTATGCTAGTTAATTTGGGACATATGCTGAGAGTGCAGGGAAGGGAATCGTCCTTATAATCTTATTATATAAGCTACTTTGAAATGCACAAACAATGCCATTTTCCAAAGCCATCCTTTTAAGAGACTGTCTTGAGTGCATTCTGCTTCCTGCATCTGTAATTGGGAGGTAATGACTAAATTGTGCATCCGAAGCGCCGCCTTTTGACCTAAAATGCCTTCTATCATCCCTGGCAAAAAGGGGTTGCAAGCCGGATCCACATTTCATGTGCCTTTGGAAGAGAGGCATTTGGTGGCCATGGTTGCCAGAGTGGGAGGTGGGACAGCTCTGATGCCCGTGGCAGGTGCATGGTCTACCAGTGGGATGTTCTGCACATAAGAGCATAGCTCCAGTGCTCAGAAGCTTTTTCCGAATGCCCATGCATTACCCGGCCATGTTCAAGGTTCTTGTATTAATTAATTGTATTTACAACAGAGCTCAAAGTGGTGTACATGGCCCTCCTGATCTCCATATTAACCTTGTGTGGTAGGCTAGGCTGAGTTGGCAACTGGCCCAGTTTCAATCGGTGAACTTCATAGTCGCATCAATATTTGGACCCCAGACTCCCAGGTTCTAGTCTGAGACACCAACCACAAGACCACACTGGTTCACTATAATATCCTGGTGTATATCATTCCCTTCCTAAGCTTTAAGAGATATATGAAACCTTAATTTACAAGACCCTTAACTACTTGGGTCTGGGATACATTAAGGACTGCCTGATCCCTCATATCTGTGCCCAGTCAGTGGGGGAGTCACTGCTGATGGTTCCCCGTGGCTCAGATGCACAGCTTGTTTCCACCAGGAGCTGTGTGTTCAGTATCTACAGAGCTCCCGCTTGAATTCCGTTCTGTTGAACATCCAGTGCTTATGACCTTATTAAATCAAATCTTTATTTTTATGGTCAATGACCAGCACAGAGCCCCTTATCTGTTTTGGCAGGGTATGATCATCGCACCTGTAATGGAGAATGCCATTCTGGAATTAATAGGTGCCTGGATTAAAACTGTTATCTTCCTTTCTTGCCAAAGGTTTAAAGGTAACATCTCAACACTCAACAGAGGAAGAGGAGTGTGGGGGGGGAGCGCACCACCCCCGGCAGCGCGATCCCGGTGGGGTGCCATCGTGGCTGCCCCCCTGCCTGCGCTGGGCGCCACACCCCTAGGACCATGCCCCTGTGGGCAGTGCACCACGCCCACAGGACGTGAGCCCCACCCCCTCCTGCTCTCTGCCCACCCGATGCTGGAGCACAAAGCTCTGCCACTGCATCTCAAGGGAGAAACAAGAGCTGTTTAACTCCTAGGTTTGACTTAGTGGAAGATGTAAGTTGGAAGAGACCATCAGCTGTCTGATCAACTCAGTAACTGGCCCAAGGTCAGCCAGTGAGCTTCATGGCTTAAATAAATAAATTTATTTCACAATGAGGACTAGGAACTTGAAAGAATGCCAGGCTTCCCAGCACAACAGTGTTGCATTCCTCAGTAGACTTGGACCCACCTCCAGTTTCTCCATCTTTAGCTTTGGACTACTGAAGTAGCTGCTTTGAAGGGGCTTTTATTGTTTTCAAGCATCAAAATGTTCTCTCTCCTCTGTTTCTCTCTTAGCCTTGCCGCGCCCCAGAGGTGACAAATCTATACATGCGCATTTTCGCACTAGCAGCTTGCAATATGGTGAACAGAAGGTGTGTGGCCGTATGTTGCCAACAGTCACTTAATGAGCAGGATGAGTGTTTGTGTGTATGTGAATAGGAAGCTCAGTGCAGCCCCTGCCGGGTTTCAAATATCTTTATGTTGCTTTTGGGGTTGTGTGGTGTTGCTACTCAGGAAAAAAAATAATAAATATCTGGCATGCTTCCCGATTACATTGCAGTTATCATGTGAAAGGAGAGAGAGGTAACAAGAGCCGTAGAAATTTGAGACTGGAGGCTTCATCCCAGAGCCGGCTGTAGTTCGTATAGTGACTTGGAATCTGAACCAGTGCATCTGCAAGATTTTATTTTCAATGCTTTATTTATTTAAATGCTTCTTGTAGCCCGTCCCCTCTCCAAATGTTTCAGAGTGGGAGGCACCTAACAATTAAAACAATACATGCATCCACCTGCAATGTCAGGAGTGGATAAAAAGCAGAAGTGGTAGTTTTAAAAGCCAAGCAATGGTCATTTAAAAATGCAACAGTGAGATTAACCATGACTTTGGAAGCTAGAATAAATAACCAGGTTTTAACCTGGTGCTGGGGAGAATGCAAAGTTGGCACCTGGTGGATCTCTGGACAAGGGCATTTCACTCAGTGGTAGAGCATCTGCTTTGCATGCAGGAGGTCCTGAATTCAACCCCCAGCATCTCCAAGTAGGGCTGCAGAAAGGCTTCAGCCTGACACATTGGAGAGCCACCACAGTAGGTGTGGATAGCACTGAAACAGATGAACCAAGCGTCCAACTCCATATAAGGCAGCTTACTATGCTCCTATTTAAATCAGCTCTTTATTCAGAAGCATGAGATCTAGAATCTTGTCCCACGTTCAATTATTGGCATCTCCAGGTAGGACTGGGAATGTCCCTTACCTGAAACCCCAAAGAGCTGCTGCCAGTCAGTGTAGACAATTCTGAGTTAGTTTTTCCACTTTAAGGCATAATATTAATAAAGGCAATCACAAGGCATTTAATTTGTGGTGACAGTGATAATAATAATAATAATTGACACATTCATGTTGTGATTCCAGGGGTTGAACTAGATGACGCTTTGGGTCTCTTTGCAATTCTGTACTATTTATGTTGTGCTGTCCATCCCTTGAGCATCTAGGCTTCAAATCGCCTGATGCTGCCAGTTTTGCTTCCTGGCGTTACGAATGAACCAAATCCTGTAATTAGGAAGGGGGAGCAAATCAGCCTTGACTTGTGCTGTTTCTGGTGACTTTCATGCTCTGGCCACATGATGTCAGAGGCAGGGCAGGTTTTAAAATAGAACCAAATCAGTTTGCATCTTCTCTCTCTTTTGGTATCAAGTCAGTTGATGCACTGTGGGCAGCAGGCAGGTCAGGACCTTGTCTCTGCCTGCCTGGTTCTGGCAAAACCAAAATGAAACATTGCACCAGAGGAAACCTAAAATTCTGTGACCTGCGTAGAAAACGACACGGCGTGATTCTGCAAATGTGCAGAGGGTGAGAAGTTTTATTCCTGATTCTCAGCCACCTCTGCCTCTGTATGTGGCAAAAGCAGAATAGGATGGGTCTCCAAGGGTGGAAGTTTTTTTTTTTTACCCCAGACCAAGTCTGCAGGGGTGAGTGGCAGTGTGGTGTAATGGTTACCGTTTCTGATTATAACCTGGGAGACCAGGGTTCAAATCCTCCCCCTTGGCCATGAAGTTCATTGTGTGACCTTGGGTCACAGTCATCGCCTCTCAACCTGACCTACTTCACAGGTTTGTTGTGAGGATGAAATGGGGAGCGGGGATAACCATGTATGCCACATCAAACTCCTTGGAAGGAAGATGGGGTGTGAATGCAAAAAATAAAATAAGAAAAAAGCCCTGCTTGATCCAGCCCAGCATCCTCTTCTCACAGTGGCCCACCAGATGCCCCAGTGGGAAGCTCACAAGCAGGATTCAACCACAAGAGTTCTCTCCCCTCCTGGTTCCCAGCAATAAGTATTCAGAAGCATTAATGCCTCTGACTGTGAAGGTAGAGCATAGCCATTGTGGCTAGTAGTCATCTTTCCCCACATTGCCCTTGTGTTTTCAAGCACATATATATTGGCAGCCCTAAGAACTGGGAGAGGGACGCGGGTGGCACTGTGGTCTAAACCACAGAGCCTAGCTTACCGATCAGAAGGTCAGTGGTTCGAATCCCTGCGACGGGGTGAGCTCCCGTTGCTTGGTCCCTGCTCCTGCCAACCTAGCAGTTTGAAAGTACATCAAGGTGCAAGTAGATAAATAGGTACTGCTCCGGCGGGAAGGGAAACTGTTTCCGTGCGCTGCTCTGGTTCGCCAGAAGCGGCTTAATCATGCTGGCCACATGACCTGGAAGCTGTGTGCCGGCTCCCTCAGCCAGTAAAGTGAGATGAGTGCCACAACCCCAGAGTAGGTCACGACTAGACCTAACGGTCAGGGGTCCCTTTACCTTTACCTTTATGCAAAGCAGATACTCTATCACTCACCTACAACACTTCTGTAAAAATAATATCTTAGTCTTCATGGCTCTGAATAAGGGGCTTATTTAAACAAAAACATATCCTGAATCAGTCTGTTGGTCCATCTGGCAGGCAGCTTCCTCTCTTGGGTTTCAGGCAAGATCGAACCTGCGACCTTCTGTAGGATAAAGCAGATACTTTACTGCTGGGCTACCCTTAAAGTAAGATTCTGATTGAAAGGCTGGTTTAAATCAGAACACAGGAAGCTGTCCTTTTCTGAATCAGACCATTAGCCCATCTAGCTTGGTATTGCCCACACTGACTGGCAGCATCTCTCCAGAGTTTCCTAACTCTGCCTGGAGATGCCAATGGGGTTGGGACTTCAGGCCTTCTGCATGCAGAACATGTGCTCTACCTCTGATTACCCGTCTCTCTCTTTCTCTCTCTCGCTTTCCCTGCCTCAGCCTATTTAAATCCATTCCCTACTCCGGAGACATGTTGACAAATACGGGTGCTCTGTTTTTAAGCACTGATGCTTTAATGAGCTTGTTTTCAGAAGACTGGCTAATAGCAGATTATGTATTTTTCAAATGGCTGCTGAAGGGAATATGTCCCTGGATGATTGATTGTGAGGCCTCTTTTCCTTAGGAAAGGAATCACTCTGTATGGGTAATATGAACCAACCCTCTCCCCTTTTTGAAGAAACCAACACAGTTTTGCAATTTACGGGAATGTGATTGTGTTGCATGAAGAGATGGCTGTTATCTTTCTTAAGGGGATGAATGATTGCTAGACTGAGCTGAGATTCACCTGCCCTATCTTTGTTTGGCTCTCAGTTGCCATGCAATCTTCGAATCAGGCCTCCGAGCTAATATCTACCCTCCCCTCGACTACCTTTGTTTGGCTCTCAGTTGCCATCGTAAATTTTAAACTAGTCCTCTGAGCCAAGGCATAGTAAATTTTAAACTAGTCCTCTGAGCCATTAGCATGGCAACTAAAGGCCAAGCAAGGGCATCTCAAAGGAGATACCCTTGCTTGGCCTTTAGTTGCCATGCTAATTTGTAATTGGCCTTTTTGAGCTGAGATCTACCCTCCCTTTGGATACCTTTGTTTGGCCTTCACTTGCCATACTCAGTTGAACTGGGCCACCGAGTGAAGAGTCACCCTCTTTTGAGATGGCTTCATTTGTCCCTCAGTTGTCTCACTAAATTTTAATTAGACCTCCGGGTAGGCTTGCCACTTTGGTCGGGCAAAATACAGGACAGGTTGGACAAAATAAAGGACAGGTTGGGTTGGGGACTGGGGAGGGGTACACACACTTCCCTGACACCAAATTCATGGCAACCCTACTTCCTGCCCTTGAGATGCCTTCATTTGGCCCTCAGTTGCCATACTAATTTTCATTCAGAGTGGCAGGTAACTTTCAATTTGGCAGCAAAAAATAAATGGATTGGCTATTTGTAGCTGGGTACAGTCCTTGGCAGAAAAAAGTTAAAAGGCTCTTCACTCTTACAGTAGAGAGCCGCCATACACACCCACTTCTTGGTAACAATAGGAACCGCTGCTGCCTTTGCAAAGTTGCAGGATCGCCTTTGTGTCTCTTTCTAGAGATGCCTTTTGGACTCTTTGCTGGGTGCTAATAATTTGAGGAGAAGCTCTGTGTCAGAGCAGCCCAGATGTAGCAGGTGAGAAGCATGCCTTTATATAACCTGCTGGCTATAGAATTGGCAGGGGTGTAGCAAAACAGAAACGTTTTTATGTTTAACATATATTTATAATAAAAACCTATTGAAGTAGAATAACAGATTCCAAATAAAATAAAATAAAAGTAGGATACCTAGAACCAAACATATAGGAACAAATTTCCATACCAAAACCAAGCATAATAAATTAACACCACAAGGTTCCAAGTAACACAAATGGGTTTATGTTATACTGTATGTTTTTATTCTTGTACATTATGGTTGTATTTCGTCAGGCAGCATAGAGTGGAACTATGGAACTTGCTCCCACAGGGGCCAGTGATGGCCACTAACTTATATGGACTGGCCAAATTCATGGAGGAGAGAGCTATCAGTGGCTATTAGCCACATTGGCTATGCTCTGCCAGCAACTGTCATGCTTCTGAATGTCTGTTGCTGGAGACTCCAGGAGGGGAGAGTGCTCTTTTGCGTGAATCCTGCTTGCTGGTTTCCCACAGACATCTGCTTGACCACTGTGAGAACAGGATGCTGCACTAGATGGGCCTTTGACATGATCCAGCAGGCTCTTTTTACCTCCTTATGACCTGAGTTCAACAGCACTCCTCCCCACTTGCTGTTTCCAGCAATTGGTATCCAGATGCATTACTGCCTCTGACTGTGGAGGCAGTGCATGACCATCGTGGCCAGTATAGCCAAACATTTCCTGACTACACCACCTGCACAGTGGTTTGCTTTCGGCGTTTCCCTCTCTCTTCCTGGGCCACAACCTTCAATGGGAAGGGGTGATGAAAAGACCACCTGTGTCCCAAGGCCTTCTCATAGTCCCTTTGCTATACGTTGAAGGTTGTGTGTGGCAGTATTGTTTGTACCCACATGAACCAGAAGGAAGGGGTTGTGGTCAGTGGGCTTTTTAAGGCTTGGCAACTTCTCTGTCACATTGTGAACCTTTGCAACGAAAGACAACATGCTGTTACCTCTGCACAGCACTGCCTCTGTGCCCCTCAGTAGGGAGTCAGCTATCACCACCACTGCACCTTCCACAGCCACCTTGGTGTGTTCTGAGGTCTGCAACAGCTCCTCTCTCCTAAATGATAAGAAGCCCCAAAAGATGCAGTCTTTTTCTCACATAACACTCCCCCTTTTGTGCATCAAGCATCAAATTAGCAATGCAGTAGTGAAATCATGAAATGATTTGGACCTCTAGTCCTTGAGTTTGCCCTAATCAAAGTTTAATTTCATCCAGGGCCCACCTGAAAATCTGATTTGATCAGCTCGGTTCTTGAAAACAAAACATTCAGCTATGTTTTCTAGCTGATCTCATTGCTACTTCAATTCCTTCTCAGAAAAAAATCAGTCCCCAATCTGTAGATTAAAAAAACACACCCAGGCAGTCCTCTCTAGCAGTTTTTATTTTGTTTATGTCACTGTCAGGCTCACATCGCTAGAAATTATTCATTATCATTTTATTTCATGAAATATATACATTGCTTGGTTTTAAAGAAAACCCTCAAAGCAATGTACAGAAAATATAAAACAATAAAATTGTCCATAAGAAAGATTAATAAGAATAATTTAAGACTTTCAAAAAGTTAAAATAACAATTCACTAAAACAGATTAAAACTCGCCTCAGGTTTCTAAACATCAGGGTAGGCTTGTCTAACCAAAAATGCTTTTAGCAGGTGCCAAATTGAGTTGAGTGAAGGCGCCTGCCTGATATCAATAGGCAGGGCGTTTCAAAGTGCAGGTGCCGCAACACTAAAGATCAAGTTCTTACAAATACTGTATGAAATGGGTTTTATGTGAAATCTGTAATTGTGCAGTTGCACAGATCAAAATGGTTGAGTGGACATTTATAGGATAAGGCAATCTCGTAGGTAAACCAGTCCCAAGTTGTTAAGGGATTTATATAATAATAATAATAATAATAATAATAATAATAATAATAGCACCTTGAACTTGGCCTGGGAGCAGATTGGCAGCCATTGCAGTTCTCTGAACACAGGTGTTAGATGATGACAGGGTCTCACTCCTGTCAGCAACCAGGCTGTAGCATTCTCCACTAACTGAAGCTTGCTGAAAAAGCGCGAGGGAAGCCCCACACAGAGTGTGTTGCAGTAGTCCAGATTAGTTGGCAGAGGTTAGGGGAGAATCTTGTCACTGTTGCTTCAAAAAAAGAAAGAGAGTGATATTTGCGGTTTAAGAATACAATTAAAATATAAGACTGCAATTAAAATAAATTGAAATATCCATGATTAAATTATGCATTGTTTATTTATTTCCTAAAATTTTATACTGCTTAATTGTAAACAAACAAACCATTGGTTTAAAACTTCACTTTGAAACTTTAGGAGTGCTCAGATTTCATTTTTGAGGTTGTGCTTGGTTGCTGGGAGAAAGGAACCAAAATAATTCAGCGGGCTTCTGGGAGCCTCCACAACTAAGTTTGGAGGCCTACAACTGAGGATGGAGTCTGCCCATTGTGTCTCTGTAAGATTTTTCTGAATTGCATCCAGCCAAATTCTCGCTGAGAGTAGACTCGCTGGCATTAATGAACCAGTAGCTTCAGTGAGTATTGTCTGACTAGGACTTATATTGGATACCAATAATTAATTCTAAGGTAAACTGTAAATTAACCTGAAACAGATACAAGTGACAAGAAAGGAGATTCCAACTAAACGCTAGGAAGAACTTTCTGACAATGAGAGCTTTTCTGCATTGGGATGAACGACCTCAGAAAGTGATGGACTCTTTCATTGGACGTTTTTATACAAAGGTTGGTTGACTAGGGATTCTCTAGCTGTGATTCCTGCTTTGCAGGGGGTTGGACTAGATGACTCTGGAATCCCTTCCAACTCTACAGCTCTATGATTCTATGAAATTGAGACATGAAGCAAAAAGGAGAGGAGAAAAACCAGCCCACTCCCCCACGCCCTCCTGTCTTGTACTCCCTACAAATACCTGAGGAACGAGATCATCACCCCACTCGTACTAACCATCCCAGGGCGCTCAACCACTGCCAAGATGTCCTTTCTTCTAACAGATCAAAATGAGCAGATAACAGCAAAGGTTGCTAGGTTCATAGCAGGGGCAATCAGAATAAGGGCCGCTAACTGACGGCTGATTCAGAACTTTAAATTGTGCTCTTATATCAAATTTCCTTTTCTGCGTATGGCTATTGGCTAATGCGAATAAAGTTTTATCTATCTACCAGCCCACTCCCCCATCGCCCCGGAAAAATTCCTGTAGTTTCAGGTTGCACCTAAGGCTGAGGCAAGGGGAAGGGTCACACAACAGTGTGGTCACCCCCTTCCAGTGTTCTGAAATATAAAAACCCTGCAGTTACTCCCACAGAGACGGGGAAGCAAGGTTTCGTTTGCATTTTATTTTATTTATTTATTATTGTGTTTGTATTCCACCTTCCCTCAAAGGACCTCAGTTTGACATACAAGGTTCTTACCCTGCCCTGTTTCATCCTTGCAACACCCCTGTGAGGTAGATTAGGCTGAGCAGCAGAGATTGGCCCGAGGTTGCCCAGTGAGGTTCCTGTCAGAGTGGGGATTTTTAATCTGACATTCAAACCACTATACCACACGGGCTTTTGCCGTTTCAATTGACTTAATAAGAGTATTACAGTGGTACCTCAGGTTACAAACACTTCAGGTTACAGACGTTTCAGGTTACAGACTCTGCTAACCCAGAAATAGTACCTCAGGTTAAGAACTTTGCTTCAGGATGAGAACAGAAATCACGCTCCAGCGGCAGCAGGAGGCCCCATTAACTAAAGTGGTGCTTCAGGTTAAGAACAGTTTCAGGTTAAGAATGGACCTCCAGAACGAGTTCTTAACCCAAGGTACCACTGTACTGTAATAAAGATTTTGGAAGTTTTGATGTGTGTGTGGGGGGGCAGTTTTCAATTTCATTGCACTCCGCCTGAGCTCTTGGATCAATTGGGAATAGAGGCAGTGTCGTGAAGCCTTGGTTGGGTCATGGCCTCTCAGTCTAACCTACCTCACAGGGTAGTTGTGGGGACTGAACAAGAACTAGGACCAGGGTTCAAATCCCCACTTGGCCATGAAACTCACAGAGTGTGATCTTGGGGGATATTCACTGCCTCTCAGCCTAACCTACCTCACAGGGTTGCTGTGCTGATTAAATGAGGGGGGAAATATATATGCCATCTTGAGTTCCTTGGAGAAAAAAAGTGGGATATAATTCAATAAGTAAATAATAATACAAGTGACGTTGGGTCAGGATTCCTAAATAAACAGCAGTTTGGGACAGGCAGTAGGGACCGATTCTTTGGCCAAGCTAAGAGTCTAAAATTTCATCCAGGGTGGTGTTAACCTTGCCTCTGTGGAGACTAGACAGATGGCTTTTTGCCAAGACCTGGCAAACAAAAGATGACGATGTGTTTCATTTTGAGAAGGCCTTTCTGCTACCCAGACTTTGCATCAATCCAATCTATACACGGTTCCCCCTTATCTCTCCCGCTCACAGAAAGTTGCCTTTTCTGTTAATTGAGGCATAGCAGAGTGGCATTAATTGAAAACTGGCTTCTGGAACAAAGGACATGGGGATTTAGCAGGAGGGGTAGATGGCTAGCACACTAAAAGGAAAAGGAAATCATAGCTGTGACAGCAGTGAGCAGGACTGTGGTACTGTGTGTGTGTGCGCGCGTGCGCGCGCTCCGTGCCCTGTGGAATTTCGCAACCTGGGTATATATTATGCAATCTGTGCACTTTGGCATAATCAGAGAGAGGTTGGTTGGGGCAAAGGCAGCGGCACCTCTCCCACAACCCCCTTGGAATTCCTATGCTTCTAAATACCCATTGTTGGAAGCCACCAGGAGGAGCTAGTTGTGGGTTACCACTGCGTGGCCACTGTGAGAACAGGATGCTGGACTAGATGGGCCTTTGGCTTGATCCAGCAAGCTCTTAGCTCTTCTTCTTCTTTTAAATAGTTTTTATTGATTTTCCAATAAAAAACATCCAATTAATATATCCAATCATAATACTCCAATTAAAATAAAAAACTAAAATAAAGAAGACCAAATTATAGTCCAAATTATATTTATTAATTTTTCAGAGCTCCCCGCGGTCTCGATCTCTGAAGCAAATCTCCAGATCCAGCCAGCTCTTCTTACGCTGTATTCAGATACCCCTCTGGGTGCTGAGATTTCACTTAAAAGTGCTGTACTGTAGTATTTGCCGTCAAGGGGACTAGAATGTGTATGTGTTTGTTTGTTTGTTTTTAAAAAGTTGAGGTTTACAAGAAGCTGAATTCTGTGTCTGATGCCAGGCTCTTGCACTTTTACAATTATTAGTACAGTGGTACCTCGGGTTAAGAACTTAATTCGTTCTGGAGGTCCGTTCTTAACCTGAAACTGTTCTTAACCTGAGGTACCACTTTAGCTAATGGGGCCTCTCGCTGCCGCTGCGCCACTACCATGCGATTTCAGTTCTCATCCTGAAGCAAAGTTCTTAACCCGAGGTACTATTTTTGGGTTAGCGGAGTCTGTAACCTGAAGCGTCTGTAACCTGAAGCGTCTGTAACTTGAGGTACCACTGTAGTGAGTATGGGGTTGTGGTGTGTACGTAGACCTGGGCTGTGAGCAAAGGGAAGGGCCATAGCTCAGTGGTAGAGCACCTGCATTACATGCAGAAGGTCCCAAGTTCAATCCCTGGCATCCCCAGGTAGGACTGGGAAGGTCCCCTATCTGAAACCCTGGAGAGCTACTGCCAGTCAGTGTACGTATATGGTATTGAGCTAGATGGACCCAATGGTCTGATTAAGGCAGCTTCTTATTTTTCCATATGGTGATTGGAGTATCTGCTTTGGAAATAAGGCTTGCCTTTCTCTAAGCCTGAGCTACCCTAATTTCTACAGTAGCTATGATCTTAATAATGCAGGATCCCAAGAATCTTGCTTGCCTGGGTTCCTGAAAAGCTTAGTGGAGATTGGAAATACTATCTCAGGCAGGCGTTAGGGCTTGAGAGCAGGTACCAGCTCCAGAACCCAGGACCCTGGAGAGGTGAGGAAGGAATTTAGCACCACCCTCCATGTGGCCAAAGGCAAGAACTCTTCACTGTGATAGGCTGGAGTGGGTCATGTGATATCCACAGGCCACATGGAAAAGCTTCTAAGTCAGACTGGCTTCCTGCTCTGGGTATCACTACTGGAGTCATTAGTGGGAAAGTGTTTTTAGCCTGACCCACATTCTCCTTCTGGGCAACATGCCAGTGGTAGGTGGGGCCAGAGGAAATAATGGGCGGAGCAATGAATGCATATTTTATCTTTGTACAGTAGACTTGTTTCTACACACCCCTCTGTGTCCTTCAGGCAAGCAAGAGACATGATCAAAGTCCACTGACACATTCCTGCATTGCAGGGGGCTGGACTAGATGATCCTTGGATCCCTTCCAACTCTACAATTCATTTGAGAGTCTGCCCTTCCCTTGCCTGTCTCCTCTCCTTTTGACTTGGTGCTTTGTTGATGGGTTACCTAATACCTGCCTTGAGGCATGATTTCACAGGGCCGATGAGGTCACCACTTAGTGACTTTCCTGCTGAATGTATGAGCTGACTCCCATTAGAAAGCATTCTTTGAACACGTAAGAGCATTAGGAACATAGGGAGCTGCCATTAGCCCACCTAGCTCAGCATGGTCCACATTGACTGGCAACAGCTTGCCAGGGTTTCAGGCAAGGATATCTTCCGACCCTACCTGGAACTTGAACCTGGGACCTTCTCCATGCAGAGCAGATGCTCTACCACTGAGCTACAGCCATTCCTTGAAATTAAGATCCTAGGCCTCATCATTCTGAAGAATGACTTAAACAGAAACACAGGAAGCAATGCCTTATACTGAGGGAGGCTATTGGTCAATCTAGCTTCATATTGCCTTTGTTCACTGAAAGCAGCTCTCCAGGGTTTAAGAAATAATAATAATAATAATAATAATAATAATAATAATAATAATAGTGGTAGTAGTAGTAGTAGTAGTAGTATGGTCCTCTGGACAGTGTCAGAAATTATTATGCTTCCAGCTGCATTTTGAACATTTACTAACATTTACTTTGTTAAGTGTTGATATTTACCAGTAGGTGAGAAAAAGTGGAATGGAATTTGGGCATTAGCCCAAAGCATTATCAACAACTGCAAGCATTCTCTGGTGTTTCCTTTTCGTCTCCAGAACCACTAAGTATTCTTCATATGTATTTCCCAAGTTTAGAACATTGGGTTGTCTCCAATGTTTGCCCTACTCAGCATACACCCATTGAAATGAACAAATGTGACTTAGGTCCCATTAATTTCAAAATGTGTTTACTGTGAATTTAGTTGGATGCAAGCCAATGCATCTACTTTGAGTAGGACTATCTAAGGCCTATTAATTTCAGTGCGTCTACTGAGTTGTATACATTATTTTATTTATTCATTATGGCTCCTAGCTATGCCTATGCCTCCTGAGAGCAGACCCACTGAAATTAATAGACTAGGACTAAACTAGGACTACCATTAGAGGCAACCCCCAAGCCCCTCCATCATTTTCCAAAACCTTGTTCATTCCCCAAATGCTACCCCCCCCTTTTCATTGCCTGCTGGTAAATTTCAACACTTGCCAAGGCACGTCAGTTGGTAAATGTCCAAAAAGCAGCTGGAAGCATAATCATTCCTGACATTGACCTGGAGATAACCCCCCCCCCCACAATTTTTATTGTTGGCAATAATGTACGCTAGTCCTACCCAACCCTCTGTGCTCCAGCTGCTTTGGACTTCAACTCCCATCAGCCACAGGCAGCACGGGCAATGGAGAGGGATGATGGGAGTTGGAGTCCAAAAACATCTGGAGGGCCTCAGGGTTGGAGCAGGTTGATGCATAAACTTCTTTCCTTTTCTCGTTTTCTTTTCTTTTTTAACAAAGCAACACTGACTTAAAAAACAAGATAAGACATGATTTTTTAAAAAAATCAAAGCAAAATAAAAAGTGCTTGCACGAGAAGTCTTATTCATCTGTGCTGTTCTCTCCCCACCCCCCACCCCGTTTCTTTCCTCCTCTCTCTCCCCACACCCAAAGGATTGATCTAAAAAAAGGCTAAGCAAAGAGAAGACAAAAGGAAGAGCCTGCTAGGCAGCCCATCCGACTGCCTGACTGGCAGATTCCAGTTAGCACCTTATCAGTGCAGTGGCAGATCCTGCGTTTGCTACGGCAACCCAGAGCACCAGAGACAGCGGTGGAGAGGGGAGGGCAGTTTTGTAACCAGGGACGACAGCAGCAACACTGCCACTGGGCTCCAGCGAGGAGGAGCGAGCAAGAGAGAACGGATAGGAAGGGAAGAAGGAGAAAAGGCTGTCTGGAGAGAGGCAGAGAAAAAGCTCCACGAATTTCCCGTTTCTGTTTTGCAAAAAAAAAGGAAAGGCAAGTGAGCTTGGCGAAATCTCGTCATTTTTATTTCAGGAGGGCCCTGCTGAAACATAACAATACGACCTTCCCTGTTTCACTGGGAAATAATAATTGTAATAACGAAAGGTTTTTCTCTGTCTTCTCACTCCCCACCTTCCCCTTTTTTCACCAGCCGGTATGGAGGGAGACGACCGCCTCGCCATCTGCTTGTGACTGCTTTGCAGAGCTGAGTTGTGGATGCCAGAAAATAAGGGGACGTAAACCTCCACTGGAACTCCGGATCCGGACACTGGAATTGCAGCTGAACTTATAAAGCTTATTACCCCCTTGTTTCTCTTTCTCTCTCCCCACCTCTCTCTCTTTCCCCCTCCCCCCTCCGCTTTCCATCCCCTCCCCCCCCCAATTTTTTTTGGGGTGTGTGTTAGCGCTACTTGAAGGAAATCGGAAGGGTCTGGTTTGGCTTTGAAACTGAGACAGTCCCTCTGTCGTTCTCCACCCTTCACATCAGATCTCTCTGCCCCCCCCCCCCGCCCGCCTTCCTATATGCTTCTCCGCTAAGTGCAAGAAGGGCTTTGAGAGAAATTTATGCCCTGTTAAAAAGTCCAGTGGACAAACCTTGCCAGATCGAGATGGGGAAATCGAACAGCAAGTTGAAGCCTGAAGTTGTGGAAGAACTGACGAGGAAGACATACTGTAAGCCATTCCTTTCTCTCTCTTTTTAATTAAAAAATTACTTTGAACAGCAAAAAATAATAATAATCTTGGGTTCTCATAACGGTGCAACTTTCCAGGTACTGGAGCCAGCTAGGATGCAGAGAAGGCCTTGGACTGCAGAGGGTGGGGGGGGATCTTTGTTGGTTGTAGGGGATTTTGGGGGGCGGCTGGGAGGCAGAGGGGGTGTACTTGTGTGATGACACACAAAGACTTTGGCCAGGAGATCTGGGTGGTGGTGATAGTGGCAGGATACAGGGTCTGCAAGCCTGCCGTAGTTGAGTGGTGCAAAATCTGCTGCATTGATGGAGAGGCGGGGTGGTGGTCCGAGGTGCTGGCGTTGGGAGTGAGGGTGGGTGGGCGTGGAGGGAGTAATTTTTGCAAGGAGAAGCCTGCTGAGGTGGGGTCATTAGTTCCACGGCTCCATAGATCAAAGTAAAAACAATAATAGAAAAGGCAAGCAGGTTCTCTTTCTTCCGCCAAGGAGGCTCACATGTTCTGTGGTGATTCATGTCGTGTTGAGATGCTCTCGGGCGGCATCGCAACATCGCCCCCCCATCAGCTTCTCCTGGGGGTGGGGACTGGCTGTGAGCCAGTATGGAGTCAGGATGGATGTGTGTGAGTTCTCGTGTGTGGAGGAGAGAGGAAGGGGAACGTCATGCACCATAATAGCCAAGCCTCCTCGTTCATTTCTGGGGAGCTGATAGCCCGCTGTAGCCTGGGGGCTCGGAAGGGGGGGGGTCGTGGCAAAGGCAGAACGGTTTGTCTTTTTGCCAACCCTGAAACTGGGCATTGTGGGGCGGGGAGAGATTTAACAATCTGGAAGAGGAAAAAGATAGAGAGAGAGAAAAAAATGTGTATATGGAGAAATAAAACAAAGGGCATTAGGTGAAGATGGATGGCTGTATACAAGTTCTGTGCAAAGGAGGACCCACTGAAATGAATGGACCCAAGTTGTAGCCATGTGCATCATGTTCAATGTGGGTTTCCTCTAAGAAGGACTTACAGTGTTGGGAGCACCCCCGTGGGGGGTGTAGTTTGTGCTACTCAGAGCAGACCCATTTGTTTTTAGCCAGTGCAAGTCCTACTCAGAGTAGACCCATTAATAACATAAGAAGAGCCCTGCTGGATCAGATGAATGGTCTAGTCCAGCATCTTGTTCTCACAGGAGCCAGCTACTAAATTGAAAACAATGGGCACAGCTAACTTAGACCCATTCATTTTAATGGGTCTACACTAAGCAGACAAATGTGACAGGCAACTTGTATATATATTTGGTCCATTTGTGGTTTCCTTTGATATTTAGATGGAGCTTTGTTCGCAAAGTCCTGAATTTTAGCTGGAGAGCGCTCCTTGGAGTTCTGAGATTCTGTACCTTCCTCTCCCCTATTATGTTAGTGCAAGGGAAGCAAAATGCCTTTCTAATAATGAAAGTGGGTCGCTGATTTGTGGTGCAATGACTTTTCCTATGGCGATGGCGGGAACATGGCTCTTAACTCATGCTTGGGATTTCTGTGTTTCAAGTTGTTTTTCCTCAGGGAAAACAAGAGGCCGGGAACTGTGTTGGAGATTGCTTCCTCTTTTCTGCCTGTTCAGTTTGGCTCACTTACTCAAGTCATCTGGAGAGCTGCTCTGCTCTTTAGGGGTGGTTTCCTGCTGCACAGATAAAGCCAGAATGTGGTTATATTAGATTGAAGGAATTCAGCTTCTCTTTCTCCCCCCCCCCCACCTTTTCACACTTATGTTTTATTAAGTTTCAATATTTTTAACGTATACAGTCAAAACTCAATTTCATCTTTTCTCTTTATTTTTGTTGGCTTCCCACCCCATTTTCCATGGAGTTGTTTTCAGGGAGTGGGATCCTGTTTTTCCTGTCTTGTCTGTGCCCTATCTTAGCATAGTAAATAAAAAATAAAAAAGCAACTTTTTGGAAGTATTATTTCTGTATTATGAAAGTTGTATTTAAAAAAACCTCATTTCTTCTAAAGAACTCAAGAGTGCTTTCCTTCCTTGCATCCTCATTTTTTTCACTGCAACAACCCTGCAAGGTAGAAGAGCCTGGAAGGAAAGTGGGGGCTGGCCTAAGGTCAGCCAGTGAGTTCTGTGGCTGAGTGTGGATTTGAATCTGAGTTTCTGGGCTCTGCTTGATCCATTGTTTGTTGTGTTGTACTACCTTTTCAGAAGGGTTGTGTGTGTGTGACAGTACATTGAACTGCATGGGAATATCAGTTCATTGTTTGCTGAAAATATGTATGTGAAATATTTATCTATGTGGGTAGCTAACTTTTAGAGAGGACATGTCACTGTCTCCCATTTCCATTGCTGGGTTTGAAAGAACTTTGTTGTTTTCAACTAGGTAGGGTCCATCCCATGTTCCTGATTACATAAAGACTATAACTTTGTTTTGTTTATTCAAACCCACTGGTATCTCCCAACAAGGCTGGGAAAAGAGTTCTGAATCTCTGGAGAGCGACTGCCAGTTAGAGAAGACCAGACTTCCCCAACCTGGTGCCCTCAAATGTCGCTGGACAATACCTCCCAGGGCCCATGAGCTTTTGGCTATGCTGACTGGTGCTGATGTCCAAGCACACCTGGAGATCACCAGGTTGATGTTAGCAACGCTGTTCTCAATAGGCCGATAGTATGATTTATCATAAGGCAACTTTTCTACATTCTTATTGACCAAACTTTTAGTATGGAGAGGGCTAATGGACAGCTCTTTCTCTCTTATACAGCCAGCTGTTGTGTGCATTGGCAGAGTGAGTATAAGTATCTCTGCCCCATTCTGTTCCTCCCTGCCCCCTGTTCTGCCTTCTCCCAGGTCCAAGAGGACCCGCATGTCTGCGATCGCATGCCAATTGGAAGCACCTAAAATGTAATGTGCCTGTGATGCTAGGAGTCTGTGACGAGGGTGCGGCTGTCTCCCAGTTAAATCTGATTGACATAGTTTCAGAACAGATGTAGCCTGGATAGCTCAGTTGGTTAGGGCGTGGTGCTGGTAATGCCAAGGTTGCGGGTTTGACCACCATATGGGACAACTGCATTTCTTCCATTGCAGGGACTAGATGATTCTCAGGGTCCCTTGCAACTCTATAATTCTATGATTCTATGAATGGAATACAGTAGATGTTGGTTCATTAGGGCAAATGGGGCACTGCCCCCCCCCACCTCAGACTGCCCTCAGCCAATCCGTACCTGCCTGCCTTCTTACAACCAGTCAAGCTTCCTCCTCCTCCTCCTCCTTCTCTTCCTCCGTCTCAGTGTTGCCCCTTGTAGAACCAGGCAGGGAGGAGATGGGGACAGAACTAGAATTAGTTGGCTCTGCTTTTTGTTGCCTCTGGCTTCGCCCACTGCTTGGGCACTCTGCCTTCTGCCCTATCAGCCCCAAATGAGCACCAGTCTCCAAAGACTCCTTTAACACAGTTAATTTAAAGGAATTAACGCCGATATGAGGTGTGTGGGTGGCCAGCCCCTTGATTTTTAAAAAGAGGACTTAACCCAGTCCTTAAATTTGTTGATCAATATTTTTTAGCCATGCTGGCTAAAAGGAGCCTGTGCAGACAGATGGTGGGGACAGATGACCAGGGAGGGCTGGCTGGCTTAATGCCCTGCTTGGGAGGTTTGCAGAGGTCTTTGGCTGGTTCTTTTCAGAAGGCAGATGCTAAACAGGATGGCTCCATTGACATGACTAGGTAGTCCACCTGGTTCTCAGGAAAGGAATTCATAAAATTAACTGCCTGCCTACAGCATTTAACAGAGATAGTTAGGAGGGGTGCCTCCAAGTTCAGGGGCAGTCTACCTCTGAGATGCCGAGAAGCTCAATTCAAGCTGCTGGTGTTTAACCTTTTAAAGGCCTAATAGGCCAGGGGATAGCTGACCTTTAGATCCTGCTGGACTACAACTCCCATTACCCACGAGAATTGGCCCTGACAGGTTGGGGGCTGATGGTGTTGTAGCGATGACCACCAACTAGGATGGTTTTAAAACAGAATTGCAGATTTGTGGAGGATATGGCTAATGGCTGCTAGCCACAATGGCAGTATTCTCCCTGCACTGTTAGAGGCAGTAATGACTCTAAATACCAGTTGCTGGGATTCATAAGTGGGGAAAGTCACTGATGCTCTCAGGTCCTACTTTCTGGCTTCCCACTGGGGCATTTGTCAGCCACTCTGAGAACAGGATGCTGGACTAGATGGTTCCCACCCCCTTTGGCCTGATCCAGCAAGGTTCGTCTTATGCTCTTCCTATTTTAGGCAGCTGATTTTAAAAAGTAGCTGTTTTTAAAAGGTTGGTGGGGGCATGGGGGGGGGTATCTGGAAAGCTAAATGGTGGCATATTTCTTTGTCTCCAGTTGCCCCGGGACAAAATCTAAGCAGAATGGAGCGTATTGACATCTAAACAAAAAGTTTTATGCAGCCCCAGCAAGATGATGAGCCAAGCAATATGGGAACCAAAAAGCAAATCTGTGAGGTGAGATCTTCAGAAGAAATAGACAGAGCCCTGTCTGAGGCTTCGGAGGAGGCCTCAGACACTGACATGACCAAAGGCAATATAAAGCCCCCCCCCCCCCCGCCCCAAAGGACAGTAGCTGCCACAATGGAAGAGGACAGAGACTTAGATGAGTACATTAATAAAATAAGGCAAGGACTGGTCTTGGTCTGGGGAGCAGCTCTAGCTATTTGAGCAGAAATTTGATGTGCTATCTAATCAACTGTCATATATTTCTAAAACAACAAATGATGCACACAATCTTGCTCTAACTAACCAATCTGAGATCCAACTCTTACAAATGATGGCTAGGAAGCTGAAGGAACAATTTGAGAGGGATAGCAGGAAATTTTTTCATCTACAACGCCTACTGGAGAACCAGGAGGAGGGGCGGGGACATGGTTCAATTCATTATTTACTAGATACTCTCCTTGAATTTAAACATACCATTGTCGCCCATAGAAAAAGCCCATCGGGTTCCCGGAGGCAGAAGCAGAACCAGGGAAGCCCCAAGAGAAGTGGTAATTCTTTTTGAACAGAATAGACTCAAAGACTCAATTTTCAGAGCACTAAGGAATGTTAGAAACCTAAAATATGGCGAAGCCACCGCTGAAATATTTCAGGATAACAGCCCAGCCACACCGCGGTGGCAGAGGGCTCTCCAGCCTTATACATCAGCTCTAAAAGAAGTGGACATAGCATATTGCTGTGGCTTCCCTTTTAAGTTGATAGTCCGGCTAAAAAGCAGAACCTGGGTTGCAAGTGATAACCAGCAGACTGGCAACATACGGAAAGAGCTCCAGCTCCAAGCAGGAGATATCGCTCCTCAGCTCAAGCGCACAAGAGCACCTTCTCAGGCTGGACAACCAAAAAAGGGCAGAAAGAAATAAGGCAACTCCAATTAGAAAGTAAGAAATTGTTTTGTTTTGTTTTATTTTCATGCATGAAAAGCATCTGAACTCCACTCTAACAAGCACAACAGTAATTTGGAAGAGCCTTTGTCCTTAGGCATTAGGAGGTGTGCAGCTTAGCAACAAGCCCCCGCCTGCCCCCTTAATTGATCCTGGGTACCATGGGAAGGATCTCCACCACTCCCACATTCCTGTTGGCAAGCAGGGAAGCACACTCTAGCATTTGTGTATGTAGTTTTCAGTTTATGTCCTTTGATTTCCAAGTTATAGAAGTTTAGCAGAAAAACCGAGTTTCTTGAAAAATTCCATCTTTAATAGAGCAGGAACTACATACTTAGCATTTAACTCTCTGCTATGCACATTTCTACCAACATTACTTTGATTCCTCAAAGCCAAACTACGTATAAAGCTTCTCTCCTTCAACGTTAGAGGGATAGGATCACCAATCAAAAGAGCCAGAGTGGAGGCAGCCCTGCAGAGGGAACATCCAGACATTGTTCTTCTGCAGGAGACGCATCAGTGCAGGAACCAGAGGGCTGCCTTGCTGGATAGGCGAGAAACTACAAGCCCCCGGGCTCTGGGAAAGCCAGAGGCGTGGGTGTCCTGATAAGCAAGCACTGCCCTCTGAGTGTTGAGGAAAGTTGGGAAGAAACCGATAGGCAGATACCTCTTTGTTCAAGGTGTCATAGGCAGCCATGAAATCACCATTGCTTATTTTTATGCACCCAACTCAGCACAAGAAGACTTTCTCCGGAAGATGCTAACATAATTAGACCATTTAAAAAGAGGACAAACCATAACAGGCAGAGACTTCAATTGCTGCAGCAATGACACAAAGGACCGAAGTAGGCACTGATCTGTGAACAAAATCTGCAACCCATTCTAGGTGGAAATATTAACTGAAAGGGACCTTGTGGACCCCTGGCAGACACTACATCTAGAAGGCAGGGAATTCTCATGTTTTCCCCATAAGTCAGTGCCACACTAGACCTAATATTAGTACCTAAACCAATCCATTTCTTGGGAATAAGTCCTAGGGGTAATTAAGAATTTAAAATCCGGAAAGTCCTCAGGACTGGACGATTTTACAGGAGAGTTTTATAAAGCATTTCGCAATGAGCTTGCCCCATGGCTGACCAAAGTGTACAACTAGAACGGGGGGGGGGGGGAGCATCACAAACATGGTGTTCTTCAAAACTGATGCTACTCTGAATCATATAGTTCTCATTAATGTAGACACAAAGTTGTTCACATCAATAATGGTCAAGCGTCTAAATATGTTTATAACTCAGTACATATCTCCAAACAGGGTTCATGCTGGCCAGAAGAGAAGCATCACAAGTTTCATTAGGACACTAAATGTTATACATGAGCTAAATAGAGCTGAATAATCTCTCTTGATGCCATAAGACTTTTGTTAGAACTGATTCATTGTTTCTGATACACCAGCTAACCAAATTGAAATTTGGATCTAAGTCCTTGCACCTCATTAAGCAATTATACTCCAAATCAAAACCAATCATTTCAATCAATGGCTTCGACTCTCAGGCTATCGAGCTCTTAAGGGACACCCGACACTCTGCTGCCATTGCTGTTTGCATTGATCATAGAGGTATTAGCCATTCAACTGCACAAAGACACTTTTATAGAGAGAATGAGGTACACAAAATGAATATGTTTGCAGATGAGACCCTCTTAATTCTGCAAAATCCACTTAAGTGGCAGTTAGAAATGTATCACAGGGTAGCAGGATTGTAAATCAACTATTGTAAATCCCTGCTCCCTCCTATCAATTTAGACTGGTTGCTAGTTAACTCTCCATTTGCCATAGCACCTGGAGGATTTAAATACTTACTGCAGACACAAGACAACTGAGACATAGAAGCTATAGGGAATTGTATAAAAAGAAATTTGGGAATGGAAACATCTTAGCCTTAGCTAGTTGAGGCAAATAGCCATGGTCTAAATGTCAATGTTACCTAAATGCTTACACTTCCCCCCCCCCCTTCAAGTTTGCCTATTCTCGTCCCTCCTCTTCATCTAAAGAGATGGCAAAAGAAACTCAATGCATTTGTGTTGGGAGGCAAAAAATCTAGGATAAGCAACAAAACTTTGCAGACATTGAACAAAAGGAGGAGTGGAAATGATAACTTAATGTTCTATTTTGCTACTTATCAAATCATTGATCCCATTGCTCAGGGTAAGACTAGAAGACCCTTGGGTCCAACTTGAGATGGTCCCTTCCACACCTTCAATGAGAAGTCACCTTTTCTTACCTTTGTATATGCAGGAGGTAAGGAAAATAGACCATCCATTTACAAGATAAGTACTGATAGTGTGGAGAACATGGAGTGAAACACTGGGCCCTGACCCTCACCACTGGTCCCATTCCTCTATCATCCAGCTTTCAGCCACACAGATAAATATCAACTGTTTAAGGATTGGGAAGATGTAGGCATTTACATAATCCATGACCTGCTTCCCAGAGGGAAAGCAATATCCAAAATAAACTGCAAGTTAAATTAAAAGGCATTTGAACTACAGCACCTGGTTTGAGGTAAATCAGGCTCATTCTTTTGCACCTTGTTTAGAGAGCAGGGGAGAGGGCTTACACACACTTACCTTGTCTGAATCCTTCTACAGCAAGTCAGCCTATGACCTGATGGGTGCTGCTTCCCTAATATACAGCAATTGGTAATGTCATAAAGCAGGAGATGCTAGAGGCCTTCAATTTTTTATAGGAATTAGGCCACCCAACTGAAGATCACAAATGGGAGGGTAGCTGGACACCCCTCTGCCTTGCTGCCGTAAAACCATCTCTGCTTGCTTACAGGAGGCCTTGCTCAAGGTCATTCTGCACTGGCCCTGGATACCAGTCAGGCTTGCAGAAATTAATCCCTCCTTTTCCCTTTCATGTTGGAAGAGTTGTTGTGAACTGGGGTCATTTATTAATGTCTGGTGGGAATGTCTCCATGTTAAAAACTTTTGGAATAGAGTATTCTCCATTATAGCCACCATGATAAGCCAACCCCTTTCTCCAAATCCTGCCTTAGCCCTACGATCTTTGGACATAGGCTTGGGCTCCGTTCTCCACCACAGAGAACTGGACAGCTTCTTAATGACTGCAGAACAATTAGCAGTAGCTCAGCAATGGAAGAACCAGACTGAAATATCCCTGAGCATATGGGGAAATAATAAATGGAATACAGCAGAGTCTGAGGAGGGCAATTAAAGGCATATGCATAGAAACACCCTCCAACAAACACGGACTCCTTTCTTTAACTATGTTAACAAGCAAAATTATACCAACCACTCGATATTCTCAGTCAAGAGGTTATGTTAAGTAAAATGTTTGAATATTGAGTGTGTAAGCTTACGTCTAAAGTCAATTGATAGAATGAACACTATTAGATGTAATGCTGGGTACTTGTATCTAATATTTCTATTTATTTAAAAACAAAAAAAGTTAGTTAAAAATCAAAAAATGTTTATAAAAGGCTATTAATGGGTTATTGATTTATTTTTCTTGTTTGATGTTTTATTATTGATGCCCTGGGTTTGTTTGTTGGGTTTTTATTTTTTTAATAATATTTTGATCTTGTGGTGTGAGTCAGCATGTGGATTTTTTCATATGTATATGAAGCTCTGGATTTGTTAGCCACCTTGAGTCATGTCTGAGAATTAGGCAGGATAAAAACCGATAAAAGTCAGTGGGGACTACCAGCTTGGAGGCTTCCTGGAGATGTCTGGCTGGCCATTCTTAGGATCTTGAACATCAGGTAGATCAACAGTGTTTAACGTTTCCAAATCCAGGGCCTTCTTTTAACCCAAATATGCATCTGGGACCCATTTCTAAATCTTTCATCATATATTTGCATAGCAGTAATGCTCCTGTTGTGACCCACCTTGGATCTGGAAGCACCGGTTGAAGACCAATGCCCTAGGTAGATGACAGCTTTGTCCCTACACAACACTTCTTAATGTTGTACAAATGAACTTTTCAGACAATGCCTAACAGGCTCTCTTTCCATCTTCTGCTGATCTTTGGGCTAATCTGTCTTTTGAAAGGACTCTCAACTCCCCTGTTTAACATGCTTCACAATCTGATTTCATTAGCTCAATGAGCCACTGACTTATTCTATTTGGCGTGATCAGTTTGCATTGAATGGGGCGATTCTCTTGACAAAAAAGAAAAAAGAAAAAAGGTGGAGCTGTTTTTAAGTGAAGATTTGGGGGCGTTTCAAGGAGTGTAGGGTTTCTGCCCCTCCTTTCTTTTCTCGCCTTGGAAATGTGCAGATTGAGTCCGAGACTCCAGCTTTGGCAAAACTGTTGAATCCAGAGCACGTACCCAGGCAAAGGTGTGCTCACTCCGCACCCTCCCTCCCCTTCCTCTGTTGCCGCCTCTGCTGCAGTCCACAGAATTGCTTACCCAAAAAGGCAATCAAAGAGGACGCCACAGGTTCATGTGTTTTCCCTGCACAGTGGTGCAATGCACAACCCTTAAAAAGCCAGCACCGTTTCGAGAAGGCTCAGAGAGCAGGCAGCGTCTTTCCAAAGAATGCATGGCAGGTTGCTGGTCCTGCTGGATTGGATTGGCAGTCTGTCACAGCCCGGGGGTGGTGGGCAACAACTAGTGGCCCCCAGAGCCTAATCCCATGGGGTGCCAGTTGGTCGCTCTTCTAACCCAGAATTTCACAAGTGACCTGGAAGGAAAATAAGAAGCTGCCCTGTGCTTAGTCCGGCCCATAAGAACATAAGGCGAGCCTCCTGGCCAAAGGGAGTACATCTGGTCCAGCATACTGTTCTCACAGTGGCCAGCTAGATACCCCAAAGGGAAACCCTCTAGCAGGACTTGAGCACAAGAGGACTCTCCCGTCCTGTGGCTTCCAGCAACTGGTATGCAGAAGCATTCCTGTTCTGACTGTGGCGATAGAGCATGGCCATTGTGGCTAGTAGCAATGGATAGCCCTCTCCTCCATGAATTTTTCTAATTATTACTTTCATCTAAAAATAAATTAAGAAACCAATCCTCCTGATTCTGAATAGGAGATGCTGGGGATTGAACATCGGACCTTCTGCATGCTCCACCTTTGGCGAGAAGAGCTATGCTGCAATGCTGTGTTTTAAATGCCACATTACTTTGATAGAAGGGTTGGTTTGTTGTTGACTGTTGTAAAACACACTTTGGTGAAAAGCGGCCTATACCTACTGGAAAGGAATGTGTAAAATAAATACAGTGGTACCTCGGGTTACAGACGTTTCAGGTTACAGACTCCGCTAACCCGGAAGTAGTACCTCTGGTTAAGAACTTTACCTCAGGATGAGAACAGAAATCGTGCGGCGGCAGCGGGAGGCCCCATTAGCTAAAGTGGTACCTAAGGCTAAGAACAGTTTCAGGTTAAGAATGAACCTCCAGAACAAATTAAGTTCTTAACCTGAGGTACCACTGTACTGGTTTTGCTTTCCCAGCAAACCAGCTTCCCACCAGAGGTTATGGATAACCTATCATTCGGCTTCCTCTGTTAGAGGCAGCCAGCCACTGAATGGCATTTCCTGGGAATCACAAGGGGGTTCAGTCCCAAGGACAGAAATTTAGGTTATCAAATGTGGCAGTGGCTAGCTGGAAAGGGAACAGCATCAAAAGTGTGGTGGAAGCCAGGTGGAGTGTGGTGCTGACATTTTGGCACTGGGGGTGGAGAATCTGAACTCAGCACCCCCAGTGTAGTAATATAATGATAATATTAACCACTCCAGTTAGAGTTGGGAGAAATTCCTGCCTGAAACTCTGGAGAGCTGCTTCCTGCTTGTCACTGCAGACAGTATTGAGCTTGATGGATCCCGTGGTGTGATTTGATTTAAGGCCACTCCCTGCAGTTATCATGATACATTGTCAATCTTGACTCAGAGACTTCTGTCTGCTGGTTCCATTTCCCAAATCCTGCTGAGTCCTTTTTCTTCAATATTTAATGGCATCTGAAGAGATTTTAATTGCGAATTAGCGTAACTTTCTGTTGCTGTCCCTGGGGATAGGTGAGTGAGATGAGTCTGCTCTAAGGCCTTTTGTTAGGGTGTTGGGAGTGGCGAGACTGGTTGCTGCATTCTTAGGAAGCAAGCCTAAAAATAAAATAAAGATTCCAGCAGACCTGGGAACTTACTTTCAAATTTGCCAGCCCTGGACTTGGTTTTGGAAGGCTTTGTAGCATCCTGCTTCCCCTGCCAGAGGTAATATGCCTCGGAATACCAGTTATTGCAAATTATTATCATTCACCTTTAGAAATCAACAGCAGCAACACCAGGATGTAGTCCACTAAGGCACCATCTGCAGCATACCTTTAAAGCAGAACCAAGTCATTTTAAACACCCATGGCTTCCCCGAGAGAATCCTGGGAACTACAGTTTGCTATTAGGGGCCAAGAGTTGTTAGGAGGCTCACACTTTACCCATCACAGAGCTACAATTCCCAAAGTTCCCTGAGAAGAAAGATTGCTAACCCACTCTGGGAGTTGTAGTTCTGTGAGGGGATGAGTGGGGGTTTCCTAACAACTCTTGGCATGTAACAGCAAACTACAATTCCCAGGATCCAATGGGGGAAGCCACAGCTGCCTAATAGCCCACTGATTCTAGAAATGCATGGGTGTCATGCCTTCCGTCTCAGAATAAGCAGCACTTCCACCCACGCTTCCTGGGTGCTGGGAGAGCAGTGAGGAATCTGGAGCAGGTGTTTTTTTTAGTTCTGTGTTTTTTGTCTTGACCACCCAACCTTGTATCTTGACAGCTCGGCCTGGTGTCCATGAGGGAGCAGAAATTCTGCATAGGTGGGTGAGCTGGGTGGCGGAAGGGGAGAGTGGATCTTCCACGCCTGCTCTGCTGAAGCAAATTTTTAAAATGTTGCTAGCCTTTGAAGAGACCCTCTCCTCTGATTCAGATGGCACAGATGCAAGCACCAGGGCTGAAGATACGTAGGCATTGTTTTAATAAGCTCAGGAGTGTCAGGGATTTCTTTATTCTCCAGCTCCCCGCACACAATAGGTTCCACCCCGTCAACGCCGCCTTTCCCCTCGCTGTCGTGTGACACTGGCCTAGCAACAAATCAGTGCTGGAAGGAAGCCAGCTGCAAATCCCCTTTGGGAACAAATTTCTGAAAGTCGGCATCTCATATTTAAGCCTGGCGAGGAGGGAGGGTGAGGACGAGAAATTTCTGGCCTATTTCCCAATGAGGTGTTTAGTGGAGAGCAAGGAAGCATTTTACCGCACTCGTGACGGCTGCCAACCTCCCTGGCCTCATGCCAGGAGAGGGTGGGGCCAAAATGGGAGTGGGTGGGATCAGAGTGGGAAGTGGGAGGAGTCACCCTGTCTCTCTCATTCACACACACACATATGAGAGCTGGTAGTGGTATAATGGTTAGAGTGCTGGGCTAGGGTCTGGGAGACGGGTTTGAATCAGGTCATGGAGCTTGCTGTATGGGTCACAGTCACTCTTTCAGCCTGACCTACTTCACAGGGTTATTGTGGGGATTAAATGAGGAACAGGACAAGGGTTCAAATCCCCCAATCAACCATGAAGCTCACTAGGTGATTCTGGGCCAGCTGCTACCTCTCAGCCTGACCTACTGGGCAGACTTCTTGCGGGGTTTAAATGAGGACCAGGTCCTGGGAGAGACCAGGGTTCAAATCCTCCATGTGGTCATGAAGCTCATTGGGTGACCTTGGGCCTGTCACTACCTCTGAATCTAGCCTATTTCATAGGGATTAAATGAAGAAGAGTAAAACTATGTATGCCACTTTGAGCTCCTTGGGGGAAAAGTTGGGATAGAAATGCAATAAATAAACATTGGTGTCAAACACATATTCAGCACACACTTACTGTGGTTGTTTAACAACTGCTTTTATATTTATAGGGGTTTTTTGTGTGTGTGTGCATATAGTTTTAGGTTTTTATTTATTCATTTATTAAATTTGTGCCTCGCCTTTCCTCCCAAAAGGGACCCAGGGCATTAAGCAGCAAAATGTTAAAACAGCACAATTTAAAATTAGATTTAAAACAAACACATTTAAAGCGTTTAGAAACCATTTAAAACAATCTAAAGCTTTTTAAAAAAGTTTAAAATCTCTAAATACATTGAAAAGCCATTGCAATATACAAAAAGCAGGAAGCCTGCATTTAGAGACCTAGTGTGTAAGGGAGAAGGCTATGCTGGGTTCCGTTATCCTGACATGCAGGGATTTTGTTGTTGCTGTATGGAGCAGCATGCACCTGTGGACTGTAACTGAAGCCCAGGTGTAGGTTGACTGCCTCAACGAAATGTAGACTTGAATGAGTTACATACTTTTTTTTTGCACTTTTAATGTTTAACTTGAATTGCTGGAATTTTGATGGGGCAGGAAATCACTGAACCAAAAAGCATTAAAAAAAAATAAAAGCCAAGAGCACCACCAGGATCTCAGTTCTCAAGTAATAATCAATTTCAGAATTATGAATTTATAAAGGGTTTTTTAGGTGAGAAATAGCCTGTTTTATGGGTTTGCAAAGTTTTGTGGAGGTGGGTGTTTGTGTATGTGGAGCTAACATCTGACATGAAGTTGATAAAGGTCTGCTGGACTTACTTGGTGTCCCCAGGATACAGATGCAGGAAACCTGTGGATTGCTTTTTAACAGAGAAGCTTTTGCATGATTCATTTCCAAAAGCCTGGGCCTGAAAATGCAAAGTTTTCGGTTTTGCAAAATCCACATCTGCAAATATGCTATGAAATTTGCCACGGATCCTCGTTGAGCTTTTCTGCAAGATCGTAGTGGGAGATATGAACAGGGTTGGCTCCAGCACTTGGAAGCTTGTGGCGACTGCCAGGGACCCCGTGCCCTGGTAGGCCCCACTGCTGATCCTTTATCTGAGCCTCACTGGATGTTCCACCAAGAAACCATTTCCATTTCCTACAACACTCCCAGCTTAGCTTCACTCTGATGCATTGTGGGAAATTTTAAAGATGAGCTCCTCCTTCTTCATAGCCCTGCATGTGCTGATTGTTGAGACCTAACCTGGAAGGAGCAGCCGCCACTCATGGGATTGCTCCCCCACTCTACCTCTGCCATTTAAAATAAAGGTAAAGGTAAAGGGACCCCTGACCATTAGGTCCAGTTGTGACCAACTCTGGGGTTGCGGCCCTCATCTCGCTTTATTGGCCGAGGGAGCCGGCGTCCAGCTTCCGGGTCATGTGGCCAGCATGACTAAGCCGCTTCTGGCGAACCAGAGCAGCGCACAGAAACGCCATTTACCTTCCCACCGGAGTGGTACCTATTTATCTACTTGTGCTTTGAGGTGCTTTCGAACTGCTAGGTTGGCAGGAGCAGGGACTGAGCAAGGGGAGCTCACCCCATCTCTGGGATTTGAACTGCTGACCTTTTGATCGGCAAGTCCTACGCTCTGTGGTTTAGACCACAGCGCCACCTGTGTCCCATTTAAAGTAGTACAGTCCAGACATGGATTTACAGCCTCAGTGAGAATGACAGGCAGGGCTGTCAGTGGATGAGGATTGTTTTCCAGCACTAACAATTTCTGTGACCAGTGGTGGAGCTTCATGCTCCGGCACCGGGGGCGTGCTGGTGCGTGTCCTGGGGGCGGGGCGTGCTGCCCGCAGGGGCAAGTCCTGGGGGCGGGGCACCCAGCGCCGGCCGGGTGGTAGCCACGATGGAACCCCACCGGGATCGCGCTGCCAGGGGCGGTGCGCTCCCCCCGCCCCCCTCTTCCTCCGCCAGTGTCTGTGACTGATCATGGTGTAGGAGACTGGCATTCTAAGAGAAAGCACACACGGCAGTCAAAACTCTGGTGAGGATTTAAATCAGGGATGGGAATAGTCCAGTCCAGGCCCTAGATGTGGCCCTCAGTTCCTCTCTACCTGACTCTCTGCAGGCCACACCCCTTCTCTCCACAGGACATACCTGTTGCCTCTAAATAGAAGAGGCATTCCTCCTGAGAGAAGGGAGAATGCCTCTTCTTAGATCAGCTTCCCCACGGCAGAACTCTACAGAATTGTAGAGTTGAAATGGACCTAAAGGGTATTCTAGTTCAACCCTCTGCAATGCAAAGAGGAGGCATTACCTTCTCAAGAGCTGGATGAATGCAATAGATGGAAGACTGCTTCTATTTAGGAGAGGCATTCCCATATGAGAAAGGATAATTCCTCTTCTTGATTCACTGCTCTGGAACAGTTGGCCCTCCAGATGTTGTAGGACTCCAGTTCCCATCAGCCTGAGCCCCCTGCCCAGCCAGTATTCTCAGATGGTGAGGGTTGTATTCCAACAGCATCAAGAAGGCCGGTCAACTGCCCCTGCTCTCTTTGAAAGTGTGTCATCAGTTTTATTTATTTTTACTGCTGAAGGGAGGAAGCATGCACCAGTTCAGTTCTTTCAAAGCCAGCTCTTTATGCAAGCAAAACTACTTGACAAAACAAAACAAAACAAAACAAAACTGACCATTACAGCCCTCCACATTACATGTTCTTTGCCCCCACATTCCTGCATTCTTTCACCATCTGCTAGAAGCTTAAGTTATGATAATTGAGCATTGTCGGTTTTTATTTTTTACTTTTGCCCTGCTTGTGAAGGAAGTGTAAATGCTACTGACGGGAGTGCGGTGCTGGTGGGTGGGCAGAGAAGTGTGAAATGTGCTTGCATTCAGCTGCGATGGCGCATTTTGTGTGAATGGGGAGAGAGTTGAGTGAGAGAGAGAACAGTTGGATGGCACTGCTATGGTGGCTGCCAAGAGCTGTCAGCATGACAACCACATAGATCTGCTAGTGCAAAGAGGATTACTATGTACCTATTGAATCCAGCCCTTACTCTATAAGGACTAGAATCTTAGGTCAGCAGCAGAGTATCTGATTGACATGCAGAATCTCCTGGGTTCAGTCCCTGTCGGTATGGATAGTAATGAGTTTGATGGACCAATATCTCTGATTCAGTATAAGGAAGATTTCTTTGTTCCTGGGTTCAATCCCCAATGACATTTCTAGGTAGGGCTGGGAGAGATCCCTGCCTGAAACTATGGAAATCTGCTTTTGCCAGTCAGTGTACATAACACTGAGCTAAATGGACCAGTGCTGTGACTCAGCACAAGCCAGCTTCTCGTGTTCCTAAACACTGCTGGAACTCAATTATCAGGTGTCCCTGGCAGAGGAAGTGCATGGTTCTCCTGCCTCCCCATTCACCAGTGTGATGAGCGTGGTCACTGCGGCGTGGCTGCCTCTGCTGCAGAAAACCCTCTTTCCTGCTAGGCATGTGTGTGTCAATCCATCACTCGGCTAATGCTCCTTTTGTCCTTCCAGCCTTTGCTAACATGCTCAAGCCAGCTCCTTCCTGCATCTATCTCCCAAAGCCGCGCAGATTAAAAAAACACCACCGTCCTGCACAATCTCTCTCTTTCTCTTTCTCTCTTCCTTGTCAAGTAATGAATAAATATTGATTTATTTCAGGTTAATTAAAACCCCTCCTGGAAGAATAATTCAGTCCTACGTGCTTTTAAGACTTAGAGATAGCAAGGGAAAGATATATTGATTAATTTCTCTTAATCTTTGTTATTTTCTTTTTCTTGCCAATTGACACAAAATGGAAATTTATTGTCAGGGAATGAGTCGAGAGGTTGAAGCCAAGTTAATCAAGGGTCAGGAAACCAAACCTTATGAGAAACAATTGACGGAGTTGGGTCTGTTTAGCCTGGTGAAGAAGAGGCTGAGATGAGATATGATAGCCATCTTCCAATATCTAATGGGCTGTTGCATGGAAGATGGAGCAAGGTTGTTTTCTCCTGCTCCAGAGGGTAGGTCCCAAACCAATGGCTTCAAGTTGCAAGAAAGCAGATTATGACTAACCACCAGGAAGAACTTTCTGACAGTAAGAGCCGTTCAACAACAGAACAGACTCCTTGGGATGTGATGGACTCTCCTTCCTTGGAGGTTTTTAAGTAGAGGCTGGATAGCCACCTGTCATGGATGCTTTAGTTGAGATTCCTGCATTGCAGGGGGTTAGATTAGATGACCCTTGAGGTCTCTTCCAACTCTACAGTTCTATGCTTTTTATGATTCTAACAGAGAGAGGGAGAGGGAGCTTGGTTTGATGGAGCAGAGGGCTATTGATGGTTGCTAGCCTTTATGGCTATGTTCTGCCTCCTCAACTGGAGGCAGCAATGCTTTGAATATCAATAGCTGGAAACCTCAGGAGGGAAGTGCTCTTGTGCTCGAATCCTGCTTGTGGGTTTCCCATTAGGGCGTCTGGCTGGCCACTGTGAGAACAGGATGCTGGGCTAGGTGGGTCATTGACCTGATCCAGTAGGCTCTTCTAATGTTCTTATGATACCTGACAAAAGGGGTCGTCTTCCCCTTTCAGATCACCCTTACACCAGTGGTGGAAATAGAATTTTGTGTATGAGTTTATGCTGAGAATCCTGGCATTGTAGACTTGAGCCAGCCCTGTCCAGAAATCCTGGTGGTTCAGGGAGCCAGTTCCTAATTTTAGAGCATCAGAAGAGGCCCTGCAATGCTGGATGAGGCCAATGGGCTGTCTAATCCAGCATCATGCTCTCATGGTGGCCAACCAGATGGTAAGTCCACAACAGCGCTCTCCTCACTTATGATTCCCATCAACTTGAAATCCTGCCTTAGTGGAGGAGGAGGAACATAGCCATCATGGATAGAAGTCATGTCTGGTTAATCTTCTTTTAAAGCTATCCAAGTTGGTGGTCAGCACTGCATCTTGTAAAGGAGGGGGACAGATTGATGAAGTATGAAAAAGAATATTAGAATGATAAGGGTATTAGAATGGGCTGAGGGATCAGGCTAGAGGGGGCCCAGATAGTCTAGCATCCTGTTCTCACAGTGGCCGGATGGGTGCCCATTATGAGAAGCCCACAAACAGGACATGAGAGCAAGAGCTTTCTGTCTGCTTGTGAGTACCAGCAACTGGTATACAGGGGCATATTGCAGCCACTGTCATATATAGTCTTATCCTCCACAAATCCTCTTTTAAAGCCATTGAAGTCAGTGCTCTAACCACTGCATCATCACTGTCTCTTGTGGCAGGGAATTCCACAATTTCACTGCCAATCAGTGTGGACAGTGAGATCATGGGCTAGGGTAATAATGGTGATGTGCCCTCCTTGCTCCAGCAAGTGAAACAGGCAATAATGACTAGGAGAGAGAGTTTGCCTATTGGAATGGATATGTTCAGATTTGGGACTGAGGCCACTTCTCTGTAGGAGAATGCAGTGTCAGTTATCTTGTCTCTGATCATCAGCAGTAATGTCTGATTGAAAACAAGGTGTGTGTTTATGGGGGCAGAATATAAGCTTGATTCGCCCTTTGAGGTCCGCAAGGGATTTCAATTACAAACATTGGAAGTTCCTTATCCTGAATCAGACCATTGTGCCATCTAGCTCAGGGTTGTTCACACTGCAGCTCTCCAGAGTGGGTTCATTTGGGAAGGGGCTTTAGCTCAGCAATAGGATATCTGCTTTGCTTGCAGAAGGTCCCAGGTTCAGTCCCTGGCATCTCTAGGTAGGACTGGGAGAGAATCCCACCTAAAACCCTTGAGAGCTGCTGTTAGTCAGTGTAGACAATACTGAGCTGGATGGTCTGACTAGATATAACGCAGCTTCCCATTTAAATCAGCCCTTTATTTCAGAACCATGAAATTACTGTTAGGAGAAGGGCTGCAGCTAGCTAAGTGGTAGAGCACCTGCTTTTCATGCAGAAGTTACCAAGTCCAATCCTAGCATCTCTAGGTAAGGCTGGAAAGACACCCTGCCTGAAACTCTGGAGATCTGCTGCCAGTCAGCGTAGACAATACTGAACTGAATGGACCATTGGTCTGACTCAAAATAAGGCAGGTCTCTATCCTCTAAAATGCCCATCTCTGCCATTTGCAGATTCTCAAGCTAATTTTCTATTGGCTTTCCTTTCCCTGACCACAGCCGCCCACCTACTGCATCCTATTCCATATATTCATTTTCAACATCAGGGTTTCTTCTGAGACATTTCTGGGCTGCCTCTCCCCTCCTGCCACGGATACCTTTGTTGGACTTGCTCCATCAAGGCCTGTCAGGACAGCAATGAGCTAATGAGGTGCAGGGAGAAGACTTTACAGGTCTGAAGCTGTAATAAAGGCATCATTGAGGTTCCAGTGTACAATTGCCTCCATAAAGAGGTGATTAGAAGGAAGCAGGAAGAACCAGGAGGGGCGGAAGGAGGTCAGAAATGAACTTGAATGTAGGAAGCTGGTTTATACCCAGACGGACCGTTGATCTATCTAGAGAGAACTGAGGAGCCGCAGGACAAATGAGGCCTATAAGACCTCTCTCACTGGCCTTCTCAAGGCTGCACTTCTTATCCAGGCCACATCCCCTCAAATAATGGATCATCCCTCCCACAGAGGTACGCTGTGCCTAAACTCAGAGGCACAATATACAGTGGTACCTTGTGTTATATACATACGCTTCAGGTTACAGATGCTTCAGGTTACAGACTCCGCTTACCCAGAAATAGTACCTCGGGTTAATAACCGTTCTTCAGGATGAGAACAGAAATCATGCTCCGGCGGTGTGACAGCAGCGGGAGGCCCCATTAGCTAAAGTGGTGCTTCAGGTTAAGAACAGTTTCAGGTTAAGAACGGACCTCCAGAACGAATTAAGTTCTTATCCTGAGGTACCACTGTAACCAGTGCAGAATTCTCTGATGGTGTTGATGATTTATTGTATTTATGTCCCACTTTTTCCTCCAAGATGCTCAATGTGGTGTACATGGTCCTCTCCCGCCTCATTTAATCCTCTTTCCACCCCTGTGAAGTATGTTATAGGCTGAGAGGCAATGGCTGTGACCCAATACCACACCTAGTGAGCGTCATAGCCAAGTGGGGATTTGAACCCTGACTTCCTAGCCCAACACTAATCACTCTGCCCCAGTGGCTTTGTCTCCTCTCCTTTGAAAGCAAACATGAGGCCATGGGCGTAGCCAGGATTTTTGTTAGGGGGGGACAGGACTTTTGTTAGGAGGGGCAAAACCAATGTGATTGGTCAGTTAGTTAAGCATTTCTATTGTTTTACTTGATCTAGGGTGGCAGCTCTCCACCCCCACCCCCCACGGCACATGTTTGAAGCTATCTTTCTGTATTTTCTACCTAAGGGTATTCTGCCTCTATTCTCCTTGCTTGGATAAATGCATGAATTTGACCTTTGGAAGGTTTTGTAAGTAAAGCATTTTAAACTTATTTAACAGTGTGTGGTCTGTTCATTGCAAGAGGGGTAGAAAGAGAGGCACACTGTTTGCAAGTGGACTATAGGTAAAAGGGTCTAACAATCTATATTCCTAGTACTATACTCCTTGACTTTTCTATATTTGAACTGCTATTGGGGGCTCTGTCCTGTTGATAATTAAAAGACTGAAGGTAGAACAAGAAGCATGTTCTAATTGTTTGAACCAGTAAAGTTTTAAATGATCAAGAGAGTTCTGAATGCTAAGATGGTGATGATGTTGATGATGATGATCTGTTTTCCCGATGAAAGTGCTGCCTTTAAATCAAAAGTATTTTTTCTACCTCACATATTTCATGTGTGAGAAAGGAATGTGGTTTTATAAGAGAAAATGCTGTGAAGATCTTAAGGTGGAGATTGAAGTTATTAAGGTGGAGACTGTGAAGATTTTAAGATGGATACTGAATTGTTGATAAGATAAAGAATATTTCATACGGCAAATACATTGTTGGACATTCCATTGACTGTTGGCATTCTTCAGCAATTGTCTGATGAACAAATAAAAGAGATTAGAGCTCTAAGATTGATGAAATTGTGAATGAAAGCAAACCAGAGAAGGATGAAATGGAAAGTGGAATTAAAGAGAACACATAAGGATTGCCAGAAAAGGAGGGTGAAATGGTAGAGTTGGAAGCAAAAGATGGTGAAATTGAGACATCCTTCACAAAGGTGATTAGAGGAATGAAACATCCAAATAGCAAAGTTGTGGAGGAGTGGAATGAAGGTATGGATGGACAGATTAATAATAATAATAATAATAATAATAATAATAATAATAATTTATACCCCGCCCTCCCCAGCCAAGGCCAGGCTCAGGGTGGCTAACAAGCAATAATAAAAACATGCTGAATGAATACAACTTAAAAACAAGATTAAAATACAACATTAAAATATTGAAACATTAAAATGCAGCCTCATCACAGGAGGAGAAAGGAAAAAGAAAGAGGGGGAGGGAATCAAATTGTCTCCAAGCCAAAAGGCCAGGCGGAACAACTCTGTCTTACAGGCCCTGCGGAAAGAAATCAGATCCTGCAGGGCCCTGGTCTCATGAGGCAGAGCGTTCCACCAGGCCGGAGCCAGAGTTGAAAAGGCCCTGGCTCTGGTTGAAGCCAATCTAACTTCCTTAGGGCCCAAGACCACTAGGGTGTTGCTATTTATGGACCTTAAGGCTCTCCGTAGGTACGAGGGTCCTAAGCTTAAGAGACGGGATTAAGAGACATCCTGAGGTGGCAGAGATAGAGTTGAGAGAGAGAAAGGACTCTGTATGCAGTTTGAAGTTAGAGAAAAAAGCTATCAAACCTCTAGCGCTTTTCTTGGAATAGGAATGGCTGTAAAGAGTAAATAGAAGCAATATTTTTTTCAAAATCAAGATAGAAAACCACAGGAGTTATAACAGTCAGTAGGAACAGATGATGTGAAACTGGGTGCGAACTAATGAGTAAAAAAAATTATGAAATATTGTTTTCATATATGATCACAGTGGAGAGACTCTTGTGTGGACAAATACTTATTATTGAATATATGGAGGAATGTTGAGGTTACAGGAGACAAGGTTAATATTCTAAATTAGAGAAAAATTATTGGTGACATTTAATATTATTAATAATAATAATTAGATAATCCCTTTTGGACTTTTGGTCTATTTGGGTCAGAAGATTGGGAAAATATTGTGTAACAGAAAGGAGATCAGGTGGGTGTCACTCTGGAGTCAATATTTTGAATAATTTCTTTTACGTAACTGACAGTCAGAAAATAAAAAGTCCTTTTTACTTTTCTTCTCTACTTCTCTTTTCTTTCTTTTCTTGTTTTCCTTTGATGTTTTCTTTTCTCTTTGTTTTTAGTTAGATTAGTTTTTTATTTTATTGCATTATGAAAAAGCTTTAATAAAATCTCTTTTTCTTTAAGGTTCTAGCCTGCTAGCCAGCCAGCCACAGCCTCTTCCACATTACTCCATTTCGTTCTGACCCAACCCGTCTTGTTTTTCTTTTCTAAATGACATTCAACGTTATTTGGCTGCTGAGCATTATCCTCATTAGACTGAGTTTTATTATATTGGGGGGAGGGGTTGCCTCTTAGATTTTATTGCTGTTGTAAAGATGTGTTGCTGATATCTCCCACTGTTCTTTTGCTCCGGAGCTCTTGACACTCACTGCTTGCCTTCAACATTAGAAGAAGCAACAGCAGCACTGGCAGAATGTTCAAATTGGTGGTTACATTCAATGAGTGACTAATTTGTGTTCACAAACATTTGAGATGCTCACTTTACTCACATGTAACATTCAGTGGAGTGTAGGGTCCATTTGCCTGTGTACCCAGGCAGTTGAGCTGTGCAAAGCAACAAGTGGGCACTCTTTCACACAAACACTTGCATGTGTGTAGAGGCAGCTTGTACCATAAAGTGTGAGCAAGGCTTCAGTTGCTGATAAACAATGGTACTGTGCTTGAATCAAGTTTAAAGCAGTGAGTCAGAATGTATGAACTAGATTAAAACATTTAGGTAGTGAGAACTGAGAACTCAAAACTGCATTTTTCTTTGAGTGACCAGTAAACACACTCTCTCTTTCTCTGTTCTTTTTCCAGTTACGGAGAAGGAGGTCCAGCAGTGGTGAGTACTCAGAGCTATTCTGGAGTCTTGTGAGTTCACAAGCATGCACATTTGTGTTCGTGAGCACGAAAAAAGCGAAATGGGGAGTCTGCTGCTACCATTGCACAGGTGTGCATGTTATATGCTTGCCTGATGGTCTCTATAATTTCTTGTCTCATTTGTGGGATGCAATTTCTGGAATGGAATGTAGCATCTGTAAGCCTGATAATTTGGGAGGAATGAAATCTTGACTGGGCAGAGGAACAAAGCAGGGGTGAGGAACTTAAAGCTTGGGGGCCAAATGCGGTCCTCCAGACCCCTCTCTCTGGCCCTTGGAACTCTCCCTAAGCCATTCCCCCTTCTTCTCAGGCCACACCCACTTTCCAGCCACACCCCTCATTGACTCAGCTTTGCACCCTGAGTGCTTTTGCCTGGCTGGAATGTGTCATTGAACTCTGATAGTGCTTCTTGCTTGCCTGGGGGGATATTATAGACACTATTTGTGTGTGTGTGTGTGTGAGAGAGAGAGAGAGAGAGAGAGAGAAAACAACAACAACAACAATTAGCCAACTATACAAAGGTAATTATTTTACATTCATTGCTCCAATTATTTTGCCTCTGACTCCCGCTGTGTTAGTTGTAAAGAAACATAGAACCATAGAACTGGAGAGCTGGAAACGTTCCCAAAGGTCATCAAGTCCACCCCCCTACAATGCAGAAATGTCACCTAAAGATTTCCTGACAGATGGCCTTCCAACATTTGTTTAAAAACTTCCAATAAAGGAGATTCCATTACCTTCTGTCAAACAGCTCTCACTATCTGACAGTTCTGCCTAATGTATAGTCAGAAACCAAATGCAGTGAGACTATTATTATTATTTATTGAAAACTTTCAGTTAGAGAATAGAATAAAAGGAAAAGAAGGGAAAAAAATTTAAAGAAAAAGCAAAAAAAATGAAATTGTGATATATATAATTATGTAAGCAATATAGTTATTCCAACTAATGAAAAATTACTAATAATATATTACAGTTTTTACATGTGCATTTTTATAACTGCATTACAAATATCATTTTATTTATTCATGCACAGTCTACATCTAAATGCAATCTGTTCGTATATTGCGAGTGTTGTCATATCTTCTATCAGTTGTTTAAAGCGGGCCATGGTTTTATCTTTCCAATAAATCAATATCAGTCTTTTGGCAGAAGTTAGGGTGCAGAAATTCCATTTACAGTGAGAAACTTGATGTAGCTCAAGAAACAAGGGCTGCTATGTGCTACATTTATGGTGGAAAAATGCTCTGCACTCCCTCAGAGGCTCTCTTTTCTTTGCTAGGATTGCACAAGCTCCCATTCCCCCCCACCCTGCTTGAATTAAACCCTGCATGTATCTGATTTGCAAAATCTTCTCATTATATTTTCATCTTGTAGATAACACTTAAAAATAATAAAAAATGGTTGTGCTGTGCGATCAATGGTGCCTTTCCTCCAGGGCATATATACAGTCTAGAAAGGCTGGCTCCTTCCCCAAACCTCTGTAGTTTGTTTTTTTGGAAGGCATCCATCTGTTATCAGGGCAAGACAGGCACCACTGTTTTACAGCCTGGAACGCAAATGCAGCTGAAGAGCAGAATATTCAATTCCAGGCATTTCCAGGTAGGGCTGGGAACATCCCTTGCCTGAAACCCTGGAAACCCTCAATCTGTTTCCATCACAGCCAGTTCTCTATAGGAATTTTCATTATCTTAAGAGCTGCTGCCTGAGTTTGCTTCTCCCCCTTCTTTTTTTCTTTTCTGTGATGTCTTTTAGATAGCTAACAGGGTAAGCACCCACCCACCCACACCAACACCCCTATATCTTTCTCTATCTTTATATTCTATCATATCTGTACATCTATCTATCTACACATATACATAGAGACTTTTTACTTCTAAGCTGCCCAGGAAGACTTTCCTGCTGAATAGCAGGGTAAAACATGTTTTAAATTAATAAAACAGCAACAATTCTGTAAATTGCCATCCACACCAAAATATCAGAATTTGAAAACACTGACAGAGCTATAGCTTTACCAAGTTTACAGAAGGCATCAAATTATTCATCACCATAAGGATAGAAGGGGATGATTGCAGAGAACTCCAAAGGAATCTCTCCAAACTGGGTGAACATGCATGAAAATGGCAACTGCAACTAAGAAGAGCCCTACTGGATCAAACCAGTGGCATTTCTTAGTCCCACAGTGGCCAACTAGATGCCCTGGTGGGAAGCCCACAAGCAGTACCTTGTGATGTATGTTAACTGGTTTTCAGTGGTATACTGCCTCCAACAGTGAAGGTAGGACATAAGAAGAGCCTACTGGATCAGGCCAATGGTGATCTAGTCCAACCTCCTGTTCTCACAGTGACCAGCGAGATGCTGCAATAGGAAGTCCACAAGCAGGACCCGAGTGCAATAGTTGTTGCTCCCCAACAACTGGTATGCAGAGATAGTCTGCATTTGAACAGAGAAACTTAGCTACCATGGCTAAGAAGAGCCCTGCAGGATCACATAAAAGGCCCATCTAGTTCAGAATCCTGTTTTCACAGTGGTCAACCAGATGCCTCAATGGGGGACCTTTAAGCAGAGCCTGAGCACAAGAGCATTCTCCCCTCCAGCAGTTTCCAGTAATGGTATTCAGAAGCATTACTGCCTCAGGCTGTGGAGGGAGAACATGGTCAATGATCCAGGACAGACCTAATAGCACATTCACTCATAGGGCATTATTAAAATGATGGACATTTGTTCCTACTGGACTGGGAATGGCCACTAACTTGGCAGCTTTGAAAAGCATTTAGGCAAAAAATGGAGGATGAAGCTATCAATAACTACTAGGCATGATCAAAAGGTGCAAAGACCCTTCCTTCCTTCTATCCTTCCTTCTACTAAATCAGTCCAGTGGGGTCCACTCATCTCACAGTGGCCAATCAGATGCCCCACTTGCAGAACCTGGGTGCACAGATTCCCATAAACGGGTATTCAGAGACATGCTGCTTCCAACGGTGGGAGAAAGAACATTGCTATTTTGGCTAGTAGTGACTGATATTCTCTTCCATAAATTGATCTAATCCTCTTTTAAAGCCATTCACATGGATGGCCATCACTGCACACTCTTACCAATAACTGCTCCAGGAAATTGAGAGGAGAGGCACCCTTAGTCTGTACAGAGATTCCTTTATTAGCACATAGCACATCGCAGAAACATTTCTGCGCATTTCCTCTGCTGATGCAAACGTGCTCACTTATTTGCACTGTTGAGTGTGGCCATGCTAGCCGGCCTGGCTTGTTCCAGATTGAACAACAAATTGCACTGTTAGTCACAGAAGAATAAACACTTAGTTCATTCTTCCTGGGAAGGAGAACAGCATCCGCCTGAAATGAAATGAAAAATTCCGCCCACAACTCTCCCGCCCCCTATAGTTAATCAGCTGGCTAAGCGTTAAATGGCTGGGCATGGATGTTCCATTCTATTCCTTTCTCAGTTTCCTTCCAGGGAATGGTTTGGCGGATGGGAGGTGAACTTGTATGGGGGCAGGAGAGCTCTTAGATTTGGAGCTTTTGTGCTTCACTCATGCTCAGCACATGATTGATATGGCTTGGGCCCAGGCTTACCTGAAAGATTGTATCTCCTTCTACAAACCCACCCAATGTACTCAGATCCTTGGGTGAGCACCTTCTCTTGGTCCCATCAGAAGCATGGTTTATGGTGACACAAGAGAAAGAGAGAGACTTTTCTGTGGTGGCTCCCATATTGTGGGATTTTCTCCCAAGAGATGTTGGACTGGCTCCCTCTTTGCTTTCCTTCTGCCTGCAGGCTAAGACCTTCCTGTTGAGACCAACTAAGGTGCAGGTGATGCTGATCACTGGATTTGAAAGGCTGGCTCTAAATGTGTTTGCATGTATTTTAACTATTGTTATTAACTAGTTTATTTTTATTACTTTGCATTATATAAGGTTGTTTTTTAAATATTAGATGCTGCCTTGAATCCCGTCTCAAGAGAAAGGCAGGCTATTACTACTACTACTACTACTGCTGCTGCTGCTGCTGATAATAATAATAATAATAATTATAAATGAACAATAATGACTAACTTCATTGTTACACTGTGGAACTCCCTCCCACAGAAGGCAGTGATGGCCACCAACTTCAATGGCTTTAATAGATGATTTGACAAATTCATGCAGGAGGAGAGGACTATTGATGGCTGCTAGCCACGATGGCTATGCTCTGGTTCTGACCATGGAGGCCATCTCCTCCTCCAGTTCCTGAAAATGGCAAGAGGGGATGGTGCACTTGTGCTCGGGTCCTATTTGTGGGTTTCCAGGAGGCATGTGGGTGGCCACTGTGAGAACAGGATGCTGGACTAGGTGGGATCATCTTAATGTTCTTTGGTCAGTTGGTTAGAGCGTGGTGCTGATAATGCCAAGGTTTCAGGTTCGATCCCCGTATAGGACAGCAGCATATTCCTGCACTGCAGTGGGTTGGCCCTCGGGGTCTCTTCCAGCACTACAGTTCTGTGATTCTAAGGCATCTTCTGTGTTCCTGATTTCGTGCTACCCCCTCTGCAAACTCCCACAAAGGTGGCCACCCTCCCCATTTCTCTTTTGTTCCAACAGCCCTCAAATGCATCACAGCCCCATTTCTGATTCCTGCTGTGTCATGGACAGCAATGAGAGAAAGAAGATGCTGCCTCTTTCCCTGTCATATTTCCTGATCAGTTTCATCTTAGCACACACAGCCCCCCCTTCCCTTGCCGCTCAGTTTGATACTTGACAGATTCGGGTGGCCCTGTTGCATAATGCTCCCCTAATCTCACCCCCTCCCCACTTCTCCGCCCCCATCTGCTATTTCTCTCTGTGTTTCCCCCCCTTCCTGTTCCTTGTTTATTCCCATTTTATCTTGGCACGTGGGAAGGAGATGGTTCCCGCACAGCTTGGTTTGGGGAAGGGAGGATTAATTCCCCATCAGAACAGGCTGTAAAGGTGGGGAATTCAACTAGTGTTAAACTAAGCATCCAGCATGGGAGTAGCCAGGATTTTTGTTAGGAGGGAAGGCCTTTTGTTGGGGGGGGCAGGTCTTTTGTTGAGGGAGCAGAACCTCAGTTTGCTATGCCCCCCCTTGGCTATGCCCATGGTATCCAGAGAGGGAGCAATCCCCACCCCAATTTTGTTTCATGCAACTGAAAAAGGGAGTGTGTGGGAAAGAATCTGACATTCTCTTATAGGTAATGTGTTAAATTAAATCAAGTAGAAAAGAGCTTTCTCTTGGGCCATCTCTCACCTTGTGAGGTAGTCTGATAGTGTGACCTGTTTTAGGAGATTGTGAACTGAAGGCGGACTCCGATGGTGCAGTGCTCTGTAGATGCAATGTAGAGCGTAGCTGCAGTCTCAGTGGTGCATCTGAATGGTTAAACCGAAATGGGAAACCATTGTTTGAAGTGGGTTTGTTAACCACACTGAGTAGCACAACCATGCCAACTTTATGCCGGTACCTCAGGCAGACTTGAGAGACCTGTGGCCATCTAGATGTTGCTGGACTGCTCACATCCTTGTCTTTTGGACATGTTGGCTGGTGCTGGATGAGAGTTGGAGTCCAACAATATTTGAATGTGGTTCCTCAGCCTTGATCTCAGAAGGGACATTTCTCTCTCATGGAGTAATGCCTTTTCCAAATAGAGTTTTTCTTTCATTTCTTGTATTTACCCGTCCTTTGAGAGGGGAATACCTTTTCTTAGAATGATCAACACTGGGCAGAACCATGTAAGCCACCTTAACACCCATGGAGAGAAAGAAGGGATACACATGCAAGAAAGGAACAAACAAATAAGTAAGCAAGCTCCCTGCCAGAAGAAAAGTAGCAGAGCAAGACAGAAGGATTCTAGCTACGGCTTTTTTTATTTGTGGGGCGATGCCTCTTCTAAATATTAATCAGCATGGATAAATATTTGAAAATGATATTTCTCCTCACCTACCATCTGTGGTGGTGCAGTCCATTCTGTCAATATTAGGACTGTACCACCTCCTGGATCAGCTGTGCTGAAAACGATCAAAAAATTTCCTTTTTAATTTTGTGATGTAATATTCAAATTCAATAAAAAATATATATCCAAAAAAAGGGGGGTGTAGGTGGTTCTGGCCTCTCTTTGTTTGCCGAAAATCTGGCTAAATGCTCTTGGAGGTGGAAGATGATGAGGTTTTGCTGTTGAGATAATTTCAGGGAATAGATTAAAGTGGAGAGCAGGGTCTGAAACCAGGTCACCCTCACCTCGCCTTCACCAGCAGAAGGCAGCCCTTGCAAATGTATCATCAGCTGTTCCTTTTGTGTGCCTGAGGTGTGTCAGAGGGATTGGTTTCACAGAAAGCACCTGATCTCTGACCTGATCAGCCCAGATTCCCCTGGGTGCCCCAAATACAAGGGCTCCCTGTGGCTTATCTTGAATTGCTCTTTTAGAGCAGAGTTTTGGGGGCCAGGGTTGAATGGTCTCTCTCTCCTCATCTTACAGTGTCTATGAGAAAAGGGATATGGATTCACTCTTTGCTTTAGCCCTTTGTCGTATCTTAAGGTGTCTTTTGAGAAAGAGACCTCCCACACACGGGGGGGGGGCCTTCCCCATGGGCCATCTTGGCAGGTGGGCAGAGCACCCTGCATTGTCTCCCCGGTCTTCCCACTGATGAAATCTAGATAGCTTGCTCCTTGGGGCAGAGACCTTTTCTTTTCTTTTGCCTTTTGATGTGTAGTAGGCAGCGATTGACACCAGCTTGAATGGTCTTAAAAGAGGATTCAATTCCCAGCATCTCCATGTAAGGCTGGGAATGTCCCCTGCCTGAAACCTTGGAAGGCTGCTCCCATTGGCCCATCTAGTCTAGCATTCTGTTCTCAAAGTGATTAAACCAGATGCCTGTGCAAAGCCTGAAGGCTGGACTTGAGTGCAATAGGAACGCTCCCCACTTGTAATTCCCAGCAACTGATATTCAGAAGCGTTGCTCCCTCCAACCATGGAGGCAGAGCACAGCCATCATGGTTTGAAGCCATTGATAGCCCTCTCCTCCGTGAATTTGTCCAGTCCTCTTTAAAGTCATCCAAAGTGGTGGCCATCACTGCCTCAAGTGGCAGCGAGTTCCATAGTGTACATTTGCACTGCATGAATATGTCCTTTCTTTCATCCACTCTGAAGCCTCCAACATTCAGCTTCATTGAATGCCCGTGAGTTCTTGTATTATGAGAGAGAGAGAAAGCTTTTCGCTACCTTCTTTCTTCACACCAGGCATAACTTTATAAACTTCTGTCATGTCACCGAATCATGATATGAATGATGATCCCGTACTATACATTGGTACCTCTGGTTGCGAATGGTATCTGTTCCGGAGGCCGGTTCATAACATGAGCAGAACGCAACCCGTGTCTGCGGGTCACGATTCGCCACTTTTGCACATGCACGTGATGTCATCTTGCGCATGCGCAAGCGGCGAAAGCCGGAAGTAACCCTTTCCGGTACTTCTGGGTCGCTGCGGGACGCGACCTGAAAACGCTCAACCTGAAGCAAATGTAATATGAGGTATGACTGTATAGGGGAATAGTGAAATCATCCCTGGGATTCCAAACCTCCTGTAATCATGTAGGGAGGATCAGGCGCCTTCTCAAGCCAGTCAGAGGAGAGGTGTACCAGCCAGTCTTTCCCCCCCTGCAAGTGGGCTTATATGGAGAAGAGCTACCTATTTAAAAAACAAACAAACCCTCAACCTTCTAATGGCATGCTTTGATGAAGCCTGCCTACCCATATGCCTCATGCATGCATAGGAAAGGTAATCCAGAATCCCACAGTGACAGCTGCTGCATCCATCAAGGTCTCTTTTCCTGTAAATATTATTATAACTCCTGCTGCCGTGTTACCTAAGTCAGAAATAACAGCTGGGGGAACAGGGTGCTGGTTAGTAAATATTTTGGCCATTTGTTCCTGTTGCTCCCACCATAGACTCAAGGGAGTAAGATGGATTTCCACTGTGTTTTGCCTCCCTTTGGATGTGGGAAACCACAGGAGGGAACTGTGCTCTGATTCTGCTTATGAGTTTCCTGTTGGGCTATCTGGTTAGCCCCTGTGAGATCTGGATGCTGGACTAGATGGGCCATTGTCTGCAGCACAGTGGAATGAAGGAGGTGCAAAATGAGACCACATTGCTGGATCAGGCCAGCTTGGCCAGCTGGAACATGGGAGGCAGTGATGGCCGCCAACCTAGCTAGATGGCTTTAAAAGATCAGACAAATTTATGGAAGAGAGGGATTTCCATGGCTATTAGCCACAATGGCTGAACTCTTCCTCCATGATTGGAGGCAGCAATGTTTCTGAACACCACTTGCTGGAAGCCACAGGAAGGGAGAGGGCTCCTGTGCTTAGGTCCTGTTTACAAGAGCGGTAGACTTGTAATCTGGTGAACTGGGTTCGCGTCCCCACTCCTCCGCATGCAGCTGCTGGGTGACCTTGGGCTAGTCACACTTCTTTGAAGTCTCTCAGCCTCATTTACATCACAGAGTGTTTGTTGTGGGGGAGGAGGGAAAAGGAGATTGTTAGCCACTTTGAGACTCCTTCGGGTAGTGATAAAGTGGGCTATCAAATCCAAACTCTTCTTCTTCTTCTTCTTCACTGGGGCATCTTGTTGGCCACTGTAAGAACAGGAGGCCGGTGTGATACACCCACCCACCCACCCACCCACTTTTACACAAATAGCTGAGTATAAATCTTTTTACTTGTCAGGTTGGTAACATTTGAACAACAAGTATTATTTCCAAACTCCTCCAGGCAGCGTCTGCATGAAGTCCCCACACCTCTCACCTTCACAGTCAATATAGAACTAACAGAAATAACCAACCAACCAACTGCCAACTGCCTATTCTCAACTGCCAATTCTCAACTGCCAATTGCCTACTGCCACATCCTTTCCCCAATACCATCTGTTCTTTGTGAAATACATTCCCAATGAAATTACATTACAAATACTAACATCAAGTAGGCGCAGGCCCATTGTCATGATCCCGCTTCAGGGGTCTTCTTATCTTCTTCTCCCCTACATTGGGGGTAAGGCTAGGGGAGGGACTTGATAAAGACCAAGCTAGTCAACTCATGGCAGAGGCAAGAAATGAACCCATGGCTGACTTTAGCTCAGTCTTTTGAGCTGTTATGCTGCCTTCACTCTCAGGGTTTCTTAACTGATCCAGCAGGCTCTTCTCTTCTAATGCATTTATGTTAGGCAAGGGAGACATTTTCATTCCCCAGTATGTCCTGGACGTTGTGTTATTCCATGCCATGGAGTGTGGGGGAGAATAAAAGTGCCCCTTCTGGTGGCCACCATTCCCTGCCCCCCAGGAATGTCCTCAAGCCACACGTTACCCAAGGACATTCTGGGAAAGGAAAATGGCTGCCAAGTGCTGCTGGCAAAATAAACTCTGGAAAGGTATAACCTGAGATTTCCAGGGAGCTGGATCCCAGTGCCCAGCACCCAGTGCCAGTCTTACTCAGAGCAAACCAGCCAAAGGTATTGGCTCATTAATTTCAGTGGGTATACTCTTGAGAAGAACAAGTTGGATATAAGTTGGATATAACCCCGTGAACAAGTTGGATATAACCCCGTGTCCCTTGCTTTCTGCCTTGCTCAAGACTGTATCATCAGAGCCACCTTGAACAGAATCTGTAGCGCCTTGTCAATACTGTGAGGCACCTTGGTGATATGCTTCAAGCTATTTCCCCCTCCCCTTTCTTCCTTGCGCAGGTACAAAGGCTTCATCAAGGACTGCCCCAGTGGGCAGCTGGACGCTGCTGGGTTCCAAAAGATCTACAAGCAGTTCTTCCCCTTTGGGGACCCAACCAAGTTTGCCACATTCGTCTTCAACGTCTTCGACGAGAACAAAGTAAGTCCACTGCGTTCCCCTGTGATTCACTCCCCCCTCACTTCCTTATTCTTCCTTATCCTCCCCTCTGAAGCATTAATGGAGCTTGCCAGTTTGAAAGCGTGTACACACACACACACACACACACACACACACACACACGGTTGCCAGGTGTCACCTGAAGTCTCCAGATTGGCCTGGCTGCCTCCAGGTGGCAGGCAGAGGGCTTGAATCTCCAGGTGGGTGAGAGGGCCTTTAATTATAATAAACAAAATTATTAAGAGGACTGTGCATGCAGCTTGCAAGCTACAGCCTGGCAGGAGCTGGTTGCAAATTACAGTGTAGTGTCTGTCCTCCTCTGCTTCCCTGTCCCAAGTAACCTCCGTGTCTAGGGCCCATCCTCATGACATCACTGCCCCCTGTGACAACACCTTGGTTTCAGATTTCGGCCCTGAAATATTAGGGTCTGGGATGCTCCTGACCTGACAAACCCTGGGCCAATGTCCCACCTCCAAACCATAACAATTTCCAGCACAGCTGGTCTAAGAAGGGAGGAAAATCCATCCCTTAGCTCCATGGTGGCTGAAAATTGTTGCCTGCTCAAGTCCCTAGGGGTGAATTTATTTATTTACCCATTTATTGGTCTGTTGTTATTAGGGAGGAAATGAGATTAAGTAAAACTCCCTCTTTAAAGCAAGACCAGATTTCCCCTTGTTGAACTTCCACTCGCAGGTAAAGTCTATTTTCTTCCAACAGACCTCTGGGAACTGACTGTTTAAGGAAAGGGCTTTCAGAAAGTGCTGTGCTTTTTTATTATCTGTATTTTACTAGATTTGTTTTTATATGTTTTTAATTCTATTAATTTAATTTAATTTAATTCTATTAATTACTTTTTCACTATTATCTTTTAAATGTTTTTAGCCTTGTGTATTTTATCTTAGTTTGTCTTAATTTCTGTAAGCTGCCTTGAGTCCTGGTCTGGGAAAAAGGCAGAATATAAATAATATTAATAGTTAATAATAATATCATCTACCAATACCAGCTCCAAGGTGCAAAAGACATGCCATTAAAATGAAAGAACAAGGGTGCCTCTGAGCATATTCTGAGTCTAGAGATTTGTTTGCAGTTACACAACTGAGCTAAGCTCACAGTCCTGTCATAAGCAGAAAACCATGTGTGATCAGCTTTCTTTCATTTCAGTAGCCTTATTTAGGCAGGATAAATAATTTTATTCCTAGTTTGAACCCTCACTAGGGACTGGTAGATCTGTCAGTTTTGATTTTTCTCTGTGTCTCATTCCCCCACCGCCACAAATCATAATTATCTGAGCTTATTTTAATTTGTGTAACCCAACTTGACTAGCAGTCCTCAAAAAAGGCAGGATAATAACAACAACAACAACAACAACAATAACAACAACAACAACAACAACAATTGCAACACTCAAAGCAGGAGGGATGGAAGCAAGACATGTCATGCAACTGTGGAAAGCCTCTGCTGGGACAACTGCCCCATCCAGTAAAAGTAGCAGGAATTACACAATCCATCAGGTTAAACATTGCCAACTGGTAAACTCAGCCTCACCATCTCGAAACCAACAGAGCTGCAGTAAAGCTAAATGCTAATGAGGCACCTGCTCTTTTCTAAGTTGTTCCCCACAACCACTTTCCTCCTCTGGCATTTTAATGCATCCCTTTTCCTTTCCAAAAGGGATCCGAGAAAATTAGGTTTATCCCACTGAGGAACATCCCTCCCACCTTGAGCAAAGGCCATGACACTTGTAAGCATCTTTTGCAGAACTGTGGATTAATTTACTTTTTCGGTGGGAAGGGAACTGGAGGTGCCCAGCACCTGGCTATGTTCACCACCATCACTGTGAATCAGTTTATATGTATGCCACTTTTCCATTTTTCATGCTCAGCGACTCATAGCAACATACAGAATAAAATACAACAACAGTTAAAGATAAGAACCTAAGAATGAGCTTAAGAACCTAAGAAGAGCCTTCTCAATCAGGCCAATGGCCCACCTAGTCCAGCATCTTGTTCTCACAGTAGCCAACTAGATGCCCCAATGGGAAACCCAAAAGCAGGACCTGATCACAAGGACACTCTCTCCTACTGCCCTTTCCAGCAACTGATATTTATAAGTGTTTACTGTTTGAATGGATTGTTTTGATGAGGGTGATCTGATGAAGGATGCGCTAGAAATATATTGAATAATTTAACTTAAGGAAAGTACCTGTGAAGGTCCCATCTTAGAAAAGGTACAGTGGTGCCTCGCAAGACGAAATTAATTCGTTCCGCGAGTTTTGTCTTCTTGCGATTTTTTTCGTCTTGCGAAGCACGGTGTCGGGAAAGTTTTGGAAAAGCTTCAAAAATCACCAAAGTTTTTAAAAACCTCAAAAAAGGCTACCACACCGCTTTCTATGAGTTGCTCCTCGAAGTCAAGTCGCAACTGTATTAACGGTGTTAAGAAAAGGAAACAAACTTGCAAGACGTTTCCGTCTTGCGAAGCAAGCCCATAGGGAAAATCGTCTTGCGAAGCAGCTCAAAAAACAAAAAACCCTTTCGTCTAGCGAGTTTTTCTTCTTGCGAGGCATTCGTCTTGCGGGGCACCACTGTATTCCTTTGTTAGGCTGCATCCACACTATACATTTATAACATCCACCCCCAAGAACCTTTCAAACCGTAGTTTGTTAAGAGTGCTGAGAATTGTGGGCTTCCAGGGAGATGAATGGTGTTTCGGCTGTCTCTCTGTTAGCTCGCAATTGATGATAGTTAGATAGATAGTCCGACTATTAAATCACTCTGGTGATAAGGGTGATCAGAGAGTACCTTGAATGCTTTGATCAAGGCTGTTTTCTGCTGCCTGCACCTGGGGGCTTGGACAGGAGCTAGAAAGAGCTGGCAAGCTATGGAGGGACATTTTGCCAAAACACCATGTAAACACCCTCCATGGGTAGAAATATTCACACCCTCTCTTTTTTAAACGTTTTTAAAACCACAAACTAGAGAGAGATTTATCTGTCTGCTGGTGAAAATCTACAGTCCAGAAACTTGGAATAACAAATTTCTGTCATTAAGAAGAACAGAAGGAAAATTGGTAGTTAAAGTAATAATAATAACAATTTTATTATTTATATCTTGGCCATCTGGCTAAGACAGAGTGAAAAGCCTGATTTATGGTTGACAATAAATCTTAAATGGACAAAGGAATTCTTGGTGTGAAGTGTCTTCCCCCTTTTTCTGCTTTTTGTCATTAAGGAAACTGAAAGTTAATTGGCCAGTACTCCAGCATTCCTCTGAGATAAGAGCTATTGAAGCTGTGACCTTTAGGAAATATTAAGGTAGACTGAGCTGTTAATAACCCAACACATCAAAAGCAACCAGTATGGCAAAGGTACCTTTGGATCTCCCAGTGACTGTTGGTATTGGAGAATGATGGAGAAATGCATAGAAAAGAGTGGGATGAATGACTGACTAACTAACTAACTAATGGGAAGATGTGTCAACACCTTTCAAACAAATCAGGAAGAATGCTCCCTGTTGTATAACCTTGCAAACAAATTGGAATGAATGCTCATTAAAGGCCGTATATAATCTAAAAAGACGAAGAAGTGTTTACTGCCTCTGATCAGGGAGGCAGAGCACAGCCATGGTGGCTAGTAGCCATCTAAAGCCTCCTCCTCCAGGGGCCCATCTAGTCCACCATCTTGTTCTTTTTTTTTTTTTTAATTAATATTTATTAAAGTTTCACAAAAAATAGAATCACATTAATAAAAAGAAAAATTTAAAAAGAAAAAAGAAAAATACACAATACAAAATACAGAATACAAAAAAATAGAAGGGGGAAAAAAAAACAGTTAAAACAATTCCGTCTTTTCATTACTTCTTTTACATTTACTTGTTTCCCGGACTTCCTCATACCTCCCTCTTTTGTATTCCAATTCAGTTTGTTAGTCCAGCAATTTCTTTCCCTCCTTTTTAATCCAAAACCTTAATCTTAATATATTATAACATTAAATTTTTACCTATTAAAAACCAATTTTTCCATTCTTTTAGCCTTTTTAATCCTAATCCTTAGTCTTGATATATTTATAACTTTAAAGCCTGTACAGCTAGAAGCCACTTAACTTCAATCCAACATCACTCTAACATTCATTAATTTTGCAATATTTCTGTAAATAATCTTTGAATTTCTTCCAATCTTCTTCCACCGACTCTTCTCCCTGGTCACGGATTCTGCCAGTCATTTCCGCCAATTCCATGTAGTCCATCATTTTCATCTGCCATTCCTCTAGTGTGGGTAGCTCTTGTGTCTTCCAATACTTTGCGATGAGTATTCTTGCTGCTGTTGTAGCATACATAAAGAAAGTTCTATCCTTTTTTAACACCAATTGGCCAACTATGCCCAGGAGAAAGGCCTCTGGTTTCTTCAAGAAGGTATATTTAAATACCTTTTTAATTCATTATATGTCATCTCCCAGAAAGCCTTAATCTTTGGGCACGTCCACCAAAGGTGAAAAATGTATCTTCAGTTTCTTTACATTTCCAACATTTATTATCAGGCAAATGGTAGATTTTTGCAAGCTTGACTGGGGTTATGTACCACCTGTATATCATTTTCATAATATTCTCTCTTAGGGCATTACATGCCGTAAACTTCATACCTGTGGTCCATAACTTTTCCCAGTCAGCGAACATGATGTTATGCACCATCTTGTTCTCACAGTCGCCAGCCAGATGCCTCAGTGGGAAGCCAAAATTAGGATTTGAGCACAAGGGCGCTCTCCCCTCCTGCAGTTTCCAGCAATTGGCATTCAGAAGCATTAGTGCCCCAGCTGTGGCGGTGGAGCATACAAAACAGATCACAATTTAAACAAAATGTCTGTAAGACAAGCAAACATCTCACACTAAAAGCAACTGAAATGATGCCTGACAATAAAATATAAAACATCCACAAAATACACCCCGACTAGGCATGGAGAAGGGCGAGGTAGGTGGGAAAGTTGGCCTTGATAGTTCCAACAGAATCTCCTTTGTAGCAATGCTCAGCTATGCTGTATTTCCAGGTGATTGAGGAATTTTGATTTCTGTGTCTCCCAAAGTGAATTGGGCATGGATTTTGCAGCTCCTGGACTTAGATGTGTGGATTAAAATATCCTCCAGAATATTACACACAGAGCTCTCGGCTCAACAGATTTAAACATGTGAAAATTCTGTGAGTGCAGTTTGGAATAAAATGCATTTACAAATGTGTATGTAGAATTTAAATTCAACAAGAACATCTTGTTTGGGGATAAAACACTTCCTGAAATACGTATTTAAATAGGAATTTTTGTGCATATTTTTTCAAAACAAGCACAGATTAAATTGGATGCAGGACAGGATAGATTTTTGAAAGAGTGTGTGAGGAATTAATGTGGAGCAGAAATAGATTGAGGCTTCTATCCCTTGCAGCATGGTGTCCTTTCCAACTGTGAGATCCCACCCTCTTCCCCAGTCATCACAAACTACCTTGTTTGGGAAGCAGCCTTATAAGAGTCAGGGCTATTGTTCCATCAAGCTCAATAACATCTGCACTGACTGGCAGCAGCTCTCCAGGGTTTCAGACAGGGAGCTTCTCTCTGCCCTACCTGGAGATGCCCCGCTGCCCTGGGCCATACTAGGTGGCTCCAGCCTTACCAAATCACTTTTCTGTTGTTCTCAGGATGGAAGGATTGAGTTTTCCGAGTTTATCCAAGCCTTGTCGGTCACTTCCCGGGGGACGTTGGATGAGAAACTGCGGTGTAAGTGGTCAACTGGATTTGAAAATTAAAACTGGTCCTATCAGCATTCAACACTCTAAATTAGGGCTCAGCTCCCACAATCCATCCCCAAGCAAAACTGACCTTTGCAATGTGAGCTAAGGCTTCCTTTTTGGCATGTGGCACCCTCAGGATCTTGCCCCTTTCCTTCTTGCTCTCAGATGGCAGCTTATGAAAGTATTCTGCTAAGACTGTACATAGTACGCACATGCGCACGCAGACACGCACACCATCTAGGCATCCAGATGATGCCTAGATGAGGGCGGGGCTAACATTTAATTAGGGCTTTTAAGCCACAGGTCAGCATAGCTCTCCCTAATCTTCTACTTGTGGTTTCAGGGGCCTTTAAGCTGTATGATCTTGACAATGATGGCTACATCACTAGGAATGAGATGCTGGACATCGTTGATGCCATTTACCAGATGGTGGTGAGTATTTGAAAGAGCAGGATGCAATATGAGTAAGACTCCAGCTGTTATTTATAGAAAGAGAAACTAGGTGGAGGGAAGGGCAAATGCTAGGCTCCACCCTGGAGGAGCAAAATTTGGTCACCTGGGTAATTCACAAACAATTTACAGGCGACCAGTCAAGGATGCTTCTGTAAATGGGGGAAGTTGGGAGTTTATGTTGGTTTTTCCCCCAGGCTGCTACAAATTATACTCCTTGGGGTGAATAAAACCTCTAAAGGCTTTTGTAGTCTTCGGCCCAATTCACACCATACCTTTAAAGCACTATGATACTAACTTAAACGGTCAAAGGTTCCCCCCTAAAATTCTGGGCACTGGAGTTTGTTATGAGTAGTTTAACAAGGAGTCCATATTCACAGGGAACTCTGGGAATTAATTGTAGCTCTATGAGAGGAATAAGCAGGTCCCCTAAGAACTTTCAGCCCCCTGGGGGGGGGGGAATTGTCATCGCGCCACTCCTTGGTGTGTGGAGTACCTCAGGGTGCGATACTCTCCCCGATGCTTTTTAACATCTTTAAACAGCTTGTCCGGAGTTTTGGGCTGGGTTGCCATCAGTATGCTGATGACACCCAACTCTATCTGTTGATGGATGGCCATCCTGACTCGGCCCCAGACACACTGACCAGATGTTTGGAAGTTGTGGCTGGATGGTTACGTGGGAGCCGGTTGAAGCTAAATCCTTCGAAGACAGAGGTCCTGTGGCTGGGACGGGACGATATGGGATTGGGGGGGCAACTCCCATCTCTTGCGGGGGCGCAGTTAGTGCCAGCACCGTCTGTTAAGAGTTTGGGTGTGATCTTCGACACCTCCCTTTCCATGGAGGCGCAGATTGCAGCTATAACAAAGGCGACATTTTTCCATCTCCGCCAAGTTAAGCAGTTGGCTCCTTATCTCTCTCGCCCTGACCTAGCCACTGTGATTCACGTGACGGTCACCTCCAGACTGGATTATTGTAACTCGCTCTACATGGGGCTGCCCTTGAGACTGACCCAGAAACTCTAGCGGGTGCAGAATGCTGCAGCGAGACTCCTTACGGGGTCCTCGCTACGAGATCACATTCACCCGGTGCTATACCAGCTGCACTGGCTCCCGGTGGAGTACAGGATCAGGTTTAAGGTGCTGGTTTTAACTTTTAAAGCCCTATACGGCCTAGGACCCTTGTACCTACGGGACTGCCTCTCCTGGTATGTCCCACAGAGAAACTTACGGTCTTCAAATAAAAACATTTTGAAGGTCCCAGGCCACAGAAAGGTTAGGCTGGCCTCAACTAGAGCCAGGGCTTTTTTGGCTGTGGCTCCGATCTGGTGGAACACTCTGTCACAAGAGACTAGGGCCGTGCGGGACTTGACATCTTTCCGCAGGGCCTGCAAGACAGAGCTGTTCCACCAGGCCTTTGGCCAGGGCACAGCCTGACTCCCTCCTTTGGCAGTCTTCGCGGAGCTCTGGCCCAATGGTTGCCAGTGGTTTGATTTGAATTAATTTTATAATGAATGATTTTAGAGTGTTGTGTTGTGTTGTGTTGTACTGTTGTACAGTTTTATTGTTGTTAGCCACCCTGAGCCTGGCTTCGGCTGGGGAGGGCGGGATATAAATAAAATTTATTATTATTATTAACAAACTACAGGTTCCCAGAATTCTTTGGGAGAAGCTTGTTTATTTATTTCATTCCAGGCCAGGAGGCAGAGACTGAACCCCCCCACCTTTTCTTTTCTTTTCTTTTCTTCTCTTCTTTTCTCTTCTCTTCTCTTCAGGGGAACACCGTGGAGCTCCCTGAAGAGGAAAACACCCCAGAGAAGCGGGTGGACCGGATTTTTGCCATGATGGATAAAGTAAGATGCATCCAGACGTTGTCTCACCTTGAGGCAACCATCCAGAAATTGCCAGGCCCATTTTCCCTGCCACCCTCCCACACCAGAGATCACAACCAATGTTCCCCATGTCCTGTTTCAATGAATTTGAGGGTGCCTTTTGAAGGTCCAGAAGGCAGGCTGTCTCCTCCAGTTTGTCATCAGGCTTATTCCTACATGTAGCAAACTCTCCATGTGGGCAGAAACGGATCCAGAGATCTGCATGGGCAGTCCTCCTCTGCAGGAGGAGGAAGAATTGTAGCTGAGTGGCGTAGAGGGAACTCAGGCCCAGGGGCAAAATGTGGTCCTCTGCAGTTCTTTATCTGGCCCTCGGGGCTCTCCTCAGACCACTGTCCTTATCTGCTTCACTCCAGAACTTCCTGAAGTGTTTTTGCTTGGCCTTGAACTCTGATCATGCCTCTTGTTTTCCTACATGTTGGGTAGAGAGAGGTGTGTGGGTGCAATCCTCTGACTTTGGTTGTTCAAATATACAACACCTGTTGTTCCACCCTCTTTTGCATATGGTCCCACCTATCATGATCATCTGGTCCCCAGAAGATTTCCTATGAGGGATTGAGGCCTTTGGCTCTAAAGGGATACATGTAGAACATCTGTTTCAAAGGCAGAAGGCCCCATCATCTTTAGTTAAGACTCCCTGCCTGATGGTCCTGGAGAGCTGCTGCCAGTCAGGATCAACAGTAGTGGGCTAGGTAGGCCCAAATGGCTTGACTCCATACAGAAACAGTATTTTGGGTTGAGGATTGAACCTGAGAGCAAGCAAAGCCACAGCTTATGTTCAGTCTCTAACATCTCTAGGTAGAAAATGTGAGGCTGGGGAGACCTGAGCTCGAATCCTCCCTCAGCCATAATGGGCCAGTCACACACACCCCTACCTCACAGAGTTGTTGTGGTTATCCTCTCTGATCCCTCACTGTTGTCTGTTGTCCTAGAATTCAGATGGAAAACTCACCCTGCAGGAGTTCCAGGAGGGCTCCAAGGCTGACCCTTCCATTGTTCAGGCGCTCTCCCTCTATGACGGACTCGTATAGCTTGCAGTCTTATGCTTTGGTAAGTGGGTGTATTTTAAAAAAAAAAGATAGAGGGAGGCTGTGGGGATGAGGGGTTGCTTTGGGAACATCTGGATGCTGTGCCCCCTCCCTGATTTATGAGGAATATATCCTCAGCTTTCTTTAAGAGGGGGTTCAGAAAAGGGCAGCCCAAATGATTAAGGGGATGAAGCAACTCCATTATGAAGAAAGGTTGCAGCACTTGGGACTTTTTAGATTAGATAAAAGGTGAGGAAGAGGTGACATAACAGGGAGAAATATAAAGTATTGCACTTGGGCAAAAAAAATGAGAGGCACAAATACAAGATGGGTGACACCTGGCCTGAGAGCAGTACATGTGAAAAGGATCTAGGAGTCTTGGTTGACCACAAACTTGACATGAGCCAACAGTGTGACGCGGCAGCTAAAAAAAGCCAATGCAATTCTGGGCTGCATCAATAGGAGTATAGCATCTAGATCAAAGGAAGTAATAGTGCCACTGTATTCTGCTCTGGTCAGACCTCACCTGGAGTACTGTGTCCAGTTCTCGGCACCACAGTTCAAGAAGGACACTGACAAACTGGAATGTGTCCAGAGGAGGGCAACCAAAATGGTCAAAGGCCTGGAAACGATGCCTTATGAGGAACGGCTAAGGGAGCTGGGCATGTTTAGCCTGGAGAAGAGGAGGTTAAGGGGTGATATGATAGCCATGTTCAAATATATAAAAGGATGTCACATAGAGGAGGGAGAAAGGTTGTTTTCTGCTGCTCCAGAGAAGCGGACACGGAGCAATGGATCCAAACTACAAGAAAGAAGATTCCACCTAAACATTAGGAAGAACTTCCTGACAGTAAGAGCTGTTCGACAGTGGAATTTGCTGCCAAGGAGTGTGGTGGAGTCTCCTTCTTTGGAGGTCTTTAAGCAGAGGCTTGACAACCATATGTCAGGAGTGCTCTGATGGTGTTTCCTGCTTGGCAGGGGGTTGGACTCGATGGCCCTTGTGGTCTCTTCCAACTCTATGATTCTATGATTCATAATAGAAGTTTATAAAATTATGCATGGCATGGAGAAAGGGGTTACAGAAAAGTTTTTCTCCCTCTTGCATAACACTAGAAATCATTGACATCCCAAAAAGCTGAACGTTGGAAGATTCCGGACAGATTTTAAAAAGTCCTCCTTCATGCAGTGCATAATTAAATTGTGGACCTCCCACAGGAGGCAGTAAAGGCCACCAACTTGTGTGGCTTTAAAAGAGGAGGGGACAAATTAATTCCACAATGGCCATGCCCTGCCTCCATGGGTGGAGGCAGTAATGCTTCCTCTGACTACCAGTTGCTAGAAACTTCAGGAGGGGAGAGTGCTGTTGTGCTCACGTCCTCCTGAGGGTTTCCCAGAGGCATATTGTTGGCCATTATGAGAACAGGGTGCTGGACTAGATGAGCCATTGGCCTAATCCAGCAGGCTGTTCTTAGGGTTCTTGAATTTGATAAAATTTCCATTTTAATTGATGAACAGGTAGAATATGAGGATAACATTGCTCAACTCATTGTCTAATTTTCAAGATTTCCATTCTGTGAATAATATACTGATTAGTGGCTTGTCAAAATACATTGGGTTTTATCCAGTTAGCCTGCTCATTAGGAGACCCATTGTAATTAATAAACCTAAGCAAGCCATGTTCATTAATATCAGTGGGTCTCCTTTGAGTTGGCTATGCAATGAGAACACATTTATCAACCTGAATGCAAGTGCTGGGAGTTTGGAAATCTGTTACAGGAGTGGGTTCTGCCTGTGAGGTCAAATAATTGGCAAGCTTTTGATGTCCATATTGCACGTTTGTTGTGTCAGTAGAGTCAGCAAACACCACCAAGGATCAACAGACCATTTGGAGAGACCAACTTATTGCTTTCCAAATCTGATTTAGAACTAATAAAACCTAAAACAGACATCCATTAGAGTGATAGTAGAGGGGTTCCCAGAGTGGTTTAATGAATCAGTCCCTCTTTGCAGGGAACTCTGGAAATTGTAGATCTGTGAGGAGAATAGTAAGTTTTCGCAAGAACTCTCAACACCCTTAATGAACTACAGTTCCCAGAATTCTTTGGGAGAATCCATGGCTGCCTAAAGTGATATTATACTTTAAATGTATGGTGTGAATGTTGCCTTAGTCTGTAAGCATAGGAATGTCCATCAAGTCAAAATGTTTGTAACAATTTTGTCCCCCTTTTAACTGCTTTTCTGCTCCCTTTTTTCCAGACACACCTGAAGGAACCCCCTTCCAGTGCCATCAAACACCCACCTCAGACCAGACTCTCTCGCCTGACTTATGCCAGCCCCTCATCGCGCTAAAAACGTGGGAGAGGGGTGTGCTTGGAGCGTGACGTCAACCCAACCACTTTGTGCTCAAAAACCAGCTCGTCATCTCCATTTGCCAGCGTCTGCATTTAACAACGATTAAAAAAAAAAGAAAAAAGAAAAAAAGAAAAGTGGGGGCGGAGGAGGAGAAAGCAGTGATGAAGAGGATGATGAAAAGATAAGCGCCGTTTCCTTGGGGCCATGAAGAATACTCTCACATGTTAATATTCTGTTTTGTTTGTTTCGAATGGATTAAGAACGAGTACCATTTTTAAATATCTCTTATGGGGGGGGGCAGAATCATGCAGACTGGAGATGTAGGGTCCCATTAAGACGTCTTGTGTCAGGGCACCACTGGACTGGACCGGAACTGTCAGTGGATGGCTTAATCGCATCTAAGCTTTTGCTTTTAAAATCCTGGGGGTGTCGCACGTGTGTGTGCTTGGGGGTATGTGTTAAAAATCCATTTGAAATTGATGTCCATCCTCATTTGGGTTTGTGGTTCAAATTGCAATGCTACACACACACATTATTATGATGATTATTTGGGGTGTGACATTGTTATTGTATGCTCTCATTTTGTGTGTGTGTGCGTGACGGAAAAGTGAGACGCTTTTTCTTCTTTTGAATGACCTCTGAACAACCGGTAGTTATTTATTTGCCGTTTTTTGTGTGTCAAAGCTGCTGTATAATTTTTTTGTCTCGTGTCTCCGAAAAAGAACAAAAAAACCCACAACTCATGCTGCAGGGGTGTTGTCCCTCACAGAAGAAATCTAAGCCAAAAAGAAGAAAGAAACAAAGAAAGAAAGATCCCCACAACTTATATATGTCTGCTGTGCTGCCTGGCTGGGGTAGAAAGGGGTCAGTGTGCCCTCTGATTATGTTGTCTTTCGTCCATCTATCCATCGCCCTACCCCAAAAGGCCCCAAACCTCTTGCTCTTGGCAGGCCTTGCATCTGGGACTTGCGATGTCTGCAGCACCCCCTCTGAATGCTGTCTCTCCACCTCTTTTGTATTTCTTTATTTTCTGCCCCCCCTGCATTCATTTTGCCATTTTGCCTACATTGTAAAAGAGGAATGATGAAACAATCCAGTACCCCAAGTTTTTCTCTCTCTCTGCATGAAACTAAAGAAGTGTTAATGTGGCCAATCTTGTTGGAGCTTTAAAAAAAATGACAACAAAAACACAGTTCTTTCTCAAAGGAGTAATAATAATGACGATGGTGATAATAGTACCTCTGTTTTTGTTTGTTTGTGGGCTTTTGGATTCTTACTTGTTGTTGGGAGCATCCAATCTTTCTCTAACTCTCTTCTGTTTTAAGGCTAATATCACCACTGGGGAATTTTAGCTAGTTCCTCAGAATTCTTTGGAAGTTTCGTCTAAGGGGGGAAACCTCTAAAAATCAGCTGCAACCTCACTTTGGGCAGAACCCTGTAATGACATGGTGGCAAATGGATCCTGGGGGAGAAAATTCACTTAAGGGGTTCAATACAGAGGCTCAAACCAGATTCTCAATTAGACTTTTACTTAGTAATGTATTACAGGTCAGATTCCAAAAAGTCTGTGAGAACTTTCCATTATGAAACACACTTTATTCTGCCCTCTTCTTTCACCTCAGCCAATCATAGTCATTGGAAAATGTTGCCCAGCCCAATTTGTACTTGCAGAGGCCTCTTTGCATCTTATCTTGAGCTCTTTTTCACTCTAACTTTCAACTAGGCCCCTCCAAAATTGGTTCTTAATTATTTTGTGGTTAGGCCATAATCCTGCGCATGTGAAGCTGGCTTCACTAAACATAGATCTCAACTTCGATTCCTCTAATAATTGTTCCTTCTTGGGTCAGGAAAGGGGAACCTGTGCCCTTCTTAATGTTGCTGGAGTCCGACTCCCATCTTCCTTGACGATTGGCCATGCTTGCAGGGGTTGCTGGGACTTGTAGTTCAATATCATCTGCAGGGCCACAGGCTCACATCTCTGTCAAGGATAAATTCCCAACTCCAGGCCTAGTCCTGTTCCTGATATTGCTACTGTGGAGCTCCAAATTCCATACCTGCCCAGGGAGCTGCTAACATGAAAAAGAACAATTTTATAGCTGGCTGGTCACGTGAGATGGGTAACCTGTTGCTGGATTACAGAACCCATCAGTCTCAGCCAGTACAGCCAATGGTGGTCAGGGATAATGCAGGCTGTTGCCCAGCAACATTGGAGGGCACCACGTTGTATATACCTGATATGAAGAGTCTGACTTCTCAGGAATGGGATGTTTCAGGTCTGGGCCTCTATTTGGAGATGTTGCCTGCTCAGCTCCTGTGTGTAATCCTGGAGGATGGCAGGCTCCTCTTTTCCCCACGAGGGCTAATCAAGCTCTGGGTTGATCCTGACTGGAAAATGGTGGGATGTGATAGTTCTCTGAGGTCAGCTGCTGCCCTGCCCAGGAATAGTTGTAGCTGTCATATAAGCAAAAACTATTAGAAGGCACCCTGATCTGGAGGTGGGGTGGGGAATTGCAAACCTGTCCAAAACAGGCAACTGACCTGTCATCTGGACCCATGCACCCACAGGGTGTTCATCTTGCTAGGATTCAGCTTCAGATTGTTGGCTGCCATCCAGCCCATCACCTTGTCCAGACGCCAGGTCAGGACTTGAATTGCCTGCCTGATTCAGATGTTACAGGGAGATGGTGCTGGATGTCATCAGCATTTGGATGATACCTCACTCCAAAACCCCTAATGACCACATCCAGTGGCTTCATATAGGTGTTAAAGAGCACCATGCATAATTAAACTATGGAAATTGCTCCCACAAGAGGCAATTGTAGTCACTGACTCAGGCAGCTTTGAAAGAGGAAAATATAAGGCTATCAATGGCTACTAGTGACAGGGGCTCTGCTCTGCCTTCACAGATGGAGGCAGCAGTGCTTCTGAAAGTCAATTACTGAAAACAGCAGGAGGGGAGAAGGCTCTTGTGCTCAGGTCTTAGAATCATAGAACTTTAGAGGGACCTCGTGGATCATCTAGTCCAACTCCTTGCAATGCAGGAATATGCAGCTATCTCATACGGGGATTGAACCTGCAACCTTGGCATTATCAGCACCACACACCAACTGAGCTACCCAGACTAGTCTTGCTTGCTGTTTTCCCACTGGGGCATCTGGGTAGTTTATATGAGAACAAGAGGCTGGGCTAGATGAACCACAGTGGCCTGATCCAACAGACTCTTATGTTATGATACTTTGAACAGAGTCTATATCAGTTTCAGGTTTCTGTATCATCTGAATATATTTCAGCCATTTTGGGGGTACTGCATGAGTCCCCCAATTCAGACAGGGATGAGAATGTTATTTCATCACCACACCACCAAGCTTTTCCAGGAATCAGGGCACAACTGTCTTCTGTGTGTGCATGAGAGACAACAAAGTCTCTTTTCACCCAACTGTGTTCCTCATTACACAAAGGCCTTTCCTTTGTGAGAGCACCAATTTTCTCACGTTGACTCCCACCCAGTGGACAAGGATAGGTTTGTGCTGTTAGTCGGTTCCCCACCCCTAGGCTAGAGCTCATGTAACCTTTTTCAGTCAGAAAAAAAATGTTCCAGCCCTCTGGCAGTTTTATTTAGGGGGGGAGTGAGATCCCCCTCCCCAGTAGCACTTAAATATCCTATTTTGAGAAGGCCTGCTTAGAAAAGCACACAGTATTCCTGAAGCGGACACATGGCCAGGTTACATAACAGTAGGTCAGATTATTCCTGCTTCATTGTCAAGACCCTGCAAACATCAGAGTTCCCACAGGGCCAGAAGTAAATGTGGTCAAAGGTAGGCTGGGAGGTTGGGGCAGGATAATATTTTGGAAGGGCAAGGCATGCCCATCTGTAGCTACTTTGACTGAGGACTGACATGGATGTGAGGGTTTTTATAAAGCCTGGTGTGTCCCTATTGGCTTCAAGATGCCAGCTCTTTGGCCACTGAGAAGATGTCTTCTCACCCTTTTTGCTGATGGGTACCAATCACAATGAAAGTCAGCCACTGAGGATGGGCTCCTGGGGCCCCTCTGGAGAAAGTACATGGGAAGAACATTGAGGGCTGCAACGGTGGACAAGGAAGAAGTGTTGCTGTGGATATCATGAAGGGACCCTGCACTTTTGAATTTGCCACTAGACTACTGTGGTGTCCTATAGGGCACATCTAATGCCCTTGGTTTCCGGAGAGACCAGAATTCTGATAAGTGGAGGAGGTGATGATGACTGGTTGTAGAAGACCCAGTTTTGAGAGACCCCCCACACCCTTCAGTACTGTACATAAAGCTACCACTTTGCACTAGCATCACAAGACCCTGTTTTGGTCTCCATGAGTTACCAGTGGTAGGACCTGACATCCTTTGGAGGTTCTCGCCGCCCCCCTCTGGTTCATTTCATGTAACACATTAACTGGGCTTTCACTTTGCCAAATGTAAGGTGCAAGGAATGGGTTGTCCATCCATCCACAAGGTGCTTCAGTGCTGTTGGCTGGTGAGCATGTGTCTTTGCTGTTTCATTCAGGATTCACATCCTAGCAGGAGATGGAGCTGTGGGGTTGCTAGGCAACTGCATCTCCCACTGACGTAGTGGTGTTGCCTGTTGCCACACATCAGCAGCCCCAAGCAGTGAAAGGATATTTCATTTTGCTCAGCAAGACCCCGCAGAGGACAGCTTTTATGAAGTGGCTTCGAACGAAGGGAAGTCATTCAGCAGCTCCAGAACAGAAAGCTCTCTGGAGTAAGTAATGTGATTCGCTGCCCCCTCTAAATCCAAACCAGTTTCCAACAGTGCTGCCTTCACCTTCTCAGTGGCAGAGTATCTGCTTTGCATGCAAATGGTCTGAGGTTCAATGCCTGGCATCTCCAGGTTAGGACTGGGAAAGATTAGGTTAGGACTCTCAAAGATACTGGAGAGCTGCTGCCAGTCAGTGTAGACAATACTGAGCTGGAATGGCCAAATAGTATAAGGCAGCTTCCTATGCTCCATGTCTGCTTCCTCAGGGTCACAGTTCAAGCTTGAGGAGGCAGTAGATGTTGCACAGTTGGGGTTGTCCTCAGTCACCTTTCTAAGGTATCCTCATTGTTAAACCATTCCTACTCTAGGCAACACTTCACTGTTGTCGTCATCATTATCATTATCATAATAATAATAATAATATTTATTTATACCCCGCCCTCCCCAGCCAAGGCCGGGCTCAGGCTGGCTAACAAGCGATAATAAAAACAAGTTGAATGATTACAACTTAAAAACAAAATTGAAATACAACATTAAAATATTGAAACATTAAAATATTAAAATGTAGCCTCATCGCAGGAGGAGAAAGGAAAAGAAAAAAGAAAGAGAGGAAGGGAATCAAATTGGCTCCAAGCCAAAGGCCAGGTGGAACAACTCTGTCTTACAGCCCCTGTGGAAAGAAATCAGATCCTGCAGGGCCCTGGTCTCATGAGGCAGAGCGTTCCACCAGGCCGGAGCCAGAGTTGAAAAGGCCCTGGCTCTGGTTGAAGCCAATCTAACTTCCTTAGGGCCCGGGACCACTAGGGTGTTGCTATTTATGGACCTTGAGGCTCTCTGTGGGGCATACCGGGAGAGGCGGTCCCGTAGGTACGAGGGTCCTAGGCCGTGAAGGGCTTTAAAGGTCAAAAGCAGCACCTTAAATCTGACCCTGTACTCCACCAGGAGCCAGTGCAGCTTGAAAAGCACTGGGTGAATATGCTCCCATGGCAAAGACCCCGTGAGGAGCCTCGCAGCATTCTGCACCCACTGGAGTTTCTGGGACAGCTTCAAGGGCGGCCCCGCGTAGAGCGAATTACAGTAGTCAAGTCTGGAGGTGACCGTCGCATGGATCACTGTGGCCAGGTCGGGGCGGGAAAGGTAAGGGACCAACTGCTTGGTGGAAAAATGTCGCCTTGGCTGTTGCTGTAACCTGTGCCTCAATGGAAAGGGAGGCGTCAAGGATTACACCCAAACTCTTAACGGAAGGCAATGGCACTAATTGGGCCCCCGCAAGTGAAGGGAGTTGGTTCCTCATCCCCATGCCATCCCGACCCAGCCATAGGACCTCTGTCTTCGAAGGATTTAGTTTCAATCGGCTCCCACAAAACCATCCAGCCACAGCTTCCAAGCATCTGGTCAGTGTGTTCGGGGCCGAGTCAGTGTGGCCATCCATCAGCAGATAGAGCTGAGTGTCATCAGCATATTGGTGACAGCCCAGCCCAAAGCTCCGGATAATCTGGGCAAGGGGGTGCATAAAGATGTTAAAAAGCATTGGGGAGAGAATTGCGCCCTGTGGCACTCCACACACCAAGGAATGCCGCGACGACATTTCCCTCCCTAGTGCCACCCTCTGTCCCTGACCAGAGATAAAAGAGCACAGCCAGTTACGGGCTATGCCCTGTATCCCCACGTCTGTGAGGCGGTGGTCCGGAAGATCATGATCAACCATGTCAAAGGCTGCTGACAAATCTTAAAGGATCAGTAGTCCTGACCCGCCTCGATCCAGTTGTCTACGGAGATCATCTGTTAGGGCAACCAGAGCCGTCTCGGTCCCAAAACCAGGACGGAAACCGGACTGAAATGGATCTAAAGCCGATGTTTCCTCCAGAAACCTACCAAGCTGTTCAGCAACCGCTCTCTCAATTACCTTACCCAAATCTGGAAGATTTGAAACTGGGCGGTAATTGGATAGGTCTAAGGGATCTAGTGAAAAATTCATTAAGAGTGGACACACCACTGCTTCCTTCAGTTCCCCGGGAATGTCCCCGTGCCAAGGGACAAATTGATAATTTCAACTGGGGGGTCCACACGACATCTGGACACTCCCTAATCAGCCAAGATGGGCACGGATCAAGGAGGCAGGTGGTGGGCCTACCAACTTGGAGGAATCTTTCCACATCAGCAGGGAGTATCTGATCGAAATGGTCCAGCACTGGACCTGAAGTCAGTCGAGATGCCTCCAGTTCAGTCACTGTATCTAAATTGGCAGGGAGGTCACGGCGGAGCAACAGGACTTTCTCCGCAAAAAAGCTTGCGAATGCCTCACAGCTGTGGGTTGAATTTGTGCTTAAATTTGGTTGTCCTCCTAAGGACGTTATTGACCTAATTATTCTAAAAAGTTGTGCCGGGCGAGAGCTAGCGGATGCAATGGAAGCTGCAAAGTAAGATTTCTTAGCAGCTTTCATAGCCATCTCATAGGCTTTCATAAGCGTCCTATAAGATGTTGGCTGAGGCTCCGCCACGAGTCCGTCGCCATACTCGCTCTAGCCGTCTGAGATCCCGCTTCATTTTCCGGAGCTCCTCAGTAAACCAAGGGGCCCGGTTTCGACGGGGTCGCAGAGGGCGCTTAGGCGCGATCTCATCAATGGCTGCCAAGAGCCGGTTATTCCAGTCCTCAACAAGGTCATCTAATGAGTCGCCAGGAGGAGCAGGGTCCCGCAAGGCTTGACGGAATCTATCAGGATCTATCAGTCTTCGCAGGCGAGCCCAAATAGGCTCGCCACCCAAGCAGGGGAGGAGCGGGAAGTCAATCTTGGCTTTCAGAGCGTAGTGATCAGACCATGGCACTTCGACAGGGGGGAGCATGATCACATCTATAATGTAATTAATAATAAATTAAATGTGTATACCACTCTTCCTCTGAAAATCAGAAGGCGGTTCACAACAGTTTTAGAGAAAAGCATAGAAGGAACGTCTGCCTTTTATGGCCATGGGGGTTACACACGCTCACAAATTTACCCTGGGTAAACATCTGCAAATTTGCAAAATGTGCTGATGTTTCTTGGTATCTAAATGAAATTTGCTAGAGAGGCACATCTGCAGACGAGGGGCAGGGAGTGACTGAGATGTGCTTCACCAGAGTTCCCATGCCTGGAAGTTTTAAGAAGAAAATCTGGACAGTGCACAGAGTGGGGTGACCAAGGGGAGCAAGGGTCTGGAAACCAAGCCTCATGAGGAATGCTTGAGGGAGCTGGACATGTTTAGCTTGGCGAAGAGAAAGCTGAGATGTGAGATGATAGTCATCTTCAAATAGCTTAAGGGCTGTCACATGGAAGATGGAGCAAGCTAGTTTTCTGCTGCTCCGGAGAACCTCAGGTTAAGAACAGTTTCAGGTTAAGAATGGACCTCCAGAACGAATTAAGTTCTTAACCTGAGGTACCACTGTATAAGCTAGACAAGCTATAGCTTAGGGCCCCAATCTCTTTGGGGCCCCCAAAATATTTAAAGGAAAAAACCACCTGGATGTACATTTCCAAAATATAAGATAAAAAACAAATAAAACATTTCCAAAATATAAGATAAAAAACAAATAAAAACCTACATACAGCAACAGTGGCAAATGGCTTTAGATACCTAAATGACCATATAGCAGGCACGTCCAACAGGTAGACCGTGATCTACCGGTAGATCACTGGACATCTGTGGTAGATCGCTGGCTCCCCCAAAAGAAGTTCAACAACTTCGGCTCCCGAAGTCTGTTGGGAGTTGGACACCCCTGCCATATAGTATATATTCAACACAAAAAACAGTGACAATTTATTGTTGACAAAGGACAGCTGGACATATAAAGGGCCCCATTACCTTCAGTAGCTTAGGGCCACATCAAACCTAAATCCAGCCCTGCTCTTAGGGGTCCCTTCCAACTCTGTAATTCTATGACTCTGTGATAAAAATAATGGTAAAGTTCATGACATATTAGAGAGTAACTTCCCACCTACTTAGTCTATATACCAGTGAATAACCTGGTATTATAAAGTCTTCAGAATTTTCTCTTTCCAATGAAATGAACCCAGTGATACTCCACCCACTGTTCGGTATGTTATTTTCACTAATGTGTGCATTTTAATGAACACTGTACTTAACACATGCGGTTTTCCATGTATCACATGACTGGAGAGCTGCATTGCAAAATTTGGATAAGTCTGAATTTCGAAGAATAGCTGCATTTCAGTTTGCATATTGTTTTGCAAAGTACAAGATAGATTTGTCTCCTTAATACAAAGTGAACTGAATTCCTTACCTCTGCATTCCTAGAGTGGGGGGTGGGGGGTGGGCGGCTGGCTATTTCCAGTTATGCCTGCTTTTGAACTTCCTAAAGCATCAAATGTTCTGCTTTTGGAATGTGAGCTGGATGGACTTTGGGGTCTGATCCAAGAGGGCAATCCTTCTGTGTTTACAGAGGGGATGTCCCGCGGCTGCATCCAGAATAGGCAAGATTGTGTGCCTTGGCCCTTTGCTTTGTCTGCTGCTGACTCAGCACACGGAGTTTGGAATCCACAAGACTGCATAAGAAAGGGGGATTGGATTGTGAAGAATGCAGAGTCAGCAAACATCTCCATGTCAACACCCAGGTGCCAAAAAAGACAGGTGACATTCTGGCACAGCAGGCCACTATCTCTCTCTCTTTCTGGCCTTGAGCCAGCAATCACAAGCCATGGATCTTCTGTTGACAAGGGGGTTACCAAATTCTGCTCCTGAGCCTGCTCCTGTGTCTTTAAACCCACAGTCAGACATGCAGAAAATAAAGTTTTCTTCAGCACTTTTTTCCTCTAACCCAGGAAGAGCATCACTTGCGAATTGCTCACCTGCCTGGCTCCTGTCAAAGGCAGAAAAGTGCCCCCCAAAGTTGGCAGTACTACAGTTCTTATATAATACCTTCTGTCAGGCTTGTTGTCCAAAGTACAGAATCACAGAATTGTAGAGTTGGAAAGGACCCAAGGGGCCATTTGTCAAACCCCCTGAAATGCAATAATCCCATCTGAAAAATCCCTGACAGGTAGCTATCCAACCTCTGTTTAAAAACCTCCAACAAAGGAGAGCCCATCACCTCTCGAGGGAGACTGTTCCATTGTGGAACAGCTCTTACCATCAGACAGCTCTTCCCAATGTTTAGTTGAAACCTCCTTTCTTGTCATTTGAATCCATCTGTTTGGGTCCTAACCTCTGGAGCAGCAGAAAACAAGCTTGCCTTCAGATATTTGAAGATGGCTCTCATATCACCTCTCAATCTTGTCTTCTCCAATCTAAACATACCCAACTCCCTCAACTGTTCCTCATAAGTCTTGGTTTCCTTAGGAACTACGGAGGTCTTTGTTGGGGCCTTTTGATCCCTGGGGAAGGCTGCCTTTTTAAAACCCTCCTCACTCCATAACCCAATTTAAAGAGGAAATTGTGAATGAGTGAAGAGGGAGGTCTGCAGTATGCAGAACAGTCCCTTTGAGAGTTAGACACACCTCAGTTATTCCCGGCTCCTCCCACCCTAAACAAGTGGCTGTGATTTATAATCTGGGGTGGCTCTCTAGGAGAGGCACACATAGTTTTGTGTGCTGAGTGGCACTATTCCATCTGTGGCAGATTCCCTGTGGTGGGGTGAGTGAGGGTTTTCTAAATTTTACAGAAGGTGAAGGAGATAAATTGCAAAGGGGTTTTTTTAAAGAGGAGATTAAGATCCAGGAAGACAAGGAAAGAAGAGTTGAGGCTGTGTTTTAAAGTGGATAAATGCAATGTGGAAAAATAATTTGAATAGGACTGCATGTATATGTTTAACCTGTTTGAAAGTGCAAGAGTAATTCTGGGGCTTTTGCTTTTCACTAGGGCAGTTGCGAGCGTTGTGAACCCCCACTGACTGGGCATCTCCAGTCCCTCATTGAAACCTAGCCTCAGATAGCCACACATAAATGCCAGCAGGGCTGCTATGCATTATGCAATAGGTGGAACTAGAAACTTGACAGCTGTGGCTTTCGTATCATAAAGGTGTAAGGAAAGGGGGTGAATGATAGCCACTAAGGGCAATGACCTGGGAATCCTCAGATTCAAGTTTTCCCCAGTGCCCACAAAATGCATTTACAAAGAGCAGGTGCTACCTTGCAGGGCTGTTTGTAGAGACCTCCAAAGCGAACATTTTTGGTGCCCCTTGAGTTAAAAGGGGAAAGTAGAATGAAAAACTTCTGATGAATGTTATTCGCCAGCAGCTCTGCCCTATATTCAGTAAAGGGAGACTCTCGTAATGAACTTATTTACCTTCTGTTCTAGCTGGTGGGTGGGTTGTATTTAAATCCAGCAAATTGTGGGGTGGGGAGAAAGATACTGTTCACAGTAGCTATCATCTGCTTGTAGCCAGCTTTGATTCTGGAAATGGAATATTTTGTTTCTTTTCTCCCTATTTTACGCTTGTGACACCCCAACAAACATGGGCATAGCCAGGATTTTTGTTGTGGGGGGCAGGCTTTTGTTAGGGGGACAGAACCTCAGATTAGGCTAATCTAGGTTAATCTGGCTGCCCATCTATTACTGAGCCAGGTTTAAAGTCCATGTATTAAATTACCAAGCCTTGAACAACTTAGGTCTAGGGTATACCTCAGGGACAACTTGAACCCTTATATCCCGGCTCAGCTGTTGAGATCCTCTGCAGAAGCGTTGTTAGCTATTCCCTCAGCTGGTGAGACTCATTTGACAAGAACAAAGAGCCAAGCCTTTAGTTTCATTGGCCCAGTCCTGTGGAACTCCCTGCCTCTGGACATTCAGTAGGCATCTTCTGTGCCAACTTTTAAACACTTGCTGAAAACTTTTCTATTCTGTCAGACTTATGCAAGGAATTGAAAATACATCTTTCCACAATAGCTTGCTGATTTCTCATTCTTATAGTTTATAATGGTTTTTATTGTGTGGTTTTATGTACTACTGTATATGAAATAGTGGTATATAAATATTTTTAGAAATAAACAAAAAATTCAGCATTTTCACTGCTACACCACACTGACTCTTCGGGACATGTCCACCTTTTATCCTCCTAACAACCCAGAGGTTAGGCTGAGAGATAGGGACTGGCTCATGGGCATCTCAGTGAGTTTCATGACTGATCCTGAATCTCCCGGGTCCTGACACCATGCTGCATGAGCTGGCTTGTACAGAAGCCCCCAAATACTTGGCAAAAAAAAGCAAACCCAGAAAAGTTGTGGATTGTGGCTATTCTTTTGTTCCGTTTGCAACTGGTACCCCCATTCGTTCTTCTTCCCCTGCTCCAAATAAATCCCAGGCTGCACACAGAGGAAATTGAAAATGCAGTCTAGGCTGGTTGTCCAAAGCAGAAACTGTGGAGGTCTTTGTTTGGTCTTCTCAATCATTTATGCTGATGCCAGGCATGATGGTGCCAACGAGGCTACCTACACAATGTGCCAAGTCCACTGAGGGGTAAAAAAACAACTTTTAATTGGACAAATGATGGTAGAAACAGCCACATGGATCTCTAAAGCAGAGCCGGACACCTTTCAGCTCTTGGGCTGCAAACGGCCTGCAGTCTGATTTCACCCTGTTTTCTTTCAGATGTCTGTTAAGAACTTTATTGTTCAAACTAGCCTTTGGAACAGAGGCCACATCCTCATACTGCTTTGAACAGCCATGGCTTCTCCCAAAGCATCCTGGGAAGTGTAATTTGTTAAGGGTGCTGAGAGACATTAGGAGACCCCATTTCTCCTCACAGGACTGAAGCTCCCAGAGTAGTTTTATCAACCAATCCCTCTTCCCAAAGAACCCTGGGAAATGTAGCTCTTTGAGGAGGAATTTGGGAGGATTTCTTAACAACCTATAGTTAGCAACCTATAGTACCCAGGATTCTTTGAGGGAAAGCCATGCCTGTGGTTTTGGGGAAATGGTATCAGAGTGCATGGCGCAGATTTGACCTGGGTGTCTAAAACAGGGGTGGACTCATAGTCTAATTTCTGGAGTGGGGAGCCCTCACAGCTGTATGTGACCCTCCAAGTCTTTATGGCCTTTGGGGCTTTCTCTGGGCTACACTACCTCCTCCTCTGCCACACAAAGACCTCCCCATGTCTCTTTCCCCACCAGCCCTGCCCCCCACCCTCCTTAAGTCTCTTTCCCTGGATGGGATGTGTCCTTGAACTCTGACCATGCCTCTTCCTTGTCTGGATGGAGGGTAGAGAAATGGATGTGTGAGAGTCTATGGAAACTAGCCTACTATCCAAATGTAAAATTTGCATTTCTTGCTCCACCCACTTTTGCCCCTGGCCCCTGGGAGGTTGCACAGAAGGGAATGTGGCCCTCAGGCAGGAAAAGGGGTTTTGAATCCCTGGGATAAAAATTCCAGTGAAATAGGGATGTGCCCAAGGCCAATCTTCTGGTCGCCAAGAAGAGTATTCCTCAGCCACTGAATTCCCTGGGGCTTTCAAATTCCTCCTAAAATTTAATAATGATGGAGAAAAGTGCACCTCATTGGAGAGAGCATTCTGCAGCTGCGGAGCCACCACTGAAAAGACCACTGTTGTGGGGGGGGGAGAGTAAAGAGTCTTTGTCCCAACCTCTGTCTGGTACCCAGTGTGAGGAATCGTTTCTGTTTCTACTGATAGAGACAATGTCTCAGAGCAAAGGCGTCGTGGTCCTTGCCTACAGTGGGGGGTTGGACACCTCGTGCATCCTGGTCTGGCTGAAGGAACAAGGCTACAAGGTCATCGCCTATTTGGTAAGTTGACAAGGTGGAGTTCGAGCAGGATCCAGGAGAGGAAGGGCTATAGGTGTAACTCAGTATCCCGTTCTCACTGGGGCCTCTCAGATGCCTGTGGGAAACCAGCAAGCACAGTAGTGTAGCTGGCCAGCGGGGGCAGTCCGCACTGGGTGGGTGGGGGCATAGGGTGGCATGGGGGTCTTTAGGGTAGCACAGAGCTTTGTAGTGCGGCACAGTGGATGCTATGCATCTGGAGGTGGGATTCTGGGCAGCAGGGGAGCTTGAGGGTGGCATGGTGGTAATGGGGCATTTCAGACTCTGCAGGGGGGCAGAGCCACTTCCCATGCCTGAAATCAGCAGCTATGGAATTCTGGTGGCTGCCCTTAAAAAACTCAACAACTTTGGCCTGCCCCGGGTGCCAGTGGGGGTTGCTACGCTGCTGAGCAAGCAGGACCCGAGCATAAGAGCAGCTCTCCCCTCATGTGGTTTCCAGCAACTGACATTGTGGCCAGCTTTATCCTCTTCCATGAACTTGTCTAATCCTGTTTTAAAGCCATCTAGGTTAGCAGCCATCCATGCCTCCTGTAGAAGCAAGTTCCATAGTTTGCACTGCGAAAAGGACATATTTTTAAGCATCCTGAATCTTCCAACATTCAGCTTTGTTGGAGATCCATGAGTTCTAGCGTTATGAGAGAGGGGGGAAATGTTTTTTCTTCTTCTGTCCACTATATCTAAACAAAGAAGTTCCAAAAATTGCAACCCTTCCTCACAGGGGAACATTTTGGTTGCTCTTTTCTGAACCTTTTCCAACTCCACAATATCCTCCTCCTTTTATTTTGCAGTAAGATTTGGTTAAATCTTGGGTCAGTTCTGGCTGAAATTCTGGGTTAGCCACAGTTCAGCAAAGAATCTGATCTATGTGTGTCTTCCATCTCCCCACCCCTTTTACCCCAAAACAAATATTAATATATGGCACGGTGTCTACTCTTCCAGGCCAACATTGGACAAGAGGATGATTTTGAGAAGGCAAGAAAGAAAGCACTTTCCTTGGGAGCCGAAAAGGTGATTCCTACACCCCCCCTCCACATGCTAACAGTCAATCAAATGGGTTGCAAATCCACAGAGCTGTCAGACTGGCCTAATTTGCAGGGTTAGTTTGTCAGGTTGATGGGAGAGAATGTTATGCATGCATTATTAACAGGTCAGAAGCATTGCAAGTGGATTGCTCTGGGAATTATTTGGAAAGTTGCCTCTACAGCTATGTATATGAAATGATGGCGTGGGAGGAATTTGCCTACAATGGCAGCACAGAAATACTCTCCAAGTATAAATCTTCCTATAGACATAAAATCTAAGACTGTCATCATTCTGCAGTTCACATGGCTGCCAATAGGTGGCCATGCCAATTGCAGCTTGACAACAGGAGCCTCTCAGCACTGGCCCCAGCCTGGGCAGTGCCACCTCCCATGCCTGGTGCCTGACTGCCTGGGCCTCAGAAGTGCTGGGTGAGGGAGGAAGGCTACACTGGGCTGGGGGCCTCTCCCTGGGCTGCACTCACTTGGCTCCAACTTCCCTCCCTCCCTCCCTCCCTCCTCCTGTTGACCTTTTGGTTGGGTGTTGGGCAGTACCCCCTCCCCAATATTTTATTCAAGTTAGTGCCATTGAAGGGGACCACTGGAAAACTGTTGCCCAAGCTGAAGCCAGGCAAAGTCAGCCCCAGGCTGACCTCACCCTGCTCTAGCAAGAGGTTGCATGGTGGGGTGTGTGTGTGTGTGGGGGGGGGTGATGCGATGCCATTTTTTGGTTTTCAGGCAGCAGAATGTCTTGGGCTGGCCCTGCACCAGAGAGTTTGCACTTGGGATCACTAAGCACAGCTTGGTTGTGCATTGACTCCCAAGATATACCTACTAGGCACTCTTTGTAACTTTTGTAAAATACAGCCTTGTATTACAGTTTTAAAACTGTATTTCTATAGCTGTTGTGTGGATTGCCAACTTTCTGAAGCGGGGAGGGCAGGCACCTGAATCAGGGTGTCAGATGATGAATGTAATTTTTGGGGCAGGCTTTACTTGCCCCATCACCCCTTGGCAGGGTTCTGAGTTCAAAATGTGCCTCCCTTCAGCTTCTGATAAATAACTGGGAACAATCCCATCCCCTCTCCTCCTCTCCATCGGTCTCAGGTTTACGTTGAAGATATCAGCAGAGAGTTTGTGGAGGAATTCATCTGGCCGGCGGTCCAAGCCAACGCGATTTACGAGGACAGATACCTCCTGGGCACGTCACTGGCCAGGCCCTGTATTGCCCGTAAGCAGATGGAAATAGCGCAGAAAGAAGGTGCCCAGTATGTTGCCCATGGAGCTACAGGCAAGGTAAGCATTTGACGACTGGTGCTCATTGAGACTGGCGGGATGTAAGGCAGGAAGCCCAGCAGTAGGTGGCGCCAGAGCCAGCTGATTCCAGTTCTGTCCCCATCTTTCCTCTGCTGGGTTCCACAAGGACAACACTGAGACTTAAGGAAGACAAGGAAGCTGTCAGGCGGTGCCACTTGCTGGATTGGTTGTAGGCAGGTGGGAGCTGGCTGAGCGCAGACTGGAAGATTCAGGACAGATAAAAGAAAGGACTTCTTCATGCAGTGCATCAGTGCTTTTATTCAACCGGAGTGTGCTGGAGTGCAGTTCCAGCACGTCTCAGGTGAGTGCCATTGCGGGCCAGCATTCCTCTGCACTTCTTGCCTTTACAGTCATACCTTATATTACGTTTGTTTCATGTTACGTTTTTTAAGGTTGCATCCCACGGTGACCCAGAAGTACTGGAAATGGTTACTTTTGGGTTTCACCGCTCGCGCATGCGCAAATGCACAAAATGACATCATGCACATGTGCAGAAGCGGCAAATCGCAACCTGCGCGTGTGCAGACGTGCCTCTGTGGGTTGCGTTCTTTTCATGTTGCGAACGGGCCTCCGGAATGGATCCCATTCTCAACCAGAGGTACCACTGTATGTACTTCTGAGAAGCCCAAAACGAACATTTCAGGTCAATACAGAAACAGGCCGGTATGTGTCAGTCTACACTTTTTTTTTAGATCTATGACTCCACCTAGCTCCTAGCCGTGACTGGTCAAGCTATGGGACAGGGCCAATTCGTATTTCATTTTCTTCAATCATTATCCCATGTAGTGGCAACAGGCTATAAGCTTTGCAGCCAGGCCTCTACTGTTGCACACATGTGTGTTTCTGCAAGGGCATTTCTGAGCTGCCCTAGTCAGCCACCTGAATCAAAGAGAATGAGGGAGGCAGGGGCGTATTTATTTGACCTGCACCAGAACCAGGGGTGACCTCCAAACCAGCTAGGGAGACAGCTTGCCTTATTTTTTAGCACCTTCACGGGTGGTGAATGTGGCTGTTGTCAAACCAGCATCTGTTCACGGTTGCCCTGAGTTGCCCAGCGACTTACTGTAACAACTTCATGTTTTTCTTGAACAAGAGCACTGCAGTGCAGAGTTAAACTATGGAACTCAAAACTGCAGGAAGCAGTGAAGGCCGGTAACTTGGATGGCTTTAGAAAAGGATAAGGCAAATCTATAGAGGAGAGAGATATCAATGGTTACTAACCATAATGGCTCGGCTCTGCCTCCACAGTTGGAGACAGCAGTGCGTCCAAATAACAGTTTCTAGGAGACACGGGAGAGTTGAGGGCCCTTGCCCACAGGTCCTGCTTGCGGGTTTGTTGCGGGCATCAAGTTGGCCACTGTGACAACAGGAGGCATGGGTGTTTGGCCTGATCCAGCACGCTCTTCTTACATTCATATTGGCTGAGATTGGGGGCAGTGCCCCATTTGCTCTTTCAATGGCCTCAACTGCTTAGCCTGAGAGTTGCTTGGAGACCACCTCATGGAGCTACAGTTCCCAGCAGCCCAAGCTAACTACAGTTCCCAGGATTTGTGGGAAGCCATGCCTATTCAAAGGGCTTGAGGGTGCTTTAAAGGTATGATGTAGATGTGACCCAAGATTCTAGTCCTCATAGAATAAAGGACTGAATTAAATAGGAACATAAATCTGCCTTTTACTGAGCCAGACAGCTGATACATCTAGCTCAGTATTGTCTGCACTGACTGGCAGTGGCTTTCCAGAGTTTTACTAGCTCCTATCTAGAGATGTCAGGGACTGAACCTGGAACTTCTACATGTCAAACAGGTGCTCTGCCATAGACAGCCCATAATTCAGGACTGGGGTTTCATGGAAGAGCAACCTAATCAACCCTTAGGCTGTGTACACACCAGACATTTAAAGTACACCACCCAATCATGTGAGCTGTAATTTGTTAAGGTTACTGGGAAATTTAGCTCTGTGAGGCATAAACTATGGACCTCAGGGCTCTTGGGCTGCTGTGAAATTTGCTTTAAAAGTGCTTTAAATGTGTATGCAGTCCTATTGAATCAAAAGATAGCCTTTTAGCACTGCACTGCAAAAGATAGCACTGCACAAACATGAGAACTAGAAGCTTGTTTTAAAAACAAAACTGGATCTGGAATTCTCACGAGACCCATCCCAAGTTGGGGTAGGGGTGGGAGGAAGATAATGTAGCCTTTTCGGACTATGCCCTTTGGGGTTGTTCAAGAAGACTGGATGCCAATCTTTTGCAAATCTGGTGTGTTTTCTTTTTCAAATCTGGCATGTTTTCTTTTTCGGTTAAAAATTAAGCTGCTTTCCGGCAGAGGGGAGAGTCCATCTGTTGCCCTGGAGTTGCTGGCTGGCTGGCTCATCTATTTAACCATGGAAGCATGCTAAGCCTAAGCAACCGCTTGAGGAACCCCAAGATTCCTGGGGCATCTGCTCTGCAATGTGGAGATCTTCAGGGGGAACAGCTTGCACAGCATTACAGACAAGAAATCCTAGCCCATCAAACCCCAGTCACTGTTTCTCCAAATGCCCAGAGAAATGAATGTGTCTTCTGATGAAGCTGGAATGATGGCAGTGGTGCGCACAGCTCAGCTGAAAGGAAATGCCACAATCGGGTGGGAGCAAACGGAGTGGGAAGCTGAGGCCTCTGGATGTTAATGGACTACAACTCCCATCATCCTTGACCATTGACCATGCTGACTGGTGGTTGATGGGAATTGGTGCCCAATCAGGGATTGAAGCCCAACAAGATGTTATAGTCCAACAAGTTCTGGAGAACCACACAGTCTCTCTATTTGTGGACTAGATGATCCTTTAATCCCAGGACATAAAAATGTAAGAGCTTTCTGGGTCAGGCCAAAGGGGGTCCATCTAGTCCAGCATTCTGTTCTCACACTGGCTGACCGGATGTGTGTGGGAAACACAACCACAAAACATTCAACCACAAAAGCAAACTTCCCATCCTGTGGCTTCCAGCAACCCGGGATTCTCCAGCTGTCGTTCCTGGCTTGCAGGGGGCTGGACTAAATGATCCTTAGGTCTCTTTCGACCCTACAATTCTTTGGTTCTACCATATCTGTTTTATAATTTTAATTATAAAATAGGGGGTTTAAAATAAGAAGCTACCCATTTAAATCTCACTCTAGTGAAGTTACAGCGCTCATTCTCGGTCTCACTTTGGAAATAATTTGGAAATCTATGTGGAAATAATAAGTGCTCTTTATTTCTGTTGTTGGTCTAGAAAGTTGTATAGCAGGCTTCTTTCCACGAGAGGGTGCAATGAAACCGTGCTTTTAAAGCCGCTTCCTTCCCATTCTAAAGTTGCTGACTCAGAGTTTCTCTGGCTTGACAAGGCAGGAACTGTCCAGCAGGGGGGGGAGAGAGACTGTGCAATGGACCCCCAGCATCCTTCCAAGGAGTGCCTGTGGACTGTTCGTGAATCAGGGATGAAGCTTTTCGTGGCCATTAAAGGCTGCTCTGATCTCTGTTCCCCTTTGATTCCAGTCCATTAACTTCACTGCTTGGGTGTTGAGAGGAATGAAATAAACAATGGCTTATGTGAGCTCAAAAGAATAAAAAAATCTCCCTGGACCTACAGGGGAGATGGACTGCCATCCTGTTCTCACAGTGGTCAACCAGATGCCCCAATGGGAAATTTGCAGGCAGGATTCGAGCACAAAAGCACAACTATCCCCTCCTGTGATTTCCAGCAACCGGTGGTCAAAAGCACCCCTGCCTTCAGCTGTGGAAGCCACTGTGCACAGCCACTGTGGCTAGTAGCCATGAAGGAACAGCTTTCCCTTCTATGAATTTGCCCAATCCTCTTTTAAAGCCCTCCAAGCTGGTGGCCATCACTACCTCCTGCAGGAACAAGTTCTATGGTTTAACTGTGCGCTGCGTCCTGAAGCTTCCAACATTCAGTTTCAGTGGGTTGCCACAAGTTCTAGAGCAGGGTTTCCCAAACTTGGGCCTTCAGCTGTTTTTTGGAGTACAATTCCCATCATCCCTGACCTCCTGCTAGCTAGGGATGGTGGGAGCTATAGTCCAAAAACAGCTGGAGGCCCAAGTTTGGGAAATCCTGTTATGAGAAAAGGAGAGAAACCTGCCTCTATACACCTTCTCTGTGTCATGCATAATTTCATAAATTGTGTCACCTCTTAATTGTCTTTCCTCTAAACGGAAATGTCCCAAATGCTGCAACCATTCTCTCATAGGGGAAATGGTTAGGGAGGCCAGGAGAACCAGTAACCTGATTCCCCGTCTCCAAAGCAGTCCATCCTCTGGTTGCATTGCCAACTTCTTTAATGCACCATGCACCATCTGCAGGACCTTGCAGCTGGGCAGCAGATGGGGCTGTTTGGGGCCTGCAAGGGAAATGAGTGTTCTAATAGATGTTTCCTCCAGAGTGTTTTGTAACAGTCCCTGGAGGCTCCTGCAGTCAGGAACAAGTTTAGCCATGTGTATTCTCTTTCCAGCCCTCTCCTGAAGAACATCTCCACCTAATTTCCATGGGCACTGTTTATTACTTGTGATTACATTTATACCCCGTCTTTCTTCAAAGACGGCACACATGGTTGTCCTGCTACCCACTTGCAACCTCACAACAACCCTGTGAGGCAGTCTAGGCTCTCAGACAGTGATAGGTCCAAGGTCATGCCCCCCCCCCCCAACTAACCTCCCAATTGTCTCCACCCAAGAAGGGGTGCGATGGTAAGACTGTAAACTCTCAAAAGCGGTGTGCAGTCGTTGCTAAGTTTGCGAAGCACTGCTCCAGACTATGGACCTTCTGAGTTATCTCCTCACCTTGAAACCGTGTAAAGGGACTGTTTTTTGGAATCCCCCCTTTTCCTCCAAGTTGCTCAAGGTGGCATACATGGTCCTCACACTCTTTATTTAATCCCCACAACAACTCTGTGAGGCAGGTTAGGCTGAGAGTGAGTGGCAACCCAAGGTTACCCGGTAAGCTTCACGGCCAGGCAGCAATTTGAACCCTGGTCTCTCAGGTCCTAGCCCAACACTCTAACCCCTATTCCACACTAGCTCTCCTTGACGGGAAGGCTAGGAGGTCACCTGCTTTTGCATGCAGAAGTCCTCCAAGTTCAATCCCCAGCACCCTGCCCTGAAACCCTGAGCAGCTGCTGCTGGTCAGTGGAGACAGTACTGGTGGTGCAATGGTTCAACAGCTTCCTAAGTCCCTGTATAATTCCCATCTTTAATTTAGAACTAGGAGGACTGGAATCTTAACTTTTAGGGGAAGGGGCTTAGCTGAGTTGTAGGCTACCTGCTCTGCAGGCAGAAAGTTGCAGGTCCAATCCCTGTGGGCATCTCCAGGCCGGGCTGGGTAAAGACCCTCTTCCTGAAAGCTCTGGAGGGCAGCTGCCAGACAGGGTAGACAGCACTGAGCTAGAGGTACCCCACGGTTTGACTCAGGAGAAGGTAGCTTCCCGTGTTCCTATTTAAATCAGCTCTTAGTTCTGAACCAAGATGACCAGAAGCTCTTTCAAGTGTCCCATAGGGACTAGAAACTTTGACCACGAATCAAAGCAGAGGTCCCCCTCCCCACTGGAATCTGACACACTTCTTGCTTTTGAAAATTGTGAGATGTATGTGCACCTGGTGACATCAAACAGACCAGACCCCAGCCCCGCTGGTTGATAACTGAGTGGAACGATCCATCTTTGGGATGGCTTTGTGCCAGTATTTGCCTTTTGCAATAATGGTAAGCAGATGGGCGAGGGATTACACGCTCACTGAGAAGGTTAATTAGAGAAAGACACTGTCTGGGGGTGTACTATGCCCATTGATGTACAGGGGGAGCCCATCAAGCCATTAGCTACAGTTCTCATTAAAAGATAGGTGCTTTCCCTGACACTTATTACCTCTTCCTACAGCTTGTGAGTCGCAAGTGGGAACTCTGGACTACTCCAGATGACCTGTTTATTGAATATCCTCCTGATTTGCTTGTACAAAACCAATGGAGAGGTTAGGCTATGCCCAGACCTTAATGAGTATGTTTTCTCATTTGTTTCCAAGGAGGTTATACAATATAGGAGAGTTTGTTTGCAATGAGGGTGTACTATAAAGGAGTATTCATCCTGCTAATCTCTGGATTTGCTGGCAGGGTTTTACACATCTTCCCATTAATCATTCCTTCACCCCACTCTTCTCAAGCATTTCCCTTTCGCTTTCCTAACTGCAAAAGTCTCTCTCTTTTAGAGCCAGGGTGACAGAACTCTTTAATCTGCTTTACGTGCATAAACCTAAATATCCAGAATGCACTTGAAACTTTCCTGCAGATAGTGAAACAGGTTAACCTCCCCCCCTTCATGTTCCATGATACTAATTAGCCTCTTCCCTCCATTCTTCTGATTAATGCTTTGTTTGAAACAGTATCATATCACTTTAATCAGTCATGACTTTCTCCAAAGAATTCTGGGAGCTGTAGTTTGTTAAGGGTGCTGAGAATTGTTAGGAGACCCCTATTCCCTTCACAGAACTACATTTCCCAGAGTGGTTTAACGATCGATCCCCTTTCCCAAGGAACACTGGGAACTGCAACTCTGTAGGATGACAGGGATAGCTAACAACTCTCAGCACCCTTAACAAACTACAGTTCCCAGGATTCTTTGAGGGGAGCCATAACTGTTTAAAGTGGCATGGTACTGCTACAAATACAGGCTTTGTGAGATTTTTTTAAACTAAAAAAATGCCAGCTTCTATGGAAATGTCAACTATCCGATAAATAAGAGACCAAAATTGACTGATTTGCCTACCCCTAAATGCTAAAAGAACCTTTTATAGGATGCCAGTGTAAACCAAACCTTAAGTTTACCTTTTTTAATTTAGAGAAAAGAAGGTCTGTACAGGTATTAAATCAAGAGTTATTGATGTATCTCCCCATAAAGCTCTTTTTCAAGAGTTGCAATGAGGACTATAAGCTTTAAAGTCGGCAAAAGGAAGCAATTGGGGGCTCTCATAAAGAGCTGGCCTTTATCAACTTTCCTAGTGAACCTCAGTCAGTCTGCAGCCAATCAGTCACAGTGGGGCAGGAAAAAAATGCTAGCCCTTGATCAGCATGGCAGGAATTGAAACCTGCCTGTGATTCAGGAGTGTTTGATTGTACTCTGTGTTCTTCTGTCCTTTTTAGGGTAATGACCAAATTCGCTTTGAGCTCACCTACTATGCCATCTGCCCTCAGATCAAGGTAAGGAGCTATACCAGTGCACTGATGATCTCCCATCAAAACAAAGTTGATAAATTATCGGAGGGGGCATTCGTTTTAGTGGGGAATAGAAAATCAAACTGAATTGGGCCTCAGTTGGGATGCCGATTCATAGCATGAGATGGGGGAGTTTATTCTCTCTGGTGATTGCAGAAGACCCCTGTTCCTCTCCTAAGAACTACAATTCCCGGAGTTTCCTTAAGATGAGGGAATCATTGTTTAAACCACTCTGGGAACTGTAGCCCTGGGAGGGGAAGAGGGCCTCCTAACAAATCTCAGCACCCATAATGAACTACAGATCCTGGAATTCTTTGCAGGGGCAGAAACGTAACTGTTTAAAGTCGTATCATAGCGCTTTAAATGTAGGGTGCAAATGTGGCCTCAGTTAGTAACCCAGTGGTTCCCAAAGTGGGTGATACCGCCCCCTGGGGGGCAGTAGGATTACATGTGGGGGTGCTAAGAGGCAAGTGGGCAGCAGAGGGTGCTGGTGGATATGTAAATGACCATCATATTTTGAAAAGTTAGCATTTCTGGATCAAATTTAGCAGTTTTGTTGAATTAATTCAACTAAATAGTTTTAATTGGATTATGAATAAATGTGCAATTAATTGTTACTATTTTGAATGTTATTGTGCTGTTATCTTCCTTAGTGGGGCTATTCTGAATATTGCTATTTTATAGGGTCGGGAGCATTGGAGATGTGTATGGAACCAAGAGGGCAGTAGCCAGAAAAAGTTTGGGAACCATTTTTTTAACCCTGAAGCTTCAATATACTCTAGAATTCCATTCTGTTGTCTTACACACAATTCCCTCCCCATTTTTTTGCTGATGCCCATCTGAAGGCAATCCTATTTTAGCTGATGTCCCTTCCCAGCCAAACAACTGAAACTAGAAATCAGTTCTTCTGAGTTACATAAAAAACCCAGAAAATTTGTTGTCAAATCTACTGGCTTTCAAATGGGTTGTTCTGATCTTTTAATCGGCCTCCTGTTTTAACCCAAACTGGAAAAGGCGAAATGGACACCTGAATTGCACCTTGCCTTGGGCTGGTCATTAAGTTACAGTAACAGCTTGAGAGCATCTTGGATTACCTTTGTTTGGTGAGATTAATGCAGGAGATGCTTAATGGCCAGTGCTCCTGGCTATCCAAAAGAGCTTTGAAACTCTCTCTCCTCCAGGCAAGGGTTCATTCTAGTAGCTGGTTTGGGGAAAGTCTCCAGAGCTGTGGTCCCCAAACTTTTCCAGGCCACTATCACCTTGGTTCCAGAAACTCATTATTCTGAATGGCAGTTTGCACGACCCGCTAAAGAAGATAATAACACAATAAGATTCAAAACAGTAACAATGAATTAGCATTTATTGAAAATCCAATTAAAACTGATTCAACAAAACTGATGAACTTGATCCAGTGATACCAGCTTTTCAAAGTATCCCCATGTGTCTTAGAAGGTAATCCCACTGCCCCCAGGGGGTTGGTCTTCACCTTGTGGACCAGGTCTAAGGGGGAGAAATCCAACTCTGGCCTCATTTATATATGAACCAACCCAAATTTGCACATTTTGGAAATTGCACTCTGAAATCTGCCCTTCTCCAGCCAAGCAATGTGTCCCCCAAAATAAATAAAAATGTATACACTAGAGTAAAGTGTGCATAAAAATGCATATAATCATGAAAATAGCTCACACAGCTCCAATAGTTATTTTGGGAAATTGTGGCTGTTAGATGTGGCTTCATAGCGCTTTGAATGTATGGTGTGAAAGTGGCCTATAATGTATCTTCCAAATGTTGCTGGGGTTATATCCTACCAAGCACTACTCAGAGGAGACTCACTGGAATGAATGTTCTTAAGTTAGCCATGTCCTCTCATTAAGGAGGACTATCAGTGGATCCTGTCCTTCAACTTCTGGCAGAAGAACATCAGAAGAGCCTGGCTCCTGGGTCAGGCCAGTGACCCATCTAGTTCAGCATCTTAGTTCTCACAGTGGCCAACCAGATGCCCATGATGGGAAGCCCACAAGCAGGTCCAGAGTGCAGCAGCTCTCTCCCTATTTGTGATTCCCACCAACTGGTATTCAGGGGCATAGTGCCTCTGACAGCAGAGATAGAACACATTGCGGCTAGAAGCCATTGGTTACTCTGTCCTTGATTTTATGTTAGAACCCGATTCTACCAAACTCATATTTGCTGACAACACCCCCGAATAACCAGTTCTTTCCCACCACTCTCTGTAGATCATTGCTCCTTGGAGAATGCCGGAATTCTACAACCGCTTTCGGGGCCGAAGTGACCTCATGGAATATGCCAAGGTAGGAGAATTCGCCCATCTCCTGTATTAGTCCTTTCCCCTTGTTCCTGTAACTGCCATACCCCTGTTAATTCCTGCAATTAAAAGTATGATTCTTTTGAGTATTGGGACTCCCTTCCTGGAGAAGCCCGTTGGGCTCTCTCCTTGTCCTTCCACTGGCAGGGAAAGACTGTTTTGTTCTTTGAGAATTGACTGTTTCTTAAGGATGGGGCTTTAAATAGTGCTGTGCTGTTTCTGTCATCTGTATTTTAATACATTTGGTGTGTTTTTTTAAATATTGTTTTTATCCTATTTGGGTTTAATTACTTTTTAAGATAATGGTCTTTTATATGTGTTTAGTTTTTTTGTTTTTTATCTGTGTTGTTTCAGTTTGTGTAAGCTGCCTTGAGCCCTGGTCTGGGGGAATAGGCAGTATATAAATAATAATAATAAATTTAGTAATAAATGAGCCACTTGCTCTCATCGCCATTGAGAGCAGCCTGAGGCATTTTAAGCCTCTGCCCCCTGGGCTGCTCTCAGGATCTTAACAGGCCAGGCAGATGTCCCTTTCCCATTTTGTAGCCTGCCTCCTGGTGTGCAATGTGAGAGGCATTTGGTTTCTCAGGCCCACAGGAAGAAGGGGCCTCTGAGCAACCCAGCTCTCGGCCTTTCTAGTGCAGGACATTCTTCCAGGGCCTCAGGCGCTGTAATCACTTGGTCTGCCGCAGCTGGCTGGAAGTCCTAGACCTGGCCTTGTTTCATAGCTGATGCCTCTGTAGCCTCTGACTCTATGCCCTGGTTGCGGCTGGATTTAAGGGTCATGAACAGGATTTTGCTACTTCGGATTCTCAGCATGTGCTTCCATGTGGAAATTTGCTGCAGCCTCGGAATGGTCTTCAAATAAGTTTTACTCAGAGTATACGTTTTGAAATATGTTCCTTTGTCTGTCTTGAACTCAGAGCAGGGTTAGCAAAGGCCAGGGGTGCCAACCTGAATAAAATATTGGGGGGGGGGGGGAGGTAAGCCCTGCGCTGCATAATTGATCGTGATGTGATGCATGCACACCATTTGAATGGCAACGCCCATCAATTTTTTTGGGGGGGGGTGCCTGCCCCCTCAGATTTTTTTATTGTGGGGCTGAAGGCAAAGGTAAAAGAGGGTGATATTATTCTACACTGCAGCAACACCTATAGTGTCCAGGTCAAGGGAAAGTAATAGTCCCACTCTGTCCTGCCTTGGTTAGACCACACCTGGAGTCCTGTGTCTAGTTCTGGGCGCCACAATTTAAGAAGGATATTGGCAAGCCAGAATGTGTGCAGAGGAGGGCAACCAAGATGATCAAGGGTCTGGAAAGCAAGCCTTATGAGGAATGGTTGAAGGAGCTGGGCCTGTTTAGCTTGGAAAAGAGGAAACTGAGGAGATATGACAGGCATCTTCTTTTTTTAAAAAAAATAATTTTTATTAACAGGCCAATCACATCACATTATCCAAATCACACTAGTTCCAAATTATACAGCCAAATTTTTAAATTTTGTTGGGGGTACCCATACATCAAGCTCCGAACGGGTCCAAACATCACTTATATTGCTGCTTTAATTAAACTTTTCTATCCAGTTCAATCCAGATAGTCCGTTATTACTTTCTTCATCTTCTTGTTATCATATATTCCTTTCTTTGCCATCTCTGATAATCTTCACAAGCGGATTAGAAACAGACATCCTCTGTGTGGGTTTTGCACTCTCCAAAGATCATATCACTTAGGGATAGCTGCCATTCCACGCTTCCATAAAATTTTTATCTTCGGTCTGTCCTTTAATTTTCTCAGGCTTGCCAAGTATATCAGGAGGGCTCTGTCAGGTTAAGATCAGATTCCAATCATCATTCACATTCCGATGGTCCTGATCCTCCTCCCCCTGTCTTTCTTTCTTAGACAAGCCTGTCTTAGCGAGATGCCATTTAAAGCTGCGTCATAAAATTTTCCTCCGTTCTCCGTTGTTTACCAGTCATCTCTTTAACTATAATCCACTCCACACAGTTCTTGAATTCCTGCTTGTGATTAATAAAACGCAACGATCTTCTTTCTGGGGTGGAGGGTTATTAATATTCACATAAGGCAAAGTAAAGAAAAGTTTTTTCCTCCACCCCCCTTCTTTTTCACTCCAAACATACCAGTCTCTTAATGGTGGTTCATCACTTGATTTATTTGTCCCATCCGTCGCTCCGGTCACAGAGATCCATTAATCAGCAGTCTTATCTCCCGGACTTTGCTTGATGTATGTGCTTTAGCTTCTTTCCAATTATATGTTTCCAATTATATTTTCGAGCTAAAGCGAACCAGCACGCGCTGATTGGAACCGGTGTCAGGAAGAGCCGACCTCATCGAGGGCTCGTGCCAAGTGACCGGCACCCCCTTCTTTCGAATCCGGGGGTGCGTTATGGACACCGCTGGCAAGGCAGCCCCCCATCTCCTTGGGGGAGGGCAGGAAGACTGCATACTTCCCATAGCAGCCTCTTAATTACCTCGTATGGGTCGGAGAGATGTTATTGTCGGCCATCTTCCAATGTGCCACCTGGTGGCCCCCCGATATGACAGGCATCTTCAAATATCCAAAGGGCTTCCTTTCACACGGAAGATGGAGCAAACTTGCTCCAGAGGGTTAAACTCAAACCAATGGCGTCAAGTTACAAGAAAGGAGATTCTAACTAAACATCAGGAAGAACTTTCTGACAGTAAGAGCTGTTTGACAGTGGAACGGACTGTCTCAGGCAGTTGTGGGCTCTCCTTCCTTGGAGGTTTTCAAGCAGAGTTTAGATGACCACCTGTCATGGATGCTAGTTGAGATTCCTGCATTAAGTGGGTTGGACTGGATGACCCCTGGGATCCCTTCCATCTCTATAATTCTATGATTCTATGACTTGACTTGAGCCAGTGTGGTGTAGTGGTTAAGAGTGGTGGACTCGTAATCTGGTGAACCAGGTTCACTTCCCCGCTCCTCCACATGCAGCTGCTGGGTGACCTTGGGCCAGTCACACTTCTCTGAAGTCTCTCAGCCTCACTCACCTCACAGAGTGTTTGTTATGGGGGGGAGGAAGGGAAGGGAGAATGTTGGCCGCTTTGAGACTCCTTTGGGTAATGATAAAGCGGGATATCAAATCCAAACTCTTCTTCTTCTTCTCATTTCCCCTTCTCAAACTTGGAACACAGTTACTCCATCACTGAGCACCCCGTTCCTGTGAAATCGAGGCTGCTTTGCTCATGTCCCCTGGGGGAGGGGGGGCTGAAACCTTCCAGAGTGCTTTAAAAAACTGCCGTCCATTCTGCCTCCTCTCTCTCTCTACACCGTTCACAACGTGTCATTTTCCCCCTTCTTTCATCACAACGAACCTTTAATTTTCTAACCTTCAAGGCCACTTTGGATTTTAGCTGAACGCAATCTCGCCTGCTCGTTACCGCAGCAATTACAGGCACCCCCTGCAGGAGGCTTCCACATATCCTCGGTTTTTGGGGCGTAAGGATAGTTCCCCCTTCTCCCTTTTTTTTTAAAAAAAGGCCCGTAATTACCTAGATGTTAATTGTCATCCACTTTGAAGGCAGAAACTTGTCCCCACTTCAATAGCTCCTTCGAGAGACAAAGTAAATGCCTTTTTTGCCCTCCCCTCCCCAATGCCTTTTATTCCCCGCTTTTTTTTTTTTTTTTTTTTTGAAGAACAAGTTTCAATAAAACATATTAGAAGTTTTGCATCAGAGCCCCTTGGCTGCCCACCAGGGGACCTTTTCTTTCCCTGCGACTTTATGGAAATGGTTGACAACTGGGCTCAATCAATCAAGAGGAAAAGAGCAGTTCGGTGTATAAACCAGAAAATTGCTTGAGGTTCTCTCTCTCTCTCTCTCTCTCTCTCTCTCTCTCTCTCTCCTTCCTAGTTCTTTTTTTAAAATAAAAAACACCCAACAACAACGCCCATCTAAAGCGGATCCAAAGCTGTGTTGAGTCAGAAAGAATTATTCTGCAGAGGGTTCTGAGACCGGATGCTGTCGCTCTCGGCCTCCCTTTTAAATTTTATATTTTGGAAATAAAGAGGCACGTGCTTTTCCCGACGCTTGTCTTTTACCATCTGTTATTTATTCCTAAGTAGGCAATTTCCAAGAGACTCCCATATGTTTCCAAACGGTCAAATTATTAACTTCGCCCTCTCTCTGTTTGTGTGTATGTATGTGTGTGTGTATTTTAATTGTTATTTGTATGGGAAACTGAAGTGTGCGCCTTTTCTCTTTCCAAGAAAAAAAAGGCCACAGCTATAAGCTGAGGAGAGGGCCCCCGCTCGAAGCAATTAATGTGGACGAAAAGAGTTGCGTTCCAGACTTTTCAAACCGTGGCCGTGTGTTAGGGAAAGGGCAGGGGGGAAGGGGAAATGGTTGGTTAATGGATGCACAACCTGGGGTTTTTTTGTGTTTGTTTGTGTTCATTCACCACCAGGGTATTGTTGTTTGAATCTAAGGTGCTGGATGAGGATATTGGAGAGCTTTTAGAGAGCCTGTCCTGCCACAAGCAAACTGTTCCTTTATCTCCTGTCCAGCAGATTCAGCCAGGGTTTTGTAATGCTTAGAGAGCCAGACTAAAAGGCAGTCGAAAAATAACACATGCATAAGAATAACCTGTTGGATTAGGCCATTGGCCCATCTATCCCTGCACCGTCTGTTATCCTCACAGGGCGCCAAACAAATGCCCCAATGGAAAGTTTTTCCTCCTGGATGTTGGAAGCTTTAAGACGGCCTTCAGTATACCTTCAGGTATACTGGACCAATGGCCTCGGTCCAGTATACCTGAAGGAGTGTCTCCACCCCCATTGTTCTGCTCGGACACTGAGGTCCAGCGCCGAGGGCCTTCTGGCGGTTCCCTCACTGCGAGAAGCCAAGTTACAGGGAACCAGGCAGAGGGCCTTCTCGGTAGTGGCACCCGCCCTGTGGAACACCCTCCCACCAGATGTCAAAGAGAAAAACAACTACCAGACTTTTAGAAGACATCTGAAGGCAGCCCTATTTAGGGAAGCTTTTAATGTTTTATAGGTTTTTTTATTGTAATATTCCGCTGGAAGCCGCCCAGAGTGGCTGGAGAAACCCAGCCAGATGGGCAGGGTATAAATAATAAATTATTATTATTATTATTATTATTATTATTATTAAGAATAAAGGACTCATCCACACAGTGCAAAGCTAAACTATGGAACTCACTCCTGCATGGAGGCAGTGGCTACCAATTTGAATAGCAACAGATGGATACCAACTTGGATGGCTGTATGAAAGAATTAGCGTGAGTTCATGAAGGAGAGTGCTATCGATGGCTACTAGCCATGCCAGCTGTGCAGTGCTTGTGAATGCCACTTGCTGGAAACTGCAGGAGGGACAATGCTCTTGTGCGCAGGACCTGCTTGCAGTTTTCCCAGCAGGGCCACTGCAAGAAGAGGATGCTGGACTAGATGGGCTATTGGCTTAATTCAGCAGGCTCTTAGGTCCTTATCCTCTTATGTTCTTAGTGATGATACAAAGGGACCTATCACTTAGTGGTGGAGCCTGCAGGTTATATGTTAAAAGTCACAGATCCAGTACCTAAGTAGCCCTACTGTACAAAACTTTCATAGGCCAGTCTATCACAGGGACTGATGTGGAACACCCTTAAGAGGCCTGCTGCATCTGTCTCTGTGAGTAGCTGGGCAGTGGTCAGGGCTCTGAGCACAGTTCTTGAAAATGCTTGCAAGTCACTTGGAGACCTTGCTTGTGTACCAAATGACTTATAAAGTCAGTAAATATTATTCCGTGTTATAACTAGTACCCAGAATCTGCTACTACCAAAGTTCACGGTGTCAATCCCCACCATCTCTGGTAAGGGTTGGGAAAGATTCTTGTACTGGTACTATTACTGTCTTATGGCTGGTATTACTTTCTACACCAGCTGTGGGCAAGTACCATGTTTGCTGGGGCTGATGGGAGTTGTAGTCCAGCAACATCTTGGGGTGGGGGCAAAGGTTCTCTACCCCTTCTCTATGGTACAGTCATAACTCTTGTTACGTTCAGTTCAGATTACGTCTTTTCAGGTTGCGTCCCGCGGCGACCCGGAAGTACTGGAAAGGGTTACTTCCGGCTTTCGCCGCTCATGCATGCGCAGACGGACACAATGACGTCACGCGCATGCGCAGAAGTGGCGAATCGTGACCAGCGCAGACGTGGGTTGCGTTCTGCTCATGTTGCGAACGAGGCTCCGGGATGGATCCCATTCGCAACCAGAGGTACCACTGTATATTTTATCTGCTTATTCACTCTGCAGTTGGATACCTCTTGAGATGACATAACCAAATTTTGCACAGCGGTTCCCAAGACCTAGGAGCAGGTTTGGATAAAATTGGATGCCGTTTCGAAACAAGATTGCAGACTGTACCTTTCAAAACTGCATTGATTTTATCCAGATTTCAAAACTCCACAGATTTGGGGGTTCCTAAGAATTACCAAGCAATGCTGAGTTCAAGAGTGCTAATTATTATTAGCTTCTGGAGTCCAACGCCCAGTCTCCTGAATCCCTAACAGGTATTCCTGTCGTTCGAGAAAAATAAAGATAAAATTTAGTCTAATGTCATTTAAAACACAGGTGGAATTGGAGCGTTTTCAGAGTGCCACTAACAAAAAAGAAAATGACCAGGGTTTTGCTTCACTTTATTTATTTGAAACCTTTAAACCACTGCCTCTTTTAAAACCCATGGTTGCATAAAACACCTAATCCATGTTTCACAGGCTTGTCAGGGTGTGTGTGTGTGTGTTCGCGTAGCCTCCGGGGTGGGCTCCAGGACGCGGAATGGCGGGTGGGGTGGGGGAGAGAGAGATTTGTGGTCATAAAAAGAGAATTAGCTTCCCCAGCCTGCCCTCCGCTTCTTATAACAGCCCATTCAGTATAAACAAAGGGGAGCTTTAATTGACTAACGAGCTCTTCAAAGCTAATGGACCAGTGCGGTCGCTGGAGTGTGAAGTGGGTGGGTGGGGGGGTTGCTCCCTTTCACAGGACTCGGAGCGTGGACAACTATACGCTCGCGCAGTCGGCCTCACCCCGATGGATGGGTGAGAAAAGAACAGCAGGCCAGGAAGAGTGCCTTGTGAGCTGAAAGACGTGGGGCAAGGAGCATTTTTTTCAGCCCTGAGGGCCCACATTCCCTTCTGGGTGACCACTTGAGGACAGTATGCCAGTGGTGGGCAGTGCCAAAGGGAAAAGTGGGTGGAGCAAAGAACATAAAGGTTACATCTGCCTAATAATAATAATATTTTATTTGTCCCTGCCCATCTGCCTAGGTTACCTCAGCCACTCTGGGCGGTTTCCAACATATATAAAAACATAAACACATTAAACATTAAAAAGCATCCCTATTCAGGGCTGCCTTCAAATGTCTTCTAAAAGTTGTGTAGTTCTTTATCTCCTTGACATCTGATGGGAGAGGGCATTCCACAGGGCGGGAGCCACTACAGAGACAGCCCTGTGCCTGGTTCCCTGTAGCTTCATTTCTCACAGTGTGAGGGCACTGCCAGAAGGCCCTCGGTGCTGGTTAGTTTCTACAAACATACCCTCTCTGTCGTCCACCCAGGCAAGCAAGAGACGCGATCAGATTTTGAGGACACATTTCAGCCAGGCCAAAACACTCAAGGAGGGTGTGGAAGCAGGGCTGGTGGTGGGTGAGGTATCCAGGAGGGGAAAGGCTCAGAAGGCCACATTTGGCCTCTAGGCCTGAGGTGCTCCAGCCTCCAACAAGAGAAATGCCAATGCAAATGATTTGGGTAATTTATTTTTCTGCCACCCTCATGGAAGCAACAGAAAGGCATGTCCCTCCCTGCCGAAACTTGGAAGCACTGGTCTTTAACAGTGAAGATTCGCGGGGGATTTTGTGAGATAGCCTCTGTCATAAGAACGTAAACAAAGCCTTCTGGATCAGGCCAGTGGCCCATTCAGTCCAGCATCCTGTTCTCACAGTGGCCAGCCAGATGCCCATGATGTGGAAGCCCACAAGCAAGACATGAACGCAACAGCATTCTCTCCACTTGTGATTCCCAGCAATTGGTATTCAGAGTCACTGCCTCTGACAGTGGTGGTAGGACATAAGTAGAGTCTGGCTGCTATGGACTACATTGAATTGTAGTCTAGTCCAATCCAATCCCCTGCAATGCAGGAATCTTTTGCCCCATGTAGGGCTTGAACCCACAACACTGAGATTAAGAATCTCATGCTCTACCAACTGAGAAGCCCACAAGCAGGACCTGAGCACAAGAGCCCTCTCTCCCCTCCTGTGGTTTCTAGCAACTGGTATTCAGAAGCATTTCTGCGTCTAGCTGTGGAGGCAGATCATAGCCATCATGGCTAGTAGCCATCAATAGTCCTCTCCGCCATTAATTTGCCCAATCCTCTTTCAAAGCAATCCAGGTTGGTGGCCACTGGCACCTATGGGAATCAGTTCCACTCATCAACTCTGCTATATGAACAAGTCCTTTCTTTTATCTGTCCTGAGTCTCCTAACATTCAGCTTTATAGGGTGTCCACTAGTTCTATTGTCATGAGAGAGGGAGAAAAACTTTTCTGTGTTCTTTTTCTCCAAGCCATGCATCATTTGATAAACCTCTGTGACATCATCTCTTACTTATCTTTTCTCTAAACTAAAAAGCCCCCAGTGCTGCCAGCCTTCTTCTTAGTGCAGCTCTATCTACTTGATCATTTGGGTAGCCCTTTCCTGAACTTTTTTGAACCATACAATACCCCTTTTTGAGGTAGGACGGGCTATAGCCTGAGGTACATTCTTTGGCCATTGCTGTTGCTTTAAAGTGTTTTCTTGGATTTCAATATTGAATGGTGACATGGTTCTTGTCACCCACCCTGGGACCTTGCAGCAAAGGGTTGGGTAATAAATCTCTTAATAACTAAATAATAAATTAACAGGCACGCACACACCCTCCTCAAGGCAAAGAACCTAGACTTGAAAGCTGTCCCTAACAGATGGTCACCCAGGCTCTGATTCAAGACTTTGTAATGCAGGAAGGAACAAGCACCACGTCAGCACCCGCTGACTGGATTTGTCCAGGAATTGCATGCCCCTCTCTGCAACTTTGCAAAAAACAAACAAACAGCAAACATCTCTTCTGGCAAATAAAATAAATTATTGTCCCAATTGTCAAATCTTTCAAGTTAAGAAAATGCTGGTGGAGCCTTGCCTTTCCCTGGCAGAGCCTAACACCCCCTCGATCAACACCCCGCTGCTGTGTCGTTTGTCAGGCTGAGAACCATGTCATTGCTACATCTCTCGCTAATTCCATGCCCGTCGTGTAAGTCACCCAGTTTTCACAGACCATTTCACCCACAGAAATGTCGCCGGCTAATTGACTGAGTGGGTGACCCCGTAACAGAGCTGAGGTTTATGACTATCTATATGCTGTGTGTGTGTGTGTGTGTGTGTGTGAGAGAGAGAGAGAGAGAGAGAGAGAGAGAAAGGGGGAGATAGGATAAGGAGATTAATAGAGGAGGAAACGTCTTGAGGCCTTGTGAAAGGCAGGTAGGGACAGCGTGAAACTTTTTATAGGATAAGGATGGATGATTCCATTTCTGGTCTGCTCTCTGCCTGGCATGTGTTCATGCATATAACCTTTCTATCCTGTTTCTGCATAAATCTACACACTTTTTAACTTTTAAAAAAAACTGCATAAAATTAATATTTGGCAAACTGCTGTGATTTATTTGTATAACTATTGCTTAATGCCAAAATAGGTTTCTGAGCACTTTAGAAAGTATATATAAAAAGCACACAACATTACTATAAAAGCTATATTTTTTTGGACTTTTTTTTGAAAGATGAATACTGGACTGCAAAAAATTGGGAGGATATTAACTGAAGGATATTAACTGTGCTGTGATCTGTTCACTAGGTCCAGCATGTGATAATCAGGACAGTTTACTTAAAAAATTGGATTGAATAAAATCCATACAAGCAGTGGCGGAGCTTCATGCTCCAGCACCAAGGGGCGGAGAGTGGGTGGGGGCAGGGCGTGGTGCACCACCTACAGAGGCGTGGCACCTAGTGCAGGTGGGGGGGCAGCCGCAATGACACCCCACCGGGATCACGCTGCCGGGGGCGGTGCACTCCCCCCGCACTCCGCTTCCTCCGCCAGTTCATACAAGAGAATCTTCTCTAGACACCTCTGACAGTGGGAAGGACCACAGCTCAGTGCTAGAGCATCTACTGTACATGCAGAAGATCCCTTGGGCAGTCCCCAGCATCTTCTATTCATGAGGACTAGAGCCTTACAGTATTTTTAGATGAAGGACAATGATTCAGTGACAGCATCTGCACTGCATGCAGAAAGTCCCAGATTTAATACCCAGTGGCATCTCCAGGTAAGGGTAGGAAAGACTTCCTGCCTGAAACCTTGGACAGAGCTGCTGCCAGTTAGGGTTGACAGTACTGAGGTAGACAGATGAACGGTCAGATTTCCCTGGGTTCATAGATGTGATTATGAATATGTTTCACTTGCAGTTAAGAATGTTTGAGGGGTTTGGTCTTTGCAAATTTTGATATCAACTGACCCAATCAAATTATCCTCTGTTCATGTGTGGATAGGGATTTCCTGCTGAATTGCAAAGCTGAAAATGATTTTAAACAGGAAAATGCTAAAACACCAACACTCCATAGGTACTTTAAGCCACTAGTGTGCTGCAAGTTTGAATGTTGTACTTTAAGTGCATGATGTTAAGTATCCTTCTGGCACCTACTGAATACTTAAAAAATTATTCCAGGAGGCTTTTTAACTGAACTCTGAGTTTGTAATTTTTAATTGATTTTAATTTGCATTGTGTATTGTGTTTCCTTGGACAACTGACAACTGTGATTGAGCAGTATATAAATGGTTGAAATACATAAATAAATAATAGGCAGGACTCAGCCTCACATGATCCAAGAGCTTCCCTCCTAAATTGCAGGAGGTTGGACAAGAAGACCCTTGATGTCGCTCCCAACTCTAAAATTCTATGATTCTGCTCCAGCTACCTTCCCCAAAAACATTGCTTATTTTGTGGCCCCAGGAATATTGCAAAAGGGGCATACATCCTGTGACAACTGATGATCTGAAAAGCAAGAAGCAGGCAGAAGCAACAGGTTGCGCTGCTGTCTGTCTGCCATAGCAAAAGCTGATTCTCCTGACGCTGCTCTGCTGTGTTTCCCAGATTTAATTCCTTCTCCCCTTTTCATTTTATCTCGTCTGTAGGAGCATGGCATCCCTATTCCAGTGACGCCCACCAATCCATGGAGCATGGATGAAAACCTTATGCACATCAGGTGAGACAATAAGCTGCCCAGAGAGGGCGGGGTACGAATAATAAAGTTGTTGTTGTTGCTGCTGCTGCTTGAGAGCAAATGGCCACCTAGCCCAGTGTTCTGTTTCTGACAGAGGTCAGCCCTATGCCACAAGCGGCTCAGGAGGACAAGAGACCCAGTTACTAATTAAACTTTTCTCCTTTTCTCCCTTTCTTGATCTCCATATTCAAAAGCTATGAGGCCGGGATCTTGGAGAACCCTAAGGTAAGCAGTGCCTACCAAGAAAAAACAGAGGGGACATGGGAAAGGGTCATAGCTCGGTGGAACAGCACCTCCTTTGCTTGCAAAAGGCCCCAAGTCCAGTCCCCTGTGGCATCTCCGTGTAGGGATGGGAGAGACCCCTGCATGAAACCCCAGAGAGCTACTGCCAGTCAGGGAGCCAGTGTGGTGTGGTGGTTAAGAGCAGTGGATTTGTAATCTGGTGAACCGGGTTCGCTTCCCCGCTCCTCCACATGCAGCTGCTGGGTGACCTTGGGCCAGTCACACTTCTCTGAAGTCTCTCAGCCCCACTCACCTCACAGAGTGTTTGTTGTGGGGGAGGAAGGGAAAGGAGATTGTTAGCCGCTTTGAGACTCCTTAAGGGCAGTGAAAGGCGGGATATCAAGTCTAAAACTCCTCCTCCTCTTCCTCCTTCCTTTCCTCTTAATTCCCATTTCACTCGTTGGCCTTGACACGATGCAAAATGATTTTTGTTTTTACCAGTTCTGCTAAAAATATGAACAATTCTTTCATTTATAGACATTATTATATATACAATATTATATGCGTATGAACAGGTTTCCTAAAGCAGGGATAGCTGATGTGATGTTTTGGACTATATCTCCCATCAGTCACCATGCCCAGTGGTTAGGAATGGTGGTCCCAAACCAGTCTGAGATAATGTGGTGCAGTAGCTGAACTGGGACCTGGGAGACACCAGGGCTCAAATCCCCAATCAAACATGAAGCTCACTGGGCGTGACCTTGGGCCAGTTGCTGATTCTCTCAGCCCATTCTACCTCACAGGGTTGTTGTGGGAATTAAATGGGTGGTGGTGGTGGTGGAAGAGAACCGCATAAGCTACCTTGAGCTCCTTGGAGGAAAAAGTGGGGTATAAATGAGATAAGTAAAGTAATAAATAAATAAAATCTCTGGTGCCTTGTTGGCTAGGTAAAGGTAAAGGTACCCCTGCCCGTACGGGCCAGTCTTGACAGACTCTAGGGTTGTGCGCTCATCTCACTCTAGAGGCTGAGGGCCAGCGCTGTCCGGAGACACTTCCGGGTCACGTGGCCAGCGTGATGAAGCTGCTCTGGCGAGCCAGCACCAGCGCAGCACACGGAAACGCCGTTTACCTTCCCGCTATAAAGCGGTACCTATTTATCTACTTGCACATTTTTTTTTAATAATAATTTTTATTCAGTTTCCAATATACATTCTATCCATATTTAACATCCACTTCTAACATATACATCTTTTAGACTTCCCTCAGCCTATCTGACAATTTTCCATATAATCACAATTACTCACATTTCTTAAATTTATATTGTGCTTTAACAATCTTAATCTTATCATATCTTTTAAGCAACATTTCTATCCATCATTTTCACAGAGCTTCTTGAAAACCAACAAGCGTTATTTGCTTCTCACATACATTTTTTGTATACTCTGTAAATTTATTCCAGTCCTTGGTGAATCTCTGGTCACGTTGATTCCGAATTTTCCCCGTTAATTTGTCCATTTCTGCATATTCCATCAATTTCATTCTCCATTCTTCCCTCGTCGGCATTTCTTCCTGTTTCCATTTCTGGGCCATCAAAATTCTAGCTGCTCTCACTGCATACCTAAATAGTTTCACATCCTTCTTTTTAATTTCATTCCCTAATATTCCTAGTAAAAATGCTTCTGGTTTCTTAACAAAAGTATATTTCAACATTTTCTTCATCTCATTATAAATCATTTCCCAGAAGCTTTTCACTTTCTTACACTCCCACCGCATGTGATAGAATGTTCCTTCTTTTTCCTGACATTTCCAACATTTATTACTGACTTTATACATCTTACCAAGTTTCACTGGTGTTACATACCATCTATACATCATTTTCATAACATTTTCTTTTATTGTAGTGCATGCAGTGAATTTCATTCCTTCTTTCCACAATTTTATCCACTCATCAAATTGTATATTATAACCAAAATCTTTAGCCCACTGAATCATAACTGATTTAACTTCCTCGTCCTTTGTATGCCACTCAAGTAATAACTTGTACATTTTTAATAAAATTTTAACATCACTGTCCAAAATTTCTTGATGAAACCTAGATTTCTTTTCCTGAAAACCTCTTTCTGACAACTCTTTTTTGAACATTGCATTTAACTGAAAGTAGTGTATCTACTTGCACTTAAGGGTGCTTTCGAACTGCTGTTTTACCCACAGCGCCACCCGCGTCCTTGTTGGCTATTCCTGTACAAAAACAGATGCACACAACAAGATACACAACTGTATTAAAAAAAATAATAACCATATGTTAATAGGTAAAGCATGATGTTGCAGAACTATAGTACCACACAGGAATAGCATTTTTTAATGCATATTATAGTTATAATATACTATTCCCCATGCATAATTCTGCATTAAAATACATGAATAGCTCAGGCATATGCTCAGTGCAGGAGGTGGGCAGAGCTCGATGGGATCAGAACAGCCAAGTTCTGTGCAAAAATCCCATGGTGGCTGTTGCCCATTGAGACTGTTAGGGCAGGAAACAGGAAGGCCAAACAATAGGAGGAGCCAGGCAGAGCCAATGAGAGGCAGAGCCAACTAACTCTCAGAGTGGTTTGACACTCAAACCCTCTTCCCAGGGAACTCTAGGAACTGTAACTCTTGGGAGGGGAGGAATCTCCTAACAACTCTCAGCACCTGTAACAAGCTGCGTTTCCCAGGATTCCTTGAGGGAAGCCACCCTAGCATCCCACAAGGCCTTGGACCTGTGTCTCTTCCAGAGATCCTCCTTGCTTGAGCCCATGTGGATATTACTCCTTAAGCGCTCCTATGGGGGGGGGGGGCAGGCCCAGCAGGCACTGTCCACCCACTTCCAAGTGCTGTCCTCCTTGTCTAGCAGCTCTGCGTGTCACTCCGGAGTTTCTGGGCATGGCCCTCACTGCATCTTAATGGGGCTGGATGGCTTTGTTGCCTGCTGGTCCTAATCGCTTCCACTTTATGCTCTGCTGGACTTGCCACGCTCAGGGGAGCTACTTAAACTATCCATCAGCACTAATTAGACAATCAGGCACAGAGGGTTGGCCGGGGATGGGGGGGAGGTGATGATGGGTGAGAAAGTTGTGTGTGTTTGGGATAAAGGTTCTTGTGCCATTCCTGGTAACTGGGTGATGCCCAAGACTATGGCTTCTTGAAGTTTTCTGCCATAGAGGACTGCTAATGTGCTGCGAGATGTAAAATGAAAGGCTCCTGTAAGCACCAGCTTACCCCCCAAAGGGAGTGTGCTGTCATGTCTCTGCATGATTACTTTCCTCCCAAGGAAACATCACTTGAAAGAGGTTGGGCAGGCAGTTTAATTTGGTGTAAATCATGCATAGTATTGTACTTCAAATTGTTGGGACCCACCCTGGAACCTTATGGTGAAGGGTGGGTAAATAATAATAAATAAATCTACTACTACTACTACTAATTGTATCCAAGTAAGGTTTGCACCAAGTAGATCTATTGAAATTAATGCCCATAAGTTAGTCATGTTTATTATTTTTAATGGGTCCACTCTAAATAGGATTAGCATTGAATACAACCCAACAACAACAACAACAACAACAACGAGTATATTTATTTATTTATGAAAAACATTTATAGACTACTATTTCATTTTTAAAAATCAAAGCAGCTTACAACAAGAACACATAAAACCATACATTAAAACCATTAAAAACTTAAAAAACAGACATCAGTTAACCATTATGGGAATATGTATTCTTAATTACCTGCATAGGCCCGAAAAGTTTTCAGCAGGTGTTTAAAAGTTAAAACAGAAGCCACCTGCCTAATAATAGTAAAATATATACAACTAAGGTTTATCCCAAGTAGATCCATTGAAATTAATTGACATAAGTTAGTTACATTTATTAATTTTAATGGATCTGCTCTGAGTAGGACTTGCACTGAATGCAACTTACAACAACAACAACATTAACAACATATAGCATAATCTTATTGTGTGCCTGCTCTGAATCTCTGTGTTTTGATCATAGCAATGCAGAGAGGTGGAGCACAATAATTTGCCCCAAAAGAAGGCTGCCTATCATATCCCTGCATGAGTCCCTGCTCTGGACTTGCTTGCTTCTTGGCAACCCCTGTTGAGGATAGGCATTTCTGCAGCATCATGGTATTGGGTATCATTTCATTCACACACACCCTCCTCCAGCAGAATTAGCCACTCACAGAGGAGGCTGCCTGTTGAATCTCTGCACAAGTCAGCACTCTAGGTTTGTCACCAATTAATTGAAAAGGCAGCTGCAAGTAGGGGACTCAGGTAGTGGGGCTTGAGCTTAACTGAGTGTGGAGACATTGAAAACTGAGCCTTTGTGTGTGTGTGGGGGGGTGTAAAGTCAGAGGACCACCTCTAAACTTTAATAAAGACAGACAGAATTCACTTCTCCCAGGCATTTGATGAAATCTGTAAAGTCTTTAAACTTGATGGTAAGTCACCTCAGCACTGCCCCATGTTAGACAACTCACAAATAAATTAAAGATGATGGAATTCCCTCTCTGCAGAGATGCGCTGGTCACCCTCATTGTACAGATATGCTGAAAATGTACCTCTGTACTCTGGCCTTCAGCCACTGAGAAGTATATTTTAGGATCCATCCTATTTCTTTGCACAGCAAGGTGTTTTGACTGGGTTTGGATATTGGATGGTATTCAGCTAGGTTTCCCCCATAGAAATTAACGAACACAACTAAGTTGGTCTGCTGCATTCATGTCCTCTTTGTTAGGGTTCCTACCTGTGAGAACCAAATGCTAGACTAGATAGGCCTTTGGCCTAATCCAGTAGCCAGGCTCTTGTGATGCTCTCCCTCCACTGTCAGAAGCAGGATGCCTCTGAATACCTGTTGCTGGGAACCACAAGTGGGGAGCGTCGTCAGCGCACTCATATCCTGCTTGCGAGATTCCCATTGGGACATCTGATTGGCCCCTGTGAGAACAGGATACTGGACTGGCTGGGACATTGCCCTGACACAGCAGGCTTTTCTGACAGTCTTGAGTCCATTAATTTCAATAGGTGCACTATGAGTGAAGCTTATGTGAATTCATTGCATTTCCTTCTTTCTCCAGTCTACCCTTGAATATTGTGCTGAAGAGTGAGGGTAAAAAGGTAAAGGTAAAGGGACCCCTGACCATTAGGTCCAGTCGTGACCGACTCTGGGGTTGCGGCACTCATCTTGCTTTATTGGCCGAGGGAGCCGGCGTACAGCTTGCGGGTTATGTGGCCAGCATGACTAAGCTGCTTCTGGCAAACCAGAGCCATGCATGGAAATGCCGTTTACCTTCCCGCCAGAGTGGTACCTATTTATCTACTTGCACTTTGACGTGCTTTCAAACTGCTAGGTTGGCAGGAGCTGGGACTAAGCAACGGGAACTCACACCATCGCGGGGATTCGAACCACTGACCTTCTGATTGGCAAGTCCTAGGCTCTGTGGTTTAACCCACAGTGCCAGAAAGCTAATTAATAAATGATCCCCCATTTTTCCTCCTGTGAAATGGGCATTTTCTGGTGCCCATAACAATGCCTTAAGTTTCTAACTGTGTCCCTGCCCACCCCCACCCCCCTAAAAAAATAAAAAACAGTTCCTAGGGTATATATACAGAAATGTCTATATTCAAAACACACACTCGCTCATGCAACAAGCCTATCTGTACAAAAACCTAATGAAACAAGGTTATGACCCGCTCTAAAGCAAGAGAGATTGGATTCTCCCTCCCCCTTCGCGCCATTTCCCCCTTCCTACGATATCTTTTACATCAAAGAAAAAAAAATGCTGCATTTTCATGTATGGGTCTGTTATTTTAACAACACACACACATGTACTCAAAATGCGTAAACGCAGAAGCCCAAATTATACGGGCGGCAGATTCCAATTTTACTCTGGCTGTGCTTTTCAGGAAGGCTTGATCATACTTATTTGGAAAGCAAGGAAGAACCTGTGCTCAGATCATGAAAAACTTTAGTACTCCAGGTTGGTGGGGTGGGTGGGGGGTGAGGGAAGCAGACGAAGGCGGGGGGGAGGGGGGGATCAGGAAAGGGAGAGGTAAAAGCAGTGCTTTTTTCTGGGGGTACGCAGGGGTACGCATACCCCTAAACATTTTGTGTATCTAAGTTGGGTCTCATTGAGGGGCAGTGTTTCAGTATGAGTAGGAAAATGAGAGTACCCCTAAACATTTTTTTTAAAAAAAGCACTGGGTAAAAGGTAGAGGAGAATTGAGTGCCTAGAAAAGGCACACATCTGTATGTGAAATATTTAAAACTCTTTAACCAAATGAATTGAAAGCAAACTTGGGTCTATAGTTACAATTCCCTAAACCAGGCCCGTTAAATAAAACAACTAAATAGATTTTTAAAAAATAAATAAATAAATTCATCAACATGGCATTATGGGCCCCATTCCATCATTTGGGTACATGCTTTGGCTTATTCTGTTCCCCCCTTAAAAAGAAGAAGAAGGAAAATACCCCAGTTCAAACAACATAGAGGTTTGCTATAGTATATCAATGCCTCCTTATTTATCCCACACCATAGGAGGGCTGGTCTTGGGATGTCATCTTTAAAGGGATGAAGGGGCAATGGGGAAAGAAAGAAGGTGGGGGGAGAGGGAGGGAGGGAGGGAGGAGGCTGGGTGATTGTGGGGAGGGTGTGTGTGCATGAAGAATCAGGGAGTGGGGCAAGAAGAGGAAAAAATTGGAAGTAAATGGTCCATGAACTAAAGTGTGATGTACAGCTATCGATGCTGCAAATGGTTTATTCATCCAGGGTTGATATTGTTGTGCCTGGGACTGAATGAACTCTTTTCAGGGTACCCATATGAAGTTAAAGCAAGTAAATTTCTATCTTCCGAGGTATTAGCTGCCTCATTGCTCCTCAATCGGGCCTCACAGAGGCAGAAAATAGCTCAACCATCTGTTTTCAAATCCCTCCGGCTGTCAGGTCTGGGGGGGGGGGTCATGTCTGTTGGGGGGGTGATGATGGCGAAAGGGGGTGGAGGAGGAGAAGACGAAGGGACAGGGTGTCAGCATATCAGCACCCTCTACTCTCCCCCCCCCCATCTAACTCTTGCTGCAACTCAAAATAGAGAGAGGTTTTCAGAGAAAAAAAAGTAGCCTGAACACCCGCCGTTCATTTTGGTCCATGGAGATCTAGGGTGGCAGCACCCGCCAGCCCCAGCTGGCTTAGCCAACAGCCATGGGTGGTGGGAAGCATGGTCCAACAAGGGCTGGAAGGCTCACAGTTCCCCTAACGTGCTCTACGGTCAGGACACCAGTACATTGGGGTGGGGAAGCTGGAGTTCTTCCATGATGGGGTGCTTCCATGGGTGGAGGCAGTCATGCTTCTGAACACCAGTTGCTGGATGCTACTGGAGGGAGGAGAGCTCTCGCTCTTGGGTCCTGCTTGTGGGCTTTCATTGGGATATCTGGTTGGTCACTGTGGGGATGCTGGGTTAAGTGGGTCACTGCCCAAGGGCTCTTCCTATGTTCTTATTCTCAGATGTTGTTGGACTCTAGCATGACCTAGTCATCAGAGATGCTGGGAACTTGAGTCCCCCCCCCCCCACAAAAAAATGGACCCAGACAATTAGAGATGGAGAAGAAATTGGATTCTTTTCTTCTTTAAAGCTATGAAATTTGCAGTGTGTGAACTGCAAACATAGCCATCCTTCAAAATTTGAATTTTTGAATCTGTACTTTCTGAATTTTGCAGTGCGGTTTTCCAACCAACTAATGTTTACAATTATGTAATACTGTGGGTTCCTGCCCCTGTTCACATTGCTCAGCAACCCCACCTGCCCTCTACCAAAATCTCACCCCTTGCCAACATAGTGCCTCTCCCTTTACACCTCACCTTTGCGCCCCTATCCCCTCACAGCTCTGATGAATTTTCAGGAGATGGTTTTTATTATTATTGCAAATTGTTGCAGGAATCTAGAGGACTGAATTTAATATTGGAAAAATGAGAAACTGAGAGAACAGGGACTGACTGATCCCTCCCTCCCTCCCTCCTTGATCCCTGAAATATAGGAAAGAGAGGGGCGTGTTTGTCACACATTCCTGTACCTAGGTTGCACATTCTCTGGGATGGTTATGGTGCAGCGGATGTCAGCATCAGGGCCTTGTTCAGAGTCCAGCCTGGGGGCTCACAAGCCCAGCAGTGACTGGTCCATGAGTGCCCAGGGGCTGGTGAAGTTGTGATCTCCAGAGGACAATATGTCCAGAGCGAGATTCCTAAAATGTGAGCTGGACCCCAGTGCTTCCAGGGGTTGAGCTTCCCAAAATGTATCCCAGCAATGAATCAAAAGAGAAACAAAGGCAGGATTGTGTGGCCGTTATGTTAATGAAGCTGATTCAGGGGATATGGCCCACTGTTTTTTGTTCATGGGTCCCCAGAAGCCCAAGGGCATCTGTGGCAGATTTCGATCTAACTAAAAGTGGGGCCTGCCACAAAATGTTGCAGCATGCACTTCTCTTTTTGCAGGAGTGCTCCTCTTTAGGGTTCTCACTAGCCATTAGCCCCTCCAAGATCTTAGAGCTGTTGCTGCTTAAGCAGACATCCTTTTGCCATTTTTATTTCCCAAAATGACATCCCATGAGAACTGATCATGCTCAGAATTCAGGGCACATGTTTGATTTGGGGTGCATGTTTGGCCCCACAGATATTATCTTGGTACACTTTAGATTCCCCCAAAGTATGCCAATACATCTCCTTTTGTCCTCAGTGAACTCCTTTCACCTCTATTTGTGTTGGTACTTCATTCTAGCATTTGGTGTTGGTGGAGAGAAGCTTTCCATCATGGTGCTAGAAAGAGGTTTTGCTTTTGTTTTTTGTCCTTTAATAGCACTGGAACTTGGAAGTGTGTGTGATGGGCTAGAGGGGCTCGATGGTCCTTTGCAGGCCCCAATCCTCACCACCAAGCACCAACCAGGCAATGGCTCCTGAGGAGACCATATCTGGACACCACCAGGAGGCTCCACCTATGTTGGAAGGAGCAGGGTGGGGCCCTTCCACTCACCAAGATTATGGTAGGGAAGGGCCCCGGTCGCAGGACCTCAGCTAGAATGAAGGGTGCAGAAACCTGGAGGGTAGAAAAAGCCCCACAGTAGGGAGAAGGCAGGCGGTGGAAGTTCAGAGACCTCGTTTCTCTCTCTCTCTTTTTAAAAAAATGATATTTATTAGAGTTTCAGAAAAGATTACAAAAATAAGAAAAAGAAAGAAAAAAAAGAAAAGAAAAAATACAAAATACAAAAAAATAGAAACACTTAAAAACAAATCAGTCTTTCCATGTCTTGTCTTTTGTTTACTTGTTCCCCAGACCTCCTCACACCTCCCTTTTTTGTATTCCAGTTCAGTTAGTTAATTCAGCAAATCCTTTCCCTCTTTGTTTTTATCTTAATCCTTTAACTTAATATATCATAACTTTAGATTCTCACCTGTTAACAATCCATTTTTACATACTCCTTTGTAACATTGCTGCTAAAACCACTTAACTTCATTCCGACATCATTCTAACATTCATTAATTTTACAGTATTTCTGTAAATAGTCTTTAAATTTCTTCCAATCTTCTTCCACCAACTCTTCTCCCTGGTCTCGGATTCTGCCAGTCATTTCCGCCAGTTCCATGTAGTCCATCACCTTCATCTGCCATTCTTCCAGAGTGGGTAGATCTTGTGTCTTCCAGTACTTTGCAATAAGTATTCTTGCTGCTGTTGTAGCACACATAAAGAAAGTTCTATCCTTCTTTGGCACCAATTGGCCAACTATGCCCAGGAGAAAGGCCTCTGGTTTCTTCAGAAAGGTATATTTAAATACCTTTTTCATTTCATTATAGATCATCTCCCAGAAAGCCTTAATCCTTGGGCACGTCCACTAAAGGTGAAAGAATGTACCTTCAGTTTCTTTACATTTCCAACATTTATTATCGGGCAAATGATAGATTTTTGCAAGCTTGACTGGTGTCATGTACCACCTGTATATCATTTTCATAATATTCTCTCTTAAGGCATTACATGCCGTAAACTTCATACCTGTGGTCCATAACTGTTCCCAGTCAGCCATCATTATGTTATGTCCAACATCTTGTGCCCATTTAATCATAGCAGATTTCACCGTTTCATCCTGAGTATTCCATTTCAACAGCAAGTTATACATCTTTGACAAAATCTTGGTTTTGGGTTCTAACAGTTCTGTTTCCAATTTTGATTTTTCCACCTGGAAGCCAATTTTCTTGTCCAAATTATATGCCTCCATTATCTGATAATAATGAAGCCAATCTCGCACTTTATTTTTTAGTTTTTCAAAACTCTGCAATTTCAATCTGTCTCCCTCTTGTTCCAAAATTTCCCATTTTGCCTCCATATTGAGCTTTTTCTGAGCCTTCACTTCCATTGGTGACAACCACCTTGGGGTTTTATTTTCCAGTAAGTCCTTGTATCTCATCCAGACATTAAACAGTGCTTTCCTGACAATATGATTTTTAAATGCTTTATGTGCTTTGACCTTATCATACCATAAATATGCATGCCATCCAAATACATTATTAAAGCCTTCTAAATCCAAAATGTCTGTGTTTTCGAGAAGCAGCCATTCTTTCAGCCAGCAAAAAGCTGCTGATTCATAATAAAGTTTAAGGTCTGGCAGGGCAAATCCACCTCTTTCCTTTGCATCCGTTAGTATTTTAAATTTTATTCTAGGCTTCTTGCCCTGCCAGACAAATCTAGAAATATCTCTCTGCCACTTCTTGAAGCAATCCATTTTGTCCAAAATTTGCAATGTTTGAAATAGGAATAACATTCTAGGCAATACATTCATTTTTATCGCAGCAATACGGCCTAGCAGTGAAAGCTTCAAATTTGACCAGATTTCTAAATCTTTTTTCACTTCAGTCCAGCATTTTTCATAATTGTCTTTAAATAAATTCCCATTTTTAGCTGTCATGTTAATCCCCAGGTATTTCACTTTCTTAACCACTGTTAAACCTGTCTCATTCTGAAACCTCTCTCTCTCTCAATCTCTGTTAAGTCTAATATTCCTCTTTCTAGTGCTCTTAACTCTTCTCCAGATTCTTTCTGCAGGTCTTCTCCGTGGTCTTTCAAAAATCTTTCTTTGTTGTCCACTGATCTTATTTTTATCTTTCTTCCTTTGAAGTTGAAAGATAGGCCTTGGGGAAATTCCCACCTAAAGATGATTCTGTTGCTTCTCAACAGGGCAACCAAATCTCCATAATTGGACCTAAGGTCCAAAAGATATTTCGGAATGTCTTTAAATATCTCCACTTTTGACTGATGTATTTCCAAAGTCTTCTGGAAGTGCAGACTCAAGATTTTGTCTCTCTCCTCTTTTGTTCGGAGGGTGATCAAACAGTCTCTCACCCTGTTCTTCTTCCCTCTTCCAAGCCTGAAAGCACTCACTATCTTAAAATCTTCCTTCTTCAAATCTGGGTCCCAAAAGTCTGCAAATTCCTGCATAGGAAAGTCAGTCAGATTGTCTTTCTCAAGTTCAGGTACAGCCCTGATCCTCAAATTCGTTTGTTTCTCCTTCAATTCAATCATAGACAATATCGACCTGTGGTCTTCAAGTTGCCTATGTATCGGTGGTATCTTCTCTTCTACAGCAACTGCTATTTCCTTTGCTTCTTCAGCTGTCTTTCGAGTCAAAGTAGATTCCTGTAGCAGTTTCTCAATAGTTTCTGTATTAGTATTTACCTTCTGTCCCAAATTGTTGATACTTGTAGTATTTTGATCAATTTTGATTGATGCTTCAGCTACTTGTTTACTTAGTTTTTCCAGAGATTCATTAATTTTACCTAATGCCTGAGCTAAAACATCTTCGGATGCCATTCCTTTAGGTTTAGGTTGTACAAATGCGGCCCCTGATGATGCAGAGGGGCCAGACGTTGATGCTCTTCGCTGCAGCCCAGCGTCTGGGCGAAAAGAACTGCCAGACCTCGTTGTTTTTTCCTGAGGCAAATCTGCCATAACACCCTAGTTAAAGCCCAAGGTCAGTCCCACGGCCAGAATTTGTTTTGAAGTGGAAAATTCCCCTGGCCCAGTTGTTATTGTAACAGTTTCAAACTTCCTCTAGGGGGACACAGTAGCAGCCAGAAGTTGTTGCCTTAAAAAAAAAACACACCTTTTTTAATCCCCCAATTCACAAAATAGACGACAGTTTCAATTTCAGTTATTTTCCAGTTACTTTAAAACCAGGAAAAGCCAGCCAGAAACATTGTATCTCTCTTGCAGAGTTAGCTGTCAAAAGGTACTCTATTCACCAACAGCGCAATTCACAGTACAGTGGTGCCCCGCAAGACGAATGCCTCGCAAGACGGAAAAACCGCTAGACGAAAGGGTTTTCCGTTTTGAAGTTGCTTCGCAGGACGAATTCCCCTATGGGCTTGCTTCGCAAGACGAAAATACCTTGCGAGTCTTGGAGATTTTTTTCGCTTTCCCCCTTTATCTAATCTGCTAAGCCTTTAATAGCCTTTAATAGCCTTTTAGCAGCTAATCCCCTAAGCCTTTAAGCCTTTAATAGCCGCTAAACAGCTGATAGCGCTAATAGCGCTAATCCGTCAATGGGCTTGCTTCGCAAGACGAAAAAACCGCTAGACGAAGACTCTTGCGGAACGGATTAATTTCGTCTTGCGAGGCACCACTGTACGGCATTCCTATTGTCCATTGGCAGCCCGTTCCCAGGTTTTAAGCGGTGGATTTTAGCTTCCTTTCCTCTCTTTTTGCAGGGAAATACAGTTCACACCTTTCCCCCCTCCTCTCCTGCAGCCAAGGGGGGAGATCACTTGTTTTGATGTTAGAATTGTAGTCCTTTTCAAACGTCTTTCAAGGTTTTAGCTTACAAGTTCGTTGCTTTACTCTATTTACAAAGAACGGAAGGCAGACTTCCTGTTTATGCCTCCCCGCTTCGGTATCAAATTACATCTTTATTCTCCTTTATTTCCGAAATTAACCTACTCACGGGTAGTTATTTTGTAGCCAGATTGTCACAGGAAAAAGGTAGCGCTCTCCGGTAACGGCTGTGCGGCTTCGCTCCACGGAAGAAGCAGTTGACTCTCAGCACCGCGCCGCTTCCCTGCTTCACTCCGGAGCCCGTAATTGGGCTCCTTTGCAGATTGGGGGGGGGCGCAAAAGGTGCCCGCCGAGTCCCACAGTCACAGGCTTCACCCGCCTGTGATTTTTTCGAGGGTCCCCGCTTCGCCGTAGCGGAAAGACCCGATTCCCGTAGAACCAGTCCCTCCGGATCAGAGGGAGTCCGCCATTACCGATGGCGCCACCCTGGAAGTGTCCAGAGACCTCGCTTCTCAGCAAATTTTGGTTTCTGATGCAGTTTGGAAAAGAGAAGCCTCAAACTACATCTTCAAGGCTCTATTACTACAATGCGCTTTAGGTAGGGCCTCCTGCAGGCCTGGTTTGGAAAGTGCGGATGGTACAGTATGGGGCAGTCAGGCTGTTGATGGGGGCACTTAGTCAACAACCTGGGAGACCCTTGTTAGAACAGCTGTACTGGCTGCCCATCAATGACTGAGCCAGGTTCAAGTTGTTAATTTACAAAGCCCTGAACAACTCTGATCCAGGGTACCTTGGGGACAGCCTGAACCTTTATATCCCAGAACGACCACTCGTTCTTGCAGGAGCATTGCAGGTCATTTCCTGAGTTGTTGAGTTTCATCTGAAAACAAAAAGAAACTGAGCCTGGAGTGTCATGGCCCCAGCCCTTTGGAACTATTTGCCAATAGAGATTCAGCAGGGACCTTCTGTTTTAACTTTTAAACGCCTGCTGAAAGAAATTCTATTCTGCCCGGCCTTTGTAGGCTATTAAGGAAGTTTCTTTCTATGGTGAGTTGATAATCTCTGATTTTTTAAAGTGGTTTTTAATTTTTTTTTAATGTATATAGATATCGTCATTGCAAGCTGCTCTGCTTTTTTTGATGGTATATATATTTTTTATTACTATAAAGAAATAAATAATTGCTGAGGTCATCTGCATCCCAGCTACCTGTGAAACCTGGAAAAGATCCTATCTTCCAGTACTGGGAATATATTCCATTGGGAGCTTCATTGACCAAAATGGAGTTGCACCCACTTTTTGTTGGCGAGCGAGTTCAATCTGTAATGTTTAAATAATTTAAGTTGCACATCTCCCCACTGCTCCATTCCCCCCCTTATGGCTGCCCCCTAGCCTTCTCCTTGGGCACTCCCATCTGCTGGTGGTGTCTGCTTGATGGGATAAATGTTCTAGTTGGACCACAGCCAGGGGCTCTTTGTACTAAGTGGAAGCCTTTCCCAGTGACATGAACAGCTTCTGATCCAGGGGGCTGTGTGTATATGAGGGGTTTCCTTGGAAGACCCTACACACACACACACCATGAATAAGGACATAGGAAGCTGCTATATTACTGAGTCAGTCCATCTAGCTCAGTATTGCCTGTTCTGACTGGCAGCTGTGGCTTTCCAGGTTTTCAGACAGGGAGGCTCTCCCAGCTCTACCTTGAAGAAACCAGGGACTGCTGGGGACTTTCTGCGTGAAAGGCAAATGCTCTAACGCTGAGCCACAGTACCTTTGGGGAAGAAATATACCTCAGTGGTAGGTCATGAGAGGTGAATCTCTGCTTTCATGAACAAACAAATTTCTAGTCCCTATGGGGTACTTGAAAGAGCTTGCGCAGTATCCAGTCCTTCTGCTTCTGAATTAGAGAAGGACTGGACACTCCACAATTAAATAGGAAGGCATAGGAAGAGGCCAGCTCACCCATGAGGCAGGCTGAGTCAGCCGCCTCAGGTGGTGGAAACCCAAGAGGAGGCATCCCTGCAGGGACCCTGCCCACATCACCACCTCTGCTGGTGTCTCCAGCAACAGCTCTGACCCAGCAAGATCTCGGGAAAACTCACCGGAACCGACTGTCGCTGCCTCCACTTTGCTGGCACTGCCACACAACCCACGCAAGGGAGACACCTTCCTATTTCATCTTCGGTGGTGAAATGGGACATGCCACTCCTGCATAGGAAGTTGCCTTCTCCTGAATCAAACTGTTGGGTCCATCTAGTTCAGTGTTGTCTTTCCCCAGTCCTACCTGGAGATGCTCAGGGTTGCACCTGGCACTTTCTGCATGCAACACAAGCTCTCTGCAATTAAGCTGCAGGCCTTCCCCTAAAAATGAGTTAAGAGTCTAGTCCTTATGGTTCTGAATGAAAGGCTGATTTAAATGGGGACATAAGGAGCTGCCTTATACTGAATCAGAGCCCTGGTCCATCTAGCTCAGTACTGTCTATGCTGACTGGGAGTTCCTCTCCAGAGTTTCAGGCAGGAGTTTTCCCCGAGCTCTATCAGGAGATGTTGGGGATTGAACCTGCATGCAGAAGCAGAGGCTCCACATTATTCTAAATCATGCAGGGGAACTGCATGATTTTTTTTTTTAATGGGCAGTATAATTTGTGAGTTTGGAACTGGCCCACCAAAAACTGGTCAAAGTCATGGTGAAGTCAAGTTTTGGTCCACCATCTTGATTCAAAATGACGTGTTGACAAAAGCTACCTACTCCCGCCTTCATGCCAAGTATATCTCAAGAGGCATCCAAATGCATAGAGAAGCGACAGGCAGGCAGACAGACAAGCAGGCAAACAAGTAGACAGACCACTTTTAAAAATATATAGTACAGTGGTACCTTGAGTTACATACGCTTCAGGTTACATATGCTTCAGGTTACAGACTCCGCTAACCCAGAAATAATACCTCGGGTTAAGAACTTTGCTTCAGGATGAGAACAGAAATTGTGCAGCAGCGGTGCAGCGGCAGCAGGAGGCCCCATTAGCTAAAGTGGTCTTCAGGTTAAGAACAGTTTCAGGTTAAGAACGGACCTCCGGAACGAATTAATTTCTTAACCCGAGGTACCACTGTACACACATGTTAAAAAATGCACCTTTAAATTTGACAACTGATACATAAATGTGGCAAACTAAACTTTTAAGATTGGGAGGGGAGTGAAACCAACATGGACAGATTGGTTCATCACTAGGTCCCTGGAGATGGGAGGCAAGTGGTTTCTCAGTGGACTTGACGCAAACCTGTGTCAGTTGTACAGTTTATACAGCTAGAGATGTCACCCACCCTTGCTCAAACTGAATTTATCTTTTCAAACCCCTGTAAACGTCAAGCCATCCTGCATTTGGGCCTAGATGTTGTGCACAGTTCCGCTCTCCAGCCATTGGTGTAACATGACGCCTCGGAGTCGGAGGCTGGCCCAGGAAAGAGCTGGACTCTGTGAAATTGCAAAGCCAGCAAGTAGACAGAGGAATTTATTTCCACATGCCCAGAGAGATTCCCTTATTCTCTCCCCCCCTTTCTCTTCTTCAGCTCCACCCCCCACTTACTGCATGCCCGCAAATGTGGAAATTCATCAGAAGCCCCCGAGGCATAAACTAATTATGGGAATGTTGTTGCTCTTTTTCCCACCAGCCCGGTTTTAAGAGATAAGACACCCCTGTGCTGTAAAAATCTGGTGAAGGGGGTGGAAAAATATATATACATAAAGGTTGATGTGTTTTGAAATGGCTTTTTTGCTTTGTTCCTCTATTTCCCCCCTGGGTGTATTAACCTTGGGGACACCGTCAAAATGCACAGTCTCCCAGAGCACCTGCTGGGGTCAAGGCTAGTCATTAGTTTTTCGGTCAGTGCAGAATAAACCCCATTTCTCTCCCTCTCCCTCTCTCTGGAAGTGTATGGGGTTCTGCCTCTATCTTTTCCCTCTCTGCCAAAGTCGCATTCCCCCCACCCTCCGCCGTTTTCCCTGCCTGACTTGTTCCTCCATAGCTATTCCACCTCCAGCTGTGGGGGCGTCAAAGGAAAAGATGAGATCAAGTTGAGGGGAAAAAATTGTCTGATTCCCCACAAGGCCCTTTGTTCCCAAACACCTCCGGTGCTCTCATTTTGCAAAGGGTGGCAAAATAATAATAAAAAATCCCAACCCTTCCTTTGGCAGGGTTTCTTTCTTTCTTTTTTTGCTGCCTGAGCAGTCTTAGGCTTTTAAGAAGAGGGGTGTGTGTGTGTGTGTGTGTGTGTGTGTGTGTGTAAAGGTTTGCAGATTGCATGCATAGGAGGCTGGGAAGTTGTCAAAGGGAAGTTGTTAAGAACTCCAAGGAAGCCTCCATGCTCAGGGGAAGTATATCTCTGAATGCCCGGCCACCACACTCTCTCACGATGCTAGAACTCGTGGACATCTGATGAAGCTGAATGTTGGAAGATTCAGGACAGATTACAGAAAGTCCTTCTTCAAGCAGCACATCGTTAAACTATGGAACTCACTCTTGCAGGAGGCAGTGCCGACCACCAACTAGGGTAGCTTTAGAAGAAGATTGGACGAATTCATGGAGGAGAAGGCTATCAATGTCTACTAGCCATGGTGACTCTGCTCTGCCTTCATGGCTGGAGGCAGCAGTCCTTCCAAACATCAGTTGCTGAAATCCTGCTTGTGGGTTTCCCACCAGCATCTGGTTGTCCACTACATGGACCATTGTCCGGATCCAGCAGGTTCTTCTTATGCTTTTATGTTCCTGTGTTAAAGCCATTAGCAACTCCAACGAAGCCCCCATGACCAGAGGCAAGATGCCAGACTGCCATGCTCAGAAGGCCTTGTGGTTTATTCATGACATCCCAGAGGTATTCAGCTGGGCTGCTGTTGGGGAGAGACTGCTGACTAGACCTTCGTCTGATCCAGCCAAGGCAATGCTTAGTTTCTTAAAAGGAAGTTCTGGCCAGGCAACTCTACAACATCAGATTGTCCCACAAGCAAGCACTTGATTGCACCAGAAACACTCTCCCCACTTGTGCTTCCCAGCAATTGGTATTCAGAGGCTTCTGACAATGGAGGAAGAACGTGGATTTGTATGATACTCTTTTTGAAGTCATCCTAGTTGGTAGCCATCACCACAGCCTGCAGGGAATGTTGTAATGTAGGCAGGACCATGTGAGAACACAGGACATGCTGGTCCACAGCAGCATAGCGTGGGGGGGGGGCACAAGGGCAGTTGCCCCAGGTGCAAAATTGTTAGGGGTGCAAAATTTCAACACTTGGTGCTGCCTCAATACAGCTGCATGCTTCCGTAGCTGAGCTCCATGCAAACCAGGAAGTGACCTTTCCAGACGACAGAACAGCTTTTTTTCTTTTATCTGCAGCTGTGATCTCCCTGGGTGATGCAGATGCCATTAGGCAGTTGAATGCGCATGCGTACTCTGTCCGTTTCCCTCCTTCCCCCTACTCTCTGTGCGGCCACCAGGCACTGGTAGCCCATGCTATGCCACTGGCTATCCAATCAACTTGTCTCTCTATCTTGGCATTCTCCTTCCCAACAGTGGCTGACCAGAAGCTATAGAGGCATAGTGACAGCCCCATCATTCACACCTTCTTCCCTCCCAGCATCTAGTATGTCAAAGGTTATCTAAACTTTGAAAACTAGAGTTTTTGCTGCTAGGTCTCATGGCTGGTTTCTAGAAATAGATCCTTTCCCTCATCTATTTAACCAATACTTTTAGGAAAAGCTGCTTCGGCTTGTAACCAGTGTCATGTTCCATAAGTCTGCTATTGACAGAACATTGCTTGATTTTTTCTAAGCCCCCCCCCCCAATTTTATTTGTTCACCTCTTTCCCCCTGAAAATGAGCTACATTCAGCAGAACATTCCCTGCAGTCCTTGTGTATGGTTGACAACAAATCATGAGTGGACATGTGTTTACGATATCATAGGCACTAGCCAGTAGGTCCCTGCACAGTCACCTCTCCTCCCACCCCTGGTTTGAATTGATCAAAGCCACCCTGAACTGATTTCAGAGCTCACCCTGGGTCAGAAACAAATGTATGCTTGTACTGGGAATGCCAGGAGGGGTTTTCCAAACCACACCTTCCATTCCTGTCTTCACTCCCAGATTTCCAGGGCTTAGGTAATTTGCATCCAGTGTTGCTAACACTCATTTCTCTCTCTCTCTCTCTCTTACAGAACCAGGCACCCCCTGGCCTTTACACAAGGACAAGAGACCCTGCTACAGCCCCAGACACTCCAGACATCTTAGAGATTGAATTCAAGAAGGGTAAGGACAGTCTTTTTGCAATGCTGCATTGTGGCCACATTCGGAAGAGTGAGTACAGTTCTGGTCACAACATCTAAAACAGGGGTCAGCAAACTTTTTCAGCAGGGGGCAAGTCCACTGTCCCTCAGACCTTGTGGGGGGCCGGACTATATTTTGGAAAAAAATAATGAACGAATTCCTATGCCCCACAAATAACCCAGAGATGCATTTTAAATAAAAGCACACATTCTACTCATGTAAGAACACACTGATTCCCGGAATGTCCGCAGGCTGGATTTAGAAGGCGTTTGGGCCAGATCCGGCCCCCTGGCCTTAGTTTGCCTACCCATGATCTAAAATAAAAATGTGTTGTAGGCTTGGAAATGGTGCAGAAAAGGACACTCTAAATCAGGGGTGCCCAAACTTTTTTCAAAGAGGGTCAGATTTGATGGAGTGAACATGCGTGAGGGCCGACCAAAGTTGTTGAGTTTTTTTAGGATTGAAGTTGTTGAGTTTTTACCCCAGGACATATACTGCCACAGGGGCCAGATTACATTGACTGGTGCACCAGATTAGGCCCCCAAAACGGACTTTGGACATGCCTGCTCTAAATAGTCAGGGGGCTTGGAGCAAGCTTTGAGGTGAGGCTTTGGTGCTTTTCAGTAGAGTTTGTTAACATATCCATCCAAAGGCCATCAAACAGAGTAATCAGATGATGGGAAATCAAGCTTTATTTGGGTTGATCTACTGATTAAGAACCTAAGAGACTGTTGGATCAGGCCAGTGGCCCATCTGGTCCAGCATCTTGTTCTTACTGTGGCCAACCTGATGCCTCTTCTGAGAAAACTCAAAACAGGACCAGAGCCCAAGAGCACTCTCTCTTCCTGTGGTTTCCAACAACTGGATCAGAAGCATTACTTCTTCTGAACATGAAAGCAGAGCAGAGCCTTTGTGGCTACTAGCCATTGATAGCCTTCTTCATGAATTTGTCTCTTAAAACTATCCAAGTTGGTGGCCTTTACTGCCTCCTGTGGGAGTGAATTCCAGAGTTACTATGTGCTGCATGAAAATCCCTTTTCTTTTATCTGCCCTGAATCTTCCAACATTCAGCTTCATTGGATATCCACAACTTCTAGTGTTATGAGGGAGAAAAACGCTTTTCTGTATCCATTTTCTCCATGCCATGCATAATTTTATCATTGTCTATCATGCTGCCTTTTTTCTAGACTAATAATAATAATAATAATCCCCAAAGCTCCAACCTTTCCTCATAGGAGAATTGCTTCAGGCCCTTGATAATTTCCAATTCTTCAATATCCTTTCTGAGGTGAGGTGACCAGAATTGTACACAGTATTCCAAACACTATCACACCAGAGATTTTTATAAAGGCATTATATCCACATTTTAATTTTCAATTCCTTTCCTAACGATCCCTAGCATGAAATTTCTCTTTTCCACAGCCACTGTGCACTGGGCCGACATTTTCATAGAGCGATCCACTACAACGCCAAGGCACAATATAATAGCCTGATCAAAGCACAAATAAATTAACCGGTAGGGAAAGCGAAGGCCCATCAATGGATTCTCCCTCCATCACCATGTGTCCACCCAGCATCCCTACCGGACGACACAGAGTGATGCAGTGAGGTTTAATAACTCACTCTGTGTTTTGAGAGAAAGGCGTGCTCTGGCACCCACAGAAACCCACACGCACCCACATGCTACCCTCCTTTCGCCTGCAAACACATCCTTGTTTTACCCCCTAGTTAATTTATTTGAAGTTCTAATCTAATTATTAACTATTTTAAAAGGGATAAGCAGCTTTCCTGGACAATGCCTGCGCTCCTCCAGGCGGGCCACGTCCGATCGCTGTCCGAAAAGGCTACAATAGACCGAGAAAGACGATGGCGAGGAGGTGCTGACGGCTGTGCTGACCAGAAAGAGATTTAGGGTTCATTATCGCCGGGGCTTACATTTAATAGTCATTTACAGCCGAATTCATAAACCCTCCAGTCTCCTAGCCCACTTTTTCTTTCCTGTGTATGTGTGTGTAAGGCGCAGGGGGGACAACAAAAAAATAAAATATATAAATGGGTTTAGAATGGAGACGCTGACAGGCAGCCTTCACCACACAGCGGGCCTTTTGTAATAAAGACTAGAAAGGAAGCTATTGAATCCTGATTAGTGACTGATAAAGCTCTATATGGTAATGAGGAGGGCAGATGGAAGAGAGATTAGCCTCTGAACAGGCTCACCGGCCTCCCCCCACTGCCAAGTTTCCCCCTATTTTTCTTTTATGGGTCTCCCACCCTCTTTTCCACCTCCCCACACATCTCCCCTGTGTCCCGCTTCCGTATACATTTATTGCTCATTTCATACTGGGGGGGAGGGGGGAGAGAAGAAAAGAGCGGTTTCTTTCTCTTTCAGTCACCACCTTGGGCTCTTCATGTCTTTCCCTCATGCTCTTAAAAAGAACAGAAAATAATATTTCTTTTTGTTTTGGTTGCCACACCTCTGGGCTTCCCACTCTCGGGGTTCCCGCCACTTCCCCTCACTGTCACCCTCTTAAAAATAAAATGAAAGTAAGTGTAGTCTTGAATTCCCTGAGAATCTTCTCGGTCTTTGGCCACAAACAGTCCCAAGTCAAGCTCCCTATTCATTCCTGTCAGGTGGATAACTGGGGACATGTGCGGCATTTGTCCGTCAAATGGATGTTAACAGGGGCCGTGCGCTGTGTTTTCACTTGCGCCTCAGTTTTCCCGTCCTTTCTCCTCCTCCTCCTCTTTTAATTGTGGGGTGGGGGTGTAGAGTTTGTCCGCCGGGGCCGAGTCTCGGTGGCTGGTGGAACAGAAGGTGCGACGGGCTGAGACAATGAGGGAGCGTGAAATTTAATTAGTCGAGGCCTTACCCGCAATTTCAAGCTCCTCAAAAAAAAGAGGTGGGGGGGAATAGACGGGCGGGTGGGAAGGGGCAGTTGTATGTGGGAGGGGGGAAACTTTTATTGCCTTAAAAAAAAAAAACCCACCTCTTTTCTCTCAGGGCTTTTTTTCGGCCTCGTATTGTGTGAGGGTTCACCCGACCCTGCTTTTTAAAGGGGGGAAAAAACACCAGAGCCTTCTGAGCGGAGCAGCTTAGCCATGCCTTTTTAAGAAGTTATTTAGAGTTCATATCTGTCACATCTATTTAACACGTCCAGGGTGATGTTTTAAAGAGGCGCTCTTGACATTAATAAGGGGATTTCAAAGTCCAGTTCCCCTGTTACCCTCCCTGCCCGTCTGTTTCCTGTGCCGACTTTCTCTCCCCCACCCCGTCCATCTCCATGTCCCTTTTCTCTTGCCTGACAGGTGTCCCCATCAAGGTCACCAATGTCGAATACGGCACTGCCCACCATTCGTCCCTCGAGCTCTTCGTTTACCTGAATGAAATTGCGTAAGTTTCCCCGTCTGTGTTGGCCCCATGGAAGGATGAAGGATGAAGAGAAATTCATTTTGGTTCATGTTTATCATCAGACCTACCATAATTTGCGCTTTCTGGAAGATACATGAACCACAAACACAGCCATCCTCTGAAATTTGCCCTTCTCCCAATTTTGCACTGTGGTTCTCCAGCCAATTAATGTGCCCCAAAATGCATGAAATAGGATAAAGCGTGTGTAAGAAAAGGGACGTATGTACTGAAGATAACATACAAAAATGCATTATATTACCCGGATTAAAATGTAAAAATGCAGTATTTAAAACACTTTAAAACAACATACAATCACAAAAATAAGGTGGGTCCAATATATATATATCTCATATAAGGCAGTGTTCCTGTGAGAAAGAGGGAGAGGAAATATACATGTCCCTCCTTGTCTTTCTTGTTTATTACCTGCCCTTCATCCTAAAGACCTAGGGTGGGTTACAGCCATTTAAACCACATGCAAGTTCGAAAAAACTTGCAATCATAGAAGTGCAGTGGGCTCTAAAAATATACACCTCAGGTGTCAAAGGCTAGGATAAAGAGGTGTGTCTTTAGCATTCACTGGAAGCTGTATAGTGAAAGTGCCCAACACATCTCTGTGGGGAAGGAGCTCCACAACTTAGGGGCTGCCACAGAGAAGGCCCTCTCCTGGGTGTCTGAGGGTGGTGGAACAACCAAGAGGTCCCCCTCTGCCAGTCTTGGCACCTGGGATGGTATGTAGGGAAGGAGGTGACCTTTCAGGTATTTGGGGCCTGAGTTGTTTAGGGCTTTAAACACTAAAGTGAACACTTTGAATTGGGTCTGGAAACAAACTGGCAACCAGTGCAGCTGATTTAAAATGGGTGGAGGGGTATGTGAGTTCTAAATGTAACCCGATCCACTGAACCTGGCACCAGCTGAAGTGTTGGAGTCATCTTCTAGGGAAGCCCCACACAGATCACATTGCAGAATCCAATTTGGAAGGTGGAAGAGCATGGAGTACAGTGGCTAAGTCATCTGTCCAAAAGGGGTCAAAACCCTTGTACCCAGCAATCCTGAGAGAGACCTTTACCCTTTCCCTTTGCTTCTAGTGCTTTGCACTGCCTTGCCTGCAGGTTTAGAAACACATAGAACTATGGATTTTTTTAGAATTGGAAGGGACCCCAAGGGTCATCTATTCCAACCACCTGCAATGCAGGAATCTCAAACAGATCATACATAGCAGCTGGCCATCCAACCTCTTCTTATAAACCTCCAAGGAAAGAGAGTCCAGCATATATTGTGGGAGTCTGTTCCATGCCTGTGAGCATTGACTCTCGCCTCCTTCCTCTCCACAGTGCCAAGCATGGTGTTGGGCGCATTGACATCGTGGAGAACCGGTTCATCGGAATGAAGTCTCGAGGTAAGCATTGTTCTTTCTGAACTTGCAGAGATTCAGCTAAACCCAGACCTGACACACTAATTTGAGCTCCCTCTATCGGAAGGGAAGGGGGCTCCCTACTATGTTGGCTTGCCTGGTTGTCAGGATCATCTGTGGAAGCCCTGCTGGTGGTGCCACTGTACTTTGAGGCCCATGGATTGTGGTGTATGGGAGTGCCTTATTGGTGGTAGGCCCAAGAAGTGCCCACTCTTTGGAGGTGGCCTAGCAACATTGCTGTACTCCTTGTTGATTAATCATGCGCCTCTTCGAGATGCACCTCTTTGCCTAAGTTTTTGGAAGTGGTTGAGTTGTTTAAATCTGGTTGGAGATCTGGCCCTACTCCTTGCCTAATTATTGGGCTGGTGTTGGCTATAATCCAGTAACACACAAGCTGTACTTCCATTTCCTCCTTTCCTGAACCTTAGAAAGGACCATAGCTTAGTGACAGAGCAAGCAGAAGGTCTGAAGTTCAATCCCCAGCATCTCCAGGTAGGATTGAGAGAGATCTCCTGCCTGAAACCCTGGTGAGCTGCTACCAGTCAGTGTAGACAGTACTGAGCTAGATGGTCTGACTCAGTATAAGGCAGCTTCCTGTGTTTCCTCCGGACAAGGGACAACATCTAAAGGTCACTCAAAACTTGGAGCAGTCTGTTCCAATCATTGCTCCTAATATGTTGGAAACAGTATGGTGTAGTGGTTAGAGTGTTGGACTAGGACCTGTGATACCAGAGTTCAAATCTCCCACTTGCCATTGAAGCTCAGCCTAACCTACCCCACTGGGTTGCTATGGGGATTAAATGAGGACTACGGCCTGGGACCTGGGAGTCCAAGGTTCAAATCCCTGTTTGGCCACGTAGCTCATTGGGTGTGACCTTGGGCCAGTCACTGCCTCTCAGCCTATAGCTTACCTCACAGGGCTGTTGTGGAGATTAATTAAGGAGGGGAAGAACCACATCTGCCGCTTTGACCTCCGAGGAGATAAAAGGTGTTCTATAAATGCATTAAATAAATTTAATAAAAGTAATAAATAAATTGATAGCCTGGATAGCTCAATTGGTTAGAGCGTGGTGGTGATGATAATGCCAAGGTTGCAGGTACAAGCCTTATATAGGACAGCTGCATATTCCTGCATTGCAGGGGGTTGGGCTAGATGATCATCAGGGTCCCTTCCATCTCTATGATCCTATGATTCTAAAGAATTGCAGGTGGGGTGGTTGAAGGTATCCTTGACTATGGTGTGAACGCTCATCCCAATATCAGCAACGGTGAATGGGCTTTGTGAGGGGCAGATGTTGAGTCATGCTTGCAGCTCAGGAAGTGCCATTCTTTCAGATTCTTCAGCTCCCTTGAAACAATTTCTCCCTTTCTCCTACCAAACTCCCCTCAGATCTCTAGGAGCGGCTGCAGGAATAGTGAATGGCATGTCTCTTTTATGTGGGTGCCCCCTAGACGGATAGCAGTAGGGATGCATGCGTGTATGTGTATGTGTATGTGTGTGCTTGGGGAGACGTCTGGTTTTCTCTTCTTTGTAAAACAACAACAACAAATCTTTTAAAAGATATGTTATTCAAACCTGTTGCTATTTCGACACTGCTCTTTTTTTGGCCCCATCTGCATTGTGTACTTAAAGCACTGTGGTACCACTTTAAACAGCCATGTTGTTTAGTTGTTTAGTCGTGTCCGACTCTTTGTGACCCCATGGTCCAGAGCATGCCAGGCACTCCTGTCTTCCACTGCCTCCCGCAGTTTGGTCAGAGTCATGTTTGTAGCTTTGAGAACACTATCCAACCATCTCGTCCTCTGTCGTCCCCTTCTTCTTGTGCCCTCCATCTTTCCCAACATCAGGGTCTTTTCCAGGGAGTCTTCTCTTCTCATGAGGTGGCCAAAGTATTGGAGCCTCAGCTTCAGCTTCTGTTTAAACAGCCATGGCTCCCCCCAAAAATTCTGGGAACTGTACTTTGTTTAGGGTGCTTGGAATTGTTAGGCGACAATCTATTCTCCTCTTGGAACTACAATTCCCAGAGTTCTTTGGGAAGAGGGATTGACTGTTAAGCCAGCCTAGGAGGCAGAGCATAGCCATCATGGCTTGTAGCCATTGATAGCCCTCTTCTCCATTAATTTGTTCAATCCTCTTTTAAAACTATCCAAGCTGGTGGCCATCACTGCCTCCTGCAGGAGCAAGTTCCATAGTTTAACTATTTGCTGCATGTAGAAGTCGTCTCTATTATCTGTCCTGAATCTTCCAATATTCATCTTCATTGGATGCCCATGAGTTCTAGGGTCATGAGAGGAGGGGGGAAGAAACACAATTTTATTAACTTCTAACATGTCACCTTGTTCTCCATACTAAAAAGTCCCAAATGCTGCAAACTTTCTTTATAGGGGAGTTGTTCCTCCAGATCTCTGCCTCCCCAACTCTTTTCTCTCAGTTGGTTAGGATTTCCTCACACCAAGAATACTTTGAAAAGGATAGAGTAAAAGAAAACATGGATTGAAGAAGTGAAAAGTGTGGGAAGGCAGTGATTTGGAGGAGAGCCTCATATGGACCACAGAGACTTAATGGAGGCCCAGGAAGCTAACTGTCCACATTAAACGACAGAAATGTTTCAGCTCTTAGGAACTCTTGACATGAGTGCTAGGGGCTGCCAGAACCTCAGTTGCCCCTAAATCTTGCAGGATTTGTGACTTTTGCTTTGATATAAAAATATGTAGTGTTTAGCATTAGCCGGAAAAACAACCAATAATAAATTACATGTAACAAAATGCTTGGAGGTCCCAGAAAGATTTTAGGCTCCTTGGTGGGATTTTATCTCATAAACAACTAATGGGGATGCACAGGACTTTGTCTCCTCAGTACAATGTGAAATTTGGCTTACCTGATGTTCTTAAGTACTTTGGCAAGCTAATTCTCTTCCAGATATACTATGCTACTGTTTTGTAATTCTATTTATTTCTATTTTATTGATTTGTTTATGTCCATAAGTTACTATTTTTTTAATGGCAGTCTGGGTGAGGTCACTGTCGTACTATGGAACTCGTTCCCATAGGAGACAGCGATGACCTCCACCTTGGATAGCTTTAAAAGAGGATTAGGCAAACACATGATGGGAGGAGAAAACTACCAATGGGTACCAGCAGTCAGATGTAGCAATGGATCTGAATACCAGTTGCTGGAAAGCAAAGGAAGGGTGAATACTCTTGTTCTTGTGTCCTGCTTGTGGGATTCCCTTGAGGGTCTGTGGTTGGCCACTGGACTGGATGGATTCTCTCTGGCATGACCCGGCAGGCTCTTCTTGCGATTTCATGTATGGAAGGGGAGAGGTTTCGCCCTCCTTTCATGCTCCGGAGTGCGCTGGAGTTAGTGCCTCTGGTTACAGAGTGTCACAGGTGGATTGCTGTCAAGGAAGCCGAAACAGCTTTGCTGGAGGTAAACAGACAGCCGAGGTTACAAATTAGAAATTTTTAAGTAGCGGCAGCTGTCTTTTATACCCCCCTCCTCCCATCACCCCCCCAATCCTCGTCCACTTTCACGGCAGCAATTACGGCGTGATTGAAATGCCGTGAGCCACGCATCGCTGACACCTCTGTCTTTTTCCTGTAAACATGGAGAGATGAAAATAGACACTTGGAGCGGCGGTGAGTGTCACTTTGAAGGTGGCTCTTGTCTCCTGTGCGGCGACGCAGGACGGGCGCCTGTCATTTTCCTCTCCCCCACGCACGGTGGATCGTACTTCGACTGTCAAGAAGAAAAAACCCCAGCTTCCAGGCCTACAGTCTTTGTGGCTCCGGGTTCCTGTCACAAATCAAACAAAAACAAAAAAGAGAGAGAGAGAACTGGGGAGGCAGACAGACAGAAGAAAATAATCCATTTCTAACACTCCCTTTTTTCTTTCAGAGAAATGTGTGGGGCAATATGGAAGGGGAGGGCTGCCCAGGGAGGAGGAATGGGTGGATGAAAGCTTATATATACACACAGAGAAAACCAAGCTTTTTATCTGTCCAAATTAACTTTAACATCTTCTGAGGAAAGGAGAAGACAGATTAATTGGAGTGGATTAGGGTTACTGCACAGATTTGGTGATAAGAGGCTACCCTTGTCTTGCCACAGATATTTTTGTTTCTATGTTGTTGTTTCTTAAAAAGCCCTCTGTGGTGTACAAGGGTCAGCAAACTTTTTCAGTAGAGGGCCAGTCCACTGTCCCTCAGACCATGTGGGGGGCTGGACTATATTTTGGGGGGGGGGGATGAACGAATTCCTATGCCTCACAAATAACCCAGAGATGCATTTTAAATAAAAGCACACATTCTACTCATGTAAAAACATGCTGATTCCTGGACCATCCGCGGGCCGGATTTAGAAGGCAATTGGCCAGCATCCAGCTCCCGGGCCTTAGTTTGCCTACCCATGGTGTAGAAGAACATTTTTATTCTGCTGCACACTCAAGGGATTAAGGAACAAGGATGGTCTCTCTCTCTCTCTCCATCCCCTCCACCACATTCCTCTCTTCCTTCACATTGCACCAGTGCAACTGTCTGCCATGTGTCCTTAGCCCTGTCACTTAACCACTGCCAAACATTGCAAGCTCACTTGGAATTGCAAATGCTGAGGGGAGAATTTGGAAACCTTCTAGTGGGATCCCTTTGACAGTGTGTGTCCACCTACTTTTCACCCACCATTCCTTCCCATGGAGCTCCTCTTTAAGTGGCTCCTGGGGTTTCCACACTGCCCTCTCCATCCTCCCAGGATTAATATAATCTTGGGACCCTGGCCAGTGCCATCATTGGATCAGACCAGTTCCTCCTAGCTCTGTGAGGCAGGGAAGTGGGATGTTTTTCAGCCTCTGGACGACATTCCCTTCTGGGCAACCTTTTGAGGGGTGCAGGCCAGTGGTGGGTAGAACCAGAGGCCTGAGTGGGTGAACCAATGGATGTAAATTTTGGCTTTGTACAGTAGGCTAGTTTGTAGACATGCTAACTCACCCTTTCCCTATGTTTCGTCAAGCCAACAAGAGGTGGGGTCAGAGTTCAGGGACACATTTCCATCCATCCAGGCAAATAACATCTGGAGGTGTGAAGCAGGGCCACTGAGGGGTGTGGCCTGGGGACACTTCCAAGGGCCAGGTAGAAACTCATGGAGGGCCACAATTGGCTTCTAGGCCTGAGGTTCCTCAGCCCTGCTGTAGAAACTTTCTTAGCTTCTTGGGCTGTGAAGATCTGTGAGCCAGAGTCTACAAACATCAAGACTTGATAGGTCCGGCTGGTTACCCATCAAACCAACCTGTGAGACATGAAAGGTCTTTGATCTCCTGTCCATGGCATGAATTTCTTTTTCTCCTCTTTCTCTGTACATCAAAAGAGATACATCAAGGTGTCAGGCTTCCCCCAGTCTTTCTGGGTTGGCAAGATCATAGCCCAGTGGCAGAGCATCCGCCTTGCATGCAGAAGGTCCCAGGTTCAATCCCCAGCATCTCCAGGTAGGGCTGGGATAGACCCCTACCCAAAATCCTGGAAAGCCACTGACAGTCAGTGAGGAAAGTACTGAGTTAGATAGGAACTCTTCTGCTAGATGGGGGTGAAAGTGAACCAGGAGTAGAGCTGGGAGAGAAATATGATTCAATTGATGTATAAAAGTAAAATTACCTAATTCACACTTTCTGAGACAAAATGCAAACTGAAATGCAGCCCTCCTTCAAGATTTGCCTGTCAGATACAGATAAAACTGACCAAAATGATCAAGGGGATGCAGAAACTCCTTTATGAGGAAAGAAAGATTGCAGTATTTGGAACTTTTTGCTTTAGACAAAAGGCAAGTGAGAGATGACAGGATAGACCTTTATAAAATGATGCAGGGCATGGAGAAAGTGATGGGGGGAGTTTTTATCCCCTTCTTATAATGCTACAAGTTGTAGAGATCCCATGGAGCTTTAAAGGCGAAAGATTTGTACGGTCCGAAGAAAAACCAGAGTAGCCCATGAAACTGACTGTTGGAAGATTCAGAACAGATAAAAGAAAATCCTTATTCATGCAGCTCATAATTAAACTATGGAACTCGTTCCATATAATGCCTTTCTCAAGGCTGTTATTTATGCACACTTTTGCCACTTGTAATTTTTTGCAAGCAACCCCCCCCCCCGCCACGCAATGCATTTCCATGTGTTATTTCCACACATTTATTCTATTTCATTCTGGTCATGGAACCTGCTTTGCATGGATAAATTTCAAAGGAAAGCTGTGTTTTATGCATCATCTTGCTACAAACAGAACACAAGGTAAACCGCATGTTAAAATGTGGACTCCGAATGGACATTCTCCCATATCCCCTAAACTGAGTTAAGCTTGGCGATGAGGAACAGATTGCGGTGGGGACAGTCTGGGTTGGCAGCCCCCAAGTGAAGGTAGATTAAAACTACCGTCCCCCCCCACCTTCTCAGGTACCCTCCATTTTTTGTCACAGCTGAGACGGGAGAGGGGCTTTCACTTCTTCTTCAGTGGAACCGTGTTGCGGGGCGGGGGGAGCGAGGGGGAAGGTTTTCTTCCAAACCCCCACGACTTTGCCCCGCGTGGCTTGTTTAATTACAGGTTTTCAGGCACAGACCGGTGGGCTTGCTTCAGTGGGGGGAGTCGCCTCCAAAACCCTGTCATTTAGCCTCGTTGGAGTGCCTCTTCAAAGAAGGGAATCTAGAAATTTTCTCCGCAAGGTGCGGAGTGGACTGTCTCGGCCTCAGCATGACTATAATGACACATGCATTTTACGGCAAGCTGAGAGTGAATGGAGCCAGGACTGCGGCTCCTTCTGTCAGCCAAATCATTATTTTTTGTCATTTCCTGACAGTTTGGGTCTCATTCATTCCTCTCCCCCTCCCCCCTCTTCTCTTCTCCCCCCATCTTCTTTCTTTCTTTCTCCCCCTGCCTCGTGAAATGGCTAGGTATCTACGAGACTCCGGCGGGGACCATACTGTACCACGCTCATTTAGACATTGAGGCCTTCACCATGGACCGGGAAGTGAGGAGAATCAAGCAAGCGTTGGCCTTGAAATTTGCTGAGCTGGTGTACAATGGTATGTAGCACCAAACAAACAAACAAACAAACAAACAAAATCATTTTCCTTCCAAGAGTGCCTCTCTCTGTTTTTCATTTATGTTTTGGTATAAAGCAACAGAGGAAGTCTGCATCTTAGATGTCGCTCAGTACCATTGCTTATTCCTTGTATTTTAGGGGTGGCTCAGTTGCCCAGATAAATTTAACCTAGTTCTCTCCTCCACACACACACACACACACACACACACACACACACACACAGAGTTCAAGGTATAAGCAACTGTCAGTCCACACTTTCATGTTACATCTTTCTTTCCAGATTTCATATGAAATAAGGCCCATAACGTTTGTTCCATTACCTAGTTAGGTTTTCTGTTGTGTGGGGGGAGGCTCACAAATTTAATCTACTAAGATTAACATCATATTTCAGTTGTTTTAATCTTCCCTGGGACCTTAAGGTGAAGGGCAGATAATAAATGGTAACAAAAGCAACAACATAGCAATAAGTCAGTTTAAAAACAAACAAACAAGAAATTAAAAAATATAAGTAATCATAACATATATGGAGTGCTTGGGGGGTACTCAAAGGTATGCTGAACTGGCCCCTTTTTTTCTCGAAGAAAAGCACTGGTTAAAAATGTGGCGCTTACTGTAACAACTTCATGGTGAGTACCAGCACCCATTTATCTAGAAGAAACGCACTGTATCTTTACTTTATATGTGTGTGTGTTTGTGTGTGTATTACAAGGGATTCTAAAAAGCAAAGAAGGCAATCACCATCTTTGTATTTAACTGTTTGCTCTTTGCTAATTCTTTTTTGGTTTTTTTACCCTGACTTTCAATGAAATGTTTTCAAGGAGGCTATTTGAGGAGGATGTATCACAAAGTGTACAGGAAGAAGAAAAAAGGGGGAAACCAGAAAATTTTAAAAAGAGGTGTTTCCCCTTCTCTTCCTGCCATAGGAGGGGATGCCTCTGATCATGATGAAGTGCATCATGTTCAGATATCTGAGCATGTGACAAAAGCATGCTTTTTGCTAACTCTTCTTTTTATTTAACATCTGCAAGTGCAATACTGATGGAACAATTCAAAATCAGACTGTGATTTCAGTGATTGGCTAACAGCCTTAGTAAATCTTCCTATCTGCAATATGGCGCCATGTCTGAACCTGTGGCCTCCCAAAGCCCTCTCCTGACACAGCCACTGACCAAGTCATGAAATAGATAATTCCCAGTCACAAGTCACCATCTGGAGAACAAAGTCATAATTCCCCACCTCGGATGGTTGAGGGATTCAATTTTGATGTGAACGGGCCTGATCCATGCTTCTTCGACTAAGGTGAAGATTGGAATGCAGCTCTCCTTTTGCAGGGCTCTGAATCTTGCAATGCAGTCCTTGGCTTAAAACACACACAAAAGGACCAAAATGTGTTAAAATCCATCTTTTGGGGAATAAGATGCATCTAGAAATGCATACATTAACATTTTGTGCTAATAATTTGGTGTTAAATATGAATTTAGGTAAGTGCCTGGATCTTGGGGTCTTCAGATATCTTGGAAGTGCTCACTGTACCTCTCCTGTTAAGTATTTGCAAATATTCTATCCCTTTCAAGGGAAACAGCTTTAGATTTGAGCACCATCAGTAACTGATGTAGTTCCTGAGTCTCTGTGTGTAATTGACACACTTACTATTGTTACATTCCATCCCTGTCTTCTCCAGCAGTGTAGGATTCCAGGGGTTGCAGGTGCATTTTACCCAGAGCTTATGTTTCCTTTCAGACAATGAGGCACAGCAGAGACTGTGGTGTCTTTATGATATATGGTTTATTCACACGTATATACAACCTGAACCTAGATGAAGCGTTTGCAGAGCATGAAAACAGAACAGCTGAAAACCATGCTCTCTGTCTCCTTTTTTAGCAGCTTGCCACTATCAGTCAACATCATGTTCCGCCCCGCCTTTCTCTGCTTTCTAAACTGCTTGCAAACCTAACATTCTCCTCCTGTTTGCTTACATCATCCACCCTGAAATCCTAAACTACTTTGGTCTCTGCCCACCAGCACACAGCTGGAGTCTGCAGTCTTCAATCCCTCTTGGTGGTTTCCTTGACCTTACTCTGCTTCGTTCCTTAAGAATTAGGGGGGACTTGTACCCACAAAACTCTGACATCCCAACACATCTGGAACTCTCTGTCTGGTCCTCTGACCTCTCCCTAGGCCAAAATCCCACCAACTCTGCTTGGCGCCTTCCTCATGTGTTTTTAGCCTGGCTAGAAAGTGTGTCCTGCCTTTAGCTTGCTGGATGGAGGACAGAGAGTCATGTGAATAGAAACAAGCCTGCTATACAAAGGTAAAGAGTTGTCACTAGTCCTAGTCCTATTCAGACGCATTGAATTTGCTAGGCACAACTAAGTTGCATTACTGTCCATGGGCCTGATTTATGTTGAACTCAGTTGGAGACAACCCAAAATTGACATCCCATTGCTCCACCCAGTTTTGTCTCTGACCCCCCCCCACGGGCACTAGGGAGTGGTTCTTGTCTGGTAACATAGCAGCTCCAGCATGTTTTTCATACAGCTTGTTTTTTAAAATAATAAGAATAAGAATAATAATACAGGCATACCTTGGGTTGAATGTGCTTCAGGTTGAGCGCTTTCAGGTTGCGCTCCGCGGCAACCTGGAAGTAACGAAGCGCGTTACTTCCGGGTTTCGCTGCTCACACAGACGCTCAAAATGACGTCACGCGCATGCGCAGAAGCGGCAAAATGCAACCCACGCACGCGCAGATGCGCCATCGCATCTTACGTTCCATTCAGAATGCGAATGGGGCTCCGGAACAGATCCCGTTCGCATCCCGAGGTACCACTGTACAGTTTTTCAAAACAAGTGAAACAATGAAATTTCAGTAAAACAGTTTGAAAACAGTTATTTCACACATTCAAAAAATAATAACTAAAATAACCGATAAGCTAAAAACCACATTGAAATGCCTGTCAGCATTCTATATATCTGGAGAGGCCTGCCTAAATAAAAATGTTTTTAGCAGGTGTCAGAAAGACTACAGTGAAAGTACCTGTCTTGTGCCAATAGGCAGGGAGTTCCAACGGTTGTGTGCTGCTATGCTAATAGATCAATTTATTGGAAATGCAGAATGAGTGTTATGGAGCACCACTATCTTTGTCTGTTCCACAGATCCAAACTGCTCCCTTTGAAGAAAGCTAAGGATAATCAGAGGCCATTCTAACAGTAGTAAAGTGCTCGGCTTCCTTCCATTAGAACACCACCCCTTTAAACTGTGAGCAGCTCTGCTTGAGAGACGAGACTCTAGCCTTCATGAGACCATAAGGCTTTAGTTGAGCTGGATCAGTATCTGCCTTTCCTGGCAGCTCTCTGAATTCCCTGATTCCCCTCCTGTAGTCTTGCTTTTTTGGAAACTAGCAAGCACTCTATGAGTGGAACAAGTTTGCTCTTGCTGCTGGACAGCTCCCTGCTGACGCTCCATCTCCCCCAGGTCTTTCCAAGTTCCCTGCAGTAGGGAAGGAAGGCCTGAGGCTTTCCCAATGCTGATTGGACTCCAGCTCCCATCAGCTCCTGCAGCCAATGTGGTCAGGGATGATAGGAGTTGTAGTTGAGTAACAAATGGAGGGGCCACAGGCTCTTCCCTGCAGGCTGAAAGCATGGCTAATGTAGGCCCATTAATTTAAGAATATAATAAGAGCACTGCTGGATCGGGCCAATGGCCCATCTAGTTTAGCATCCTATTCTCACAGTAGCCAACCAGATGTCTGTGGGAAACCTGCAAGCAAAACCCACGAGAACTTCCTTCCTGTGTTTTCCAGCAACTGGTATTCAAAAGCATTGCTGCAGCCTAAAGTCCTGGAGGCAGAGCATAGCCATTGTGGCTAGTAGCCCTGGACAGCCTTATCCTCCTCCTTGAATTTGTCCAACCCTCTTTTAAAGCCATTCACGTTGGTGGCTATCACCACTCCCTGCAGGAGCAAGTTCCATAGTTTACATAACTCTTTGCTGTGTGGAGAATGACTTCCTTGTATTTGTCCCAAATCTTCCAACATTCATATCCGTTGGATGTCTACAAGTTTTAGGTGGAATCTATGTATTTTTAATTTTTTTTAAAAAATGCTGTGAAAATGCTTTTTTAAAAAAAGTTTTGAAAAATGCATTGAATTTGGCATAGCTCACTGTTGCCATCTAGTGTCACATTTGTATATTGCCCTTTACAAAACATTTAAAACGTTTTATTGGAGCTGTGTAGCTGAGTCCTTAATGTTAGGGGCTGTGTGTGAAAACCTTTTCTTTGTTCACTTTCTCTATGCCATACATCATTTATATAAGCAGCTTTCATGTTGCCTCTAACTTGCCTTTTCTCTAAACTAAAAAAGTCCGAAATGCTACATCCTTTTCTCATAGGGGAATTGCTCCATCCCATCGATCATTTCCCTTGCCCTTTTCTGACCCTTTTTTTCAATGGGTGTGCTGTGAGTAGGACTTAGTTCAATCAACCCAAGGTTTTTTGGAAGTACTATAAAATTTGGTGAACTGGGGGAGATGCTTGGTTGGAAATAATCTAGATAGAATTTTTAAGAAGCAGATTTTGTTGTTGCTCCAGCAAAATATTGTTGGATCTTTGTGGTTTAATTTGTTCCTCCTTTCCTTCTTGAAGGAAACCTGCTATGTGATGCTGAGCCCACACTGGGGCACTGTGCATCCCCCTTTTCCCCTCACTCCCCATGATTGAGGATCTGGTCATCTTTTGTATGAGCAAACCATGGGAAATGGCAGGTGAAATTTCTGGTTTGCAAAGGTAGATCTGAGAAGGCTTTTTTGGGTGTGTGTGTGAGGGAGAGTGGTAGCGGGGAGAAAAGGAGACTGTTACCTCTGACATTTCAATCAGTCCTGTGGTCAGCAGGGCCAGCTATTACAGAATTGCTGCAATTTGGAGGGTGAAAAGAAGAGGAGGGGCAGAAAGAACGGCTGTGCTGGAGGCTGTGACATTCCAGATGGGGGCTGGCATGGGAAGCCCCTCCATTATGAGAGGGTCTGGGTGGTAGTTCTATGTTTATTTGCCCTTCTTCAGTCTGTTTCCCAGATTTAAAGAAAAAATACACAGGAAGCTGCCTTAAACAGAGCCAGACCAGTGGTCCATCTAGTTCAATGTTGTCTGCACTGACTAGCAGAGGCTCCTCAGGGTTTAAGGCAGGAGCCTTTCCCCAGTCCGGCCTGGAGATGTTAAGGATTCAGCCTGCAGCCTTCTTGCAAGCAGAGCATGCACTCTGTCACTGAGCTGTGGTCTTTCACGTAAAAAGCTTCTAGTCCTCATTGTTCTAAACAGAGGGCTGAATTAAATAGGAACATAGAGAACTGTCTTACTCGGGGCTGTGCTTTCTAGACACAGGTCTGTGTCCAAGCAGTTTTTTGTGGGTTGTTGTTGTTTTGTCCCATAACATTCTACCGCCATGTTCAGAGGCAGTAATGGTTTGGAATGCCAGTTGCTAGAAACCACAGGAGGGGAGAAGGCTGTTGTGCTTGAGTCCTGCTTGTGGTTCCCCACAAACATCTGAGTGGCCAGTGTGAGAACAGAACACTGTGCTAGATGGGTTGCTGGCTTGATCCAGCAGGCTCTTTATTTTCTTACGAAGTCTCTTGGACAACATTTGACCCAGAACAGGTCCTATCGTTTGCAGCTTGCCCTGAGCTTTTGCAACAGGGTGGGAACATACCTCCGGAGAATCAAAGTTGAGTGCCAGCATACAACACCTCTTCTTTTAAATAAAAAAAGCCATTTAAGTTTTTATTTTTAATTTTAAAAAACCCAACCCTCACATCCGTGCCCACTCCAGGCTTATGATGTTTTCCATTCTAAGAACAGAAACCATTTGCAAGATGATAAATAAACCATTTAGGCAAAGAGAACATTTTTTTTTTTTAAAAAAAGCATTTTCTTTCCTAAAAAAAATTAAAATAAACACAGGCCAAATAACAATATTGCAGATCACAGAGGACTCCACTCAGCAGAGGGAACCTGCTGGAGGCCAGGCTTTCATGCCCCTGTCTTCCTTAAACACCTAATTATTGTAACTAGTCTCTCTGAATTTAAGGCAATTAGCGGTTGTCATTTCCCTCCCCCCCTCGCAAAATCCCCCTCCCCTGCTCCCCATCATGCTGTGGGAAAGGTGGCACGGCAAATGCGAGAGACTTCCCCCGTTTTGTTCTCTCTCGCTGCCAGGTAGAAGCCAGGTGTTGGAAATCTTGCCATCTCTCCCACGGTCCCTCCACTGCGAGGATTAGGAGTGGAATTACTCTTACAAAGTGAGAAGGTGACTAAGAAAGGGGGCAGTGTCCCGTTGAATAGGAAATTTGCTTTGAAGGGGCAGATGGGGGCCAGGAATAGTGGATGGAGAAAAAGGGAGAAGGGTCTTTTAAGGAAGCGATTATGTTGAACTGGGGGTGGAGGTGGGGTGGAAGATTTTAGGCCCAAGGGCCTCTTTGACTTCCAGAGAGCTTTCCGGGGGCCATGTGCTGGCGGTGGGCAGGGCCAGAGGCAAAAACAAGTGAAACAATTTTGTTTCATATATAACAACAAAATAATACTGTGGCGGTACCTACGAAAGGCTGGCTATTGATACATTTAATAGTAATCATAATGATTAATTTACCTGCAAGGTCACCTTAGCTCACCTCTACCCAGTCAGCTACTTCAATCAGTGGAACTGGAACTTTTCCAGGTGCCTCATAACGCCCATTCTGCATCTGTAAGAGATCAATCTTTTAGCCTGATGGCATCTGCCCTTTGGAACTCTCTGCCTTTTGACATCAGGCAGCATACCCTCCAACATTTCCCTGAATGCATAGTATTCTATGCTTATCTATCTGGATAATAAAATAATCCTGTGTCTGAGGTTTGCATTTCAGTGAGTAGGTGTCGGCTCGCATGATGAAGCCTAGTCTTCCTGCCCACATGCTAGATTTCTAGGTGCAGGGATTTATTTAAATGACTACACCAGAGTATTCCATGGTGTAAATCCCTTCTTGCAGTTGCAGTCTGTATTAACCCAGGCACAGGTTGACCACCTTTGATTCAATGCAATTATAAAAGCAAGTACAGTGTGACCTAGGCAAACATGTTTTGCTCACTGCATCAGCACTTGTAGCCAGCTGCGAATGAAAAGCCGAGGGCGGCGGGAAGGGAGCCACCTGTGTGTAAGTGAGAGTGCAAAGGGATTAAAGGGATAAACTGTTCTGATCACCAAAAACAGTGAAATAGGATAGTTCTTTAATCCTCTCTCTGTTCCTCTGGCAGTGTTATGGTCTAACTGGCATCAGGGGTAGAAACTAATCCAGGGCAGCTTTCAGGAAGAGGACAGTCTTTACCATTAAGAAAATGGACTGGTCCTACCGTTGATGAGAGAGGAAATTCCTGCAAGCAACCTTGGAGAGCTGTGTGCAGTCAGTGCAGACAATTATGAGCTAGCTAGATAGACCAGTGGCCTGAATCAGGATAAGGTACCTTCTTGTGTCCTGTGTTTCCCAGGGTCTGAACTCCCTCCCACCAGAGGGCTGGTGACAATGGCAAGAAGGCAGCTCAGGGTAGACAGATGCCCCCTCAGCCATGATCTGTAGGGAAAGGTGAGACTGTCCCCCCCTTGCTTGAGTGACGGCATGAGGTTACTTGATATATGAAAGAGATGGGGAAGGGAGTCCACCTGGGACAGATGGGTCCTGATCTCCAACCCGATAAAGACCCCTGAGCTCTGAAGAGAACCCTCTGTGAAAAGTTCACTTGCTCCAAAAGGCCTTATCTCTTCGGAGTCAGGAAGCCCAATTATCATGTTCAGTTTTACCTCCAAGACAGCAGAAGTACAACAGATTGGAGGGGGGGGCGGGGATAGCACCACCAAGGGATTCTGTTTCAAAGGTAACTTCTTGATGGCGGAGGAAGAGTCTGTGTCTGTGGTTGGGACTGAGGAACAAATATTTGGTGCAACTGCATTTGGGAAACTGTGTACAGTTCTGGTCACCTCACCTCCGAAAGGATATTGTAGAATATGGAAATGTTCAGAAAAGAGCAACCAACATGATCAAGGCGGAATGGAGTGACTCCCCTTATGAAGAATGGTTGCAGCATTTGAGATTTTTTTTAGTTTAGGCAAAAGTGGCTTAACAGTCAATCTCTCTTCCCAGGGAATTCTGGGAATTGGAGCTCTGTGAGAAGAATGTGGGGGCCTCCTAACACCTCTCAGCATCCTTAACAAACTACATTTCCCAGGATTCCTTGGGGGAAGCCATGACTCTTTACATTTTAAGCATTTTCATTCCGCTTTGAATAGGCATGGCTTTCCCACAAAGAATTGTGGGGTCTGGAGTATTTTTTATTAGTTTGTATATATTAGTATTGTTAATTGTTTAAATTATTTTTATTATGTATTTTATGCTTTTATATTGTAACTTTGTGTTTGTGAACTGCCCTGAGACCTACTGGTATAGGGTGGTATACAAATTTTAATAACAACAACAACAACAACAACAACAACAATAATAATAATGCTGAGCATTGTTAGGAGATCCCTCTTCAGAGTTTTTAGGAGATCCCTCTTCCCCGCACATTTCCCAGAGTTCCTTGTGAAGAAGGAGTGATTGCTAAATCACTCTGGGAAGGGAATAGGGGTCTCCCAGCAATGCCCAGCACCCAGGATTCTTTGGGGAAATTCATGCCTGTTCAAAGTCCTGTGGCTAGAAAGCACAGGTCCGAGTGGTTTTCTACTTGACCCGTGCTTTCTAGGCATGGGTCTGAGTGGTTTTCCCCTTGCCCTGCTCCTTTCCCATGGAAAACTTGCTCTTTTAGTGCTAAATCAGAGCAAACATCCACCCAGAGAAAATCTCAATTGCCATTTGCCATTTGGTTTCCACAGGGAAATATGGCTTGAGAAGGCTTTGTTTCCTGTCTTCCGATTCCAATCCTTGATCGTCTCCAGCTCTAGGTCCAAATTCTGTCCAAGCTGCTCCTGTTCCTCTTGTGAGATTGAATTTGTTGCTGGTGCTCCTGTTCCCCTGTGTAGGCAGGAGGCCTTGCCCGTGGAAATGCATACCCACCTGAATGCTTTCTGCCATCTGTTCCAGGCACTGCAGCTGCCTGGTTTCAGGTGATTCCCCCCAGATGGTCTTTGGTAATGTTACATGTATATTAATGCTGATTTCCAAGATTCTGCCTCTTTGTCATGTTCCAACAGTGACCTGCAAGGGTTTTGGAAATGTTGGGAGAGACAGAAGGTGTCTCCATTACTTTGGCATTCCTCATTTCTTTCCTGAATGTGATTTGTGGAGTTGGGAGCAACTCAATGCTCCCAATTTCAGAAGCTGAGGCAAAGGTTTTGGAGATTGGTGAAGAAAGATGGATGGGGGTGGGGTGAAGAGTGGAAAAGATGGGGGCAACAGAAACTGCTGACCACTGCCCTATGTGGCAAGTTGCATCACTGCAGCTTGTCACGTGAAGAGCTGGGAACGGCTGGCTCCCTTCTGGCTAGCCTTATCACTGCAGTTTCTCAGCAAAGAATGTTACTGGCTGACTTCACTGAGGTTGGCTATTGACTCCTCCTAGGCAGGGAGAATTAACAGGGTTTCTTGCCTCAGTGGCAATTCCTGACAAGCTTTATTTGACTTCAAGCATGTGTGTTGTTATGCATTCAGTGGTCTGTGTTTGCCTGAGCTTGACTCAGGACTAAGGATTCTGAGCTCCTGTATTTTGATTCGATATATGTTGTCCAATCACAGAACATTTCAGGATTTGGGCCTCTGCCATTGGCCCTTGAACTCTTGAGTCATGATTCGCAATATGGAAGTGTAGATAGCCAATCACATTGGGAGTGGCCCAGGCTTTCAGAAATGTATATAAGTAGTTGCTTTGCCTCTGTTTCCCAGTTATGTAAAGGTTCTTGATGCTATCACTGTGTCTTGCCTCATGGGAACTCACCTACACTTCATGTGTCTAACATTGCTCTTCAGATCCTTCAGTTGTGGTTGCTTTTCAGTCCTGACCTCTGGTTCTCAGCTCTTGACTTCTTCCCACCATCCAGCACTGGCAGGATGTCAGGACCCTCCCTATGTTCCCTAAATCCATGCCTAGCTTCCCTGCAATATGAGTAGTTACCACTGGTGGACGTAGATTCTTGCATTGCAGGGGGTTCTATGATCTAAAGTTCTGTGGGTCTAATTGTTTTTACTCAAGGAGTGAGAGCAGAGGTAGAATACCTCTGTCCTGCCTGGGGGCCAAATGTGGTTCTGCATATCTCTTTATCTGGCCCTCATGACACTCCCCAGGCCACACTTTTTCAGGCCACACCCTTCACTGGCTCTGGTCTACAACCTTCTGGTGTTTCACTAGGGAAGCTGCAGCAATGCAGCACACCACATGTGGCAGTGGCCCGCAGTTTCTTGCTGGAATGTGTCCTTGAATTGTGATAATGCCTCTTGCTTTTTTTTCTTTTTTTTTTTTGGATGGAGAGGGTATGTTTTGAGATACAGAAATTATAAACTTTTGTATGGCCGAAATACAACCCATTGTAAAGAAGTGTCATATGTGTTCTCTGTCCAGGTAAGTGTCATATGTGTTCCTCTGTCTCCAGGGCTGCCAGAAACCCTGGAAAGCCACTGCCAGTCCATGTACATAATACTGTGCTTGATGGACCAGTGGTCTGACTCAGTAAAAGGCAGTTTCCTATGTGATCAACAAGGGTGAAGTCCTGTGTTATCTGTGTAGCTCAGCAACATATGGAGGGCCAGAGCTTGAAGTTGGGCCACCTTATTTAAGGTAGTAAAGGAAGCCAAACCCTCCACACACAACCTGAAGTGTTTGCTTCCATGGGAACATGAGGCTAGCATGGGATGCAGACAGTATCCAACGCAAGCAGAGGGCAGGTGACACTAGGACCTCGGACAGCTCCATTGGTGCTGAAGATGTTTCTCTGCTGGGAGCTAATATCAACTGAAACTTTATGTGGATTGATCAGATCTTGAGTGTGATAAGCTGCCTTGTGCAGGAGGAGGTGACTAGATCATAAAAGCCAATGAAGCTGAGTATCGGAAGACTTGGGACAGATAGAAGGAAGGACTTCTTCACACAGCACATGGTTAAGCTGTGGAACTCACTCCAACAGGAGGCAGTGGTGTCCACCAACTTGGATGGCTTTAAAAGAGGATTAGACAAATTTATGGAGGATGCAATTGGTATCTAAAAGCCACCATGGCCATGCTCTGCTTCCACAGCTGAAGGCAGCAATGCTAGTTGGCCACTGTGACAGCAGGACGCTGAACTAGATGGGCCACTGGACTGATCCAGCAGACTCTTCTTACATTCTTATGTTCTTATGAAGGTGCCACTGATGACTTTCAGCCTGTCTGTTCTCCTTTTCTGCTGCAGGTTTCTGGTACAGCCCAGAGTGTGACTACATCCGCCACTGCATTGTCCAGTCCCAAGAACTTGTGGAAGGGACCGTTCAGGTCTCTGTCCTGAAAGGCAAGGTCTACATTTTGGGAAGGGAGTCCACACAGTCCTTGTACAATGAGGAGCTAGTGAGGTAAGCATGGTGAGGGTGGCCAGTGTGTCTCAAATCCTCAGTGTATTAGGGACTTCCCTTGCATTTGAACAAGGCCATTAATGGGTCCAATGATTTCTACATTTGGGCATGTTAAATAGCGTTTTATTTCATTCAAAACGTTATTTTCTCCACTAAATCCAGAGAAAAGGAAATTTACTTAATTACATAAACAAAAAAACAAAAAATAAAAACAGAAAAACATAAAGTAAGGTAAAACATTTAAGAATGAATTCAAAGCAGTGTAAATCCACAATATGTTACTCATATGGTATTTAAAACCATTTTTACAGTTGCAAAACAAAAGAAATGTTACCTGAAATTGAAAAAAAAATGATAAAGCATAGCCCCGGAACTCAGATTCTAATGAGAGGGGTGGGACTGTTTTGATTCACACAATGTGGCTGTATCTGGTTGAATCTGAGACATCTGCAACCGAATACCAGGCTCTGCATTAAGATGAGAGTTGTATTTTGTTTTAGTAGCCACATAGGTAGAGAACCCTGATTCACATAACTAAATTGTTGCAAAGGGCAGGATTATTTTTGCTTTATCTGATGAAACTTTAAATTCATCTTTTAGCTGACCCCAAAATTCTGATAGTGATTTCTTAGTTTCAAAATTATCTTTTATCGCAGAATCTGATGTCAAATTGATCAAGCACTCCTACTGTTGCAGTGACAGACGTACTGGCTTTTCTGACACAGCAGAGTATGTGTTTACAACCCAAAAAATTTCCTTAATTTTTTCATGGAGTACTTCCATAAAATAACAGTTGAAACTATCGAGCAAACTTAGCAGGTGATTGTGAAACTCATGGCATGTCAGAATCTAGTTCTTCTCTAAATACTTTTACCATTTGGAAGCTGTCTAGATTTCAAATTTTCATTGATTCTGCCCAAAACTTGATTTTCTTTTAAAGGCTTGTACAGTGGTACCTCCGGTTGTGGATGAGATTCGTTCTAGAGCTCTGGTCAGATCCCAAGGTTTCTGCAACCGGAGGTGCCTGTTCTGCGCATGCACACGACACAATAAAGTGCTTCTGAGCATGCACACAGCATGGTAGAGTGCTACTGTGCATGTGTGTGCAGCGAAACCCAGAAATATACTTCTGGGTTTGCCATGTGCATATCTCAAAGGATATGTAACAAGAGGGGCACATAAGCAGAGGTACCACTTTATCACTAGCATTAAAAAAAAAGTTATTTCTTTTCCTTGAAGTGAGAGACTTAAGTCATTAACTTTTTTATAAAAAATCTGTTAAATATACCAATTTTATGAGCCAATGCTCCTCACACAACCTGTCTCCCAAAGCAAAGTGTTCATCTGACTTTGAAATGAGAAACTTCAGCCCTCATTTCAAAGAGTTGAGTCAAAGTTTTGCCGTGAGAAATCTACCTTACTTCTGTGTGAAGAAGTGAAGATGTGTGCAGACTCCCCATGTCACCACACAACATTTTGAATAGCCTTGTATTCTTAGGTAATGATTTGATAAAATTAATTACTTTCATGTTCATTATCCCATGGGATGCCCTTCAATGTGAAAAATTCATCTATTAAGTTGAAAAAATTCAACTTAGTCAGTAACGGCTTGCAGAGAAGCAGATTCTCTTGAAAAAGACTTCAAGTAATGGTAGTGCACAAATACTGTTGGAATTGCTAACACGGCCACATCCATTGAGTCATCCATTTGAAGCTAAAATTCAGTGCATTTTATTTGTGAGAGTAAAGTAGCTTTCACATCCTCCACTAAGTCCCCAATTCTTCACAAGATTGAATTATTTGACAAAGGAGCGTCATACCTTTTCCATCCAATATACCTTCAACTATGTCTTTACACAAGGCTTGATAAGGTTTTCAGAGATGGTATGGGCTTCGCCAGCTTGGGCAAATTGGTAACTGACTAAGTATGACCACCATCAAAGCCTTTTCGTTAACTGTTTTAAAGTGGTAGGATATGATTTTCTGGGCTTGTGTAAGTTCACCATACTTCCTTCTGAAGAAATCGGCCTGTTTGGTCTTGCGTTCTGGACAGACCCAACCCCTCTCAAAATGACAACACATTTTTTCTGGCAACATGGCACTGCGTGGAGACACTTTACCGCAAATTCCGTACTCTGGTTTGTTGCCACTGGTCTCCACAGACCCAATACCCAAGTAAGAATTGTGGTTCTTCCTTTCCCCTGTGGCACCGGACTCTGAAGTACTAGGGCTAGGCAGCTGGTTCAACATTTCAGGAGGTTGTAGATTTGACTTTTAAACAAGACCTGCATTTCAGATGGGAGTCTTTTGGAGCCCTACCAGGAGGTGCCACTGGGGATTGAACTTGGGACCTTCTGCATGCAAAGCAGCTGCTCAACCCCTGAGCTACAGCTCAGCTCCCTGACTCAAGGAATCAACACTCCTTACACCCCCTGTGCTAAAAGTGGAGGCAGAGAAAGTTTCCCCACAGACATAACCCATGAATAACTTAGGAGCAAGTACTTCATCTAACCTGTTTTTTTTAAATAATAATAATAAATAAATAAATTAAGCAAAGGTCTTGTTTAAAAGTCAAATCTATTTTTTTCTTCCCCACATTGCACTTTCCCCCTCTTTTATTCTGCTGTCTGCCTCTCTCTCACGACTTCCCCCACCCCTCCTCTCAGCCCCTTTCAATCCTTCTAAACACTTTATAAGCCATAAATATACCCAAATCAGTTTAGATCAGTCAGAGTAAATGTCAAATTATCCTCTTCCCCCCATATCTCGGCTTCTTTCCCTCCCTCCCTCTTGAAATCAACAGCTCCTAATAATCCGTCCCCCAACCTTTCATTATCGTTTGCATTCTCATGCGGTGGAGATTAAATGAATAACGTTTTTTAAGAAGAGAGAGGGGTTTTTTTATGGGGGAGCCAGAGATGGGAGGTAAAAAAACAGAGAGAAAGTGAAAGAGAGGGGGGTTTGAAACAGGAGCACTTACTCCCAGTGTGTCTTTAGCCCATTACCCCCCTCCCCCTGTTCCTTTTTTTGATTTCTACATCACTGGTTTGAAAAGCGTTTGAGTGACGGCATGGCGGGGACCCGCGAGGGAGCCGAACGAGGTGCATCGCAGCAAAAATGCCTCCGCGCAGTAGGTAGAAAGTAACGTAATTATAGAGCAGGTCAGAACCACTCGGCTGAGCAAAAATAAAAGCGCAGAGGTTTTTCTGCAGCCCGTCAGGGGAGGTAACATCATTGTAAACTCTCTCTCTCTCTCCTCCCCCCCCCCCAATAATAAAAAGGGTTGTTTTTTCTTTGCAATTTTTAGAAAATGAACAGAGTTATATGTGTGGGGTGTCTCTCTCTCCCCACCCCCTTTGCAGAGGCAAGAAACTAGCTCATTTGGGGTTTTCGTACTGAGGCATACACTCCATATGTTAAACGCACATTTAAAGTGCATATCTCATCCACTCTGATGAATCCTGGGAACTATGGTTTGTTGTGGGTGCCTGGAAAGGGAGCTCCGTGTAGGATAATCAACAGTTCCCAGGAGTCTTTAGGATGTTTGTTTTAAATGCTTGATGTATACGCAAACATTTAAAGGATATTTAAAGTGCACTTCCTTCTCACCCTGAAGAATAATGAGAACTGTGGTTTGTTGTGTGTGCTGGGCATGAAAGTTCTGTGTGGGATAAACTATAGTTCCTAGGATTCTCATGGGGAAGATTATATGTATGGTATGTACAGGGACATTCAAAGCACATTTACCTATCCATCCTGAATAATTCTGGGAACTGTTGTTTATTATGGGTGCTGGGAACTGGAGCTCTGGGGTAAACTACAGTTCCCAGGATTCATAGGGGTTATTGTTTTGAATGTATGGTGTGGACATGGACATTTAAACCATGTTTACCACCCTCCCCAAAGAATCTTGGAAACTGTGGTTCATTATGGATGCTAGGAATGGAAGTTCTCTGTGGAGTAAACTACAGTTCACGGATTCTTTGAGTGGGGTGCATTAAATGTTTGTTGCATACACAGACATTTAAAGGATATTTAAAGCAGATTTCTCACCCACATTGAAGAATCCTGGTAACTGTAGTTTGTTGCAGGTGCTGGGAACTGGCAGGGTAAACTCCAGTTCCCAAAGTTCTTGGGGTTCTTTAACATTATTTATTTAATATATGTATAACCCCTCTTTCTCCCAGCTTGTGATTCAATGTGGATTAATGTGTGGTGTATACACAGTCTTATTCTCACAGTTATTAAAGCCAAGTGTGTTTTCTTTTAAAATACAGTGGTACCTCGGGTTAAGAATTTAATTCGTTCTGGAGGTCCGTTCTTAACCCGAAACTGTTCTTAACCTGAGGTACCACTTTAGCTAATGGGGCCTCCCACTGCCGCTGCGCCGCTGGAGCATGATTTCTGTTCTCATCCTGAAGCAAAGTTCTTAACCCGAGGTACTATTTCTGGGTTAGAGGAGTCTGTAACCTGAAGTGTCTGTAACCTGAAGCGTCTGTAACCCGAGGTACCACTGTAATTATGTCGGCCTGTTAGGAACTCATTCAGAAAGCAATGCCTCTTAATAGATCAGGGACTGTGTGACCCTCCCTGTATTGAGGGACTCCAACTCCCATAATCCATAGCAAGCTCAGCCAGGGGTCAGGGACATAGGAGTTGTAGTCCAGCTACATCTGGGGCCCCAAGCAAATCCAGCGAGGCTGGAGGCCAGGACCTTGGACAGAGCACAGAGCACAGCTCAAATGTTGCTTCAGCAACAGGCAACCTCAGACAGAGCCTTATATGAGCTTGTCCTGTCTCCACTGAGAGATGTATCTTCTGTTAAAGAGGACTAGCCTGCTTCAACTGCCAATTATTCCAGGGGTACAGGGAGACTGTGGTTCTGCTGGGGCTTTGGGGGTGAGGTTTTTGGAGTCAGAGGAGGACAACGTGACCTCCTCAGGCTGGAAACATGCTGTCAAGATGGACTTATCTGGAGCTATCCAGGGCTGGCTCTGGGAACCATACCTTCTCCAACCACCATACCTTGTCTGAATCCATGACCTCATCCCCTGAAAATGTGCAGGTGGACCACCAACGTTCAGCTTCATCGGGTGTTCCTGAGTTCTTTTGCTAGGAGAGGGAAAAAATGCAACCTTTCCTTATCTGCTCTATCCACACCGTGTATGATCTTATGCGCCTCAGTCTTGTGGGTGTATGTATGTGCATGCAAGGACTGAACCCTCAAATCAGCTTTCGGAATATATGTTAAAGCAATAAAATCTCACGGTGGCAGCAGCAAGCAACAGCATGTAGCACTTTCAATTAAAAGCAAATGCCTTACTCAGGTGATTGCTTTGTCAAAATCACGATCCCTGCCAGTGTTTCCATTTTTGTCCTGCCCCTTCTGGAAACTGAAACTGCTGTGTCGGATAATGAAGAGCTATAATGGCCATTAATCCCCAATCCTTGTTTTCCAGTTCCATATTTAACAATTAAAATAATTAACAGGGTGTGATTAGAGCCCCCTGATTATGCCATGGTTGCAATGAGCCCCTTGACGTCCTTTGCCCAGCTCTTAGTGCTGAGACAATCTGCGGATTAGGCAAAATGAGCTGATAAGATTCAAGGCCATTCCTCAGCAGGGGAAAAAAGATCCCATGCATGCTGTAAACTAGCAGATCAGGCCCAGAGAGCTATGGCAACGCTTCATGCTCTGCTACTGTACTAATTAAAGGGTTTGTGTTTCATTTTCTTTCTTTCTTTTAACATCAGGAAGCATTATGTATTTTTTAAAAAAATATGATTTAACACTTAGGAAGTGCTTGCAATTTGCTAAGTGCCATGCAGGTATTAAAAGATGAAGGCGTCTCTGATCGCAGGCTTACTACTGACTAGTAGACAAGTGGAATTAAGAAATCAAGAGTTGGAGCAGCTCCACCATTATAAGCGGTATTGCCTATGGATACCAACTGCTGGGAGTTGCTTGGGGGAAGAATATTGCTGTTGTGCTCAGGTCCTACTTCCTGGCTTCTCATCATGGGCATTGGATTGGTCACCAAATCCAGTTAACAATGCTGGAAGAGATGAGCCTGCAAGTTTCTTACATTTAGCTGGTCCTTCATTGACTGGTGGATGGGGGCCAAGTGGCTATCCCTTTGCCATGATGTTTTCCCTGGAGGTGCTAACTTCCAGTGTGGCCCTTGAACCCCTGGCTAGCAGCAGAGGCCAAAATGTGCCTCCCTTCAGACTTAAAATATGATGTGATTATTATTATTTTTAAAATGCAGCAGAGTATTGAAAACTACATTTAAAGGCAAGCTTTTGTTTTTTCCCACGTGGGAGCACTCAAAACACAACTCTCTTAATTGCAGATTTTGCTGCTTTTTTACATGACAAAGTATTCAGTATTCTGAATTATTTGTGTTTATTTATTTTACAAAGGAGAGTATTTAAAATTCATGTTTCTAATTACAGGTTTGTTTTATGTAAGGGAACATTTTATTTTATTTTTTAAAGAGAATATTTAAAGAAGTGTAACCAATTGGATTCTGCTCAGAGTAGATCCGATGAAATTAATGGACCTAAATTAGTTATGGTCAATAATTTCAGTTGGTCTACTCTGAGTAAGACCACTATTGGATACAACCCAGTATTTTAAATCCTGCTCTTTGGCCAAAAAAGGCTCTCGGAGAAGGTCACTAAAAATAGACAGTCCCTGTCCGCAGGCTTATGCTCTTAAACAAAGAAAAGACACAGCACCAAAGAAAAAAATGAATTGGCCGGAGGAGGAAATGAGCAAAGTTTTGTACCAGTTCTCAGTTACAAGTTCCTTTAATGACCAGCTGCTGCGGCAAAGTCCGAGAGGAGAGGCCAAAAGCTGCTCATTTCTTAGCTGTGCCAATGGAATGGTTCTGCTTCTCTTCCCTTCTCTGTAGCAGTCTGATGGAATACCTGCTGCTATTAATGGATCTGATGGAGGCTTCTCAGCAGAAAATATTCTGTCTTTTTGTTGTTGTTGTTGTTGTTGCATGGAAGAGGATTTGAAATGATGATGTAAGAGCATAAGAAGAGCCTGCTGGATCATGCCAGTGGCCAGTCTAGTCCAGCCTCCTGCTCTCACAGTAGCCAACCAGGTACCTGTGGGAAGCTTAAAAACAGGGCCTGAACAAGTTGAGCTGGACTCCAACTCCCATCAGCCTCTGCAGCCACCATGGCCAATGGTCAGACACGTCCAGAGTTGTAGAACAGCAACGAAGTGGTTTAACAACCAGTTCCTCTCCACGTAGAACTCTGGAAATTGTAGCTTTGTTGGGGGGGCATATTTCCTAACAACTCCCAGCACCCATAGCAAACTAGAGCTTCCAGAATCCTTTAGGGGAAGCCGTGACTGCTTAAAGTGGTATTATAGTGCTTTGAATATATGGCGTGAATGTGACCTTCATCATAGCCATTAACTTCATTGGGTCTACTCTGAGTAGGACTAGGGTTGGTGCCAACCCTTAGCCTTCAGCCTTACCATACACACATAGTATCATTTTCTTAGGGCTGCCATACATCCGGAATTTCCCGGACATAGCCGGGATTCGGCCACCGGAAACAGTGCCCCAGGAGGAAAACGCTTAGATGTCCAGGAAAATTCAGGCATATGGCAACCCATTGTCAGAAGTGTAGATTTTTTTTAAAAAGAGAGATTTAGAAACTTTGGGCAAAAAGAAAAAGAAAAAAAAAGCTCCACAACTTTGCCCCAAAACTCAATAACTTTTGTGTTGAGATTTTGACTTTTTGAAATTTAGTTTTCAGAGGGAACAGCATTCCTAGCTCTGCCCTGGACCTCAAACATCTGCTATGGGGTCAAACTAAGAGGCTGGTCTCAAGGTGAAACACCCACACTGACACCCCCTCCCCACATTTTGCAAAGTAAACCATCCTCTTGCAGTTGAAGTGATGCGGGGAGGTGGGAGAGAGGAAAAATGGGTTGCTTTGGAGACTTTGGGGGTGCCAAGCCATTGTAGAGTATCTTTTATTGCTTTCTAATTAATGGGACTGTGCTTGGTTTAACAAAGGGGTATTTCTGAGCACCTTTAATGGGGCTCCTGGTTTTTGAGATAGAAGTTGCAGGGAAACAGATCACTGGTAAGGTAGGGGACTTAAGCTCATGGAGGGGGCTCCCCTCTCTGCAGAAGCTCAGAGCCTTTGATTCTGCAGTTGAAATAGGAAACAGAGAGGGCTTTGTCACCCAGCTTGGACTCCAGGACAACCACATTCTGCCTCCCACAGTGCACTGCAGCACCTGGGGTCATTTTGGGAATGTGTGTCTGAGTGTGTGTGTGTTAAATATGTTATTTTGGGTTGTCAAGGCTGCGTTCTTTAACTGATGGGGGTGGTAAACCTCAGGCACCCAGGGGACAATTACAACCCTCTAAACCATGGGTAGGCAAACTAAGGCCTGGGGGCCGGATCTGGCCCAATCGCCATCTAAATCTGGCCCATGGACTGTCCAGGAATCAGCGTGTTTTTACATGAGTAGAATGTGTCCTTTTATTTAAAATGCATCTCTGGGTTATTTGTGGAGCCTGCCTGGTGTTTTTACATGAGTAGAATGTGTGCTTTTATTTAAAATGCATCTCTGGGTTACTTGTGGGGAATTGGAATTTGTTCATTATTATTTTTTTCAAAATATAGTCTGGTCCCCCACAAGGTCTGAGGGACAGTGGACCGGCCCCCTGCTGAAAAAGTTTGCTTACCCCTGCCTTAAGCCTCTCTATGTGGCCCTAAGAACTCCTGAGGCCACACCCCTCACTGGCCCTTTAGAGGCTCCCCCCCCAAGTGTTTTTGCTCAGCTGGAACATGTCCTTGAACTGGCAGCATATGCACCATACACTTAAAGTTCATTTAAAACACGTTCCATACCTGCAAAGAATCCTGAGAACTGACCTGAAGCTACAGTTCTCCGGATTCTTTGCAGTGGAAAAAACGTGTTTCAGAGGTATGGCACATGCACATCCAGTGCCCCTTGCTTCTCTGGATGAATAAAGCGTAGAGAAGAGGTATGTGTGGAAACAAGCCTAGTGTACAAAATTAAAATTTACGTTTGTTTCTCTGCACACTTTTGCCTCTGCTCCTGCCCACCACTGGCATGTGGCCCCTTGAAGGTTGCCTAGGAGGGAATGTGGCCCTTGGGCTGAAAAGGCCTCCTTGTCCCTTCTTTAAACATCTCATTGAATCATAGAAATGCAGAGTTGGAAGCAATGCCAAGGATCATCTAGTCCATCTCTCTGCAATGCAGGACTCTCAGCTAAAGCATCCATGACAGATCACACACACACATACCTATCCTGGTCTCTAGAAGTTGTGCGGGATGCCTGCCTTTCCACCGCTGAAAGCCAACCTTGGCACTGCGTTACAGTCTTTATTATAGCCACCAAATCATTCTTTTGCCTTTCCTTCCTGCAGCATGGATGTCCAGGGCGATTATGAGCCATCAGACGCTACTGGCTTTATCAACATTAACTCCCTTCGGTTTGTATTGAAGCGTTATAGTTTCAGAAGCCTGCCAATGTTCTAGGCAGATGCTTTATACCATTAGTCTATCTAGCTCAATATTGTCTGCACTGACTGGCAGCAGCTATCCAGGGTTTCCGGTAGGGGGCATTCCTAGCCCCAACTGGATATGCTGTTGGGGATTGAACCCAGGGTCTTCTGCATTCAAAGTGCCCTTCCCCTAAAATAAGGTTGCCACACCCCGAAAGCTTTTTTTAGGAAGACCCCCTACCTTAAATGAAATAAGGTTCCTCAGGGTTCTGAATTAAAGTAGGAACCCAGGACAGTGTCATCTACTTAATCAGACCACTTTGTCAATATAGCTCAGTATTGTTATACTAGCAGCCACTAGTCTCCAACCCTACCTGGTAATTCCTGCCTTTTCCTCTTCCTACCCAAGGTCTGCCACTCAGCTGGGTGGGTCGCAGGGCCCCTGTAGACATTTGCCCCCAGCAGTGGAGATGGAGCCTGGGGTGGCTTCTACCCTGCCCAGATGTGGGACATGGGGTCTCCTTAGAGGAGGAGCAGGGAGGAGAATGGGGACAAAACTAGAGTGAGTTGGCTCCAACTCTCATTGGCTCTGGCTCCACCTCCTCTTTGGTCTCCCTACATTTCACCCTGACAGTCTCAATAGCCACCAGCCCTTACTGGCATGGCTGAGTTCTTCCATTTCAGAGTGGCTGGGGGCATCACATGCTCCCCAGTAACGAAAGATTTCCTTACATACAGAAAAACCTAACACCCCATGCAAAAGACTGCATTCCTCCCTAATTCATTGGACTTCTGCATGCAGTATGCCTTCATCTTACAGTCATGAATTCTATAAAGGAGAGAATCAGATGGCCCTAACTGTTTAGCTAATGGAACTTTCCAGGAACAGAAAGCCCAGCTTCCAGGAATAGAAAGCCCAGCTAATTAATGCTATCCGCAATCATCTATTTTGTTTTGGGTTTTTACATAATCTGTCCTATGCACACACCCTTCTGAAATCGGAGAGGGGGTAGAGAGACACAGTTACCTAATAGCCTCTTTTGCCCCTTCCCTCCCCCAGTAGCAGTCTGTTAACTTATTTGTCCTGTGCATTAATGTACACTGTTCCCCCCCCCCTTTGGATAAATTAATTATACAATGATGAGTTTTCCAGCAGCAGACAGGAAAATTTAGAAAAACTCACATATCACCTTGCACTTATTACCCCCTCCCCGCTCGTTTCATTTATTTGTCTCAACTTTGCCCAATACTAATTTTAATTCAGAAGGAATTTCTCTCACGTTCTCTTTCTTTCTGTTGGTTTCCAGGCTGAAGGAATATCATCGACTACAACGCAAGGTCAAAGCACAGCAGAAATAATATAATGGGTGGGGTGGGGGCTGCAGGCTTTTTCTTTTCCCACCCAGCTAACACACCTATGTGCCACTCACGGCTAATTGCAGTAGTAATTGGTAATAGTTACTCATCTCCCTGTGCCTTGAGGGATCCCACAATGGTTTTGTTACAGTCTTTTAGTGGCATCAATGAAATGGAATCAAGAAAAAGGTGGTTGGTGGAAAGGCGGGAGCATCACCACGCCTGTCAGTTTGCACACGAATATGTTATTAAAATATCTGTGCCATTATTTCTGGAATCTTAATGAACGGGACCTCCTTTCTTTCTGTTTTGCTTCTCACTGTTTCCCTCACCCTTATTCAGCCAAGCTGTTTTGCCAAGCTTTAGTCTTTGTCCTTTCATACGAGTTTAAGTGCATCTGAAGGACATGCTGGATTGGGCTTGCTTTTTTTTTTTTTTGTGGGTGGGAGGGAAGAAACAGCAAAAGGAAAGAGGGCCCTGGACTCTACACAAGCCCATCACTCCACCTGTGGGGAGACTAAAGGGAAAATGGAATGGGGGTGGTTGAGGGAGGTGAAGAAATAAAATAATTTGTTCCATTTTGATCACCACTAAGAGCATTGCTTTCTTTGTCTTTGCATTAATTGCAACGAGGTCTGCTTTAATTTCACCCTTTAAAAAAAGTCCCTTTATTAAAATGAATTTCTCAATTTGTTTTTGCTTCCACCCCCCTCCCCGCCACCACCCACATCCCTACAGGGATGCTTCAGTTTGAAAATAAAAATCAAGGTAAAAAAGGATAGAGAAAAATGGAGAAGGTTGCGCAGTGGGGAAATGTGGAATTTTTCAATATTCCACTTGAAGCGTCAACTGTGGACTTGAACTGGTTCCAGAAGAGCTTGAAACATAGAAGGAAAAACCAATGAGAATTAGATTTGCTTGTGCTACTGTAAGGTACAAAAGTGTCTTTAGAGGAAAACTTATATCCTGCTCGGCAGATATTGAGCTTGATGTCACACAGCTGAAAGGGTGTAAAACCAAGAGAGAGTAATCTGTAGCCTTCCAGGTGTTCTTGGACTCAAGCTCCCATTGTCCCTGAATAGGGGTGGAAAGATTAGTCATTTCCAGTTCTCTCAGTTTCTCATTTTTCTGTTCTTAAATTCAGTTTTCCACAACGCTCAAATAAACAAATAATTCCTCATGAAAATTCATTAATGCTTTAGTGCAAATTTGTCTGTTTGACTCATGTACACATTTTTGCAAGCAATGTTCTTTAAGATAATGCATCTTTGTCTGCTAGTTTCACAAATGTATTTATTTTTATATACACTCTCCCCTTCATATACACATTTTGGTAAACATCAATTGTTTGGAGAACTGCAGATTTTGAAGGGTGTCTGTGTTTTGGTTTTCAATTTGTTTTGGAATTATGAAATTTCATCGATTTGCCTTTAAGTGTGAACTGAATCACTGCCATAGCCCTATGTATTAACTATCCTCCATAATTCATATTAGGGCAATACTTTTATTAGACCAGCTAAAACTCCAAAATCCATACACTTCAAAATTTCAAAGAGGTGGGGAGCAGGGGTTGCTCTTTATAAAATAATTTAGAGTTGGCTGAGTGGTGTATATTCTTGCTTGCATATTTTATACTAGCATTTCTGGTGTTTGATCGTTTCTGATAGTTCTTACAACCTGACACTGTCTAGCTGCCTGCAGAGTTCTCCTTTATAAAGCTGAACAACACTAAATGAAGGTTTGAAACTTAAAGCACAGCAGATGATGATTTTTTACTTTTTAAAATGACAACCAAAACAAAAATCCAAAGCTCCACAGGCAGCATTTTAGACAGCCTCACTTTTGGCAAACCCCATGGACCTACAGAAACAGAGAAGTAGGATAACATACAGTTATACAGGTACAAAAATGTACTGAAGCAATGCAAAGCTCCTCTGGACTTGGGAAGGGGGGTTGTGATCTGACTTTGGGAACATTTATTAACATCCTGCTTTGACTTGGTGAGGACTGAAAGCACCCTGAAAAATCTCACTTTGACCCCATACTTTACAAACCAGAACTGAAGAACAGAGGAACAATAAATTAGGGAAATCTCTTATAATCTGAACAGCCTCACTCCTTTGTCCGCCTCTCCCTACCGTTTGCTCAGTTTCATAAGACAGTGGTTCTCAAACTTTTTTCTCTGGGCCACACTTTTTCAGAATGAAAATTTGCTTGTGCAGCACCAATTTTTTTATTGAGAAGAAATACATTGAAAAACAAAAGCTAACAACTCCCAGCAGTGCTTAATCTTGAAAAGATATATATGCGTCTTCTGCAAATAAAACAATTATTTTAATACTACAGTGGTACCTCTGGATGCGAATGGGATCCGTTCTGGAGTCCCGTTCGCATCCTGAAGTGAACGCAACCTGCGTCTGCGCATCTGCGTGTGCATGGGTTACGATTTGCTGCTTCTGTGCATGCACGTGACATCATTTTGAGCGTCTGCACATGTGCGAGCGGCAAAACCCAGAAGTAACGCGTTCTGTTACTTCCGGGTCGCCGTGGAGCGCAACCCGACAATGCTCAACCTGAAGCAACTTTAACCTGAAGTATGACTGTATACCATACTGCAATGTTTACATGTTGCTTGGCCTTGAACCTTCCCACCACACTTGCCATCCTCTCCTGCCACACCAGGACCACTTCAGGAGCTGCTGAGATCTGCATGCTACTGTTAGGAATTGGAGTCAAGTGTAGCTCAGCAGTAAAAAACACAGTGTCAGTGAAGTTAACTTTTTTATTTTGTTATAATAATTTTTTAATTGATTTTCCACATTTTTAATATCCTCACAATATTCATTTTTCACCTCTACTTAATAGGTTCTTTTGAACCCTTGAACTTCCCTCCACCCCTCCATGGGTTCTTTCTTTACCCCATAATTAACTGCATCTTTTACATTTTCCAAAACATTATATAAATCATAAGTAAAATATAGCAGAATTTCACATTACAAGTATCTTCACATTCCTGCCAGTGTCTTTAAATTTTTACAGTGATCTTTTAAATAAAGTACAAATTTGTTCCAATCCTTTTCAAATGCTTGATCTTCCTGGTTTCGAATCTTTCTCGTCAGTTTCGCCATCTCCCCATAGTCCATCAGTTTCGCTTGCCACTCTTCTTTCAATGGCACTTCATCTTGCTTCCATTTCTGGGCTAGTCATACTGCTGCTGTTGTTACATACAAAAATAGTCGCTTGTCTTCTCTCAGTATCTCTTTACCTATAATACCTAATAAAAAGGCTTCTGTATTTTCTTTAGCTCATTATAAATCATCTCCCAGAAGTCTTTTACTTTGTCACATAACCACCACATATGGTAAAAAGTACCTTCTATTCCCTTACATTTCCAACATAAGTTTGAACTCGTTTTATACATTTTTGCAATTTTGCTTGGTGTTAAATACCAGCAATACATCATTTTCATAATATTTTCCTTCAGCGAGCGGCATGCAGTAAATTTCCTTTCTTCCTTTCATAATTTTTCCCAAGATGGCAACTGAATATTATATCCAAAATCTCTAACCCAGTGTATCATGACTGCCTTAACTTCTTCATCCTTTGTATGCCGTTCTAAAAGTAAGTTAAACATTTTTGATAATATTTTCACCTTATTCTCCAACAGATCTATTTCAAACCTTGATCTTATTGTATCAAAATGATTTTTTAAATCTATTTAAACGATATCATTTATCTGATGGTTTTGTAACTGATCTGTCATATATTCTTTTAATTCTTCAAATGTTTTCAATTTTAATTGGTCTTCTGCCTCAATTAATAAATCTCTATAGATGGCCCAATTCCCTTTCGTATTTACCTTTTTAACTGAAAGGTAAGGGTGAGAGCCACCAAGGTATTTTCCTTTCGAATAAGTTTTTATATCTGTCCCATACCTCATAGGCTGATTTTCTCAACGTGCGGTTCAAGAATCCCTTATGTACTTTCACTTTATCATACCATAAATACGTGTGCCACCCAAATCTGTGGTCGTGACCTTTCAGATCCAATAAATCTGTGTTATCTAGCAAAATCCAGTCTCATAACAAACAAAGGCAAAATGCTTCATAATATAATTTCAAATTTGGCAAAGCGAAACCACCTCTTTCTTTAGCATCCGTAAGAAGTTAACTCTTTATCCAAAGATGCCAAAACAGCTCAGGCCTAGTGATCCCAACAACTCTTCCCATTGGTCTTGTTGCCTTGAGGCAGTTGCCTTCCCTCTGCTCTTGAGGCAGTTGCCTTCCCTCTGCTCTCTTAGGCTTCTCCTCTCCAGGTTCCTTCCCAAGCAGTTGCAAACTGTGCACAACCAATCTCTGCTCCATCCTTTTCATTTCTGTGTTCCAAGAGACCAGAGTGGAAGGGAGCTGGTCACATCAGGAGGGGGAGGCTCCCTGGATTCTTCAGCAGCCTGCCCTCTCACTGCCTCTCTAGCCCCTGCTTTTGCCTCGGAGTTTGAACTGCTCTCTGCCACAGCCTCTTCCTGCTCACTAAACCCTGTTACCTCTTCAGCTTCTGATACCACCTCTTCCTAGTCTGCTTCCTCTTCTCCCTCTGACCACTCATTGTCATCCCACCACCAATCCCCTGGCTAAGAGGCGTCATCCCTTGGGGGTTCCCCAGCTAGTGTCTCCCACCACTCCTCTGCTTCCAACCAGTCCATGGCAGCTGCTTCCCCCTGAAGCAAACCACTGAACTGTGCATGTAGCAGCCTCCTTGGTGAAAGTACCTTCAGGCCCTGGAAAGCAATTCTGCCTACCCAGGCTAGGCCTTGGATGCTCCTGGACAGGCAGGACTATAAGGGAACAGGGAGCCGGATATGTTTAGCCTGGATAAGAGGAGACTGAGAGGGATATGATAGCCATCTTCCAATATCTAAAGGATTGTCACATGGAAGATGGAGCAATGGTTCTACCCTGCTTTGGAGGGTAGGACCCAAATCAATGGACTCAAGTTACAAGAAAGGAGATTCCAACTAAACATCAGGAAGAACTTTCTGATAATAAGAGCTTTTCAACAGTGGTATGGACTCCTCCTTCTCTGAGGGGTTTTAAGCAGAGGTTGGATGGCCATCTGTTACGGATGTTTTATTGAGATTTCTGCATTGCAGCAGGGTTGGACTAGATGACTCTCAGAGTCCTTTCCAATTCTATGATTCTATTACTTCCTGGGTCAAGTGAAAATTGCTTGTCTTCTCCAGTATCTGAGTGTTGTTGTCTCCATGGTTAGTCTTTGGTCTTCGTGTGCTTTTCAGTGTTGACTGCAGGGCTTCTGTAAAATCCCCATCATGACTCAGGCTGCTGCCATCATCCTGGGCCCTACACACAGTAACTGTGATTATTAATGTTGAATATTGGCTATTAATATATGGATATGTGAGGGGATTTAGGCCCACAGGCTCAATGTGGCCCTCTAGGAATCTCTGTCTGTCCATCACAATGCTCTTGAGGCCCCAGTTTTGTGCTGGGGTCCTGCTTGAGGATTTCCTGCAGGCATCTGGTTGGCCACTATGAGAAAAGGATGCTGGATGAGATGGGCCACTAGCCTGACCCTGCAGGCTCTTCACATGTTCTCAGTGCCCCCCCCATCTTGAGTGGGCCTGCTTCCCCTGCCTTCACTGCCATTGTTACTGCCCACTGTCTCCACCACCCTCATGCCTAAATTTATTCACTTCCATCATTTCCCATTTCACTCTTCTTTTCTCCAAAGTCCCTGAACAAAAATCAGTATTTTTTTCAGTTGTAGTGCACTGGAGCATAGTTCAGGCACCTCTCAGGTGGGCACCATTGTGGGCTAGCACTCCCCAACCAGTTTCTTGCATTACATACTTCTGAGAAGCCCAAAACAAACTTTTCAAGTCAAAAGGGAAGCTGGCCAGCATGTGCGGGTCTGAACTTTTTTTAGATCTATGACTCCACCTTGCTCCTTGGTCAAGCTATGGGGTGGGGGCAATTCATATTTCCTTTTCTTCAATCCGCCCGGTGTCTCCCATGTAGTGGGAGTGGGCTTTAAGCTTTGCAGCCAGGCCTCTGCCATTGCATGCATGCGTGCAAACCCTCCAACATTTCTCCAGTGAAAATAGAGACATCTTAAGGAAAAGCTGGACATTCCATGATCAAATCAGAATGCAGGACAGCTTCTCTAAACCAGGGACGTCCCTAGCAACACTTGAAGGGTCTGAGCGTGTTTGTGTGAATGTCCTTCCGAGCTGCCCTAGCCATTTGCCCAAATCTAAGACAATAAGGGAGGTGTGGGAACATTTGTTTGACCTGCACCAGAACCAGGGGTGACCCAAAAACCAGCTAGAGAGACAGCTTGTTGTAGTTTTTAGCACATCCGCAGGTGGTGAATGTGGCTGTTGTCAAACCGGCATCTGTTCAGGGCTGCCTGAAGTTGCCCAGCAACTTACTGTAACAACTTCATGGTGACTTCTGGCACCTATTTTACTTGGGGGGGGGGGAGCACTGACCACAAAATTTCTTCAAAGGGGAGTCACTCCATCCCCAGTGAGTCTTGTCCAAGGGTCCGCCTGAAAACACTGAATGGGCACACTTACCAAACCAGTGTTACTTGTATGTGCAAGTCAGGCTAGGAAATGCTGGTTTGATAACATTGGCAGCATCACTATGGCTCCCCCCCCCCTTGAAACTCCTCCCACGCAGCCTTCTCTGGTCTCCTTCCCCCTCTTGCCCTCGGCTGCAAGCCCTCTTGAGCCAAGCCCAGAGGCCTCTGGGTAACGGACAGCTGTTGGATGACCCTTCCTGTTAGCTTCCGCCTCGGGCGCGCTGCGTTGCCAGCAGGGCTGATCTGTACGCCTCTCAGGCTGAGGAGTGCAGGGGCTCCTCCAGGGTCACTGTCAATCGATATCTCATCTGCAGGCTCTCCTAGCGGAAGTGATAGCATATTGGAAGAAGGTAATGGCTCTGGTCTAGTGGAAAAGGCTAATCTTCCCCAGCTGTACAGGATCTCTGCAGGTGGCCTCTGGCATCTTCCTCCCGACACACCGCTGGGCTCCCCAACGGCAGCACACAAGAGAAGAAGAGAAAAAAAAGGACCCTTTTCTTTAAAGGCACAGAGACTCCCTTTTTGTTGCTAGATCTTCACCGGCTGGGACAAACTGGACAGCTTATGGGGCATGGAAGGAGTGGGCCAGGCCACCCCTATGGCCCACGAATCGCAGTCCATCATGTGTTCACTGGGTTCTCACTTCCCACATTTCCAGGAGGCAGCAAAGCCAGGAGAGTCCCTGGATAGTGGAGTCCCTTTCACTTAGTGGAAAGATGTGGAAGGCTTTTCAGCCTGAGGACCACATTCCCTTCTGGGCAAGCACCAGAGGGCCACATGCCAGTGGGTGAGTGGGGCCAAAGTGAGTGGAGAAATGAATGTAAGTAGGTTGGTGTCCACACCCACCCACCCCTCTGTTCCCCTCCGGGTAAATAATATACATGATTGGAGTTCCAAAGACACATTTCCAGCTGGGCAAAAACAGTCAAAGAGGGTATGAAACAGAGCTGGTGAGGGGTGTGGCCTAGGGAGAGTCCTGAGGACCAGATTAGAGACTCCTGGAAGGCTGCCTTTAGCTTCCAAGCCTGAGCTTGAGTCACTAACTGCTCCACTTTTTGTAGCTGACAATTTCCCTGTTGCATGTATTTGCGGGTGGCGTGTTGGCAGGTGAAATGTCATTTTGATACTGCCTTTGTGGCACTTTGCATGCAGAAGGTCCCATCTCTCTCATGAGAGACATTCTCCCTTCACTTGCACTCATCCATCCTTTGAGAAGGGAATGTCTCTTTTTTAGATCAGCAGTGGGGAATGTGATCTAACAAGAGGCATTCCTTCCTCTCGCATGACAGACAGCTTCTTCTGCATACAGTGGTACCTTGGGTTAAGTACTTAATTCATTCCGGAGGTCCATTCTTAACCTGAAACTGTTCTTAATCTGAAGCACCACTTTAGCTAATGGGGCCTCCAGCTGCTGGCGCACCGCTTGAACACGATTTCTGTTCTCATCCTGAAGCAAAGTTCTTAACCCGAGATAATATTTCTGGGTTAGCGGAATCTATAACCTGAAGCGTATGTAACCTGAGGTACCACTGTATAGGCATTCTCCCATTATGCAGAAGAGAATGGTCTTTCTTAGATCAACGATATGGAACCTGTGGCTCCCGAGATGTTGTTTGACTCCAATTCCCCTCACTCCTATCCCATTTGTCATTCTGGCAGTTGGCTGTATCGGATGCAGTTGATGCGTGTTGGAGACCAACAACATCTAGAGGGCTGCAGGTTCCCCATCCCTACTAAACACACCCCTCTTGTAGGCCTAAGGCTGTGGCAAAGCAGGCGGTACAGTGAGGGAAAAGTGATAAGTTCCCCCATAGGGATACATGTGACATCCGTCTCCCTGAGTGAGGGAGGCAGATGGAGACCCCTCGGAAGCAGAGTCCAGCGCCGTAAAGTGTAATAAATAATGCATTGTGGCAGATAAACAGCCACCTCAAGGAACCACATGCAGGGTTAATTCGGTCCCTGAGGGCTCAACGACATCATTAACCCAGTGAAGAGACTAAGGTACACAATGCCACACCAACCGGGGTCATTCAAAATACCTCCAAAGTTGTGTGGGGGTGTTTACAACACAGCATGGCTGTGAGGAGGATGAGCTGAACTCTCCCTATCTTCTTCAGTTTCTCCTTGAATGCAGGCTTTGAGAAAAATTAAAATAAAAGCCTGCTATTCTACTTTGGGGGGGGAGTGTTGGTTCTGCTTGCAGAGCCACATTGGGAGAAAAACAGATGTTTTGTTTTGTTTTTTAAGGGAGAGAGATGAGGAAAGGTTGCAGCATTTGGGATGTTTTAGTTCAGAGAAAAGGCAAGGAAGAGGAGACATCACAGAGGTTTATACTATTATGCACTGAATGGAAAAAGAAATGTTTTCCTCCCTTTCTCATAACATTTGAACTCATGGATGTCCTACGGAGTTGAATGGTGGAAGATTCAGAAGAGACACAAGGAAGACTTTATGCATGCGGTGCATAGTTAAACTATGGAAATCGCTCCAGCAGGGGACAGCAGTGGCAACTTGGATAGCTTTAAAAGAGGGCTGGTAACCTTATACAAGCCACAATGGCTATGCTCTGCCTCCACAGTTGGAGGTAGCAATGCTTCTGGATACTAGTTGCTGGAAACTGCAGGTAGGGAGAGGGCTCTTGTACTCAGGTCCTGCTTCTGAGTTTCCCACAAGGGATTTGTGGTGCCTTAAAAACTAACAATTCTTTTTATTATGGCATAAGCTTTGTTAGAATCCACTTTGTCAGATGCATCATTCGAGGATGGTTATGTTCCACCTCTACTGTCAGAGGAGGTTTGACAGTCAGTCCTGAAAGATCTGTTCCCTGCCTTTCAGACCTTTTCTTACCTGGCCTGGCAGGGCAGGGCCCTGACTAACTCGAGCTACAATAGCTGAAGCTGCTGAACAGAATTTTGGGCTGGAGTATTTTTTGCGTGGTGGGGATGGTGGTGGTTGTTAATATTTTGTGTCTTTTGTTAAGTTTGCAGTTATGTAATTTTTATATGTTGTAAGCCACCTCGAGCATTGTTTTAACTTTGGAAAGATGGCATACAAATAAAATGATTGATTGATTGAATACCAATTACCAGGAATTGCCAGTGGGGACAGCACGGTTGGAACCAGGTCTTGCTTGTGAGATTCCCACTGGGGCATCTGGTTGGCCAGTGTCTGTACAGGGTGATGGACTAGATGGGCCTTTGGCGCGATCCAGCTGCCAAGCTCTTCTTCTGTTCTTAAATACAAAATGTTCAGAACAACAGAGACAAAAACACATACAGCATCTCCAAAAACCATCTGTGGCCCCTTGCCTGCTGCTAGTAGGTTTATTAAATACATACACCCAGCTTGGCTGAGAAGACTCCCTTTGTGCTGAGGTCGAGAGCCTTTGGATGAAAACTTCCCAGGAGGAGATGGGCTCCCTTTGTAAACTTCTTGAAACAAGGTGGCTTTGTCTCTGCATTTCACAAGGATCTGCCTTGCATCTCTCCCCGGGAGTTTCCCAAAGTCTTCACTAGCGATTGCTGAAAGGGAGCTTTATTCCTCCTTGACGGTCCACGCCATCATGGGAACCACCTGAGGGAGAAGGACAGGCGGGATCACAAAACCAGGGAGGGCAGATAAGCATGGCAATTACAAAAGGCTGCCCCGAGGGGTCTAGGCCTCAAAGCCTCACCGCCGTAAAAGGAAAAGACAAGGGACTCACACAAGGAACTCCGGACACCCATCTGGTCACTCAATAGCAGTGGTCAGTTGGCCCTTTGTGGGGTCTCCTTTCTGCCTGAACACCCCTCCCTGTTTCCCCATCATCCAAACTGAGAATGTGGCCATCCAAAAATACAGGTATGTTTTGTTGGACCCTCGTAACAGAAGATATTGGCTTTTTCTCTTGACTTTTTCCTCTCTGTAGAAAAGCGGGGGGGGGGGGGGAGGAGGTCACCAGGGTGACCTCTTTGGTTATGTGAGATGCTCACTTAGACGCTGACATTATCTGCCCCTCTGCTGCTGTTGGCCCGACAGCCTTTCTGGGTCATGAGACAACCTGCAAAAGTGAGGAGAGAGAGAGAGAGAGAGAGAGAGAGAGAGAGAGAGAGAGAGATGAACAGGACCAGCCATTCCAAATCTTCATATGAAGTCGTCTTCTACTGAGTGGTTCATTTGTCTCAGTATTGTCTACACTGTCTGGCATCAGCTCTCCAGGGTTTAAGGCAGGGGTCTCTATGAGCCCTACCTAGGCATGTCACTGAGCACTGAACCTAGGATCTTCTGTATAGAAAGCAGATGCTGTACTATAGAGCTATGACCCTTGCTAGGAACAGGGGAAGTGATCTTGTACTGAGCCAAACCCTTGGTCCAAAACACGTGTTCTGTCATTGAATTACTGTCGTCCATCTAAAACTAAAGATTCTAGTCCTCACAGGCCACTGGAAGTGGCCTTATATATCTCCAGGATTTCAGGCAGAGAAGTCTTCCAGCCCAACTTTGAGATGTTGGGGATTGAACCTGGGACTTTCTGCATGTCAGGATCTACCACTGAGCTACAGCCCTTCCCCAAATTCTTCCTGCGATTCCTTGTGAGTTAACTTACAAGCCCTTCCTTTTAAGTTCACTAGGTGGTCTTAAGCAAGCCATTCTCAACCTGAATGTATGTCCATTTGCAATGTGAGGACACTTAACACTGATCTACCTTACAAGTCTGTTGTTTAGTTTCCCCAGCTAATTGTGTGGCATGGTTTGGAAACCAAGAACCAAGAACCACTAAATAACTTCTGTATTGCTATACTTAACTGCGTTGCTTCAATTAGTCTTGGGTTGCTTTTAACCTTTCTGTCTCTGGCTTAGCATTTAGATTGTAAACCCTTTGGAGGCATTGTCCTTCCTGCTTAGGTTACTTTATAAACTGCCCATTTATGCATGTTCAATAAGTGTGTGACTGTGTATGTGCAACAAACCCAGAAGTGGGATTTCCGGGGTGGCGCCATCGGCAATGGCGGACTCCCTCTGAACCGGAGGGACCAGCTCCGCGTGAAACGGGTCTTTTCCGCTGCGGCGAAGCGGGGACCCTTTTAGAAATCACAGGCGGGTGAAGCCTGTGACCGTGGGACTCGGCGGGCACCCTTAGTGCCCCCCCAACCCGCAAAGGAACCCACTAACGGGCTCCGAAGCGAAGAGGGGGAAGTGGCGCGGTGCTGTGAGTCAACTGCTTTTTCCGTGGAGCGAAGCCGCATAGCCGTTGCCGGAGAGGGCTGCCTTTTTCCTGGGACAATTTGGCATCTAAAATAATCACCCGTGGGTACTTAAACATTGAACAATTGGACTTCAAATAAGAACTGGCGATTAGAAAGGAATTGGACTTAAAAATTTACCTTAATTTGGTACTGAAACGGGAAGGTCTAAACAGGAAGTCAGCCTTCCGTTTCCTTGTAGTCAGAAGAAAGCAAAGACAACGTAAACTAGAGCTTAGAAAATCACTTTCAAAGGATTGGTTTTCACCATTTAAAATCGTTGAACCCCCTTTCGGTAGCAGGAGAAGAAGGGGGACTTTTTTTGGACTGTTTAAACCTGCAGAAGTGAGTTTAAAGTAAAGTAACTTTTCACCGTCCTGATCCTGGAGCGGGGTGTCAGAATTGACGTTTGAAGCTCATTGACCAGAGACAAATGTTTTTGACAGACAGTTAAAAGAAGAGTAACATTGTGATTCCACTGTTTCCTTTCGCATTTTAAAGGAACAAATATTGACAAAATATCTTAAAAAAGAAACTTTGTTGCTATTGTCCTTAAAGGAAAGAACAACCAGAAGTTTTCCCCCTAGAGAGGATTGTGAAACTGTAACTAATTCTAGGGAGCTTGCAGCTGCCACAGATTACAACCGTGGGAAAGGACTTGTGACCTTGCAGGACAATGTTTTCAGAAGCACTGTTGGGTGCTTTCTGTAAAATAAATGCCCTATTGGATCAGTTAAGTCAGAAGACGGATTTGATGACTAAGGCGGCCAGAACATTTGAACAGGTAGTGGGAAACTATATGGAGCCCACCCAGGAACTTAAACAGGAGTATGCCATGACAGAACAGTTGAGAGAAGAGGATGTTGCTGAATCTTGGGCGCCAGAAAGGGAGGAACTTTTGGCCCTGCAGGAAAATGAGCCTTTGGATTTGACAAATGAACTTGGAAAAACCAGATTTGGAAAGATAAAGTTTGGATTGATTTGGAAATGGGGGGTTGGACTGACCCCCATATGCAGAGATGTTTGGACTTTCCGAGTCTGGCAATGGGCCGTCAGATGTTTGGAGCTGTGGGGGCTCCCAATTTTGGAGGGAATTCGAAACATGTCTTAAAATACCACATGGAGTCTAGTCTGGACTATGGGAAAGGGGCTGATTTGTTGAAAAGGGTCAAAAACACTACCAAGCTGGAGTTCCCACGAGTGAAAGGAAAATATGAAGAAGAGCTGCGGAAGGGACATGGAAGAGACTTGAAGGCCTCGGATATAAGATCACCAGGTTAATGTGCCAGACTAATGGGATAAAAAGGACTGACAAACCCGGGACCAGGAGGAAGGGACACTGGAAGAAGATTGGATTGTTCTTATTTCTTTTTTCTATCAATTTTTATAAAATTGATGAATGTTAGAAAAATGTTGAAATGAAATTACTTGGCTCTTGTAAAAATGTTTAAAGAATTAGGTAAAAAGGTAATGGTTATGAGAAGTTGGTAAAAATAAGTTTTAAGTCTTAGGCTTTAAGGTTTTTTATAAGATAAGATGAAAATAGAGTAAGGTAATGTAATGACAGAATACTATGAATTATGGAAAGGATTTGCTGTGACAACTATTAATCAAGATACAAGAAAAGGGAGGAGGAGGAGGTCATAGAAAGAAGGTAATGAAAGTGGAGAATTTGAAAATGATGGTTTTATTTTTTCTTTTTATTTTTCTGTTTTGTCTTTTTTCTTTGTAATTTTGTAAAAAATTCTTTTTTCAATAAATATCATTTTCAAAAAACACACAAACAAACCCAGAAGTGACCCGGAAACGTCATTACGATGTCCCTGAAACATCACTAAAAGGGTGGAGCTGAGGCAGGGGCGTAACAGGTTGTTCACAGGCTTTTTCAGTGGGTTTCCATTTTACCTGATTTCACCAACATGCATGGTGCCTCAGAATGTAACCCCTGGATAAACAAGGGGCTGCCTGTACTCCATATAAATAGCAATATCTAATTACAGACTGCAAAAAGCTAAGTCTCCATGTTTGTGGCCACCAAGAACAGGGGCAAAGTATTTTTTCCTAGCCCATCTAACTGGCTGGACACACCATCATTTCCTCTTCTGCTTTAATAACCATTCAGAGCAAAAGCAATGCTTCCCACTCTCACTCTGCATTGCCTGCTTGCCAATCCTCGCATTGTGACTAAGCCAGTTCAGAAGAGAGGGACAGGAATCATTGTCCTCCCTCTTAAAAAGTGCATGGAAACATGGATCCTTCCAGGCAAGGGAAAGGGGAGGAATTTGATTCAGTTCACATTTAAAGTCAAGCCTAACCAATACACATTTTCCAAAAGAATGTGAACAGAAACATTGCTATCCTTTGAAAAGTGCAGTTCTCCAAATTTTGCAATGCCGCTCTCCAACCAAGTAATGTAAATAAATGCATATACCAGGGTAGTGTGTGCATGAAAATGCATAGTGAAACGAACATACAAAAATGAACTATATTATGAGAAATAGCTTTGCAAAACATCAAGATGTCAACCGATTGTCCATCCTTGATGTAAACAATACCCAACGCACCAACTTTGAATAGCCTGGGGTCCTTCTGTTTTAAATCAGGGATAGTGTCCAAGGGCTCTATTCCCTTTAAGGCAGCCTTCTGAGACCATGTGCCAGTGGTGGGTGGGGCTAGAGGCAAAAGTGGGTGGAGTAAGGAATGTGAAAGCAGGGTAGTTTCTGACAAATTCACACGCTGCTCTCTCTGCTCCCCATCCAAACAAGCTAGAGGCAGTGTCAAGGATAAATATACAGTGGGACGCTTCAGGTTACAGACGCTTCAGGTTACAGACTCCACCAACCCAGAAATAGTACCTCAGGTTAAGAACTTTGCTTCAGGGTGAGAACAGAAATCGTGCTCCGGCGGTGCGGCAGGAGACCCCATTAGCTAAAGTGGTACCTCAGGTTAAGAACAGTTTCAGGTTAAGAATGGACCTCCAGAACGAATTAAGTTCTTAACCCGAGGTACCACTGTATTTGAGGGGTGAAAGAGGGCCAGTGAAGAGTGTGGCTTGGGGAAAAGAGGTATGTCCCTGGGGAGAGGCCTGGTGGGCTGCATTTGCCCCATAGTCTTGAGGTTTACCCTCCTCCCTTGCCCCTTATTCCACTGCTTAAGCAGTAGTTCTATAACTCTCCAATGGCAGCCGCCAATCGGATGTCATCTCTTTATAGAAAATACTCTCTCTCTTTTCTTTTCTTTTCTTTCTTTTTTATAATGAAGCCCTGCAGGAAGGCTACTTGAAACGCTTAAATACTTTCCCCCTCCCTCTCTCCCCACCAACCTTTTTTTTAAATAAATAAAAAAAGCCAAACGAATATAAAGCAGGCAGCCAACCTAAAAACACAATTTCGCATTTAAGCAACATGCTCAAGGTCACCAGAGTGACTCAGTAGCGTCAGAACGGAAGGCCCCGAATGCATGTGGCCTCCCATCTTGCCAGGAGTTGAAAGGAAAAGGCCAGATCTGTTCAGGTGCTGAGCTCCGCACAGACCCCCCTGAATTGCTGTGGCACTTTGGTTCAGAGCCACAGGCGCTCTGCAGTGCTCCAGTCAGGATCGATCCTCCAAATGCAAAAGACGAGGAAAAGGCGGAACAGCAGAGGTGGGGGGGAATGAGGAGGGAGGTTCCTACAATTAGCCAACAAGTGGCTGTTTTGTGAGGGATTGTTGTAGATGTGTTTTAAGTGGTTTTCAGAGTGGAAAATGTTAGGCACTAGAGCAATTGACAGACAAAGAGCAGGAAATGCATTAGGTTTTTTTTTTATTGGTCTGTTTTGAACACATTTGACATTACTCTATTAAGCAAGTTCGGTTCTGGCCTTTGGGAGACTATTAAAAGAGAGAAGAAAAGGGAGAGGAGGGGAGAGGGAGGCTAGAGGTGGATAAAGCGTAGAAGGGGAGGGGGAAGCAATATTATTCAAACAGGCAAGCGGTAACATAATGGCGGGAGGGACTGGAGCAAACTGTGCCAGCCAGATGGGACCCAAATGCGGATAACACAGGAGAGAATTAGCAAAACCTGGCATTGTCTAGGGGAGAATGGGCGCCACTTTCTCCTTAATAGCTCCCTCTATGTGATATAATAATGTCTCATTCAGATGCTGAACCCATCAAGGACAAAAGTCACCAGTAAGGAGCAAAAAGGGAGTTTGTGGGGAACAGGGAATATATATATATACACATACACACACACGAGAGAGAGAGAGAGATTTTCTACTGAAAATCGACAAACCATCAGAGCAACTTGACAAAATACACATCTACGGTGAATTACAGGGAACTCAGCTCATTTGGGCAAAGAGGATGATTTGTGACAGCTGGGGGGGGGCACAGATGGATTAAAGAAGAGCTCTGGTGTAGTCTAGACTAGTGGCCCATCTAGTCCAGTAGCCTAGCAGAAGCCTGCAAGGAGGATATTAGTGCAACAGTGTTCTCCCCTCCTGCGATTCACAGCAGCTGGTGTTCAGAGGCATTCATGCTATCTTTGACAGTGGAGGGAAAACATGAGAGCCCGGCTGCTGGATCAGGCAAAAGGGGGTCCCATCCAGCATCCTGCTCCAATGGAAAACCTGAAAGCAGGATCTAAGCACAACAGCAATGTGCCCCCTCCTGTGGTTTCCAGCAACTGGTATTCATTACTGCCTCCAACTGTGGTTTGTAGATTTCTTTAAGGGCTTTCATCTTCCCCTCCCTCCCACCACCCAATTCAAACTCAGAGGCTCATCTCTACCAGAACTGTTAACTGCATGTGTTCAGAAATGGTCATATTGAGTTAGATCCCTGCTGGGGGAGTGATAGGCAGCAGGTGGGGCCACTGAAAAGAATAGCTGTGTGAGCCTTCAAAAGGTCTTGCTGCTGAAATCCCAAGTTCAGATAGACTGCTCCAGCTCAGAAGCTCTTCTTTCCCTGTCTCCCAGACAAAACATAACCTTTCACTGGATGCACAGTCCTATCAGCTGCATCTGGAGAAAGCCACATGGCTTTCCTCCATCCCAGAATGTGCATTTCCTGGATCAGGAGTTCAGTCCAGTGAAAGGTACCATCTGGCATCTCCAGTTGTCTTTCTTTCAAGCAAGCCCCCCACAGCTGTCCTTTGAAGATAAACTGGAAAAAACCCACATATTTTTAAGCTAATGGATAGAAATTAATTTTGGGTTTAATATTCAAGCAACCAGTAGAAGATAGGAACACATTTCCTTCTGGACAGTCTTCTGAGGGCTGCTTCTCAGTGGTGGGTGGGGCCAGAGGCAAAAGTGGGTGGAGCAAGAAGTGCCTTCAACACTCATCTCTTTCTATCATCCATCCAGGAAAGTAAAAAAAAAGCATTGGGTGGACGATAGAAAGAGATGGGTGTTGAAGGCATTTCGTGCTCCACCCACTTTTGCCTCTGGCCCCACCCACCACTGAGAAGCAGCCCTCAGCCAGGCAAAAACACTCAGGTACAAAAGCAGGGCCAGTGAGGGGCGTGGCCTGGATAAATGGGGTGTGGTCAGAGAGAGAGTTCAAAGGGCCGCAGAGAGAGGCCCAGAGCGCTGCACCCAGCCCCTGGACTTGCAATATAGATTGGGGCTATGATCTTAGTGTAACTCTTCCAGAAGCTACACATGCACAAGTGTGAAAAGCAGGGGGGGAGGCAGAAAAATGGAAGCCTCTTTTGCAGAGGAAGAAAACTGGTGAAAAATAAGAGGACAAAATCTTGGGACAGCGCTAGTCCAATAAGCAAGCACAAGGTCAGTTGGTGGTTCCCTTTGATATTTAACCTTCAATCAGTTTTAAATTATTGTTGTCTGTCTCATGGCTGTAAGGCAGTGTCAAACCCTACAAAAGACAAAACTGACTGCTGTTTGGTTTGGATGGAAATTTCCTAGGGCTGCCATACGTCCAAGAAATTGGACTTTCTGGGAATAGGACTGACAAAATGGCGTCAGGGTGGATTTTTGTCAAATTGGCAAAATGTCCAGGAAAACTCTGACGTGTGGCAAGTAGGACGACTAAAAAAGAAACATATTTTTAAATTATTTTTTAAAAATGCTTTAAAAATCCAAAAACAGCCTCAACCAATTTCATGTTTCTCAAAACAAAAGCAGCGCAGGATTCAAATGACTGCAGTGGCTTTCTTTTCTGGGGGAAGCAGCAGCAGCAACCATTCCTCCAGCACACAAACACGGCCTTGGTGAGGTGAGTGCTGGCTTATCATCTCTCCAGTGCCTGCTAAGGAGAGGTTTCCAAGCGGACCTTGCAGCCAACAGTAAAGACTTGGGAGGACACTACAGGAGGGCTGGGGGCAACTTTCCAGCAGCCTCTGCCTCCCCTGGTGCACCACCACCACCACCAATAACATAGAACTCCTTGCACTTTGCTATAGGGAGAGGTGTGTGTGTGCAGGAGGGGGCAACAACCCCCCCACTAACTGTCTCGCCAGGTCAAGCCTCCTCCTCTTCCTCCTCTGCTGACAGGCTGTGGGTGTTTGTGAGTGTGCCAGGAGCTGGTGTGTAGGAGAAGCTCTCATTGGGCACATGCACAGACATGTGTGTGCAGTCAGCCAACCTGCTCCCTCCACTACCCGATCTTCCCCACACTGGAAGCCTGAGGCTCCACCTCCCTTGGCATCTAGTGCCAGGAAAAGCCCCCCTAGGCTCTTCCAGCGCTATGCCTGGCAGGGCAAGCCCTCCCCACCAGTTTGCAGCTCAAAAGGCCTCCCCCCCTTTTGGGAATATGGCAACCCTAACTTTTCCCATCACAATTCCCACAGTACCTCAGCTATTGTCTTGTCTTGAAAATTCACTCACACTTTGAAGAGTCCCCCATCAGATCGGACAAGTGAGAAACCCCAGCTGGTGTGGTTGGCAAAATGGGAAGTGAGGTCATTTCATAATTCCCTGTATCCCTATTCCATTATCTAGGGAGCAACTGGAGACTGTTTCCACAACCCCCCCCCCCCCCATATTTCCAGTTTTTCTCCCATTCACATACATATGCCGCACGTACACATTCTGACATATATTATATTGCAGGCACTTATGCATCATGGGATATCAATCTCCCATTCGGAGAGTACTAAACCACCCCATGAATTGTGACAGAGAGGTATGAGGGGCCCCTCCCTCCCTGGTTAACACACTCATGACATATGAATTTCCACTTTTGTTAAGTGATGGTTAACGGCTACCGGGATGTCTCCTTTCCTCCTCACTTCTTCCTGTCATGGCCAGGTGAATAAATTTTGCTGCCTGAGGTGAAAAACAAGATGGCTGCCATTTCAGTTACAGGAGCTGACAGGACTGGTACTGGCTTAGACCCTGCAGTGTTCCTATTTTCCAGGGACGTCCCTGATTTATAGAAGCCATCCCAGTTTCTTATTTGATCCTGGACTGTCCCAGTTTTCCTTAGGACATCCCTATTTTCATGGGAGAAATGTTGGAGGGTATGGAGTTATCCATCTCCTGAAGGCAATCCTGTACAGTGGTACCTTCGTTCTCAAATGGCTTAGTTGTCAAACAAATCGGCTCCCGAATGCCACAAACCCAGAAGTAAGTGTTGCAGTTTGTGAATGTTTTTCGGAAGCCAAACATCCAACACAGCTTCCACTTGAGTTCAGGAAGCTCCTGCAGCCAATTGGAACATTGGTTTTCAAATGGTTTTGGGAATCGAACGGACTCCCAGAACAGATTAAGTTCGAGAAACAAGGTACCACTGTATAGGGAAGTTTTTTTTAAATGTTTAATATTTTATTGTGCTTTTATATATGTTGGAAGCAGCTCAGAGTGGCTGGGGCAACCCAGTAAGATGTGTGGGGTATAAATAGTAAAGTTATCATTATGGAATGGGACATCCCTATTTTCATGGCTGAAATGTTGGAGGGTATGCTGGCTGAGTGTTGTTATAACACTGCTCTCTTCCACACCTGAGGGCAGTAGGTTGGCTTAGAGGGCACAGGCCTGGCAGTGTGGTGCACACAGCCTACAACTACAGCGTCTTCCTGACACACACAAACTTCTCAGGGCTTGCTGCTTCAGGCAGCTGCTTCATTCAGCCCAGTATTAATATTTATATCTGTCTTGTCTCCATAAGAATAGAAGAAGGGCCCTGCTTGATCAGGCCAGTGACCCATCTAGACTAGCATCCTGTTCTCACAGTGGCAACCAGATGCCCCAACAGGAAGCTTAAAAGTAGGACATGAGTGGAACGGCATTCTCCCCAGTTGCGATTCTTAGCAACTGGTATTCAGCAGCATTACTGTCTCCTATGATGGAGGCAGAACATAAAGAAGAGCCTGGCTGCTGGAGCAGGCAAAAGACTATTTGAGCATCCTGCTGCCTCTGGGAAGCCTGCATGAAGGACCTGAGTGCAACAGCACTCTCTTCCCCATTTGTTAATCCCAGCAACTGGTATTCAGAGGTAAAAATTATCCCCAACAATAGAGGTAGAACATAAGAAGAACACTGCTGGATCAGGCCAGTGGTCCTTCTAGCCCGATATCTGGTTCTCACAGTAGCCGATCAGATGCTTCAATGGGAAGCCTGCAAACTGGAACTAAGTGCAACAGCACTCTCCTCCCCACTTGTGATTCCCAGAAAATGGTATTTAGAGGCTTGCTGCCTCCAACAGTGGAGGAAAAACAAAGCCGTCTGTGTCACAGGGGGCCACTAACAGTGGTTCCCCAGAAGTCGTCAGGGGTTGGGCAGGGACATAAGGGGTCAGGTGGTCCCTGAGGTATCCTGGAACCAAGTTGTTAAGGGGCTTGTACCTGTTAATACAAGAACCTTGTACCTGACTTGGTAGCCTATACAAGGTCTTGTGGATGGGGTCCTGATTATGGGGTCCTTCCTAGTCCCAAGCGACCATTTTAACAGCGAGCTTCTGTTTTCCCCACTGAGGAAGGTTGTGAAGATCTCATCTGAGGACCGCTGGAAGATTCTTACAAGGTCCGCTGACCTTTCCCCATCCCAAGGCCATGTGGGCCATCTGCCATTCCGCTCAACACTAAACCAAAAGCCAGAAATGGCAGTTTCTGATTTTGCAAACAAGCAGAAGGTGTCCTGGGATTTCAGAGAGAGCCCTCAAAAGCCAGCCTCATGCGGCTTTATTTTATAGAGGTATTGATTAAAATAAACTAGGGAGACACGTTACATCTTTCCTCAAGGGTCAAGAGTTCAACCACCCAGCTGGTTTTTTACCCCGCCAGCCATGTTTTCAGAAACACTTGATGGCCTTCAGCGTTGGATTGAGGTTTCCCTCCCTCTCGCCTCCATCCCCTCAGAGAAGCTCAGGTCAGTCGATGGAAGGTAGGGGAAAGAGGCCCGTGAAGCCTGAGACCACTCTGAGAGGCAAAGTGCTTTAGCCGTGGGGAAAGGGTTTCTTTAAAAAAGAAAAAAGAAAATAATAAACCAAATCAATAAAGGTCTACTGTGACATGTTGACCCCTAAGCTACATAGCACTAATAACATGGTTTTTAAGGTGTGGCAGTAAATCCTGTGTGGTGAGTTGAGCTCTCTAAGGTTGCAGGGGGGGGGAGTTTTAATAATGCAGCAGATGGCCTAGGATAAGGAAACAGGGGAGTAGAGACTCATGACATTAACTTTTACAAAGATAGCTTTGCAGAAATCATGATGGACACGCCTAGCTTAAGCCCTGAGGCAAAAGCAGTATGGCAAGGCAGAGAGGCCTCTTGCTCTCCCTCTCCCTCTCTGAGTAGAAAGCCTCAGTAATGTCAAAGCAGCTGGTTTTGCCCCATAGAGGCCTGTGTCAGCCTACAGTAGAGGCAGCGCTTGTATCTTTGGTTGCAGGAGGCTCAAACCCCAATGCAACGGGGTCTGCCAGGGAGGGTTCTGAACGAGAGCTGGAATGGAAAATTCAGACCCGTTTAAATTTCAACAATATGTTAACAAGATGTGAGTGAGACATATCATGTGTTGACTTGTTTTCTGATTTCATTTGTGGAATGTGATTGTGAAGCAAGCTTTTTTTAAATAAAAACTTGTTAAGAACATAAGAATGTGCGAGATCAGGCCAAAGGGGGCCCGACTAGCCCAGCACACTGTTTGCACAATGACCAGCTGAATGGCCTAATAGAAGTCTCACAAGCAGACCCTGCACTCTCTCCTCTCTTGCAATTCTAAGCAATGGCACACTGAGGTGAAGTTTTCAATTTCATTTCTCATTTTTCCAATTTTAAATTTGGTTTTCAGCATTTCTACATCAACTTGCATTCTTTTTATAAAAGGTCCACATGAAGTCGTTAGAGTGTCGGACTAGGGTTCAAATCACAACTAGCCCATGTAGCTTGCTTGGGCCATTCAATGCCTCTCAACCTAACCTGCCTCATGGGGTTAAATGAGGAAGAGGAGAACTATGTATGCCACCCTAAGCTCCTTATGAGAAAACGGTGGGTTATAAATACAACAGATAAGTAGATAATAAATAACATTGTTCAACATTTTCAATGCAAATTTCTGCCAACCTACACATCCTTCTATTTCATTGATTTATTTTAATTTTTAAGAAATGTATATAATGCTTGATCGATGTATATAATGCTTGATCGTCGACAGAACTTTTAAGTGGTTTACAAGCTGCAATTTCCCCTAATAGACACATTTTTCCAAAGCCATTTTGCCCTAAAATAAAGCATTTTCATGTTGTTTTCATGGCAGGGGGGATTAATTTTTATGGGCACTTTGCCCCAGTATATACATTTTTAAAAACACATTATTTGGCAGGAAAACCACACTGCAAAATTCAGAGAAGTGCAAATTTCAAAGGATGCCTGAGTTTTGGTCCTTGTTGACATCCGTCTGTCTTGGATGCTCAAGATGTTAACCAAAATGACGGCAATTGAGAAGTCGAGGGAAAACAAATGTTCTGAGCCCTTTATCACAGACAGAAGGAAGTTCTTCATTGTGAAGCCTACACCGTGAATACCTGGTTCTTCTGGATGCTCTCCTTGCCAGAAAAAGGTGTAGTATATCTCTCTGAGGCAGCCATTTGAAATGAGTCTGGTCTCCTGTAGAGTGGCAACATCAGTGATGAGCATTCTCAGTTCATGGTCAATGATGGCCATCTTCCGTGAATCATTGACCTGCAATGGTCCTGACATTCTAGCTATCTAGGCACAAGACAGTTTCTTTCTTTCTTTTTTTGCCTGAAGCAGTTCAGTCCACTTGTTTAGTGACACTCTGAGTACCAAGCACCCACTAAAGCAAGTGGACTATGACAGGTCAACACTTTATTTACTGGACACTGTCCAGCTAAAGGTGGGCAGCAACTGACCAGTGAGACATAATAATCTCTCCCACCGATGAAGGCAACCTGTAAAACTGGTACCTTCCACCAATCAGGTTGAACTTACAATTTTCTGCTGGATCTAGCAGCAGCTTTTGATACCATTGATCATGGTATCCTTCTGGAGCTTCTAGAGGAGTTGGGAGCAAGGGGCATTGTTATGCAGTAGTTCTGCTCCTTACTCCTGGGCTATGTCTAGAAAGTAATGCTGGAGGATGAGTGTTCAGAGCCCTGGGCTCTCACCTGTCGGGTACCTCAGAGCTCTGTCCTCTCCCCCATGCTTTTCAACATCTATATGAAGCCGCTGGGAGAGATCATCAGGGGGTTTGGACTGGGTGTCCATCAATATGCAGATGATACCCAGTTCTACCTCTCTTTTAAATTGGAACCAGTGAAGGCAGTGATTGTCCTGTGTGAGTGTCTGGAGGTGGGTGGAGGATGGATGGTGGAACAGATTGATGGTGGCTAACGCCTAAACCTTTCTATCCCAGTGAAATCACTGAGATCATCTGCAGGAAGGTAGTTGGTCATTCATTTAACAAGAAACTGAGCCTTTCGGGTCATTAGCCCAGTCCTGCAGAATACTCTGCCAGTAGGATTCAGTGTGTGTCTTCTGTATCAACTTTTAAACACCCGCTGAAAACTTTTCTATTTTGCTAGGCCTGTTGTGCAGTTTTATGGGGTTTTTTTTTTAAAAAAAAATATTTATTATTTTTCCAAAAACACTAAAAAAAGAAGAAAAAAGAAAAAGAAAAACAATACAACACATCAAATTAACAAAACAAGACTAAGACAATAAAATAAATCAACCAATTTCATTATCCCATCTTTCATTCACTTATTTCCATGACCTCCTCACACCTCCCTTTTTGTATTCCACTTCTGTTAATTATTTCAGCAATTCCTTTCCATCCTCCTCTGTTTTCTATCCTATAATTATCTTAACTCATTCTAACCTTATTTTTTTCCCTTTAATACTCTATTAACCTATCTGTACTTAATTCCTTATAATATTTCTACTAAAGCCATATAACTTCATTTCAACATTTTTCTAACATTCATTAATTTTACAATATTTCTGTAGATAGTCTTTAAACTTTTTCCAGTTTTCTTCCACCAACTCCTCTCCCTGGTCTCGGATTCTGCCAGTCATTTCCGCCAGTTCCATGTTGTCCATCAACTTCATCTGCCATTCTTCCCGGGTGGGCAAATCTTGTGTCTTCCAATACTTTGCGATGAGTATTCTTGCTGTTGTTGCATACATAAAAAAGGTTCTATCCTTCTTTGGCACCATTTGGCTGACCATGCCTAGGAGAAAGGCCTCTGGTTTCTTCAAGAAGGTATATTTAAATACCTTTTTCATTTCATTATAAATCATCTCCCAGAATGTCTTAATCCTTGGGCACGTCCACCAAAGGTGAAAGAATGTGCCTTCAGTCTCATTACATTTCCAACATTTATTGTCAGGCAAGTGGTAAATTTTTGCAAGCTTGACTGGTGTCATGTACCACCTATAAATCATTTTCATTAAGTTTTCTCTTAGGGCATTACATGCCGTAAATTTCATACCTGTGGTCCTTAACTGTTGTGCAGTTTTATGTTTTATTGCTGCAAACTGCTTTGATTTTTTTAATTACATCCCTTAACAAGTTAGATGTTTCTAAACACATACACCTCTTCCCATCCTCCGTCAAAGTAAGCAAGATACAGTTCAAGGACATATCCCAGTAGAGAAAAACGATTGAGGAGGGTGCAAAGGAAGGGTGATGAAGGGTGTGGCCTAGGGAGAATTTCAAGGGCCAGATAGCAAGCCCTGGAGGGTTGTTTTGGGGCCCCAGACCTGAGGTTCTTTAAAATAATTACTGCTGTCCTGATACAGAACCTATAGAGATTAGTTAAAATAACAAAGCAGAATGTGGCATTTTAACAAATCAACCCACAACACTCATTGTCTCAAAGCTGAAATGGATTTAAAGAGAGAGTGTGTGTTAATAGATATTGGTACCAATTTCATCTCTAGGGAGGAAGTAGCTGCATTTCATCTCTTGGTCTTGACCCTTTACTACGCTCTTTATAACTCTCTGACTCCAAGGGGCTTCCTGCATTTTCAGGGAAGGAGGAGTTAAACACATTGAACACCAAGAAAAATCAAAGGATTATAGGTTTGCAGTTGGAGTGTCCATCTGTCAGTGTCAGAAATAAAAAAAATCCTGAAGTCCCCAGGCCTGATTGTCAGTGAGAAGGCTGCTTCATTAGAACTCTCCATTCGGAGAGGCCATTCAGAATATATGCCAACTGTCTGAAAATCTATCTTCTGGTCTCTTAGAATAACTTAAATATAGACACTATTACCACCTGCCTCTGTCTCCTCTTCCTCCTCTTCTGAACCAGGGATGGGGAACTTGTGGACCTCCAAAGTTTTTGTACTATAACTGCCAGCATCCCTGATCATCAGCTATGCTGGCTGAAGCTAATGGAAATTGGAGTCCATCCACATCTGGAGGGCCATTTCCTTAGCACTGACTTAGCAGATGGTACAAAGTCCTCTGGAATTATCCAGGCTTGGTATATACAGCAAGACTGTGTCCTTACTGTTTTTTTTTTTTAAATAATATTTATTACTTTTATAGATTACAAAAAGAGAAAAAAGAAAAAAAACAGAAAAAAAGACAAAGGAGAAAAGAAAAAAGAAAAAAAAATACAATACAATATATAAACAATGCAAAACACAACCTAAACTCAAAACTAAACACATTAAACTAAACTAAACAAACCCCACTCCCTAACCTTAACCCTAAATGAAACAAAACAAAAACAATTTAAAAACATACATCATCTCTTTTCCATACTCTATCTTTCATTCCCTTGTTTCCTCGACCTCCTCTCACCTCCCTTTTTGTATTCCACTTCTTTTAATTATTTCAGCAAATCCTTTCCATCTTTCTCCATTTTCTATCATATTGTAAATAACGTATTTTTTAACCTTATTTTCCATTAAAACTAAAATACTTATATATACTTAACTCCTTATAACATTTCTGCTAAGCCCATAAAAAAATCATTCCACCATTTTTCTATCACTCATTAGTTTTACCATAAGTCTATATATAAACTTTAAATTTTCCAATCTTCTTCCACCATCTCCTCTCCCTGGTTTCGGATTCTGCCAGTCCTTTCCGTCAACTCCATAAAGTCCATCAACCTGGTGATCTTATGTCCGAAGCTCTTAACTCTTTTCCAAGTCCCTTCTGCAGGTCTTCTTCATTTTCTTTAATGCTAAAGAGCAAATCTCGGGGAAACTCCAACCTGTCAATCCTTTTCTTCCTTCTGAACAGATCAGCCAAATTTCCATAGTTAAAGCTACAGTCCATAAAGCATTTCAGGGCATACCGTATTTTTCGCCCCATTGGACGCACCGGCCCATAGGACGCACCTAGTTTTCAGGGGGGGAAATCAAGGGAAAAAATATGATCCCCCCCCCCGCAGCTCTGGGAGCAGCGGACAGGCTGCACGCAGCCTGTGCACTGTTCCAAGACCTTCTCCCTGCTTTTGCAGGAGGTGGCGGAATTCCCCCACCTCCCGCAAAAGCCCACAGGAGCCGTGCGCGACTCCTACGGGCTTTTCGACCAGGAGGGAAAAGGGACTGAAATGGCCAGTCAGTCCCTTCTCCCTCCTCGGGGAAAAGCCCCCAAGAGCGGCGCGCTCTTCAAAGGGTGCGCGGCTCCTGTGGGCTTTTCTACGAGGTGGGGGAATTCCCCCACCTCCTAGAAAAGCCAGCAGAAGCCGCGGAGCCCCTTTAAAGAGCGTGCGGCTTTTGCCTGCTTTTGTGGGAGGTGGGGGAATTCCCCCATCTCCCGCAAAAGCCCACAGGAGGGTTGGAGAGTAGCGGGAAGGCGTCGCGCGCCTTTAATGGGGCTGGCGATGGGGGAAGTGCTGCTCCCCCCCGCCAGCCTCCAACCTGAGTTGGATGCCCCCCATCCTCTGGGGCTGGCCACAGGGGAAGCGCTGCTTTCCCCACTGCCAGCCTCAAAGCTGGGTCGCGCGCCTTCCCGCTGCCCCCCATCCTCTGGGGCTGACCATGGGGGAAGCGCTGCTTTCCCCCACCGCCAGCCTCAAAGAGCAGACTCTCCTGGCTTCAGCGGAAGCAACGCAAAGCCTCCAGAGCGCAGGCTTCGGAGGCTTCGCATTGCTATCGCTGAAGCCAAGGAGCCTGCATTCGCCCCATAAGACGCACACACATTTCCCCTTCATTTTTGGAGGGGGGAAAGTGCGTCTTATAGGGCGAAAAATACGGTATTTCAAGATTCCTCCAAGTCCAAAGGCCCCCAAAACTTCAGTCTCCTCCAGGCCCGAGTCCATGTCCCATAAGTCAGTTAATCCCTGCATAGAGGGATCTTTCCAACTTTCCTTCTTTAGTCCAAGCCGGGATCCATTCCTCAGAGTCTGACTTTTCCTAGATTCAATCATAAAAGGCCTCAACTTATAGTCCTCAATTTGCTTCTGTAAAGCCACGGATCTCACTTGTATTACTTTATGTTCAACAACAGCAGCATTCTCCTTCTCCTCCTTCTCCTCCACCATTTGTCCTGCCAAAATGGATTCCTGTACCAAGTCCTGAATTATTTCTGTGTTGGTGTTCGCTTTTTGACTCAAATTAGTCACTTTCTGTTCCAAATTATCAACTTTAAAAGTCATGTCATCCATCTTCTTGTGAAGCTGTCCCAGCGAACAGCTTATCTTACATAAAACAGTCACAGTGGCTTCTCCTGTCAACATTTTTAAATGGTCCAAGGTCACTCTCTGGTTCTCAGAATCCTTATCTGCAGCTGGAAACCCCCCAGTTACACTCCTGTAACAGTTTCAAAAGCTCCCTCTAGAGGGAAACAGTCTCCACTTGTATCAGTCCTTTCAGGCACAACTCAAGCATTAAAGATAATTTTTCAGTTACTTTTCCTCTTTTTTAAACGCAGAGGAGGACAATGGAAACAGTATCTTACTCTTATTCAGCTAGCTGTCAAATCCGTTCTGTCAAATGCACTCTCTCCAAACGTCATCTGGCAGCCCGTTCCCAGGTTCAGAGCAGTGGTAATTTGATTTTTCACTCTCTCCTGCAGGCTCACTAGATCCAAAATTTCCCCCTCTTCTCCTGCTTCCAAGGGGGGTTTTGTATTTTAAACCGATGGAAAATTAATCCTTTGCCAAAAACTTTCAAAGACTTTAACTTGTAATGTCTTTGCTTCAGTCTATTTACAAAAACGGAAGGCGGACTTCCTGTTTATGACCTCCCGCTTCAGTGCCAAATTAAAATATTTAAAAATCCAATTTTCCGATTTACTCACGAGTAGTTGTTTAAAATCCAATTGTCCACAGGAAAAAGTCAGCGCTCTCCGGCAACAGCAATGCGGCTTCACTCCGTGAAAAAAGCAGTCGATTCAAAGCACCGCGCCACTCACCCCACGTCGCTCCGGATCCCCAAAACAGGGTTTCCCCGTGAGTAGGGGAGGCGCAAAAGGTGCCAGCCGAATCCCAGGTTCACAAGCTTCTCCCACTTGTGATTTCAATGGGTCTCCACCTTCGCCGTGGCGGTCAGACCCTGTTTTACACGGAGCAAGTTCCTCCCGAACGGAGGAGCTCCACCATTGCCAGAGGCGCCAACCCAGAAGTCCTAAGACTGTGTCCTTCCTGTTGCCTCTGGCAGATAAGCAGAGATAAATGTTGTGCTTGCCAGATTTCAGGCTCCTGGTTTTCATCTGCCCAAGTTGCTCAGAATACCTTGGTACCTCCTAGGTATGGATTCAGGTGTTCCTGCCTATGGCCCAGCCCTATTCCTTGCACTTACACCTGCTAAGTTTGGATGTGAGGACAAAGTGGACACAAAAACTGCAACCAGGGCCAGCCCAAGACATTTGGGCACCTGAGGTGGAACCCGAAATGGTCCCACCACTTCCTACCAGGGGATAAGGTGAGGAAAGATCTACATCAGGAACAACTGGGGAAGGAAGACTGACATTGGGATCTGCCGTTCTGGTAGATCCTGCTGCCTGAGGCAGTTGTCTCACCTGGCCTCATGGGTGGGCTGGCCCTGAATGGAATGACTCCCCTTGTGAAAAACTACTGCAGCGATCCTCCTTTTTACATCAGTGAAGTAATATCACTTTTCTCTTTCTCTGGACTCCGTCTGCTTCATTGCACTCATTCTGCTAACATTCTTCACCCCCATATGCAACCATATCTGTCTGTCTGTTATATATACAAACACACACTACATATCCACTGCACACTTCTCTCTAGCACTCCCTGCTGGGTGTGGAGGGGCCGTGAGGCCGCCACGGCTCAGCGTTTCCAAAGCTGTTCCCTGCTGAGCCTCGTTCTTTTTGCTCCCCTCCCCCTGCCAGTAATCAAAACAAACACTTCTGAAGATAAAACGAGTTGCAGCGGGCGCTCAAAATAAATAACTAATTTCTCCCTGCATGATCTCAAGGAGCAGGAGAGGCGTGAATAGCGAGGCCCAGTGTTGGTCCGAGCAGAACCCCCCGGAGTGGTAATTCGAAGGATGACAAACATGAGGCAAAGGAAAATGCCGAAAAATGGCTACTCCCCGTGGCCCTTTTGCAAAGGAGCTATTGCAGGGTTTGGAAATAACGAAGCCGTCGATGGGGAGAGGGGATATTTTCTCATTGAGGCTGAGTGAAGTGCCAAACAGGCTACTATTATGGCAGCTTTAAGAGGTGTACGAAAGAAGAGAAAATGGAGTGGTGGGAAAAGGGGGGCAGTGAAAAGAGAGGTGGGGAAAATGAAAATGAGAGGTGGGGTGACTGTGCAAAAAGAGTGAGTGAATTTGAGAGAGGGGATGTGGGGGGGGGGGAGAAGGCGCAGTGGGAATATTTACCTGAGAAAAATTGGCCTTCACATTATTTATTTATTTCATTTTATTTCCGCAACTCATTGGCCCCCCCACTTGCCTCCCAATTTTCGTAATTTCTTGAAATTTCTTAAACCTTTATATGAGAACACATTTAAGGTGTGTGTGTGCGCGCGCACATGCACACCCTCCTCCCTGATAACCATGAGGGGATGGGGGGGGGAACCAAACACCCCAAAACAAAAGAGAATGAAAAGAGAATGTAAAGAAAACAAAATATCTACAGTTGTTGAGATGAGAGAGAGAGAGAGGGAGAGAGAGAGAGAAATGAAGGAAGGAAGAGCGAGAGAAAGTAAAGGCCAGCATCCATAATTTTCTCTGTGGGGCTTTGAGGTAATTGAGCCATTTGGATAAAAATAAGGCAGCAGGCCCCTTAGGTAAAAGGAGCTTTGCAATCCAAGGAGGTTCGAATTATGCGTCTTGTATCACTTTGAATCCCCCCACATCCCCCTTACCCCCTAGCGCTACGCCGAACCACTTTCCTCTTTTCTTCTTATGTGTATTTTTTTTAAGTACCCTGTCAAAATGTCCTTAGATGAGTACAGAATTTCAGCTGTCACAACTAATTTTGATTCTCCTGAATGCTTGTGTGTGTGTGTGTGTGTGTGTGTTGAGAAAGGGGTGTGTGTGTCTGTATGCGCAAGCTCTTGTGAGGAGAAGAGTGTTGTTGAATCAAGATTTCTTTTCTTGTCATACATATATATATATATATATATATATATATATATGAATGAGAGAAAAAAGATTTACATCAAAAATTTGTTTCTGGGGAGTGTTTAAGGACTGTAATTTCCTCCTCTTTCAATTACCATTTGATGCTGTCTGATTCCCTCAGCTTCCCACCCCCCACCCGAGCTTCATTTTGCCGCTGTTTTTCTTTCCTCACAAAAACGCCGTCAATCTTTCTGTCAGCTTTAAGCTGTCAGCTGCCTAGCTGATCCATTTCAAAAACACCACAGGCCCTGGGGTTGTCAAGAGTGCCCAAATGCCGGATCGTTTTCCTTCCTGATCTTGACGTAATTTTACGGCACACTTGCCTTAAAACAGAGTTTCTTGGGGAAGGTGGCATGGAAAGCGGCCATGGTTCCTGCTTCAAGTTTCCTGCCTGGTGCACATTTGCCCCTCTATATATCTCAACATGTGTTGCCAACAGCTGTAGCTCTCTTTTTCACATCACATTTACCTCACAAAACAACAAAAGTAACTTGAAGGTGTCTGGTTGCAGCTAGTAGCACATATTATCTACACTACAAATATACAGCTTAACTGTCATGGCTTCCCCCTGCAAAAGATCCTGGGACCTACTGTTCAGTGAAGGTGCTAAGAATTATGTTTTAGGTCTGTACAAACTCCCTCCACTCAGACTTCAGGGCCAGCAAAAATGGAATGTTTTTTTAATTGAGGCCTGGTATGGAACACAGGAATTTGCCTTCTATTGAGTCAGGCCAGCCCCACGCTGCTCAAAAAAGCAGTGTGGAGCTTGCATGAAGTCTGCCAACCTCCTCTCCCTCAGCTGTAGGGTGGCTGAGGGGGATGTGGCGGGTGGACGCAAGCCCCACGCTGCTGTTTTGGGCAGCACGGAGCCTGCAGGCTCCTGAGCCACTGCGTCATTCCCAGGAGAGATGCGTAGCTTGGGCGCACTGCAAGCCCCATGGTAAGTGCTGCCCCCTGGGTGATTGGTGCCCAGTGCACCCGTTGCCCCCTAGCTACGCCTCTGTTCTGCCCACTCTCCAGCAGCCACTATGAGCTGCCAAAGGGAGGAGGCTGGCAGCGGTGGCCATGGAGAGGCTCTGCCAGCTCATCCTCCTCCTGAGCTCAGCAGCGGCGGTTATGAAGGGGGACATTCCCAGATCCAAACAGAAGCTGGGAATGCTTCTGTGAATTGGTGTGTCCCACAAAAACTGGGGCGGTTGGAGGGTATGAGCTGTGTTGTTACATATGTTGTACATACATGGGTGTTTACTACTTAATGAAATACCTGTTCTAAATTACTACATTGAATCTAGGACATGGATAGGCAAACTAAGGCCTGGGGCCCGGATCCAGTCCAATCACCTTCGAAGTCTGGTCCGTGGATGGTCCGGGAATCAGCATGTTTTTACATGAATAGAATGTGTCCTTTTATTCAAAATGCATCTCTGGGTTATTTGTGGGGCATAGGAATTCGTTCATTTCCCCCCCAAAAAATATAGTCCGGCCCCCCACAAGGCAAGGTCTGAGGGACAGTGGACCAGCCCCCTGCTGAAAAAGTTTGCTGACCCCCGATCTAGGACTTCATTTTCACAACACATGGTGCCAGGGTGAGATGAAATGTGTGCAGGTTTTACAGAATAAGTGAGGGCTCGTCATCCTTTATCACTCTCATATGAGGCAGCAAAGGAACAGACAAGGAAGAAAAGGATGCTGACATATTCCCCTTCATTTACCTTAGTGCCTCCTGGAAATGCCCCCTTTAACGCCATCCATTTCCTCCTCCCTCTCCCCAATTCCTTCTCCTCTCAAGCTTCCTCATGCCCAGAACCCTAAACTGTCTCTCACCCATCTACACCCCTCCCAACCATATTTTCTCTCTTCCTCCAATTGCCACCTTTACGTCCACCCAATTCCTCCCTTCTCTTCCACCTTGCCATCAGAAAGCTGAAGGTGTCATACACAGAGAGACCCTTCTTCTCTGCAGCAAGGCCTTTCCTTAACCTCTCTTCAAGTTATTTTCTACAAACAAGAGTCCCCTCCTTTTCCTCCTGCTCCCACCCGCTCTGCCTTTAGTCTCTTAGGAGAAGCCAATGAAAACAGCACGGTGATGGACTAGAGAAAATATAGTTGTTAAATGTTCAGAAAAAGGCAGAAGCCCAAGGCAGTACAGTGGTACCTTGGGTTACATATGCTTCAGGTTACTTACACTTCAGGTTTCAGACTCCGCTAACCCAGAAATATTACCTCGGGTTAAGAACCTTGCTTCAGGATGAGAACAGAAATCGTGCGGCGGTGGTACAGCGGCAGCAGGAGGCCCCATTAGCTAAAGTGGTGCTTCAGGTTAAGAACAGTTTTAGGTTAAGAACAGATCTCCAGAACGAATTAAGTTCTTAACCTGAGGTACCACTGTATAAGTTCCTCAACTAAGTTTATTCAACATTTGTCAGTGACAACAGCTCACTCATAGGAACACAAGAACCAAACTGACTGGACAACACGATAATAATCCCAAGCATGTTGACAGTTGAAAGAGAATGCGCTTACTTACCATTAGAACGTTCGTCTACCAACGCTTCTACGATTGATTAGAACGCGCCTTGTAACATAAAATGTGTTGAACCCAATGCATAACACTCCTCCCCCCAACTTCCTAACAAAAGGAACAAACATAGTCATCAAGGTGTGCCGGCCTTTTCCGCTCCCGCTGGGACTGTCAGGGTTCCTGTGCTTGAGTGGGTGACCCAGGAGGTTCCTCCAGTACCCAGGAGGTGGGTGACCCACGAGGTTCCTCTGGTACCCGCAGTCTGAGTGGGGCGGTCAGCAAGGCTGGCTCGGAAGGGGTCACTGCCGATGGATCCACTGAGGATTCCGGCCTGAAGTCGCCCTGCTGGGATAACTCAGTCACCGGCAACCCGTCTGGTTCCCACCCTGGCCTGGGCACAGAATCTCCTGAAGTACCCATTTCTCTGTCCTCTGTTTTCCACTTGAAGTTCCGTGTTTGGACGTGCCCTGGCTCTGATCTGGTCAAGGTGTCTCTTCCAAACCAGTCCCTCCTCCAACCCTACATCGTAGGAAACCGGACCTGTACAGAGGGCAATGATACCAGGAACCCAACTGGGTCTGGGCCCATAGTTTTGGACGTACACAGTGTCCCCCGGGGAGAACCCTCTTGGAGCCCCCCACACCACAGTGGATGGTCATTGCTCAAGAGCCCAGTCGGGCTCCCCATAAGCAACTCCGCTGGGCTCCGGCCAGTCACTGCACTTGTTGGGCCAATAAGAACTCCACTAATTGGAGAGTCCAGTCTCTATGCACTATGCACCTAAGTGCATCTTTGGTAGTATGGACCATGCATTCAGCTTGACCGTTAGTGGCTGGGTGAAAAGGAGCGGAACGAATGTGGCGGATTCCATTCTTGGTTACAAATTCTTTAAATTCCGCCGAAGTAAAAGCGGTCCCATTATCACTCACCAGTGTATCTGGCAAGCCGTGTGTCGCAAATAGCTTCCTGAGCGCATTTATAGTCACTCTAGGGGACATGGTTGAGGTCAGCACCACCTCGAGCCACCTGGACTGAGAATTGACCACTATTAGGAAGTGTTGGCCCTGAAAACGCCCCACGAAATCCACGTGCACCTGAGACCATGGGGACTGTGTGGACTCCCAGAACTATTGGTGCCTTGGGTGGATCCAGCCAGGAGACCTGGCAGGGCTCACAACGTTTCACCCAGCCCTCTATTTCTGCATCTATGCCTGGCCACCATACATAGCTATGGGCCAATGCCTTCATCCAGACGATCCCCGGGTGAGACACATGCAGCCCTTCTAAGACTTTTTTCCTTAACGGGGGGGGGGGGACTATGACACGGCTACCCCATAACACGCATCCTCGGTGAGTAGACAGCTTGTCTTTGTGGGCTGTGTAGCATGAAAATTCTGGACCTGGCTTCCCGGGTCACCCCCTCCCCACCTAGTCCGAGACGCGGGACAACAGCCTATCTTTCGTGGTTGCGGCAGCAATGTTGGGTTTTAGCGCAAACGGGACTCTACGGGCCTTGACCTGAATGGGTTGTACAGTGGAGTTGAGCCGTAGGGAAATCTGGGGTCCGTTGTACAGGCCCAGGGTTCCATTGACGACTGCTCGAAACTCCTGGCAGATTGATTCGAAATCTGCCCCTGGGGAAATCTGATTAAACCCTGAAATATCTAAGCCTGACGGCCCGAACCATGCTAGGCTTAGAAGGCTAGTGAATGGGCCTTCAGTTATGATGAGGTTCAAATTCTTTGTGTACTTCTTAAACTGGACCTTGAAGGTGCCCACCCCCTTTAGCTCAATTCTTTTTCTGTGGAAGTCCTGCAGCACTATGGGAGCCGGAGAGGAGGACCGCCGTTAGGGCAAAGCTCTTTCAGAGTCTTAGCAGATATTATGGAATAGGATGAGCCGGTATCCAACTCTATAGCGCACGGGGTTCCCTCTATCTTGAGTTGTACCCTAAGCTTATTGGACCCCAGAGACGGAAGCTGAAGTACCCTGGCTGGAGAGGTGGACTGTAACTCCTCTATGTAGGCCTCATGGACACGTTGCTTGGGTCATGCTGCAGAGGTCTTGAAGCGGCAGACTCGACCAATGTGCCCAGTCTTCCCACAACGGCGACATGTGGCGTCCCAAAACCTGCATGTCCGACGCTCGTGGTTTTCTCTGCAGCTGGCGCAGGTCCCTCGAGGTGTGTCAGATGAACGCTGGTTCAATGATGCGCTTGTAGCTTGGGAGCGGTGGTGTCGGTCGGATAGGTCCGAAGCTCAGTGGACATCCTCATTGTGGGGACCTACGGAAGACGACCGGTCTTGCTGGATGCGGTGAGTTCTCCTTTCGGTACGTAGGCTGCAGGCCGCCTCATGGGCGCTATCCTTCCCAAAGGCCGTGGCCATATTCATTGCTTCCATCATCGTGATGTCGTCTTTTGCCAGCAGCTTGCAGAGGAGACGGCTGTCTCGCATGCCACTGATGAACCTTTCGAGAAGTCGTTCAGCAAGCTGCTGGTCTCGTGTGCCTTCAAGACCATATCCCAGGACTTTTTACAGGGCAGTCTGTTATTCCAAAGTGTTCTCCATTTGAAGGCCACCTGGTGCAAGTTCAGCGTAAAGATAAGAAAAGAGATCAGAGTCCTTGAAATATATGTTTATCAGTAGCGAGCACCTGGACAGGTCACCTGGTCACATTCTTCCCCATTACAGGGAAATGTATTTATCTTTACATTATAGTATTTGTTTCTAATTTGTAACTATAGATCTAAATGAGTGCATCATTTTTTAGTGCAGATTTGTTTTCCTCATTCAGGGGTGATGCACTTCCTTCATGGGGGACAGTGGATAAATGGCCACCATAATTTCAACCCTACACATAACGCTATGGATAAGGAATAAGTGTCATAAATAAATCAAAATAAATATATAAACATATTTTATTGGCATCCGTCTGTCTCGAGAGACAACGAAGTGCACCTCTGGGTTGAAGTCAAACAGCCGTGTTAGCAGCATTGAAGTGAGCTCCCAGGGGTGCAAACCTGGGAAGTGTGTACAGAGGTCCTGGGCTGCCCAGACAGTGGTCCCCTCTCAGCCTTGCTGCTGTGACCCAAAGGAAAGCACAGCAACACCCTTGGCAGCAGCTTGGCTGCAGGAGTTACCGGAAGGAGGCACACAAGGCGCCATTCAACTGTCTTAGGGACTCCATTCCATATTTGTGTAGGGTTTACTCCATAGCCCTTTCTTCTCCTGAAAAATCCCACAAGGAAGTAGAGGTTTAGGATCAGAGTTTTCCTTCTAGATGGAAAACTTTTCCTAGTTTAGCCAACCAATCAAATACGTTACTGGGGTGTGGTGTGACCGCAGTCCCATGCTGACAGCTTCTAGGAGCTACAGGTGAGAGCTGAGTGCAGGGTGGGGACCAAAGGGGGACGACCCCAGAAGGAATATGACATGTCCCCCACCAGAGATTCTACCCCTCCCCTAACACTCCACATAAACTTTTTGAACATGTATATAATATACACATTTATTACAAACATATATAACATATGTAACAAATATGTGTTTTTATAACTATTTGTATTGATTTTACAAAAGCCAAACAATATAGCAAAATGAATGGGAATGCGCAGTGATCAATTCCCACAAAAAGTATGTATCAAAACATGGGCACATCTGTACAATACATTTAAAGCCTATTTAAAGGGCACTGCTTCCCCTCCAAAGAATCCTAAGAACTTTAATTTGCTAAAAAAAATTCTCTGCAATGAGTAAAGTGGTTCCCAAGATTTTGTGGGGAAAGCCATGCTCATGAAATGTGCTTTAAACTATGGTTACCAGGTGTCCCCATTTCCCGGAGACAGTCCCCGGATTTACAAATCTGTCCCTGGACAAAATCCATCCCTGGAATGTCCTCGGATTTCATTTAACGTCCCTGGATTTATATTTTAAGTGTTGTAGATTTATTAGTAGGGAATGAATGTTGTGTGATTAGTTCAACGGCACAAGACACATCATATGGGGACTTCTGACGAGGCAAAATGGTGGATGCCACGGCAGCAAGCAGCTCCTGAAGCCAGCCAGAGCCAACTGTGCTACCAGGCTGGCTCTGGGCTGCTGAGACTGCTGCTGCCGCCGCCACTGCCAAGGGGGATCTGGGGACGCCTGCCGCGTCAACTGGGTCACCCTGCCCCGTGACCCAAATCGAGCCAGGAGCGAGAGCCCAGCGATGCTCCGGGGCTGACACAGGGAGAAGGAGGAGAGGAGGAGAAGCAAGAGAGAGAAAGAGGAAGGAGAAAAAAGAGGGGAGCCCCGACCTTGCTGCGCCAGCTGAGGACAAGAAGTAGGAGAGCACCAGGAGGGCAAGGACATGTGGCCGAGCCCAGGCCCGATCTGAGCCTCCTCCACTGTGGCTAGCGCTCCAAGAGAGCAGGTCAGGGCCCAGAGGAAGGCTGTGCGACAGAGGAGACCACAAAAGAGAAGATATTACTTCTTAATTTTTTAAAAAATAACTTTTTTTAAAATCCTCTTTTTTTTGGTTAAAAAAATGTCCCTGGATTCGTTGAAAAAAATCTGGTAACCTTACTTTAAACTCAGGGCTTTCTTCAGTCAGAACTTGCCGGAACTCAGTTCTGGCACCTCTCAGGTAGGTGACATTGCCAATCTAAGAGAACAAGGGAGGCATTCATGGTGAGTTCCAGCACCATTTTTTTCTAGAAAAAGAGCACAGTTTAAATGTATAGTGTAGATATGTTCAAAGTCTTTAACAAGACCTTGAAAAGACTCTATGAACTTGGTGGTTTTTATCCATGTTCGTTAATCTTTGCATAAGAAATAAAACTTAACCAGACTGCATAGAATTTTTCTGTGGCTTGAATTTTCTGGTGTGCACAACATCAGCGTGTTAGTTGATCCATTAGCACTAAATCCCAGAGCTATCAATGCCAAATGAGTGCTCATAGCTATCATAGGGTTGCCATATTTCAAAAAAGTGACACAAAAGTTGTTTAGCCCTTTCTTTTGCCCAAAGTTGTTGAGCTTTTGAGCTATTTTTAATGAAATTTGCCAAAAACAACACTTCCGACATGGGCTGCCATAGGTCTGCGCTGCCAACCTGTCTATCCTCAGCCAGTTCCCAACCTGTTGCCTTCTTTTTTTACATCTCATCCAGGGGTGGACCGGCCTATCGGCTTCCGCCTCCTTACTCTCAGTGTTGCTCACTAGGAAGGAGGATGTAGACCAAACTAGAATTAGTTGGCTCCTCCCTCTCATTGGCTCTGGCTCCACCTACTGTTTGGGCTCCCTGTTTTCCACCCTAGCAGTTGAAATAGGCACCAAACTCCACTATTTATCTGACATGCTTTGTGAAAGACACAGGGCTTTTTTTCAGGCAGAGCTCACCGGAGCTGAACTCCAGCACCTCTCAGGTTGACGCCATTGTCATTCCAAGAGAACAAGGGAGGAGCTCATGGCAACCGCTGGCACCTCTTTTTCTAGAAAAATAGCACTGAAAAGACCTCTAGGAAAAAACGTTGAACTAATGGGCAACTCCATGAATGTTGGAAGACTGAGGCAATGATGGCCACCAACCTAGATACGTTTCCAGTACGTTTCTGAGCACAATTCAAAGGATTGGTGTCCCTGTAATCCTGAGGGAGCATCTCCAGCCCCAGCATTCAGCCCCATGGGCTTAGTTGGGGGTGGCAGGGGGAGCTGGCTGGCAAGGATGTTGTTTATATATGTTTGTTATGAGAAGGGAAAACCACATTGAAAAGTGGCAGGATGAGGCACCTAAGTGAATCATCACACACAGCTGCGCTGTGACTCAGGGGGGGGGGAGGTGTGTCAAAAACTAGTGAATGGGCCCAGAGCTCCATTCAGTGGAATGAGCAGGAGGGTCACCTTGCCACCTTTGAAAGCACAGGCAGACCCCACCCCCCACCATTTCTTTTGGTTGATTGGGGAGGAAAGTTTGTGGCTAGAGCATGGGTAGGCAAACTAAGGCCCGGGACCGGATCCAGACCAAACGCCTTCTAAATCCGGCCCGTGGACAATCTGGGAATCAGTGTGTTTTTACACGAGTAGAATGTGACCTTTTATTTAAAATGCATCTCTGGGTTACAGTGGTACCTTGGGTTGCATACTTAATTTGTTCCGGAGGTTCGTTCTTAACCTAAAACTGTTCTTAACATGAAGCACCACTTTAGCTAATGGGGCCTCCTGCTGCCGCCGCGCCGCCACTGCACAATTTCTGTTCTCATCCTGAAGCAAAGTTCTTAACCCAAGGTAATATTTCTGGGTTAGTGGAGTCTGTAACCTGAAGCGTATGTAACCTGAAGTGTATGTAACCTGAAGCATATGTAACCCAAGGTACCACTGTATTTGTGGGGCACAGAGAATTCATTCATCCCCCGCCCCAAATATAGTCCGGCCACCCACAAGGTCTGAGGGTAGAGTGGACTGGCCCCCTGCTGAAAAAGTTTGCTGACCTCTGGGCTAGAGTGTTCGGCCTTGGGAGACCAGGGTAAATTTGTGTAAATAAACCCATATATCCTTAAACACTAGTATCCACCATCCCTGCTTCCAAGGAAACTTAACATGGCATAAGCACCTGGAACCCTTGGAATTTTGCGCAGCTCAGTGACTTGGGCAGCGTGCAACAATATTGTTCTTCTCGTTGTTGTTTAAATTATCTGAATATAAAATGTTAATCCAAATGTTGCAACAAGTCTGAGCCCTGCAGCTGGCATAAACATTATTATTTAAATTATACAAATATAAAACGTGACTCCAAAGTTGGAGTTCTGCAGGTTGCATACATCATCATCATCATCAAAATACAAAAGGTGACTGAAAGCGCTGCAACAGGCCTGAGTCCTGCAGCTGCCCTGAATCATGCAAACAGAAACGTGGTCAACGTTAAAACTAGATTAAAAAACAAACCCGCCGCAGGTGTGCTTTTGATCACCGCAAATATGCACAGTACATATTGTATTACTCTTTAAGGCTCCTCCCCGTCCCGTCTCCTCCTCTCCTAGGCTCCTCCCATCTGGGCCTTTCCTGAGGAGCCACGCGGAGCCCGCCCCTGGCCACGTGACCCCCTCCTCCTCCCGCCCGCCTCCCCCGGAAGCAGAGGTTCGCTCGGCTAGCGCCGCGCCTCTTTCCCGGCCTGTCTCTCCTCTCCCTGGCTGCCCCTCCCTCCTTCTACTTCCTGTCTCGGGCGGAAGCGAGGGGCGGGATTTCCCTTTCCGGGTACGGGTCCCCAGGCGGAGAGAGAAAGAGGGAGAGGGAGAAGGGGGGGAGGGAGAGGAAGGCGAAGCGAGATTGAGCCCCCGGGCGCTGGACGGAGGAGAGGCTGAGTGAGTGAGCGGCCGGCAGGAGCTGCCGGGCGGGGGGAGGCCCAGGAGGAAGGAGGAGGCCCAGGAGGAAGGAGGAGGCCGAGGCGGCGGCGGGAGGAGGCCTGGGCCGAGGCGGCGGCGGCGGCGCGCGCGTCATGGCGGAGCTGGCTCTGGGGCCGAGCGCGGCACCCGCGGGGGCGGGGAAGAGCGAGGGCTTCGTCGACGCGCTGCACCGCGTCCGCCAGGTAAGAGCGGGTGGGTGGGGGCGAAGGCCGCATGGCAGACGGCGAGGAGGGCCCGGCCTGGCCCCTCGCTTCGCCTCGGCCTTGGCAGCAGGAGGAGGCAGCATATGGAGAAGTGGGGAAGGGTAGCCCCTCGGGCCTCCTCCTGGGGGGTGTGGGAGGCAGGGAGGCCGGCACGGGGAGGCGTTTCTGGTCCTTTCCAGGGGTCTGCCCCGAACTGCATCCCATCCAGGGGCCATAGCGTGGCGCGCGAGACAACTTCCCGAGTTCTCTGGCGTGGGTCGAACTCAGTGTTGCCTGCACTGGCAGGCAGAGGCTGTCCAGCGTTTCAGGCGGATTGGTGTGTGTGTGTTGGGGGGAACCTCGACGGTCCTGTGTAAAGGAAACGTTCCTAGCACTGAACTGTGGCCGCTTTTCCCAAACGAGGCAGACTGCGTTGCCTACACTGGCAGGCAGTGGCTCTTAAGGGCTTTCAGGCAGGGACCTTTCGCAATCCCACCTGGAGATGTGGGCATGGGGGAATGGACTTGGAGCCACCAAGCCACAGTTCTGTCTCTTAAAGAGGAAAGCAAGGCTCTAGCCCTTGTGGTTCTGAATAAAGGGATGAGTTAAGTGGGGGCATGAGAAAGCTGTCTTATACCATGTAAGAACGTTGTCCTGTTTAGCTTAGTGGGCTGGGATGGGGTAGGTAGGCTAAGCCAGGCCAGGAGGAGGAGTAGGCATATGGAAGGTGGGCCCATCATAACTCCTCCTGGGAGAAGGGATGCCATTGTGGGAAAGGGTGTGTGTCAAGTGTGGGGATACATTTTTCTCCATGGGACACAATGAGGCATAAGGTAACTTCCTGAGTTGGAACATTGGAGTTTGTTTATCTCAGTGCTGTCTACACTGATAGGCAGCAGCTTTCAGCTGTGGTCTTTTCCCAGCTGTGGCTGGAGATGCTTCTGAAGATTGAACCTGGGGCCTTCTGCATGCAACCGAGTTACAACCATTCCCCATAATATAGGAACACAGGAAGCTGCCTTACAGTAAGATTATTAGGGTCTGTCTAGCTCATTGTTAGGGACGCGGGTGGCGCTGTGGGTTAAACCACAGAGCCTAGGACTTGCTGATCAGAAGGTTGGCGGTTCAAATCCCCGCGATGGGTTGAGCTCCCGTTGCTTGGTCCCTGTTCCTGCCAACCTAGCAGTTCGAAAGCACATCAAGCGCAAGTAGATAAATAGGTACCGCTCTGGCGGGAAGGTAAACAGTGTTTCCGTGCGCTGCTCTGGTTCGCCAGAAGCGGCTTAGTCATGCTGGCCACATGACCCGGAAGCTGTACACCGGCTCCCTTGGCCAGTAAAGCGAGATGAGCGCCGCAACCTCAGAGTCGGCCACGACTGGACCTAATGGTCAGGGGTCCCCTTTACCTTTACTAGCTCATTGTTGGATAGCGTTGTCTGCACTGACAGGCAGTGGCTCTCCAGGATTTCAGACAGGGAGCAATTCCAAGCCCTACTTGGAGATGCTGCAGGGAATTGAACCTGAGACTTTTAAGCATATGTTTAAACACTGTGCTGTGACCTTACTCCTAAAAATGAACTAAGATTCCAGACCTCATGGTTCTGAAATAAAAGCTGATTTGAATAGGGACTTACAGAGCTGCCTTATACTGAATCAGACTGTTGGTCCATCAAGCTCAGAAGGCTGGTCTGGGGCAGGCCTGGACGAGGCATATGGGAGAAGGAAGAGGTCACCTGTCATGCTTCCTTTTGCGAGATGGGAGACCAGTGTGGGAAAGGGTGACATATATTAATGCTGTGTGTCAGGTGTGGAGAAGCCTTTTGGGTTTGTGACCAAACTGTATAGGAATAGGGTCATGGTTTTAAAACTGGGAACATAGGAAGATATGCCTTATATTGAGAAAGAGTATTGTGATCTGTCTTAACTCAGTAATGCCTACACTGACTGGTAGAGGCTCTCCAGGGTTTCAGGCAGGGGAGAGTTCCCAGCCCTACCTGGAGATGCTGCTTTGGTTGAGCCTGGAGTCTTGTGCATGTATACTTTGTCACTGAGCCATGGTCCCTTTCTCTAAAAAGAGTTAAACCCTTGGTCCGTCCAGCTCAGTATTGTCACAATGACTGGCAGCCGTTTCCCAGGGTGTTGGGTAGGGAGTATTTCTCAGTCCTACTTGGAGATGTTGAGGATTGAACCTGGGACCTTTAAAGCACGTGCTTTAATGATGAACTTTAGGGGCCCTTCCCCTAAAGTTACAGCAAGGTTCCAGTCCTCAGGGTTTTGAATTAAATAGGGAGCTGCCTTGTACTGAGTCAGACTTTTGGGGTTTATCTAACCTGGTATTTTTTACATAGACTAGCTGCAGCTCTCCAGGTTTTCAAGTTAAGAATCCAAGAAGAGCCCAGCTGTGGGTCTCTTTGACCTAGGATGTTATAGCCTGCCTAAGTGGCCTTCGGCACCTGAGGTGTGTTTTGGGTGCTCACCCCATTACTGTGATTGTAATATTGTTTACAATTTAATTGTTTTTAATTCTAGTTTTTAAATTGTTTGAACCAATCCTGGGACCTGCTGGTGAAGGATTGGTAGTAAGTTTAACTACAATTTATTGATAATAATACTCGAAGCAGACTCATTGAAATAAGTCAACTTCAAGCTACTCATGCCAAATCATTTTCAGTGTGTCTAACCCTGAGTATAATTAATGTTGGCCACACATACCCATGCTAGAAATTCACCAGGTGCATTTTGCAACTGGTGCAGGTCCAATTGTGACTATGTGGGAATCTTTGGGTGTCAGGTTGGTAACTGACATCGCCATCTGACTGGCCGCTCCAGCTTTCTTAAGCAGGTAAGCGGAAGAGCGTATTTATTGCATTTATATCCCACCTTTTTCTCCATAGTTCACCCCCCCCCGCATTTAATCCCTACAACAATCCTATGAGGTAGGTTAAGAGGCTGTGACTGGCCCAAGGTCACCCAGTGAGCATCATGACTTAGTGGGGATTTAAGCTCTGATCATCTCCCAGGTCCTAGTCCGACATCCTAGAGTACTTCTGCCATGAGGCGGCTATATAAATTAAGTAGATAAATAAATATGGGGAAAGCAAAATGTCACTTAGAGAAGGGTCTGAAATATATTTCTTGAAGCTTGAATTTGTTGTACAGTGGTACCTCGGGATGCGAAAGGGATCTGTTCCAGAGCCCTGTTCGCATCCTGAATGGAACGCGACGGCGTGTCTGCACGGGGCGCATTTTGCCGCTTCCGCGCATGCGTGTGACGTCATTTTGAGCGTCTGCGCATGCGTGAGCGGTGAAACCCGGAAGTAACGCACTCTGTTACATCTGGGTTGCCACGGAGCGCAACCTGAAAGCGCTCAATCTGAAGCACATTCAACTCGTGGTATGACTGTATTCTGGATTGTTTTGTTTGATGTTTTAATGTGTTGTAAATCACTTTGAGATTTTTTTCATTAAAATATAAAGCAGTATAGAAATGAAATGAATACTACTACTACTAAATTCCATTACTATTAGATTTTCCATTAGATATTCTGTTGTGGCGACCATAACCTAGGTTTAAGGTGCCATTTGGCAATTATCTTACGTATATGAGTTTCTAACACTGCCCTCCCCCATTTTTCCCAACTCAGATTTTCCCAACTTTGGAAGCCCCCTCCCAAAGCAGGATGTTTCATAGAGTCATAGAATTGTAGAGTTGGGAGGAACACCAAAGGTCATATACTCCAGCCCTCTGCAATGCAGGAATTGAAGCAGCCTTCCTTCTCTTTTGCATGACCTCACCTCCAGCTCCCCCCCTCCCCAGCTGCTGATCTCCAAAGGTAGACTGCCTCTGACATGGAGGAGTAGCCCAGCAGCCTGTTTTTCAAGCCCAGATGCTTTTTTGGAAGCCCTCCCAAATCTGCCCTTCTCCTCCCTTGCTTGGCTTCCCTCTCTACCCGTTTCCCTCCTTCAGCAACTGGTCTCCAAAGGTAGACTTCCTGTGGGCATGAAGCCTTTGCTCCCTGTTGTAGCTAGAAAAAGCTATTGTGGAGCTTTGCTTGCTTAGTCCCAAAATGTCTATATTGGGCACTGTCATGTTTTCATGACAGTGGCCAATATGATATTCAACGCCCTTTTAAAATGTGCTGGGGTATTATTGGGTGGTTGTTGCTTTTCTTTTGATTATGTATTTTGTGTTTTTATATTGTGATTTTATCATGTGAACCACCCTGAGACCTACGGGTATACAAATTTAATAAATAATAATAATAATTTTCATAGCACCACCCCATTGCCCTGTTTGGGAGCCGCACCCCAGGCAGGATAAGGGGCGATGGCCCTCTCCAGCAGTTGCTTTTTGTAAGGTACACTGCCTCTGGACAGTTAATGTTTGTCATGGTTAATAAAACCAAAAGGGCTTTGTTGAATAAAAATGAAAGTTTTATTATGCTGATGATGTTTTCATCTATTTTGTTCAGAGAATTTTGTTTACCCTGCTCCATGGCAGTGGCCGTGGGGGGACAGGGTGCTCACAGAGCAGCTTAACAAAGGTCAGTAGTAAGACAGTCCCTACCCTCACAGGCTTGCTATCGAAAATACATGATGCAAGAGGAAAGAAGAATGGGGGTGGGTGGGAAGATAACAGTTCCAGTCTGCCACTGGGTGACAGTTGAGAGGGAACCAAAGGCTGCTGGTCTCTATGCAGAAATTGTGGGATTGCCCGGCTGGGCTCCTCTGCTTTTGCTCTTCAGCCAGATGTAAACAACCACTTGAGGAAGAGCCAAAAGTAGATGGTGTCTCTCTTGTCTTTTTTTTTTTTTAAGGAACTTCTAAATGAGTTCTGCTGGATGTAGAATCAAACAGGCGTTCTATTTTCCCCTCCACCCAAACCAGTAAGACCAAAGCATCTTGGAGAGCCCCATAAGCTGGGGGTGAAAACAGCAGCCCTTTTCTGCTATTGCCACACCCACCTGCCAGGTGGACTACCTTTGGACATGAATGTTCTATTCAGTGGGTAGGCAAACTAAGGCCCGGAGGCCGGATCCGGCCCAATCGCCTTCTAAATCTGGCCCGCGGACGGTCCAGGAATCAGTGTGTTTTTACATGAGTAGAATGTGTCCTTTTATTTAAAATCCATCTCTGGGCTATTTGTGGGGTCTGCCTGGTGTTTTTACATGAGTAGAAAGTGTGGTTTTATTTAAAATGCATCTTTGGGTTATTTGTGGGGCATAGGAATTCGTTCTCTCCCCCCCATATAGTCCGGCCCCCACAACGTCTGAGGGACAGTGGACCAGCCCCCTGCTGGAAAAGTTTGCTGACCCCTGTTGTATTACTAGGATGGCTTAGTAAAAACTGAGCCTTGCAGAATCAAGGGCAGCAGCCTGTTTTCTCACAGTGGGCAGTAATGTAGAAAGCTGCAGCCCTACCTGGAGATGCCAGGAATTGAATCTGGGATGTTCTGCGTGCAAGGCGGATGCTCTGCAGCAGGGCCAGAGCCCTTCCTGGGATCATAGAAAGCTGCTTGATACAAAGTCAGACTAGCGGTCCATTTAGTCTTGTCTACATTGATTGGCAGCAGTTCTGTAGAGTTTTGGACAGGATTCTCTCTCCAGCTCCACCTGGAGATGCTGCTGTGAATTGAACCAGGGGCCTTCTGCATGCAAGGCAAATGCTTTGCTCATTAGATATCTTCCCAAGATGCCTAGGAAGCAAAGAAATAGATGAAGGCAGTAGTGTCCTTGATGTTGCTTCTTAGCACGTTGGTACAGTACCCCTCTTGAACTTGGAGGTAACATACAGCAGATGTGGCTGAATTGAGTTCTTGAGTTAGGAATGTGTGATCACTGACCCTGGAGCCGGCCCTACCATTAGGACATAGTGAGGTAGCTCCCTAGGGAATGGGCGGTGGCATCAGGGTAATCAATGGAAAATCATGCTCCCGCAGAGCCTGTTATTGTATATCATGTGGTGTACCTGCCACCCCCTTAGCCAGCCTTCTTCAGTCTTTGGGTCCCATATATTGTTGGACTATGATCCCATCACTGTGACCATTTGCTGTGCTCTCTAGAGCTAATAGGATTTGGAATCCAAGAACATCTGGAGGGCTACAGTTTTGCTGCCCCTGCCATACAACCAAGATGGCAAGTAGCTATTGCTAGCTCCCCATCCCCCTGTGAATCTAAACCTGTGTTACAACAGAGTCACATCTAGTTGAGCATCCTGTTCTCACTGTAGTCAAGCAGCTGTCTTTGGGAAGCTCATAAGCAAGACCTGAGTGCAACAATACTCACACACCACTTGCAGTTCCCCACAACTGGTATTCAGAGGTATGTTGCCTCTGACAATGGGGGTATCTCTCCTCCCCCTGCACATTACGTACCTACTTTTTAAGGCAAACATTCTCAATAATCTCACTGTAGCCTTTCCTCATAGAAGAGTTGTCCTTTTCTATGCCTTTTCCAGCTGTGCTGTATCCTTCTTGAGATACAGCAACTGGAACTGTAAGCGTTGGGCCTCAGCACGCTGGCAATTTTGTCTTTCTGTTCACTGTTTTCATTTGGTTTTATCTCTTCAGGGCGTGAGTGGGATGTGTTTGTCAGAGATTCTTGAGTTCTTTTGGGGGAGGCTCCTGGAGAGGAATGCGGGGAGTAGGGGTCAGATGATAGGGGCCGGAACCAGGAGATGTCCAGCATGATACTTTTGGAAGAGTTCTCTTCTAATTTAATGATTTTTGCTTGTTTCGCCATCCAGAGGGCTGCCATTCTGTGGCAGCTCAGATTCCTGTCGCATCTTAAAAGACAGATTTGTTGTAGTATAAACTTTTGTGGACTGCAGTTCTCTCAGTCAGGCTTCATACATCTCATACATTTAAAGCACACACAACCAAGAATCTTGGGAACTTTACTCCTCACAGTTCTACACGTTCCATTACTTTTAACAAACTACAGTTTTCATAATTCTTTGGGAGCAGTTTTGTGGTTTAATGTGTTTTAAATGTATGCTGTGGGTGTGATCAAATTCTCAATAGAGCCCAAACAGTTCCTGAAATAAATTTGCCTTATTTTCCATTGGCATATTCTGGTTGGGACTGTGGGCAGGGCAGGAAAGGGTTAAACTCCCCCCATGTGCTACCTTTTTGACAGCTATGCCAAACTTTTAAGCCACCATCACCAGTTGATATGGTGACCAGTACAGTACTGTATTTAGCACCTGTTCAACTTTTGGCCCTCCGTACTTACGAAAGAGCATGAGGTGCCTCTCTCCCATAGAGCATATTTATAACGCCTTTGTGCTACCTGACAAAAGGCTCTGCTTTATATCTCTGCCATACATGTATGTTTCAACAGATCTTTCTGTTTGCTTCAGAATGGTAGAGCTGCATTCTACCTGGCTTGCTTTACAATTCCCAGTAATCTCTTCTTATTTTTTTGGTGTGTGTGTGTGTGTGTGTGTGTGTGTGTGTGTGAAGTGCTATACATAATATCATTGTTAGTTGACTGTAATACTTCACACACCTTGAGGAAATAGACTCTAGGCTAGGGATAGGGAATCTGTAGTCCATCAGTCCCAGCCAGCATGTTCAATTAGGGCTGGGTGATGAGAGTTGTAGAAAACTGGGGAGCTCCCAATTTCTGCTCTGGCCTGTGAAAAGTTGTGCCACCAAACATCTGTTAGTTGCCAGAAGACATATTGGCTGTCTCGTTTCATAATCATTACTGATTGTGGGGCACAAACCAGTCTAGAATCTTTCTCAAGAGATTCCTCTTTCTGGTCTGGTCTTTTGGAAAGGAAAATGAAAGATGGGAAGACAGAAAGTAGAAATCAGCAATGATTGAAGTTCTTGTGCCCTGCCCTCCGTTATCCTTTGCGGAGGGGGCAGCAATCTAGGAACTCCTTAAGGCCTCTTAATGATCTTCTTGAAAGTAGAGGGGGGTGAAAAGGGGATTTAGGTGAGTACACTGTCTATAGTGGATGACATGATGATAAATGCTGGAGGGCTAGAAGTGTTCTCTAACTGCAAATATGCCCTCAAGCTTTGTAGCAGTATAACTGATAATAAACCTCATAGAATTGTAGGATTGGAAGGGGAGTCCAAAAGCTCATTTAGTCCAACCCCATGCATCCCTGAAATCTGAACCCCAGGCCTTAGGTGGCCTACCCCTGCTCTAGAGCACTGGTCTTCAGCTGATGTGTTGAGACCCTCCTCCATCCATCCAAAAAAGGCTTGTGGACTGATCTAAGGTGGGCTGGATTCACAGCCCTAACACAGTGCATCTATTGTAGAAAAAAAGGAATGGGTCTCCAAACGTGTTCAGCTTTGAGGTCTGGAAGACCTGCTCCCCACCTTGCAAGACTTTCCCCACCTGACCTGGGAGGTGAACAGAATCTTGGGGTATTGTTTAGTGCGGTGTTGTTGTCATTGATATTATTTATTGTATCTTTATTTTTAGATCTTAAAATGAATTATGTGGGAATTTGTTAAGTTTTGTTGTGTACCCTTTGATGTGTTTTATTTCTTGTTTATGGCTACTTCTGTTATGTTTGCAATCATGAAAATGATTCATATTGCAAGCCGCCTTGAGCAGCATTCTACCTATGGAAAGGTGGCATACAAATGTGATGGTGGTGGGGGTTGGGTTAAAGGTGGGTCCCACCCCTGTAAATGTTGGAGGCTGCTGCTCTAGAGCGTATGTGAAAAGATGTATGGAGTTGCCTTAGAATCTTGTTGGCCATAAAACTGCTTTCTAGTCTGACAGCAGGTTTGTGTCAAGACCTTTTAACTTTTGAACTCGTATGTTGCACATGCATAGTTGATCTCTATCAGTGACCTGCATTGTAGCTGAGGAGGCCACATGATTTGTCAGAGGTAGCTTGAGAAACTTGGGTTTCAACTCCTTCATCTTTGGCCATGGGCAAACTAGGGTTTCTCAGGCTCAACCCACAATATGCAGATATGTGATGGATGAGGTATGGGTTTGAGTCCCCTAGTATCCACTAGGCTTGCCAAAAATGTTTCATTAGTAAGTGATTCTGAGGGTCTGTTTTTATTCCCTATACATGTAATAATCATTGTTGTGATCTTGCCAAATACCAACATGCAAACTTTGATTTTGCATGTTTATTGAAGCACCTTGGCATTTCTTCTTGAAATGAATTTCAGAAGTATTTCTTATATAAATTATTTAAATAATGATAATGGTGGTATTATTCACCATGATTCCAAATCCTTTTCCCTGGTCAACCACTGCCAGTTCAGACCCCCATCAGTGTATAAGTCGAGTTAGGGATTTACTTCTGCCTGGTATGCATTACTTTACTTTTACTTAAAATCTGTTATTTTTGACACCTGTTCATCTAGTTCAGAGAGGTCTTTTAGAGTGCTTCACAGTCTGGTTGAGTTTTCACCATCCTGTTTTTTTTAAAAAAAACCAACCACCTTGTTTTCATTAGACAAATTCATGGAGGAGAGGGTTATCGATGGCTATTAGCCACAATGATTATGCTCTGCTGCCACCTTTGAAGGCAGCAGTGCTTCTGAATACCAGTTACTGGAAACCAAAGAAGAGAAGAGTGCTCTTGTGCTTGAATCCTGCTTGCTGGTTCCACATGGGCATCTGGGCTGGGCACTTTGTTTTTTGTTGTTTTTTTTAATGATCTTTATTGAAAATTTTAAAATTACAAAAGAGAATAAAAAAGAAAAAAAGAAAGAAAAAACAAAGAAAAGACAAACCACAGTCAAACAATACAAATTAATAAAAATCAAAATCAAAAATAACACGACACAATTAAAAAACAAAAATATACCACAAACATTTAAAAACAAATCCAATATTCTCGTATCTTTAACTGTCATTACCTTCTTTCTTTGACCTCCTCCTCCTCCCTTTTTTTTGTATCCTGATTATTAATTGTCACAGCAAATCCTTTCCATATTTCATAATATTCTGTCATTACTTTACCTTAATCTATTTTAATCTTATCTTACTATGAAAAACTTAAAACTTAAATCTTATTTTTACCAATTTCTCATAACCATAATATTCTTACATAATTCTTTAAACATTTTTGCTAAAGCCAAATAATTTCGTTCCAACATTTCTAACATTCATCAATTTTATAAAACAATCATAATAAAAGAAATAACAATCCAATCTTCATCCAGCGTCTCTTCCTCCTGGACCCGGGTTTTGTCAGTCCTTTCTATCCCATCAATCTAGCGCATTAACCTGGTAACCTTATGTCCGAGGCCCTTAAGTCTCTTCCATGTCCCTTCCGCAGCTCTTCTTCATATTTATAGCTATATTTTCCTTTATCTCCTACTTCTTTCACTCTTGGGAACTCCAGCTTGACAATGCTTTTGACCCTTCTCGACAAATCAGCCCCTTTTCCATAGTCCCCACTAAGTTCCATGTGGTATTTAAGAACATGTTTCAAAAACCCTCCAAAATTAAGAGCCCCCACAACCCCAAACATCTCACGGCCCATTGCCAGACTCGAAAAGTCCAAACCTCCCTTTCCAAATCTGGCTTTTTCCAAGTTCATTTGTCAAATCCAAGAATTCATGTTCCTGCTGGGCCGCAGCTCCCTCCATCCCTGGCGCCCAAGATTCAGCAACATCCTCTTCCCCTATCTGTTCTGTCAGGGCACACTCCTGATCTAATTCCTGGGTGGGCTCTATATAATATCCCACTGCCTGTCCAAAATTTCTAATCGCATCAGTCATAAAATCCGTCTTCTCATGTAGCTGTTCCAGTAGGGCACTTGTTTTACAGAAAGCACTCAACAGAGCTTCTGAATACATTGTCCTGCAAGGTCAGAAGTCTATTCCCACGATCGTAATCTGTAACAGCTGCGAGCTTACCGATTCAAAATTGGTTACAGTTTCACAGGCTCCCTCTAGGGGAAAGACTTCTGCTTGTTCTTTTCTTTTAGAAACAAATCTAACAACAAAGTTTTCTTTTTCAGATATTTTGTCAATATTTGTTCCTTTAAAATGTGAAGGGGAACAATGGAATCGCTATGTATCTCTTCCTTTAGCTATCTGTCAAAAACGTTTGTCTCTGGTCAATGAGCTTCAAAGAACGTCAGTCCTGACACCCCGTTCCAGGATCAAGACGGTGGAAAGTTACTTTACTTTACACTCACTTCTGCAGGTTTAAACAGTCCAGAAAAAATCCCCCCTCTTCTCCTGCTTCCAAAGGGGGTTCCACAATTTTAAATGATGAAAGTTAATCCTTTAGAAACGGTTTTCAGAACTTTAGTTTGCTGTGTCTTTGCTTTAATCTGTCTACAAAGAAACGGAAGGCTGACTTCCTGTTTAGACCTTCCCGTTTCAGTGCCAAATTAAATTAAACTTTTAAGTCCAGTTTTCCTTTCTGCTCACAAATCCTTATTTAGAGTCCAATTGTCCGAAACTTAAGTACTCACGGGTGGTTGTTTTAAAAGCCAAATTGTCCCAGGAAAAAGGCAGCGCTCTCCGGCAACGGCTGTGCGGCTTTGCTCCACGGAAGAAGCAGTTGACTCTCAGCACCGCGCCACTTCCCCCTCTTCGCTCCGGAGCCCGTTAGTGGGTTCCTTTGCGGGTAGGGGGGGCGCTAAAGGTGCCCGCCGAGTCCCATGGTCACAGGCTTCATCCGCCTGTGATTTTTGAATGCGTCCCCGCTTCGCCGTAGCGGAAAAGACCCGATTCCCGTGGAGCTGGTCCCTCCAGTTCAGAGGGAGTCCGCCATTGCCGATGGCGCCACCCCGGAAGTCCTGGGCTGGGCACTTTGAAGACAGGATGCTGAACTAAAAGTAACTTGTCTGCACTTACCCCACCCCACTGCTTTGTTCACAGTTGTGAAGAATATTCTTATGTTATGAATGGTCCGTGTTGCCATTAAGAAAATGAGGTAGGAATAGACCAGTATATATGTGGACTGTCCCTGGATAAAGTGACTTTTCTTCTTTAAGTTCTCAAAGTTCTTAACCTAGCCCAGGGTTGTCATCAGAACTAGCCAGATGTTTAACTGATAATCAGTCACAGTCAGTCTATGAAAAAGAAGACTTTAGAGTCATCTTGCCCTTAAATGGCAACTAGATATTTTGTTTTAGCAACTAACCTTGGTTTAAGGAGCCATCTGGTGCCTAGCTTATATATCTGAGTTTCTAACCCTGTTTTTGAACCCGGTTCAATAGCACAGGTCCCAGAGCAGATCCTTGGGAGACCCCACAGCTCATTCCCTTGTGACAATTCCATTGTGACAGCCGTCTTCTATTGTGACAGGCACTCATGAACTTCTAGTCTTTTTCTCCCCCGTACTCCCCTTTATCCTGGGCATCACAAGTCTCAGATAAGTGAGTTAGCTGACATAACTCTTGTTTCTTAGGAAGCCTGAACGATGCTGCTCTTGCTGATTTCGAATGTAGGTTGTATGTTGTTGGTATGGACTTTTTTGTGGGTAGATCAGAAGGTTGGGGTTCTTCCTAGAGGAATGTACTTTAGGGCAGATGTTTGGGGCAGCAATTTTATGGGTCTGTCTCTGTCTATGTAAGTTCTTTTCCCTGCTACTACTGATGTATCATGGCTGTGCTGCTCACTCCCCACTCCCTTTGTTTCGCTATTCTATTCTCACTGCAAGGGCAGTTTCCAAGTGGGGAGGTGTGGTTTAATCTTATCTAACCAGGGTAGTTGAGATTCCTGCATTGCAGGGAATTGGGCCATGACCTTTGGGGTGCCTTCCAACTCTACAGTTCTATGATTCTGTAATAAGTCAGGAGATACAGGTTTATCAGTCTCATTCATAAACCAGTGCTAAGCTAGAGTTCTCCAGTTATAACAGGGAACTGTGGTTTAATTCAGGTAGGTAGCCGTGTTGGTATGATGCAGTCAAAATATATTTAAAAAATTGTCCAGTAGCACCTTAGAGACCAACTAAGTTTGTTCTTGGTATAAGCTTTCGTGTGCATGCACACTTCTTCAGATACTTTGTGGTTTAATGTGAGCCACAATGGAATGCTAAAGCCTTAACACAGTGGGAAGCAGACAGTGGGAAGCAGACAAGCCAGGCACTTGTTCTCACCTGTGTAAACCATAGTTTGAGAAGTTAGGAAAGGTTATATGTATGTGACTATAGGCAACAACCATTTCACATGGGAGTTTCTTTTCCCGGTCCCCACATGTATTGGCAGATCTCGCATAAGTGTGTTCTGCCCCTCCCCCATTCCACCTACATTCTTCCCTCATCCAGGTCCAAAAGGACCTGTGCGCTAGTGATCATATATCATTTGGACGTACCTAAAATGTTTGTCACTTGTATTCAAAAGGAGTGTGCAGGGGTCAGTAAAGAGTGAGTGAAATGGACTTCACATCGGTTTTGGACGATATATTTCCCAGCCACAGCAAGAACTTCTCAGGCTCTGCCTGCCTAAGCCTTTGAAGAAGCCCCCTGCCGCACCAGCTTACTTGAGCCAGAGTAATATGAGGGCTTGCTCAGCTGGGGAGCGGGAGGCTTGCCACCCCCAGCTGAGCAGTTTAAGGAAGCCCTAATGCCCTTCTGGGTTGTGTGAGCTGGAGCAGTATTGGGGCTTGGGCTGGGCGATGCTGACTGGGGCTGATGGGAATTGGAGTCCCAACATAGTCTGGAAGGCCACACAGTTCCCTGATCTAAGAAGAGGTCACCTCTTCTTTCATGATGATTGCCTCTTCTAAATAAGAGGGCTTCTTCCATCTCTTGCAAGCAGTAGGGAATGATGCTGCAAGCTAGATCAGGGGTCAAATGTTGCTGGACTCCACTTTCCACCATCCCTGAACGTTAGCCATACTGGCTGCAGGGGCTGATGGGAGTTGGATTCCCCGTAACATCACAAGCGTCACAGGTTTCTCATTTCTGCCATACTTTTAAAAAGGGGGGGGGGGAGAGAGACAAGTTAAAGTGGAAAAAAGAGATGTCTCCGCAACAGCTTTGCAGTTGTCAGGGTTGCCTGGTGTGATAAGGTGGCTTCCGTTTCTATGTCCACATCATAAGGGACGCGGGTGGCGCTGTGGTCTAAACCACTGAGTCTAGGGCTTGCCGATCAGAAGGTCAGCGGTTTGAATCCCCGTGATGGGGTGAGCTCCCATTGCTTGGTCCCAGCTCCAGCCAACATAGCAGTTCAAAAGCACGTCAAAGTGCAAGTAGATACTTCCGGCGGTGTTTCCGTGTGCTGCTCTGGTTTTGCCAGAAGTGGCTAGGTTGCCTACCCCTGGGTTTAGTCATGCTGGCCACATGACCCAGAAAAATTGTCTGCAGACAAACGCCGGCTCCCTCGGCTAGTAAAGCGAGATGAGCGCTGCAACCCCAGAATCGTTTGCGACTGGACTTAGCTGTCAGGGATCCTTTACCTTTTTTAAGAACAACATAATCAAGTCTCTTTTCTGTTCCTGACACCCCCAATAAATCTTCCATTTTAATACGGCATTTGTAAAAATGTGTTTGGACCTGTTACTATTTTATAGAGGGAGGGAGAGTTCTTAGTACCCCACCCCTTGTGTTCTGGTATTAGAAGGTGCTCAGGATTTGTCAGCTATTAGCTTGAGCCTGACATAGGGGCATGTGATGTGTTGTGGCTGTTTTGGGGTGCAGAGAGCAGCATGTATGGGTTTCCACATTGGGAGAATGACAGCTGTTGGTGGGTAGGGTATGACATTGATGTTTGATAGGCTGAGTCAGTGCAAACAGGAACTGAGCAGGGAGAGCAAAAAGTCTTAAGTGCATTTTGGATTTTTGAGGGGGTATTTACTGAAATTGTTAATGGGTGCCACTGGAGATAGTGACAGGCACACTGGTGCCTGCAGGTGCCATGTTAGCCATCCCTTGGTGTAGCCAAGCTGCCCGGGGAGTCTGGTTGAGATGCAGCTCCAACTAGCTGGGCTTCCCAGTATCCTTTTTGACATGTGACATTAATTCAGTTTCTTGGTTGCCAGTGTGGGGTTGGTTCCCTCTGGCTGAGCCACCAAAATGGCATTGTTCCTTTGCACTACCAGCCCTTTGAAACAACAGTGAAACTGTGTCATGTTTCTGCCATAGCCCCTCCCTGCTGCACCATACCCTCTGGGTGGACACTCCCTGCATACCCCACCACAGTTGTGACTTGTACACCTCCCATGTGGAGGAGACCTCCAGCTGACCATGGCTGAGTTGTGAGCCAGACCATGGTCCTATGTGCTCCTAAAGCATCTCTGTGGGGGTTGCTTTCAGCCTGTTGCTCAACTGTTAACAGAATCTAGGAACAGGCACCTCTAATTAATTTAGTCAGGAAAATGGGCATGAGCAGCGGGAGAGTATAATGTTGCAGTGACCCTTGAGGGGTGCGACTTGTTATTTCTTTGTTGGCAGTATCTGCGTCAACCACTTCCATAGGAGCAAACCCACCAATGTCCCAGGTAATCTGTACTGTGCTCTGGTTGGCTCAGTCCATTAACTAATCAGTTCCTTCTCCTGCCTTTATAAACTTGCTGCCATCTGCATAGCCTCCTCTTGGATTCCGTCTCTCACTCATGCTGCATCGTGTGTCTTTTGGTCACGCTCTAGCATGATGAAATTTTGATTCCCCACCCCACCCCGCAATATTTATATTGCTGTAAAAGCTGTTTCTTGCTGTTTCAGCCACATAAGAAGTAAACTAGTTTGCTCATGTTGTTCCAAACTTCTTCTTTCTTTCTCTACAGCAAATGGCTGCTAAAATTGGTGAGATCCCTCACTTGAATAATTCCACACCGCTTGTGGACCCTTCAGTGTACGGTTACGGAGTAAAACGGCCCCTGGATGATGGAAGTAAGTCTCCCTGGTTTTCTTCTGTTTTGCCTTTTGATACTTGCTGTTAATCATATTATTTTGGGGAGGGGGTTGGTGGCATGATGTCTGCTGGCAGAGTGCTTATTGCAAATTAATAGAATAGCATTGTAGTAGAACATGGACGTCCAACTCCCAAGACACTGTGATCTACTTACAGGGGGGGAAACTGGCAGTGATCTACCCCCGGGGGGGGGAGGTTTCAGCTCAAAGTTTTTGAGCTTGCTTTAGGGAGGAAAGCCCCGTTATTAAGGGGGAAATGTCGGACTAGAGTAAAGGGGAAAGGAGATTAGTCACTCACCAAAAGACAGCGGAAACTCCGTCTTCCGTTCCTACAATCATGCGAAAATGAAGGGCGGGGAGATGGGCGGCGGCGGCTGCTCTTAGGCAAAAACAAAGGAAAAGGATCCTGCGATCAACAGCGATCGACCGGAACCTCGCAGGGATCGACCAGTCAATCCCGATTGACCTGTTAGACATCCCTGTAGTAGAAGATTCATTTTGCCACATGTGGTGAATATGCAAAATACCTAAGGACTTTTGGGAGATGATTTATAATGAGTTGGAATTTATGGTAACTTTCCCCAAAAGACCGGAAGCTTTTTTACTAGGGATAACTGGAGCAGATATCCACCCCCCTCCAAAACAGATAAATCTATTTCTTTACGGAATATGTCAGCATATTATACACACAAAAAGGGTGTGATGAGGTGGTACCTACCAAAGGAGAATGGCAGCTGAAATGGATAGAATATGTAGAATTGGCAAGTTTTGACATGTAAAATTAGAGATAAAAGTAGAGACTGATTTTAAAGAAGATTGGAAAATATTTGCAGAATACTTTAAAACTCACTGGAAAAATGTTAACGCAAATAGGATTTGAGTAAGAGTAGCAGTAGGGATGAACTTTTTGTTTTTATTGTGAGATAAGGTGAAGGTATAGAGTAACTATAATATGCAGCATAAGCTGAAATTTTGAGGGAACCATGGAGGGAGGGAGGGGAAGTTGTAGGAGGAATGATGGTTTGCTAAATTTGAAATGTTGTTTATTTGTTAAAATTTATGAATAAAATTATTTTTTTTAAAAGAAGATTAACACTGGAATGCCAGAAGTGATTAAGAGAATAATGTCTTCCACAGTCACTATGTCTGGACAGCCACTTTACTCTTTTTCCAGACAAAGCAGAACCGTGGTAGTTAAACGCCACTGATCAAGTCTTTGCACCTGGCTGGCAGGGCTTGTCAAATGACAAGTAGGTTTTGGCAGTGCTGATGAAGCTAGACTGAATGTTCCCTTGATTAGTTGATGGTGAAATTCAGTTGAAGCTGTGCCTGGGAAGCGAGAGGAGGGGAGAGGGCAGCTGGAGTCTGCTAGTTCAAACCCAACGGCTGCAGAGTTAGGTATGTCCTATTGGTCTGTTGGTTTCCATAGGCTGATATGCCCCTAACTCACTATGTGACTGGCCTGACTCTGTGCGTGGGACCATAGATAGGTTGGCTGGTGAACCCCACTGAGCTGCCTCATGTTAACCCAAGTGAACAGAAAATAATAAGAGCCCTAGTCCATTTAGTCCAACCTTCTGTTCTTATAGTGGCAAATCAGTGGGAAGCCCACAAGCAGGAGCTGCGTGCAACAGTTCTTCCCTCCTGAGATTGGTATTCGAAAGCTTACTGCCCTGACTAAATGTGGTCTGTTTAACCTGCTGTGATGTTAAGATGGTCTCCAGTTTAATACCCCCTTAAAAAAAATCCTATTGGCTGGGTTTCAAAGAGCCAGGTGTGTTGAGACTTTTGTCCGCATCCCTCAGTTGCATCCAGGGCTTCCCAGAAAACTCCTCTTGGCGTGGCATCTACTGCAGCCACATGGGCGGCTGCATTCAGAAATAAGTTGGCGAAATCAGTGTACTGTAGTTTTCCGTGTATAAGATTATATTTTTTTCTTTAAAAATCATGCCAAAAAGTGGGGGGTCGCCTTATACATGGGTAGTGCATAGGGTGAACATTTAATTGGTTGCTGCCGTGGCTGTCAGCAGCTATTGTGTGTGTTATTTGTTGCTGCATCAGTGGGTGGTGTTGATTGGCTGACGCTCTATCAGTTGGGCGGGCGTTAGGCAGCTGCTGACGGTGATGGGGCAGATGGGAGGTGGATTTTGTGCAATCCTCCACAAAAAAGCTCAGCAACTCTGGGCCATCTCCCCTCATTTTCTTAAATTTGAGTCCCCCCAAATAGGGGGTGTCTTATACATGGGGACATCTTATAGACGGAAAAGTACAGTATGTGCATGGAAAACCTTGATTTAAAAATGAGAATGCATACCCTCATCTGAAACATACATACAAACACACACACACACACACACCGCCCAATATTGGAACCATTGGTGAGTTTGGGAAAGATTGGAGGGGAAAATAGGAGTGGTTTCAGAATATAAAGTGAAATGTTTAAATGTTCTAAATTCTGGATCAAAATGCTTAAGTTTAGTTAGTGCAAACAAGAATTGGGGGATATTTGTGGGTCCTTCAGATACTGTTGGACCCCAGCTCCCTTCAGCCCCTGCAGCCACCAATAGTGGCCAGTAACCTGGGATGATAGAAGTTGGAATCCAGCGATATCTGGAAGGCCCCATGTATCCCCATATCTGATCTAAGTAACAGAATTCCCTGGTACAATCGGGATGGAAGGATGCCTCTTCTTAGATTAGGGCTGCAGGACTGTTTCACCCTCCATGTATTGTTAAACTCTCTACTCCTCTCAGCCGTAACCAGCCTGGATGATGGGAGTTATAGGTCACTGGCAGGTCTCTGGTCCCCCATCAAACCTGTATTCCTCTGTGATTAGATCCTGAATGCTTGAGGCATATTTAAGTTCATGGTGTGTAAATGCTTTTGCCCTGTTGTCTGAGGCTAACTATGCAAATGTTCTTCTAGCTCACTGTGAGATCCTAAATGCATTGAAAGGATGTGCATTCTCTGAACTCTTTTTGTCTCTTTTCTTAATTTGTAGTGAGTTTTACTTTATTTCTAAGCTCAAACAAAATAACTTATGGGGTGACCCCCCCTTCCCCCTCTTGGCTTGCTGCAATGTGCTCTCCATGTCATGCTTGGCGAAAAAGACATTTTGAGTGTTTTAGTGGGCAGCAGCTCCCTATAATTATTTCTGAAACAAAAACTTCACAAATGTATCAGACAACGCGACTAGGCACTGACTTAAATTATAATACATTTCAGCACCAGTCAGCTATATGTGCTTGCTATGTACGTTTTAACTTTGGTTGTCACATGGAACAGCTGGTGGCCCTGGAGTTGTTCAGTTATGACTGTGTTCATCAAGGTTTCCTGGGCACATTTGTGAACCGGAGAGACTGTTCTGGGCCCCACAAGCACTCAGCGCAGCCAAGCACGCATGCTGCAACCTCTTGGCTGCAGGTTCTTTTTTCAAGCCTGATTTCAGCAAGGGAGAAGACGGCCCCCAATTTGTTTGATTTTATTAAGTTTTTTACCATTACCATCATTTTATTTGCAGTCAACAGACTATTCAAGCAATCAATAACCATTTTATAACAATTGACAATAACATTGATTCAAAAAAACCATTAATACAACTGCAAAACTCAGAATTCATAGAATCGTAGAGTTAGAAGTTAGAACCTGAGGGTCATGTAGGAATCTCAACACTCTGTACCCCATCCAATGTGAGACCATACTTGACCCTGCTTAGCTTTGAAAATGTAGAGAATTTGCTACACAATGCACCCCTTTCACCCAGATCCCAAGCCTTCTGTGGAGGCTGTTGCTGATCCCTGTTCTGTTCATTTATTTATTTGATTTCTTGCCCACCCTTTACCATAGAGCCCCAGGGCAGGTTGCAACAATATATACAATTATAAAACAAGTAAAATGGTTGCCACCACAACGAAGTATGCAAACAAACAGTTCCTTAAATAAGAAGAGTTAAAAGTAACTCAAAAAAAGATGCAGACTAGTATAATGAAGATCTTCACTTGAAAGAGAAATAAGGGCCATAGAGAAGGTTCCACAGCAGCCCTGGTGCTGCCAGGGAGCTAACTAGGATGTACCCCTGGTTGTATGATGATTGAGCTACCATGTGGGGTGAGGAAATTTCTTAAACCAGGAGATTATTCTGATGTTCTGTTTTCTCCTTTTTGGGGGGTGGGGGAAAACCACCTTTATTTCCTAAGTACATCTAGCTAGCATGGCAGTGCTTCAAAGCTTTTAAGTTTCATTTATTAAAGCATGCTAAATTATATTGCTTTCAAAGGCACTGAAATTTTCCCCAGTGCAAATAAGCCTGGAAATTTTTGCATCAGTGGCAAAAGTTCTGGGAACTTTTTGAATTGACATTTACCTATTTTGTTCCTGCTGAACCTGTCTGGGGGGCAGGGGGACAACAAGAGAAAAAGGGGCCCTTGTCTTGCTTGCATTCGAAATCTCATTGTTCCTTTTCTTCACCTCTATTACTTGTGCATATTCTTGGGGCTGCTTTCTCAACCGCTGGGATGAGCAGCAATGAGCTTCAGCGTCAGATATGACTTTTAACAGCATACCTATCCATTTCTGTAAATGGGCAGCTGATTGATGGAGGATTATGCATGAGGCGCTTAACAGCAGTGTGCTGGTTGTAACAAGTTCTTAGGGTGTTGGGGGAAGGGGAGAAGAGAGGGTGGAGGGGTTTTTATTGGCCATATTGAGGATGCAATCTTAACACCCACCTCCTTCCCTTAAAGTATCCTTAATATACAGCAGCAGCTGGAATTGGCTGAGCTGACCTGGGCTTGAAATGGAGCTGGGAACACAGAACAGATCCCCCCCCCCTTTTAAATTATGTGCTGCAAAATGTGCCTGCCTGCCTGTCTTGAAACAAGCAGGAGCTAAGAGCCTCAAAGGCCACTGTGACTATGTCCCTTAGTGAAGGTAGTGAAGATAGGAGCAGGTGAAAGTGGTCTAAGTCTGCTGTGGTTGGCCACTGTCCTCTTTTCAACACTTGTCAAAAATGTTTTCATTTAGACAAAACAAAAATGAATCCATCCTGTGGATGTTGCTTGTCTTTTCTTCAGAGTAAATCTCAATTGAGGTAGACTCAGACTTTTTTTTTTTTTTTTTGAATGATGGGGGCTGCTCCTGGAAAATGGGGCCGATTTTTATGCAACGTTTTCCCTTATTTTGCAGTAAAATGACAGCCGTTAAACTTAAAATTGTGCCCGCTAGATGTAAAAGTGGGGAGGGGAAAGAGTGCACATGCGATGATGGGGGCTGCAAGTTCAGCCGACCCTTCTATTTCAGAGGCTGATGGGAAGTTTTTTTCTGCCTCAATAGTAAATGGCAGCTTGCATTCTGAACGATCCCCTCCCCGTTAAAAAAAAAAGCCAGAGGTTTGCTTCTCTATTAGCCTAACTCTTTTCAGAGCAAAATGGGCTTGTTTGACAGCAAATAGAGCTTTAGATTGTCTGTACCTTGCAACCTTGAGCTCTGATGTTCTTTTAATTTATTTCCTCCACAAGGGCTGTCAGGAAGGATAACTGTCTTCTAGTCTTAACTGCTTGCACATGCTTCCATGTCTTGCAGGGTTTGTGTTATAGAGGAGAGGAAAAAGGTGATCTTTTGAACATGTTTTGCTTAAGGTTGCTCTGAATCCTGGCAGAAACTTGACATGAGATAGTGGACTGTACTACAGGTGTGTGTATATCACATTGAATGTCCCCCACACCCTGTTCAAAAATGAGAAGAGACAGATGCTCTTGCAACTAGGAAACTGTAGTTCTGGTTCTGACTCAGCCTTCTGTTCCTTGATGCACTTATTTTCTACTTGAAGTGATTGTAAAAAACAAATATTTAAAAATCGATGGTCCTTTAAAAATATGAGCAAACTGTGGGTTGAAGTAGTATCTGTTCATATGTACATATGTAGGCTTAGGTCCATTAAGTTCTGTAAGTCTACTTTGAGCAAAACTTAGTTGGATACAATACCCATCACTTCCTTCTCACTCATTATAGGAAACCTGTAGAACCCTCGTTGTTCAAGTTATTTTATTGCTCTAGCCCAAAGGCCATGACAAACTTGTATTAGGTATTAGTATTAATAAAAGAATACAGAACATATATCCATGATATAATTATCCATAATAAAAATAAAGACATTGCCAAGTTCCTGAGCACTAAAACAGTTTCCCTTGTGCATCTCTGACAACTCCAATATTATTTTGCCTTTTTAAAACCTAATTTGCCAACATATGTGCTATACTAGAGAGAAGAAAACACCAGGGGAAAAGGTGTTAGATGAAATCACTATAAATTGTTGTAGTGATTTGGAAGTTTAATCTGAAATCACACTGGATGAGTTTATTGGTGCCTCTGGTTGTTGGCATCTGTCTGTCCCGGGAGACTATGGAGAAGTGTGCCTTTGGGGTTGAAGTCAAACTGTTGGAAGGTTGCAGTGCCTGCTGTGGCTGTAGAGACTGATATGGGAGAGACATGTTTTGTTGCAGCTGGGGTAGATGAAGGCATCTGGTAATGCTCCTGCAGATGCACTGTGGCGTTTCTTTTCTCTGCATTCCTCTCAGTGGTCATTCCTCCTCTGGTCACTGCTATGGATACACAACCTGACTGTCAGCCTCCAGGCACTGTGGCTGTCTGCAAAGGATTCTTACTTGGCCAAGTTGATGTTGCCAGCCTTCATGTCTGCAAACATGACATGAATACAAATGCAAAATCTCCCTGTGTATGGGACCCTGTTGTAGTGACCATCCAAGACTGCAGTGGGCATCACTTAGAAACACAGTTCAATGAAAGCATTTCTTAAGGAAACTAGTCAGAGTTGGATAACTAGCTCTAGTTTGCAAGAGTGGATACCAAGGGAAAATTTTTGTGTTTCAGATTAGTTGTAGGTCCCTTCTGGATTATATTCAGAAGAGCCAATGCCTTAGTTGACACTTATCAAAGTCAATGCAGAGCTCAGTTCTTGAAAATAGTAATAGCCCAAAACATCTTGACAAGCTGCTTTTTGGAGTTGGTTATCACCCAATTCTGTATAGCACAATGCAGGAAGAGGCTCAATAGGCATAGTAGCATTTTTTTAAGATTAACTGAGTGCAGTCTGCTCTTGCCTTAATTGTTGACTACCTGGATTCTGTATGAAGAAGAGCTGTTGACTTGATGGTAGAGAGCAGTGCTATTTTTCTAGAAAAAGAGGTGCTGGAACTCACCAAGAATGCCTCCCTTGTTCTCTTATAATGGCAATGGTGCCCACTTGAGAGGTGCCAGAACTGAGTTCCAGTGAGTTCCAGCTGGAAAAAAGCTCTGGTAGAGAGTATAGCTTCCCAAAACAATATTTTGCAGTGTTTCCAAAACTTTAATGGAGCTCAAATCAGAGCCCCAGATTTCAGTCCTATACAGAAAATTTGAGTAAGCACTTGCTACCAAATATATTTAGGGCAGGTTCAACCAGCTGCCCTCCCTTATTGTAATAAAACTTCATCAATGTCCCTATGGTTTTCTGTGCTTTAAATTGCACTGCCTGCATTTGACACTTCCAACAGGGGGTTTCACTAAAGAGTACACCCAGGCATCTAAATGAGCAAGTTTGTCCTATGGCTTCCTGATCTGAACATTTATACCTAGGACTGTGTTTGCCAAAAATAATGAGTAATTTATAGGTAGGCCTTCTTATTTACATTATGTACTGAACACCTCCAAGAGATTTTTGAGGCCCAGTTGGGAAAGAAGCACTAAATCATCTGTCTACATTAATATTGAGATATTTCTGTTCCTAATTACTAGGGATGGGGAATTTGCGTTGGCACCAAATCATTAATATGAAAGTTTAAAAGAGTGGGAGCCAGAAGGCAAGCTTGTTTCACTCCTCGTGACATTTTAGAAGCATCAGTCATATCACTATTTAAACCTACTCTGACCGTTATTTCTGTATTGCTGAATAGTTCTTGGATCAATAGTAGAAGTTTGCTGTCAATGTTAGCAATTTGAAATTTTCCCCACAGTCTGTTTCGAGAATCGATGTGGGGTGTTTGTATGTGTGTTTGTGTGTGTATGTCATACTTGTTCCACCAGCAAAACATTTTGTCCCAAAGGAACATCATTGCACTAGAGTGCGCATAAACAGGTGATGATTGCCTAGTAGATGGCACCATTTGGATGAGTTTCTTTTAGTTCCATCATAGTGTTGGATCCCTGTGTTGCACAGCATTGAAACTCACTAAGCTGCTAGCGTAAGAGCCCCTCTGTCCTCTAGTTCAGTGTTTCCCAACCTTTTTCCAACCATGGCCCTCTTCTAACCTTGTTTCCTTCCTGTGCCCAGCCCTCAGTGTAGCCAAGGGGGGAAGAGGGCTAGCTGTCCCCCCAATAAGTAAAAATCAATACAAATAAGAGGTTCTGCCCTCTTAACGTAAGCCTGCTCCCTAACAAAAGTCCTGGCTACGCCCATGCCCCCGGTAGAAAGGAAGCTATTTAAATGTTTTGTTTTTAAGCAAAACATGTTTTATTTATAATTTTTATAATTTATACAAAATTTGTTGTTGTCGTTTAGTCGTTTAGTCGTGTCCGACTCTTCGTGACCCCATGGACCAGAGCACGCCATTATGTAAAACACTGTTACATAAAATGATAGGAACATACTGAAATGTTGTTGAAGCATGTATTATTAAAAGTAAGCAACACTCATTTGACCCTAGTTATTTGATACAGAGGAGGAAAGCTACAGATACAGTCCAAAAGGCGCAAAGAGAGTTATGTATATACAGTGGTGCCTCGCAAGACGAAATTAATCCGTTCCGCAAGAGTCTTCGTCTAGCGGTTTTTTCGTCTTGCGAAGCAAGCCCATTGACGGATTAGCGCTATTAGCGCTATCAGCTGTTTAGCGGCTATTAAAGGCTTAAAGGCTTAGGGGATTAGCTGCTAAAAGGCTATTAAAGGCTATTAAAGGCTTAGCAGATTAGATAAAGGGGGAAAGCGAAAAAAATCTCAAGACTCGCAAGGTATTTTCGTCTTGCGAAGCAAGCCCATAGGGGAATTCGTCCTGCGAAGCAACTTCAAAACGGAAAACCCTTTCGTCTAGCGGTTTTTCCGTCTTGCGAGGCATTCGTCTTGCGGGGCACCACTGTATGGGAAAAAATAAAAAAGCAAGTGGTCCTCACTGACCTGTTGCAAAAAGATATTGTCATCCTGAGGAGCCCTGGCTGCCTAGATAAAACGCTGTAGCCACACACCCCCTTACCTCAGAGTAAGGCCCACTGAACTTAGTGCAGCTTTCTGCTGAGTAGACACTTAGTTATATACTAGGAGCAAGTCAGTAGCACCAGACAACTCCACTCAGCTAGGCACTGAGTTCAGAAACAAACCAGGACTGCTCAAAGAAAATGCATGTGGCAAAAAGGAGTGCTAGGCCCCACCCCTTAGCCATTTGTGATTGGCCAAGTGGATAGCCAGCCAATGAGGATTTTTAACAATTGTTTCCCCCCTTGACTTCTCACTTCCCTCTGTGGCCCCCAGCCTTGTGCTGTGGCCCCCCCATTTATGCAATTTCCTTCAGTTCGCAGTGGGGACTTTCAAAAGGCATATCAGGGTGTTAATTGCTCAGTGGCAGCTCCCATTCTAAGAGATGCAGAGCAATAAAAATATTGGCACTTGGTCGATGACTTTGGGGACCTGTATTGTCAGGAAGTGATTGATGTAGAGCAGAAATAGATTGGCCATCTTTTTGCCTGTTGTGTTTATTTGCCTAAAACATGTATTTAATCAGAGACCGTGATGAGCTTTGGTAGTATTTTATCACTCCTCAATTTCGTGTTGTGTGTGTGTCTGTACCTGCCCTTCCAACACCACTTTGATTCCTAGGATGGCCCACTTAATCTCAGGTTAAAAATAGTAAGTGGGTGCCCAGGTTCGTGGTTAGGTGAAAAATTATCTCATTGAAGTTTAGTCTGTTTGCCCCTCGGCAATGAGATGCAATTGAAATGGTTTCTGCCAGTTGTTATATCTCAGCAACTCATTTTTGTGAGACGTTCTGCTAAGGTTCTGCTTGCATGAGCATAAAATGGGATATGTTGGGTGCTTCCTGCTGAGCATGCCCCCTCAAACCCCCATTTTTGGGTGGGCAAGTGGATTCTGTTTGGTTCACATAGCCTTAAGGTACAAACCATTGTATGAACAAAGGAAGCTGCTATATACTGAGTCAGACCCTTGCTCCAGCTTACTAAGTGTTTTCTACACTGCCTGGCAGTGTTTCTCTCTGGTTTTAGTCAGAGGATCTTTCACAGCCCCACCTGGAGATGTTGGGGATTGCACCTGGGATCTTCTGCCTGCAAAACAGTTGCTCTACCCACTGAGCTGTGTGTGGTGCTTCCCCTGAAAATGAGCTAAGATTCCAGTCCTCAGGGTTCAGAATTGAAGGCTGATTTAAACAGGGACATAGGGAGCTAACTGGCAGCGGCTGTCTAGGGTTTCAGACAGGACGTCTCTCCCAGTCCTACCTGCAGATGCTGCTGGGGAAAGAACCTGAGACCTTCTGCATGCAAAGCAGGTGCTCTGCCACTGACCTATGGCTCTTCCTGTGTTCACAGTTGTTGTATGGGCAGGTATCGTCTCTAAAAGTTAAGCAACAATTTTAGGTTTATTCATGTTGGTCAAGGAATGACTCTTCCCTGAAACTGCTGATCCAACAAAGCGGCCTGGAGTCCATGGAAGCTAATGCAATGAGTCTTTAAGGTGCCAGGAGACTCTTCAGGTGGTATCTAAATTAGGCATGTAGGCCCCCTGAAGCTCATAGACTTTAGTCCACTTATTTGTGTGGGCATACCCCTTGAGTTTGATGTATCATTGGATCTCTTCTTTTGTTCTAGATCAATTATATATGCATTCAAAGCCTCACAACTTGAGGAGTTGATGTAATTATTGTGGGTGCTAAATAGCTTTCTGGAGCACAACATAACGTAACTTCCCACCGCCACTGCTCTGCCTCCACCTCCCCTGGCCAATCTGCTCTGGGTGTTCTTCTACCACAGTTTTCTGGAACAGATGCAGGAGTGAAGTAGGGTAGAGAGAAGTTCTGTTGCACTTGAGGAAGTTGTTCATAATTTAGTTGGACACAACATGGTGGTGTCCCCCCCCCCCCATAGCTTTGCTACTTTCTCTTATTTGCAATTCAGCCCTTTGATGTGGGAGAGATCATTGTGCTCAGTGGGGAGGGGGCACTCCTGGATTTAACATTATCACTTGAGGCTCAGGTGACCTCACTGATCGGAATGCCTTTCTTCAGCTCGAACTGGCTCACTAGCTGCGGCCCCTTTTGGAGAGAGATGATTTGGCCACTGTACTCCGTGTTCTGGTAACTTCCACATTGGATTATTGCAATGTGTCTTACATGGGGCTGCCCTTGTAGACAACTTGGAAACTTCAGTTGGCCTCAAATGTGGTGGCCAGATTGCTGGCTGGGGTTCCCTTCAGATCTCTTATAACCCTTGTTTTTAAATAGATGTATTGGTTTGTTTCTGGACCCAATTCAAGGTGCTCACATTAGTGTTTAAAGCCCAACTAGCTTAGACCCCAAATACCTGAAAAACTGCATCCTTCCCTACAGACTCTCCCTGGTACTAAGCTCCTACGTTGTGGGTGCATATGGTGCCTTCACTATGTATCTTCCGGCGAATGCAGAAGACACATCACCCTACCCTGGCTTTTGGCACATAGAATCTTAGCATGGTAGAGTTGGAAGGGACCCAAAGTGTCATCTATTCAACCCCGCTGCAAATGCAAGAATAAGTTGTATATACTTGAGAGATGTATATTTTTAGGATGCAGCTCTTTGTAATTTTAAGTTGTGTTAAACTGTTTCTGATATCATGCAGTATTGTGTTTTAGCATTAAGGTGGTGTTTTAATAATTGTAATCCTTAGGGTGAAGGGCAGGTAATAAATTGTAGTGACAACAACTAATGGAAACTTTCCAATTAGGGTGTGTATGTACACGCACAGAAGACAACCTTGCACATAGCTCTTCCCCTGGTCGTATTGAGTAGAAATGTCATAGCACATAAAACTTGGTGATGATGCAAGGTTCTTTAACAGCCCTATTCCTTTAACAGGTCTTCGGGTAAATTGGCTCCATGGAGCACAGTTAAGAGAGACCCAGAGAAGTATGTTGCAAGTCCCCCCTCCCAAACCCCTCCTCAATCTCTCTCTCTCTCTGTTCTCTCTCAGTGCATTTGATTAGACTAAATCCTTCCAAATCTCTTGTGTATTATGGCTTCTTATTCTCCCCACCTTTTAAATGCTGTACCAATCTGCTTGATCTTTTATTATTATTATTTTTTACATTGGGTTTAATTTGGGGAGGTTGGAGTGGGCTGCACTTTTCTAGGGATTCTGGGATCCTGAGGTGCTGGATTTCTCCCCCTCCCCATGCCTCTCACCACATGGGAGCAAGGTGGATCAATTTCCTATCCTGCGTTCAGCTGGACACTTCGCTTCTCCGCTGTTGTTGATCAAGAAATCCCCTCCTGTTTCTTGTTCCACGTAACACATTCATTTCAGCCACTGAACCCAAATTGCTGTTTTTTAGCGCTGCTTCTCCTTTATTTTCTCTCTCGCTCTCTTTTCCCCCCTTGATGAAAATGGTAAGAACTCTTTTTTCCCCCTGCTATAGAGATGAAGTTAGTTTATCCGTACTAATGCTTTGATTTTTTTCTTTTCTCTCTCTTCTCCGACACAGTAGGTAACCAGTTAGGGGCCCTGGTACATCAAAGGTAAGCAGTGGGTTATGTTTTATTATTTATTGATCACTTCTAATTGTTTATTGATCTGCCATCTGTACTGGAGTGTTAGAGAGTCAGAGGTTGAGAACGTGGCAGAACTGCGTAGGCTCAGTTTCTCCTCTTCCCACATGCCCCCGCCCCAAGACTGAAGTTTTCTGCTTGCGTTCCTGGATATTGCATGCATTTGTTTGGAAAGAGATGAGGCACGCGTACGCAGTGGGTAACGCAGAAAGGAAGGTCTGCATTGAATTAAACGTTGTGTCTTGGGCTGAGATTCATGAAGCTGCTTAGGGTAGCCAAATGGAGTTTGGAAAAAACCCACGAAAACCTTGAAACAACAGATTTTTGTGCCAAAGCATAGGCTTCTTTTGAAAAGCTATCAGTAAGAGTGTTGTTTTTGTATGTGTATGCACAGTATCAGACAATCTATCTAGTGCAGTATTGTCTACTCTCTGGCAGCAGGGTTGGGACCGGGGTCGTTCCCATTCCTACATGAGAATGCTGTCAGGTTTGGAGCCTTGAGAACTTCTGCATGCACCGCGGGTGCTTTGCCACTGAGCAATGTCTCTTCCCAAATAGGAAGTTACCTTTTACCATTAGTCTATCTAGCTCAGTATTACCTTCTCTGACTGTCAGCAGCTCTCATATGTGTGAGGCCAGAGGACACCCAAGTCCTATTATTGAGTTACCTATTTGTTGAAATTGTTCACTGCTTTATCGTATAAAAACCCTCGAAGTGGTTTACAAAAAATTCCTACCTGGAGAATGCTGTTGGCAGAGCTGTGGCCCTTCCTACTTGGTTTAGAAAGCAGGTTGCCGTGTAGCATGATGTCTGTTCTGGTGGTATGCAAGAGCTGCAAGCTCAAAGCCACCCCCCACCCCACCCCGACCAGATGTATACTCAAAAACAGCCTGCCTTTTTGGATCCCAGCCTAGTTTTTGCCTTTGGAATAGGATCTTGGGCACTCCCTACTTTGAGGTTGTTGTTTTTCCACAGTCAGCAATATGTAAGTTTTATATTACTTCCTTCCTCTCCTTCTCAGTACAGTGGTACCTCTGGATGCGAACAGGATCCGTTCCGGAGCCCCGTTCGCATCCAGAAGCAAATGCAACCCGTGTCCACGGGTCGCAATTCGCCGCTTCCGTGCATGCGTGTGATGTCATTTTGACCGTCTGAGCATGCGCTAGCGGCGAAACCCAGAAGTAACGGGCTAGCTGTTAATTTGCAGCCAGCCAAACTGAATCAAACCCCTGCAAAATCCTGGACAAAGAAGTGTCCTTTCAACTGGCCTTGTAAACTCAGCAGCATTGGTGCCAAGCCTTCTTTAGAGTTGGTGCACCACCACATTGAAAAGCTCATGCCCATGTCTGTAATGTCCTTCATGCCCTGAGATGGGGCAGAGCAAGCCCTTCCCGACAGCAGTTAAGGCATGGGCTGACTGGTTTGAGGGCACCTTTCCAGGCACCCTTGTAGGAAGCTGGTAGGGGCTACTGGCTAAAAGCTCCATTCTTAATCACCCAGTTTTCCATAACATTGGAACTAGTTCCTACTTCACTTTCTGGGGATGGAAACTCAATTTCCTAAATGTCCTGTGACAGTTGATGCTATTGGAAAAGGCGACGATGTCTATCTTGTCGTGATGAGTCTCCCCTTTTCTCTTTTCTTCAGGGTAATAACCGAAGAATTCAAAGTGCCTGATAAAATGGTTGGATTCAGTAAGTATTCTGGTTTGCAGCAATTTTTCTCTTTCCTTCATACGGGGCCTTTGTGAACACTCCTTCCATCTGAAGACTAATATATATTATGATAGGTAGTGCTCAGCATAACAGCGCGGATTTCTGTTAATGCTGCTGAGAACGTGGCAATTTCGGGGGAAATGCTTTCCACGTGAACCTTAAAATCAATTGAGGATAATTTAGTTACTTCCTGAGTGCTACAGTGGCCTGTGGTTAAAGACCTTGATGGCCAACTTTGCCGGTAATGTGCTGGGAGGGAGGGGTTGGAGGGGGTGAGCAGAGGAGAAATGGTTTGGGGTGTATGTGGGGGGGGAGGATATACCGTTGAAGGGCTATTTCAAGGGGGAGGGTGTGCAGCTTGGTAGTGAAGCATGTGCTTGCCTGCTCAGGGTCCCAGGTTCAGGAGAGGAGCCCAGGCCAAAGGGGGTCCACCCAGTCTGGCTTCCTGTTCTCACAGTGGCCAACCAGGTGCCACTGTGACACCCACACTGTGAAACCCACAAACAGGACCTGAGTGCAACAGCAGCACATTCCCCACCTGTAGTTCCTAGCAACTAGTATTCGGAGGTAGTGGTGGTAGAACATAAGAAGAGCCTTGCAGCTGGATCCAGCCAAAGGCGGCTTATCTTGTCCAGCATCTGGATCTCCCACTGATGAACCAGATGCCTGTGGGAAGTCATCAAGCTGAGTGCATTCCCAGCAACTGGTATTCAAAGGCATTCTGCTTCCAGGCATGCAAGTGGAACTTAAGAGAAGCCCTGATGGATCAGGCTAGAGGCCCATCTAGTCCAGCATCCTGTTCTCTCCAGATGCCCCAAAGGCCACAAGCAGGATGGCCTGCCAGCAGAATTTGAGACTTAGCTATTGGTTTAGCAGAGCTGGATGGGAGTGGTCAATTGTTTGTTGACTGAAGGTGTCAACTCAGTTGCACTTAACAGATAGGTGGGTGGAGGACCTGAAACTTGTGATTTCTGAGCATTGCATCTTCGCCTCATCTTCTTCCAGACATTTAAGTTTACAAATGCTCCCTTCATAGATATATGCAAAACTTCAGTCATGTGCTTGTTCACATCTTGCTCTTGAAATAATGAAAAACCCAGCAATATTTTAGTCTGTTGGCAGCAGCAAAATCCTGATCAATTCCAAATTTTATTTCAGTTATCGGCCGGGGTGGTGAGCAGATTTCTCGGATTCAGGCAGAGTCAGGCTGCAAAATTCAGATTGCGCCAGGTAAGGTTATTTCACCCCCTCACCACCTCCAGCTTCCCAAAGAACCAAGGCAGCACTAAGATTACACACACCTGCTAGTCTTTTAGATTGGTATATTAAATATAAAACGGTCTGACCAACTTGAAAGCTAGGATAATAGAAATGTCCTGTAAAACATTCTATTATACTCCAAAAGTACTCTCCTGCAAGGCTCCTCACCAGGGCCAGAGCCTTCTCCCTCTCCTTTCACAAGAAGGATCAGTCCCAATGGAAAAAAAAACATGCCCCACATTCCTCTCCCAAAATCAGTACCTTCGTTCCTCCCTAGAAGGCGGCGATCTAGAGACCGCTTTAAAAGCCCTGAACAATTTTGGAGCCATGGTATGTAGCCATTGTTAGTCCTACTCAGAGTTGACTCTGAAAAATCAATAAACTTGACCAACTTTCTTAGGTCCATTAATTTTCAAGGGGTCTACACTTGAGTAGGGCTGACAATGGATATAGCAATCTTGGTCCTAAGTTGTTCAATGCCAGGTGAGTTTTTTTCGTTGCTCACGCTAGCTTTAGTATAAGCCTGGCATCACTCCGTTCCCCATGAGTAACAATATTGAGACTAAAACAAGGACGCTGAAGGGAATGTGTGCAGAATTTGCTTGCCTGCTTGCTTGGATGGTTTATACAGGGGACAGAACTCAAGATTCTGTGCTTCCAAAAGCCAAACTCTGTTTTACACAAAGCCAGGCAGAGTGTGCGTCTGTGCGTGTGCTTTATTTATTTGAGTTAAGTTTATTAAGTTATTTGAGGCTTTCTAAATTAGTACAAGACTGATTTGCCTTGGACTTGGCTTGGTGGTGGATGGGCAGCCAGTGCAGATGTTTCAACAAAGGTGTCACATGCTGTCAGCCAGGTGCCCCCATGAGCAGCCTGGCCTCTGTGTTCTGCACCAGTTGGAACTTCCAAACCAAGCCCAAGGGCAGCCTAACATAGAATGCACTGAAGTAATCCATCTTTTTTTATTCAACCAGCTGGAAACTGATAGGCTGCTGAGAATTATCAGATACCCAGTACCTGTTGATCTTTCTTTTCTTTTGCTTTGTCTTTTACAGACAGCGGCGGAATGCCAGAGAGACCCTGCGTGCTGACTGGAACGCCAGAGAGCATTGAGTGAGTTTTTTAAATTGGTATATACATTTATATAACATTGGTTGCCTCCACTTTTTCCCCTTAGTCCTCTTCCCTCTTCCTTTTTTGTTTTTCTCTTACCCTTTTTCTTCTCTTCAGTTGCTTGCTGTCCTCTTTATAGCCAGCATAGACTCACTCTGCTCCAAACACTTCTATCTCATACATAGTAGCTCAACAGTTTAGCCCATTGAAGGGCTGTTTACCTCCATTTCGCAGCGTAGACTGTCTTTGTGGTCCTCTACAAAAACTCTTGAGTGAGTTTGCTTGAACGAGGGCACCCTTTTAAGGGTTGAAAAGTTACCCTGGTGTTGCAGAGAAGACCCCAGAGAAGCATTTAACTGGCCTTCTGACATGCAACTCTTGTTATTAATGGCAAGTGGTGAGCCCCATCACTTGGAGGAGGGTTCCACATATAAATAATTAGATTTCAGGGGAGCCTCTGTTTATAAAAACTGATTTATAGAAGTATGAATTACATAGAGAAAGTGGATGCAGAAAAGTTTTGCTACCTCTCTTGTAACATGAAAACTTTCAGACATCCAACAAAACTGGTTGTTGGAAGATTCTGGACAGATAAAATAAAGGACTTCTTCATGCAGTGCATAGTTAAAACTGTGGAACCTGCTTCCACAAGAGGCAGTGATAGCCATCAATTTGTATGGCTTTAAAAAAGGGATTGGACAAATTCATGGAGGAGAATGGTTACTTGCTGTGATGACTGTTTTACCTCCACAGTGCTTCTGAATACTAGTTGCTAGAAATCACAAGAGGGGAGAGTGTTCTTGAGCTCTGGTCCTCCTTGCAGGTTTTCCCACAGGTATCTGACTGGCCACTATGACAGCAGGATATTGTACTAGATGGATCATTGGACTGATCCAGCAAGCTCTTTTTATGCTTGTGTTTATTTACTTTGCTTGCCCCCTCCCCCCACCCCAAAGTCCTCTTTCATTTGCAATGAAGTACTGTATTGGGAAAGTAAACAGTGGGAGAGACACCTGGGAGCTTGAGTGAGACACCCAGGGTCTTCTCTCACTTGCATTGTAGCTTGATGAAGAGAAGAAGCTCCCGAAGACTGGTGTAACTTACCATCTTCAAGCTATAGTGTTAATGAGGAGAGACCCCTCAATACTCTCTCAAATCTCCTAGACAAGTGCAAAGGATCTCTCTCCCTTTTGTGTAAAAAATCATTTTTTTAGAAAGCCTGTTGCAGAGGCATCCAAAGGTCTTCGCTCACTTGAACAGTGGCTTGTTGAAGAGAAGAAACTTTTCCAAGCCCCCACCCCACTCATGGTGAGCAAAGAGAACCTCTTTCCTCTCTCTGCCAGTGAGGACAATCAGTTAAGAAAGGGCAGCAGCAGAGGAATGAAAAAACAGCAGATGCAAGAGCTTTTATTTATTAATTTTTTTACATTTTTTCATATCCCACTTTTCCTCCAAGGAGCTCAAGGTGACATTGTCTCCTGCTCCCCATTTTCTCCCACCACAACCCTGAGAGAGGTAGGTTACGTTGGGAGAGGCAGTAACTAGCTTAAGGCCATCCAGTGAGCTTCATAGCTGGGGGGGGGGGGGAATTTGAGCCCTGGTCTCCCAGGTCCTAGTTTTCATTTAATCCCCACACCACTCCCATGAGATAGGTTAGGTTGAGAGTGGTAGTGGCTGGCCCAAGGCCACCACCCAATGAAGTTCATGTCCAAGTGGGTATTTGAATACATTGTTTATCAATAAGATAATAGCTACAGAAACTACAAAGAGAACAAGTAGAATACTGAGTCCTCTCCTGGAGGTGATTCTCAGCCCCCACAACCTATAGAGGATAGCAGTCCCTCCTAGCTCTCACTTGGAATCCCTCCCCCAGCCTCTCACCCTTGGAGACCAACACTTCCCTTTCTTCCACCCAGGGTCCTCCATCAGCCATCCACCACCCCATAAATACTTAATTCCTGGAGCTTAATAAAGGCCCCCAAACCTAGTATTCCAAAAGAAACATGAAGAAAAAAGGGGGGGAGGGGAAACAAGAAAAGACAAGAGGGGGGAAACAATGGGGAAAGAAACATTAAAGAGAGAGAAAAGAAACTTCCAATTTTCTGTCTGTCGGTTACATAAGAAAAAGATTATTAACGACATTCTGTCAGTGTTAATATCCATCTTCTCCTCTTTCTGTCAAACCATATTCTAAATCAAAGTGTCTTAATCATTCATTTCTTCTTCTTACGAAATATTTAGGAGAGATTCCCAAATTGTTTTTACTAGTAATTAACTTTACCTCTATTAATAATATTAATTCCCCCTTCCCCTTACTATATATTCTTCAATTCTTACCCAGTTCCGTATGTTCACATTCAATTTCCTGTTTTCCATTTTATGTTGTTTATGATAGTTTCTGGATCTCCTCCTCTAGGAGCTTCCCTTTTCATTATTTTTTTTCAGAGAAAGCACCATGTATTTATTAGCATAATTATCTGAATCAACTCCAAATCATATGCAGAATACTTTCTCTCTGCTAGAACTGAAGAAAGGCCAGGACTGGGGTTTTCCTTAGACTTCTTTTTCTCGCAGCTCCATCAGTGTCAAATGCAGATGACTCTCCATCTCTCCATTTATGATTCCATCCTCTCCTCCAAATCCTTGAATAGAAGGCAATTCCATTCCACCATCTGCTTTCCCCCATTTTACTATTTCATCATCCAGTCCTGCCAGCTTTTCATTGATTTGGTCTGAAGTCTCTAGATATTTTCCATTTCATCGCCCTCTGATTCATCAAACATAGATCTGATAGTTTTTAATTGTTCAGCCAACAACTGCTGAATAATCCCAACAGTCACTGGAAAAGTCAAAGATATATTTTCTATACTGGATACTTTTGATGTTTTTGATGTTATTTGTAACTCAGTCTCTTTATAAGTTCCAACTCCCCCTTAAGGTTCCACCTTAAGAGCACCTTCACAGCCACAGCAAGATTCTTTCCCCACTGAGGGTTCTTTACTTTCAGTTTCGTTTTTTCCCAAAAGAAGGAAAAGAAGTAATCGCCTCATCCGTTTAATCTTTATTGTCATTCATAAATCAAGCTTTTTGCTCTTGCTTAGACCCATGTTCCCTTTGTTACTCTTAACAACAGAAAGTAGTTTTTACAGGATTTCCAATTACAGATTTTAGCCAGCAGACATATAAATCTATCCAAGATAGTTTTTCTTATCATGAAAGTGTTTATGAAAGAGATGATACAGATTTTATACCCATAAAGGCATACTTCTTACATAGTGTCAGGTACTCGCTCTTCAGCTTGTTCTGACCCCTGTACAAGTCCCCAGGCACAGATAGCAGAGAACAGCCTCAATCAAAGCATATGAGGATTCTCTCACTCATTCACCCTTATTTTCCAGAGTGATTTAATATCCAGAATGTCTGTCTGACTAGCATCAATCAGCACATAATTATCTTCTGGTAGAACGACAGTCCACCATTCCTTTTTCCTGGAAGTCCATCCAAGTGGCTATTTGAACCCGGATCTCCCGTGTCTTAGTCCAATGCTTTAATCACTGCTCTCTTGGGGGAAGAAAATGTATCCTGCCAGACAGTGTGGCATTCTCCAGATGTTGTTGAGTATTTAACACCCAGCAGCCAGTAAGGCCAATCCTCAAAGGTGAGGGGAAATGGGAGTCCCAAGAGACATCTGGAGGGGAGCATTGCGTTGGCAACCCCAGTGCTTGGAGGGTGTGAAACACTTGCCTAGGTGGATGTGTTTTGGACTAGTCTAGTGGCTAGTTTTCATTGGCCACATCTGATCAAATGAGGGGAGTTCTTGGTTTCCCCAGGATGACTGCATGCTCAAGTGGCCTCCTTTATCTACCTTCTCAGTCTAAAAAGGGCACTACCAGAAACATGCCTCAATCAACTAATTATCCTCCTCATCAGAGGGAGAAGGCTATTGATGGCTATGTTCTGCCTGTGCGCTCTGAATACCAGTTGCTGGAAACCAGAGGAGGGAAGAGTGATGTTGTGCTCAGCTTCTGCTTGCAGGTTTCCCATGAGGCATCTAGTCAACCATTCTGAGGGCAGGATGCTGGACCAGGTGGGCTACTGGCCTGATCCGGCAGGGCTGTTCTGATTTTACACCTCCAGTATCAAGAGCAGGTTGCCTCTCAATGCCAGTTGTTGGAAATCACAAGCTGGGAGAGATGCTGTTGCTCTCACGTCCTGCTTGTGAGGGGCTTTCCACTGGGGCATCTAGGTGGCCACTGTGAGAGCAGGAAGCTGGACTAGGTGGGCCATTGCCCTGAACCAGCAGGCTCTTCTTATGTGCTTAATAACTTATGAGGCATTGGTTCTGCAGAAACCTGCAGGTCAAGATGTTTCCATTTGGGGCTGGGCATGTGTCAGTTGACACCACCATCACCACCGGCCACTTCCTTTGGTGTGAGACATTGTCCTAGGTGCTGCTGGCTATTTCCCCCCTCACCCCCTGCCCTTCCCAAAGCCCCTTGCAAGAATGTTCCACCCAGCAGCCCAGCTGGGGGATGGTGGGTGGGGATTCTGCTCTCTTTCTCTTTCTCTCTCTCTCGCCCTATAGAAAAATTTAGGGTCAGTGTTTCCTCCCTCCCCCTCCCCAGGAGCTGAGCTTGCCTCTTCCCAAGCCATTTTGAGGACCACCTCCCCGCTGGGACTTGGAGCCACGAGCCTTTGGCTTTAACAGGAACCCACTTAGCCATATGGAGCTGCTCTTTCTCTCCCGCAGCCTTTGGGTAGGTGGGTTTTTTCCAAATCCATCTGTTGGGATCTTTTTTTTCTTTCCTTTTTTTCAGTTGCGTTTGGATGATTGAAAAAAGCATTGAGGTTTCCTGGATTTTCTTTTTCTTCTTCCGTAGGTGTAAGGATAAATATAACTGAGAGGTGCATGTTAGAGGGCAAAGCAGTCTGGTTGGATTTTTTGCGTATTTATTTTGTGCTGGTACTGGAGTGGGCTCCCTCTCACCTCTACCCTTCCTCCAGTATTTTTGTTTTGGAGCAAAAGGAAAACTGTAAGGCAAAGAAGCTATAAGATCCAGAAAAACTGATGTGCATTATGCATTTGTTGCACAGAGTACCTGGGTGGAGACTTTTGGCTTTCTGCTTAAAGGTCTGTTTCTTCAGAGCTACGTGAGAAGAGAGAGAGCGCTTTCCTTTTGCTGCTGCAATTTATGATCACGGTGACTCACTTGAGTTTCATCCTTTTCAAAACCTGCACAAATGCAAAGGTGGAAGGATGGTGTCTTTTTCTCCTTTTGTGTGCTGCTGGGTGAGCTAGGTGTCAGTTCACCAGTGGCTAACTGGTGCCATAGGGACCAGAAGCATCAGGGACTGAACACAGGAAGCTGCCTTATACAGTGTCAGACCTTGGCTCCATCTAGCTCAGTTTTGCCTACACTGTCTGGCAGTGGCTAGAGAGGTTTGAGAGCAACGGGACTTTCCCAGCCCTGCCTGGGAATTGCCAAGCACTGAGCCTGGGATTTTCTGCATGCAAAGCAAGTGCTCTGCCACTGAGCTATGGCCCTTCTCTTATAACAAAAGGATCCTGGTCTCATGGTTCTAAATAAAGGAATGATTTTAAGCACCAAGCTTTCCTTACACTGACTCTAGCCCAGTGTTGTCTACGCTGACAGGCAGTGGCTCTCTAGCCTTTCAGGAAGGAGGTCTCTCTAGGGCTTCCTGGAGATGCTAGGGATCATACCTGGGATCTTCTGCATGCAAGGCAAATGCTCTACCACTTGAGCTACAAGTGGACATGGTGATGGGAGAGGTATATCGGGTAGGAAAAGCCACCGCAGTAAAAAGGAAGCATTTGAGGTGCTGGTTGGACTTTGTGAGCTCCTTCTCCACTCTCTCCTACTCCAAAATGGGGTGCGCCTGAGAGAGGGGAATCTGATCCAAAGCAGAGAGTTGCCATCATGGCCGCTGGTTATTTTCTCCCTTCTGTATCCTGTCTTTTCTCTCTTTTTTTCTCCTCCCCTCCCCAAACTCCCTGTATTCCAGTGGTAGTCCCCACCCCTTACACCCAGCAAGATGGGGGTGTTTGCAATATAATAGCTGTTTTCCTTGAGGCTATTTCTCTCTCCCCCTCTGTTCTCTCCCTTCCACACACCCCACCCCCCAAAGACAAGCAAAGCGGCTACTGGGGCAGATTGTGGACCGCTGTCGGAATGGGCCTGGGTTCCACAACGACGTGGACGGCAACAGCACAATCCAAGAGATCCTCATTCCGGCGTCCAAAGTGGGCCTCGTCATTGGCAAAGGTGGAGAAACCATCAAGCAGCTACAGGTGGGCAGGATGCAGCTTCGGACAGATGCTAGTAGGAGGAGTCTGTGGCTACCAGCCACGCTGGCTCTATTTTCTGCCTCCGCTTTTGGAGACAGGATGCCTCTGAATACCAGTTGCTGGGAACTGCAGATAGGGAGAGTGCTATTGTGCTCATATTTTGCTTGCAGGCTTCCCATAGTGGGCATCTGGTTGGCCACCAAGAGAGCAGGAGGCTGAACTAGATGCGCCTCAGACACCACTCATTTTGTATAGAGAGGCAGTCCTTGATGCATTGATGCCCTAAGCCATACATGTATTAATTCACTAAACCCGGATAGCAAGTTACGTCTGGGGTATCTCGGGGATGGCCTGAACACTTGATCACTGAGATCATCTGCAGGAGCATTGTTAATCATTCTCTGAATTAGTGAGGTTCACTTGATAAAGAGAAACCAAGCCTTTAGTGTAATTAGCCCAGTCCAGTGGGTTGCTCTGCCGATAGAGATTCAGCAGGCAGTATATACATAATTTTATAAATAACTAAATAAGGCTGTATAGGTCAAAGCCAGCACCTTGAATTGGGTGTGCCTGTGTGTGGGTGCACCCACACGGTCCCCACCCCCCACAAAGCAAGGTTAGAAGGAAGCATTCAGTTGTAGCCAGTATAAGTGTGCAGTTCATTTTGGGTTGTATGGTACCTGCAACAGTTTATGTTGGCAACCATGTTTCCACCCCTGCAGGGTTTTATATAAAATATATTGAATTCCTGCATTACAAGGGGCTGGACTAGATGACCAGTGGGGGTTCCTTCCTACTCTACAGTTCTATGAATGCACCATGACCACTAGCTTTTTAATGCAAAGTAAAATTGCAATTGTCTGTGTTTGGGTGGTGGTGGTAAAGTGTGGCTTCCTTGTCTGCTTTTCCCTCTTCATTTTACGATTGCTTGCATTTCTTTTATGGAGTTATCAGGAAAACTTGGCCAGACCAAGCCACTTAACTACAGAAATGTCCATAGCTGCGGTGGTGGTGGTGGTGGTGGGGCTCCTATTGCTTATCTGTGCTTTTTAAAAATCCCCCCCCCTTCCTACTTTCATAGCCTTTCTGCCTGTTTTGGCATTTCCATTTATTTTTTTGTGGCGCTTTCTCTATCTCTCCCTCCCCATCGCCATTGGTACGTCTGCAGGAACGAACGGGCGTGAAAATGATTATGATCCAAGATGGCCCTTTGCCGACTGGAGCGGATAAACCTCTCCGGATTACCGGCGATGCTTTTAAAGTACAGGTGTGTATCAAAGAGGATTTGCCGTCGTGCTGATGGAACGTTAGGAGGATTTAGAATAATGGCACAGTTGGCAGTATTTGTGAGCCACAGTCTCTCGTATTTTGTGTGTGTGTGTGTGTGTACGATGGAGTTGGGTGGGGGCATCTCAGGCCTATGGGCCAAACAGTCCTTTTCCCATCTACATCTTGCACCCCACACCCACCCTGCCTTTACATTAGTGACCCACACTAATGAACCAGAATAGTATGCAAATCCTTGCACTGCAGTGATAAAGCTGCCTCTGCATGCTTCATGAAATTGCAATAAAGAGACTGAGTGTGGCGTGCTGGAAAACTGTTTCAGGCTAGTGGTTATCTGTTGCTGGAAACACAGGGTGGAGAGAGTGTTGCTCTTGGGCTTGGGTCCTGCTTGTAGGCTTCACAGAAGCATCTGGGTGGCCACTGTGAGAACAGGATGTTGGACTAGATAGGTCTTTGGCCTGATCCAGCAGGGCTCATCTTATGTTCTTAGGTGAGGGGAGCCCTAGGTTTGGATCACTCCCCACTTCAGCCATGAAGCTCCCTGGAGAACCTTGGGCCAACCTAACCCTGATGTCTGTGTTCTGCCTCCGCTGTCAGAGGCCATATGCTGAATAGCTGGTGCCAGGGACCACAGAAGGAGAAAGTGTTGTTGCACTCATGCCCTGCTTGCAGGCTTCCAGTAGGTTGGCCGACAGGATGCTCGACTAGCAGCTGGGCTCTTCTTGCATTCTTAATCCCGCCTCACGTGGTTGCTTTGAGGATAATAAAAATAGGGGAACCCATATATGCAGGCTTGAGAGCCTTGGGAGATTAGCAGGAGAGAAGTGTAATAGGTGTAATCTTCTTTTTTGAGAAGACACCTTTGGAACTCGAATAAAGTAATGGTGTATTTTGGAAATGGAAGTGAGGTAATGGCAGGAGGTTAACTATGGATCGGTGGCCTGAAAAAGTGGTCCTGAGGGAGGGCCAAATCTGAAAGCTCAGTTTCTTAAACAGTGTAAGCTTTTTGTGGTGGTTGAATATTTTTAAACTTACCTCCACAAGGTCTAGAAACAAAACTTTTGCTTTGTTCATGAAAGCTTAAGAGAGTTCAGGAAGTTAGATACATCCCCCCCGCCCCCGCCAGAAACCAGAGTCTGCAAGTTTGCAAGTCTACTTGACTAGTAGGGGCGGGGCAGTGTTGTTGCACACTGTAAATATTCAACACGGGTGGTAACGGGCTGATGCAGATGAAGCCACTGAATGAAAAGGGAGGCATATTCTGGCAAAACCAGAACAACAAAATACCAAACGAAACCCCAAGCTCTAAGGGAAGGGGAAGAAACAGCATCCCAAACAGGGTCGACTGAGCATGCTCAGTAGTCATGGAATGTTGAGCGTGTCAGAAGAGAAAAGGCGGAATGGAATACCCCTGCTTTGGGGGAAATGGTTAGCTTGTGGAGAAGCCACTCCTGTTAGGAGGCAGGGATCACATTTAATTGCCAGGGTCCAAAGAATCTGTAATCAGCTTGTTTTCCTCTTCCTGCACTTGTACAGCAAGCACGAGAGATGGTACTGGAGATCATTCGAGAGAAAGACCAGGCGGACTTCAGAGGCGTACGCAACGACTTTACTTCCAGAATGGGTGGAGGCAGCATAGAGGTATGGACATGTCTTGTATGTTACAGAATAATAGAATTGTAGAGCTGGAAGGCTCTCAAGGTGTCATCTAGTCCAACACCCTGGCAGCACAGGAATCTTCTCCCTGGGGAAAAAAATAGGGAGTGGGGGGATTATCATCATCATCATGTTTATTCATTCATTTGCTGAGTGTTACTTGCATAGTTTTAGGTGGCTGTGGAAATTTCACATTTATATATATATAAATGCTTCTATATTGCAGTTTCATAGAAATAAGTATCAGTGCAGTCAACAATTATAAAAACCACAGTAAAAATTTTAAACAACCTGTCATCAGCTAGCGTATTACAAAAAATGTTTTCTTAATTGTCAGCATAAGGCTGGTGGCCAAGACAATTTTAAAGCAAGCCTTTGAAGGTTAAAATAGAAAACACTGGCTGAATTTCTTATTGGAAGACCTGATTCTGCAGGATTGGGCTGATGACACCAACTTCTGCTTTTGGGGGGGTATGGGTGTGTGCAATAGAGCATAAGCAAATGCTAAGCAAAAGAATGTACTGAGTCAGCACCTTGGTGTATTCATCTTGTCCAGTGGTGTCAACTTCATCCTTGTCTAGCCTTTGTCACCCTTTTGACTTCCACCCTGGATTGCCAGGGTTGAGTCCGGAGGAATATGATCCCTGAGGACCATCAGCCAGTGCCGGTAGGACAAGGAGTCATTGTCCTCCCTCCTTCCTCTGGGTTCATCATCCTGCCTTCCCAGCCCTTCAGGTTTCCAGAAGTACAGAAAACAAGTTTGGGAAAGAGGGTGTGCTACATGCACAAAACAGTGTTCACAGTCTTCCCCCAGCCCAGTGCCCTTTCATCAGCCCCAGCCAGCATGTCCCAATGGTCAGAGAAAGAAGCCTGAAAGGGCCACATCTGACTGCTAGGCTTTTAAGGTTTCCCATTTACCCATCCCCAGAATGTGCAGCTTTGGATGTGGAGTGTAGGGTTCTTTCAAATCTGAGGTATAAAGTGGGGGCAAACAATGCTTAGATTTGCCCCCTTCCAGATATGGGTGTGGCTGCCTCTGGGAATTGCAGAGCTGGACTTTGCTTCCTGTTCCAGAAAGTGGGAGCAATGTTTTTTCTTAAGTATGTGAACGTGTCTCTTGGCTTGGTATTCAAGCTGCCTGATGTAGCTAATGGGACACTTGTGTGCTACCTTTCTGGGTCTGCTTCCTCTCACTGCTTTTCTTTCCTCCCGCTAGGTCTCGGTGCCTAGGTTTGCAGTGGGAATCGTAATAGGAAGAAATGGAGAGATGATAAAGAAGATTCAGAATGATGCTGGTGTTAGGATTCAATTTAAACCAGGTCTGTCTAATTTTTAGTGTATAGCCTGTAACTGGCAACCACTTTCTCTCCCCCTTCCAGGGAAGCTGTTTTATATCATTGGTTCACTCAGCTCAGAAAGTGTCTGTATACTGACTGGCAACAGCTCTCCAGAGTTTTAGGCAGGGGATATTCTCGGCTGTATCTGGAAATGCTGAGAATTGAGCCTGCCACCAAGCTACGCCCCTTTCCTAAAGTTGAGAACATAGCCTTTATATAAAGTCGGTTCACTGAACTCAGTACTGCCACCACCAAATGGCAGGAGTATTGAACCCAGGGGCTTTCTGTACACAGAGCAGGTGTTGCACCCCTGAGCTTACAGTCGCATGCCCATCTCATTTCGGTGCAAGGCCCATAGCCAAAGATCGGGGGGGGGGGATCAGAGCACAAGGGAACACTTGGAGGGGGGCACTGTAAATCAGTCCAAAGCAACAGGAGCTTACTTTCACCAGTGTATGTTGCATTTTTAAATAAAAGCATCAAATAACATCACACAATAAAAATGTTAAAACAATTACAAAATTGTAAGTCAGTCTTAGAATATGCCCGGGGCAAGGGCAGGTTCTGTTCCAAGGTATCATATTTTGTTTTTTCTCCTGTGCCAGCTTGCATAGCCTTAAATTCCTCGTGTGATGTGGCAGTCTTTTCCTCTGGGAGATTTTGCCCCTGAGTTTCTTGTTGCCACCATGTAAATATTGCTTCCTCAGCTATAGTCCTGGAGGCATGTTTTAACCCTTTTTGAAATTTTCTTTTTTATTTATTGGTTGGTTATATTGATTTGTTAACAACAAAAATGCAGACATAACAAAAAGTAACTAAAACGAAGAATTAAAAGTTAAACCCTAAAGTGTCACAGCCTTGAAGGACCAAATTACAAAGATACAACACAAATCCAAAGGGATGATAAAGTATTAACACAGACAGAGATTCCATTTACAAATAATAAAAGTATTCTGCCATTTTAAGTTCTGTCTGTATTGAGAATGGTGGTTCTGTATAGTCTTGCATGAGCCAGATGTGCATATATTGGTGGCACTGAGTAACCATGTGGCTTGTTTAGTTCCCTTCTCTCATGGGAAGCTCCTTCCTCCCTGCCATTTCCCTCTTTGTATTTGTATTTAATTTAGGGTCTGTTTCCTCTTGCTTCACAGATGATGGGATTAGTCCGGAAAGAGTCGCACAGGTCATGGGCCTTCCGGATCGGTGTCAGCACGCAGCTCACATAATCAACGAACTCATTATCACTGCACAGGTAGGTGGGACATAGGAAAGTTTGAGATGCAGAGTAAGGCCACTGATCTGTCTGGATTGGTGCTTTCTACACTGACTGGCAGCAGCTCTCCAAGGTTTCAGGCAGGGGAACATTCCCATGCCATTGTGGGGGATTGAAACTGCAACCTTCCGCATTCTAAGCAGACGTTCTGCTATTTAACTGTGGCCCTAACCCTACACAAAGTTGTTTAGGGAAGTTTTAATGTTTGATGTTTTATTCTTTTTTAATATTCTGTTGGAAGCCGCCCAGAGTGGCTGGGGAAACTCTGCCAGATGGGCAGGGTATAAATTTTATTATTATTGTTGTTGTTATTATTATTATTATTATTATTATTATTACTATTACTATTACTATTATTATTATTATACTGAATCAGACAATTGGTCTATGTAGCTCAATATTATAGTTCAATATTATCCATGCTGACTGGTAGCAGTTGTCCAGAGTATTGGATTGGGCAATTCATCCCAGTCCCACCAGGAGATGATGCCAAGGATTGAAGCTGGGACCTTCCGAATTCAAAGCAAGTTCTGTACCACTGAGCTATGGCCCTTCACCTCAAAATTAAGTAAGATTCTAGCCCTCATACAGTTCTGAATAAAAGGTTGAATTGAATAAGAACTAACTTCTGCTGAGTCAGAGCACTGGTCCATCTTGCTCAGTATTGTCTACACTGACTGGCAGCAGTTCTTGGGGTTTTCAAGCAGTCACTCCAAGCCCTGCCTGGAGATGTGGGGGAGTTAACCTGAGACCTTCTACATGCAAAGCTAAGTGCTCTACCACTGAGCCATGACCCTTATTCTATAAGTGCTGGTAGTGTTGGTAGTTACATACTTCAGTGGTGATTTTTGAGGGGGGAAATTCACCAGCTGGATGAGTTACCAGGTTGGCTGATACTACCTTTCATTCATTTGCATATATTGAAGCTGAGAAACATGGATGTTGTCATCTCTTCTGCATACTAGCAAGAGACTTTACTTTAGAGCAAATTGCCGTATTTTTCCATGTATAAGACGCTCCCTGTTTTTTGGGACTTCAGATTAAGAAAACACCACTCAGCACTTACCATGTATAAGATGAGCCCCAATTTTAAACCATTTTTTTGGTAAAAAAACCCCTAGTCTTATACATGAAAAAATACAGTAATTCACACATCCTTAAGTTGGCTGTTAACCCTGGTGAATGCTGGTGCAGTAAATTTAGTCTGAAAATCATTTGGCAAAATACCTGTCCAAAAATTGCAACACTTGGACACTGACTTTCCATTTTCAAAATTATTTCCCTTGACTAGAAACTTGGAAAGGAGGATGACCCCACTTTCTGTCAGAAATCAAGACCTTGAAGAGCAGCTGATCCACACCACAGTCACAGAAGGCCAACAAACTTGTTGACTGTTATCCAGGATGGGAGGGACTTGTAAACACTGATATTATGGCTGAGTGTAGAATCCTTGTGGTTTCACTGGGTCTTGCTATTAAAGCAGGGGCTGCTGATGGGGGTTGTAGACCAAAACATCAGGCAGGCACCAGGTTGGCAAATTTTGATTTTAAGCGACTCAATGCATCCATTGGGCAGCAAGTCTGTTGTCTGAACGTATGGCGATGCAGCAAACGGCAAGTCCCAGGAGGACCATAAACATGTTAACAGGTGTGCCCTCTTTCTTCTTCAAGGAGCGTGATGGTTTTGGAAGCCTCACTGTGGCTCGGGGAAGAGGGCGCAGCCGCGGAGACTGGAGTGTTGGGACCCCTGGAGGCATGCATGAAATCACCTACACAGTGCCAGCTGACAAATGCGGCCTGGTCATAGGCAAAGGTAAGCAGCGTGAATCATAGAATTGTAAAGTTGAAAGGAACCCAAGGGGCATCTAGTCCATCCGACTGTAGGAAGCAGAACTCAATGCATGGAAATCTTAAAACTCTATGCTTTAAAGGTGGGAGGTAGTTCTGCATTGCCAGATATTGGAAGTTTTCCCAGTGTTCTGGTGTCAGCCTTCTCCCAGTTTTCCATCAGCATCAGAGACATGGTTGGAGGTGACATGAGAGGTAGACTTCTTGGTGGCTGCTTCCATATTGTAGAGTTCCTCCCAAGAGGTCAGACTAACTCCCTCTTTGTTTTCCTTCCACTGGCAAGCTAAGATTTCCTTGCTCAGATGGACCTTTGGAAACTCAGGAGTCGGCAGTGCTGATCAATGGGCTGCTGTTGGGGCAAACTGGATTTGAATTGCTGGTTCTAATCCAAACACATCCATGTGTTTGGATGTATTATAGCTATTGTTATTAACTAGTTTCTTTTTATTACTTTGTACAGTGGTACCTCCTGTTGTGGACGGGATCCATTCCGGAGCTCTGGTCGGATCCTGAGGTTTCCACAACCGGAGGGAACGCTTCTGCACATGTGCACAGTGTGGTAGAGCACTTCTGCACATGTGTGCGCAGCGAAACACTTCCGGGTTAGCCGCTTTCACAACCCGAAGTTTACATTACCTGAGGGTAACGTAAGCCGAGGTGCAACTGTATTTTATAATGATGTTTTTAAGTGTTGGAAGCCAAATCCCAACTTGGAAGAAATGCAGGATATAAAGGCAATCGATCAATAGCATCTCTTTGCCCTCTCCCAGTGGAAACTGGCCTACACGCTCAAGCTGCCTTCTGGGGTTTTTCTTTAAAAACAAAACAAAAAACCCAGCCAGCTGACAGAGGTGCAATGTGCAGGACCTTTTCTGTGGTGGCTACCAGACTGAAATTCCCTTGAGTGACCTGCCTGGCTCCTTTTCTTTCATGGGGTTCAGGCTCTGCTGCCTTAAGAATACATTTTTGGGACAGTATTTATTTGCTGTCTTTTCGTCCTGCTTCAGAGGAGCCTCAGGTACATGAAACAGCCCCCCCTCCTTCGATAAGAACCCAGATAAGCAAGATAGTGAGCTTTGTAGATGGGAGGGGATTTGAACTAGGTCCCCTACTTGCTCTTATGTCCAACACTGTGACCGCTTCCAGGTGACACCTAGACTTGGGCATTGAGTTTCCAGGGAAAGGGAATCAGTGTCTTACATTAGCAGGCACCAAGAGTGCCTCTGTGCTCACAACGCATTAAGACTGCGAAACATAGACTGTAAATATATCAGGTAAATGTGTGGACTAGTTGGAGCTGCAAGTTACGTTCTCTCATTTTTCCAGTCTGCAGCTCATTACATTTCTGCATCAGTTTTCAATTTTTTGGTCTACTTTTAAATATCCTCACTATATAATCATTACTCTGGAGGTCAAGTGGCGTTAAGCCTAGTCCTCCTTTTCTAAAAGGGTAACGGTGGCGTTGAGGTCTGGGGCCAGCCTGTTCTGCAGTGGTCAAGTCTTCCTCCCTCCTGTGTGTGCCACCGCTGCAGAGACAGACAGCTGCCTCTCCGGGGCCCCATTGGATTTCCATGATAAACGCAGCAGTCTTGACAGATAGCGTGGCCAGCCCCTTCTCTTGTCAACATTGCCTTTTAGCCCCGTTTGATTAATTGCTTTACAATTTCACGTCCAGCTGCGGGGGGCCTCGCCTGCTCGGTCGCTCCCCCACCCACCCACATGCATCCGTGGTCAGGTGGAAGAATGGAAGCTCTCCTGTTGAATGGGTCTGTGCAGAAAGGCGCCATGTTCGAAGCGGGTGACCCTCGCTCGTGAACAGAGGCGAAACTTCTGGCATTGGGCAGCACAACGTCATGTCATCCCCCCTCAAATTGTGTTGCCCTTGAAGGCGCTTCCTCCGTGCGGGTTGAGAGTTGTTCAGAATGGGGATGGGAGGAAGCTAGACTTTCCCAGAGAGTTGGTACTCACCGTCAGTGCCTGTGGTGCATTTTCATATTTGCAGCAACAAATATTTCCTCCATTCAGTGTTTGTGGGTTTTTGTAGTGCTTTGGGCGGCAAGGGGGAGAACGCTGCAAAACTTGGTTTTGACCAGAGGCAATGGTCAGACAAAAGTGAATCTGTGACCAATCACTGCCTCCATTGTACCGCTTTTCTCCTCTATTGAGAGATCAGTAGTCCGTCCCCAGCCAGCTTTGCAGAATTCCTTACTCCTAGCCCATAGAAAGAATTTAATTATTTTGAAACGGAGAACCACACTCTTTTTTTCTGTTTTCTTTTCAAAGAATCTCATACTCAAATTAACGCGGCACTGAGAGGCATAAGCAGGCGTTTTATTGAGTAGCGGCTAATTATCTGTCCTCATTTCTCCTTCCTCGAAGGAAATGTCTTTGGGAGTGAGATTCCCCTTTTGAATGCCTCTGGGAGGGCAAAAGGTCCAAGGCCGATGGGTGGACTTCTCAAGGGGCAGAGGGGGGAAAAGGTGACGCTCACTTACACGTTTAACATCCAAACAAGAAGCTTCCTAAAAGAAAGAGGATAATGGTGTATTTAAGTTTCATGACATCCTAACGTCATGTTTTGAAACAACGTATTTCAAATAGTGGGCTCGCTGGCGGCGTTTCATTATGAGCCGATTTTAACTGACGGGCTGTTTTTGAGCGATGTGATGACTTAGTAAATTGAGCTGCAAGATAATGCCTTAAGTCCTCTTTTTAGCAAAGTCCCTTTGGAATTGTATTGCTTACGAATGGGCTGTGTTGGTAGTAACAAACCAAAGAGGGATCCTGAATGCAGTGGGAAGGCGGACTCACTGAAGGAGGGGCCCCCGCGGAGGCAGCCTTGCCCAAAGGCTCCCCCAAAACGCAAAGCTGGCAGTGCCTGTTGATCACGGGGGGGGGGGGGAGTTACGGTGACAATACTTGCCCCACCATTTTTAAGTTGTACATGCAGAAAAAAGCATGCATGTCCATGAAAAGGCTGTTGCTTCAACTTTTCTCCTTCACAAACTTGCATTTGTGTGTGTAACAGATGTAAATGGAAGTGTGCCAAGTAAGTCCCTCCAGTCTGTAGAATTTCCACTTCTACAACAGCCACACAGTCTCTGATCTGCATTCATTATGAGTTGTTTCTCTAGTGTGGGAGGTCCTTTGGAACTCCCTGTCTCTTGACATTAGGCAGGCACCATCTCCCTGCAAACCTTTCCATTTCGGCAGGCCTACCCAGAGAGGAATGATTTGGTAAAGTCTGTTCATAAATGTGTCTTTTAGACATTCTAATCTTTTTAGAAGTTGTTAAACATCTTACTTACATTTTCTTTTCATTTAATTATTATTTTTTTAATCACAGGTATGTTTGCTGCCCTGGCTTCCTTTTGGGAGTTGGGGCAGGTTATGATTGTAATAAAATAGCATCTAATCTACTGCTCAAAGGCTGAATTGGTTATAGTCCAGGAAGATTTTTTTTAACCATTTGCTTGATTGCAATGCTTCTGAATACCAGCTGCTGCAAACTGTAGGAGGGGGGAGAGAATGTTCTTGTGCTGAAGTCTTGCTTGAGGGTTTCCTCGCTGGGGCATCTGGTTAGCCACTGTGAGAACAAGATGCTAGCCTTGGTGGGCCGCTGGCCTGATCCAGCCATGAGGCTCTTCTTATACATTCGGTCAGATTGGATGGTTTTCTTAAGAGTCGGGAGAAGAAGCAGCTGTTTCGTTCCATGCTAGGTGGAATTGCTTGCTTTTTCATGGATATCAACTCAGCGGGCGTGCTTATGCCTGGTGGCTGCCAGCTTGGGATTTGCTCCAGTTACTTGCGCTAACCCATCGGAAAGGGAGTTAGCGGAACAGAGCAAGCTGCCGCAGATGCTCAACTAATTGGTTTTGTCCGCTTGGATCGGCAGAGTGCCCTCTCCACCCTGTTGCCTTGGGTTTTGACTGGTGGCTGTATCCAGGACCAGGAGGGGTCAAGCATATCACAACTCCCCACCCCTTTTGTCTCCCTCTCTCCAAGCTGAGGCTAACCTCCCCTCTTGTGTGAAATTCCGACAGAAGAAGAATTGGCCCATTGTAGCCTCTGCCTTTCTTAAGCAAATTTCATTAAGAGACGGAGACCCTCCTCCAAGACCGTATGTGTGCTGCTGCCTTTTTCTCCTCCTGGCCCGCCAAGTCAAACCAAACTTTCATTAGTCGTGCTCCACCCTAGTACAAGCTGCTACTGTTTCACACTCGTTTTAAAAAAACAAAACAAAGGTAGCATCTTCAGAGTTTCCTTCACTATCGGCAGACATCCCACCAGCTCTTCCTCAGATAACCAAAGACCTCTTCTGGGAATTTGCTGGGATAAATTGTGCTCTGGGTGCATGATTTCACCGTGAGGGAGCAGCTAATTGCACCAGTGTCCGTTCACCTGCTTATTCACCTACAAAAGGAAGCTGCAGATTAGGTCCCCTGAGGGGTTGCTCTCTTCTAACCTACCAGTTTCCTTCTAATCTACACTGGCTACCAGTTCAGGAACATAGCAAGCTGCTTTATGCTGAGTCAGACCACTGGTCCTTCTTTCTCAGTATTGTCCACACTGACTGGCAGCATGGTTTCAAGCAGGGAATGTTCCCAGTCCTCCCTGGAGATTCCAGTGAGGTTTAGGGCCTTCTGCATGCAAAGCAGCTGCTCTGCCACTGAGCTGTGGTCCTTCCCCTAAAAATGAACTTATGATTCCAGTCCTCATTGTTCTGAATTGAGGGCTGGTTTAAATACAGACATAGGGAGCTACCTTACTGAATCAGACTGTTGGTCCACCTACGCCTATGCCTGCAGTGACCAGCAGCACCATTCCATGGTTTCAGGCAGCAAACATTTCCGGCCTTACCTGGAGATTCTGGGGATTAACCCTGGCACTTTCTGCATGCAAGGAAGGTGCTCTGCCACTGAGCATACAGCCCTTCTTTAATTTACTATCATGCCAGATTCAGGGGGGCACTAAGAGGCAAATGGGTGGCAGTGGGGTCTGGAGATGTAAATGACTATTTGAAAAGGGGGCATCATTGGATTGGTTTAATCAATTACATTGGGTAAATTAAAACTAAATAGTTTTAACTGTGTTTTGAATAAATGTGCCATTAATTGTTACTGTTTTGAATTTCATTGTGTTGTTAGCTCTCTTAGTGGATTGTGCAAACTGCTATTCTGAATAACGCTTTTTATAGGGGGCACTGGGGTGAGTTTATAGAACCACAGAGCAGGGTGGTGGGCCAAAAAAAGTTGGGAAACATTGGTTTATTACTGTGTGTGTGTTGCTACTGGGGCATGATGGGAGTTGAAGGACATGGCAGTGTGATGAGGACAGATCTAATCCATGTGGTTGGACCTTCCTCCTTCTCTTTCATGCATTCACAATAGCTGCTGAATATATAAGTAAAAGTCTGATCAGGTTCCATCTCCTTTTTTTTCCTCCCCTCTTTCTTCTTTGCAGGGGGAGAGAATATCAAGAGCATAAACCAACATTCTGGAGCCCATGTAGAGCTCCAGAGAAACCCGCCTCCCAACACCGACCCTAATGTACGGATATTCACCATTCGGGGCATCTCCCAGCAGATTGAGCTTGCGAGACATCTCATAGATGAGAAAGTTGGTGTAAGTTGCGTTTCCTTCCCCATCTACTTTCTTCTTCGTTTTTTAAAATAAAAAAGTATTTTGGAAATTGCAGTCCAATGAAGAACAAGACTAGCAAAACAATGTCATTGTTACAGTATACAGCTAGAAAGAAGTGATAAGTATTGAAATAATAGAATCATATAATTGTAGAGTTGGAAAGGGACCCCAAGGGCCATCTAGTCCAACTCCTTGCAAATCACCATCCAATTGGTCTATAACAGGCATAGGCAAACTCCGGCCCTCCAGATGTTTTGATACTACAATTCCCATCATCCCTCACCTCCGGTCCTCTTAGCTAGGGATGATGGGAATTGTAGTACCAAAACATATGGAGGTCCGGAGTTTGCCTATAAAAAACCCCACCAGGATCAAAACATCCACCGTGGTCATTCTCCTTCAGTACTTGAAGCTTTTTTTTTAATTTGCAAAGGTGGTTGGTGTTTTTGCCGGATGCTGAGTCCCAGTAAGTGATTTGGGGCACCATTGTTCCCATTGTACAGATGCAGAAACTGTTCTGAGGCCTAGAGTCAGTGCTGGGGAAACCCAACAGCCCCATTCAGCGCGTCCTATGCATCTTGCATAAGAACTCTGGGATTAATTGCCAGCTGCGATCAGACAGGCAACTAATGTCACAATGCTCAGGCGCCCATTTGAAGGCATTTTTATTTGAGAAGGCCTTACCCAGTGGGTGGCCCAATCCCTTACGTAATACTAATTGCATATATGCAGATAGGTTTTTTTTACTGTTTTTCTAGAATTCATAATATAGGGATTTATTGCTCTTAGAGGTTTCAGGGAATGATTTTGCTGTTTGTTTTTTTAATAAAGTGGGCTCTGCATTGCTTATCCTACTTTTATCTTGTACCCCTCTTTGAACACCCTCTGACTGTGAAGCTGTATATAAATCTGTAAACATGAAAGAGAATTAAATTCTTCATTTTGAGAAGCCTTCCTCAGCACCTTAAATCTCAGGTGCAGTCTCACTAAGTCCAGACAGAGTGGTGAATAAATTACCTGTTTGTTTTTTCTCCAGGGTACTGGTCTGGGTGGTCCTGGAGGTTTTGGCCAGAGCCCCTTCAATCAGGCACCTGCTACACCTCACCAAAAGTAAGTAGTTTACTTGCCTGCTTTCCCTTCACCTTTAGGCTGCTCCCCCGCCATCAAATAGGATTGTAGGTGTGATTATCATTGAGCAGCATCCTTGGTCTGCAATGCTTTTACAGAAGAACAAGAAGTCTGTGCGCTGCCCTGATGAACTTAATTAAAGCCTGTAATTTTGAGGCTCCGGGAGATGGGAGTTGGGGGCAGGGACTGTGGCCCTCCCAAGTGTTACTGGGATGCCTGTAGCCACATGCAGCCTTAGAAGGTTGATAAACATAGCATGGGCTTCTCTTCCCTGTCATAAATCTCATTGGTTCCTTCCATTGGATTATTGGTTGGGCAGGAGGCCGTTTTACCATTGACTTAAATCAAGTTGGGAGACTGTTAGCTCTCCTGAGTTAACTCCCACCATTCCTGGCTATTGCCCATGCTTTCTGGGGCTAATGGGAGTTGTAGTACAGCAGCATCTGGGCATGGGAAAGGTTCTAAGAAAATACTCCACTGAAACCAGCGCCTTTTTATACCAGTGTGTCAGTAGTGAAACTTATCCACACTTAATCTCTTACACAGCATGGTCTGTTTCAACACTTTTCAACAAACTTTAATCCCAACTCACCAATGTGCCTGGACTACCTTTCACTCCTCTGTTGCTAATGGCCTTGTCTTCCACAGCGGTCCTCAGGCGTTCATGACGCAGGGTTGGGGTGGCACCTATCCGACGTGGCAGCAGCCTGGGCAGCAGGTTCCAAGTAAGTGTATTGTAATTGTAGAGATTGCAGGGGGACGGGTGCAAGGATCGCCCACGTTTAAGTTGATTGGGCTCAGCTGTGGGGGATCTTTTACTCTCCATATGTCACTGGGCTACATCTCCCATTTACCATTGGCTATGCTGATGGGAGTCATGGTCCAGTAGTATATGGAGGGCTACAGGCTGCCCACCCTGGGACTCTTAAAGGAAGCATGACTTCACACATACAATATCTGGAGTTCCCTGTCATGCGGCAGCCCAGTTATCTACTAGCACTTTAGCTAAACTTTGGCTAAGCAGGTGCATATGGGAACTTGTAAAAATCACAGGCACTTCATTCCTTCCCCCTCTCCCTCCGGTCATCCTGCTTGCCACACAACTCACACCAAAGCTATGGTTTAGCTTAACCCTATGTCCAGATCTAGGCTCTTGGTTTGTCTGGAGCAAGACAAACCATGAGCTCAGGTTTGCATGTTAGGCATATCTGTAGCAGCCTATTAACTTGGGCTTCCCACTCTCCCCACCCTAATAATTCCATTGTCTTTAAGATTGAGACTGAATCGTGCTCAGAGCTCTGCTCATCAGAACTAACAAGTACCTGCTTCTTTCCCCTTCTGCCTCTGAGCAGAGGGGACACCTTCTCCTCCCCACAGCCCTCTCCCACATGTCCTCTAGATTTTAATTTCCCCACCTTCAGTAAATTAGGTGGGGTGAAAACACTTTGCCATGGAACACGGTGTCCCATCAACCTTGCTGCAGACTCTATGTCGTTCTCCTTGGAAGAGAATGCTTTGGTCAAGTCCTTTTTAACTGCCCTCAACACTCTTCAAGTTAGGACTTTGCTTACCTGCACATCACTGTCCTCCTCTTCCCCCGCCACACAACCACCCTGCTTCAAAAACTTCCCATTGCAACAGGATGTGTGTGGCGTAGTTAGGTGGTCAGAAGGTGCTGTTAGTTTTTATTGCCCCGTTTCCATTAAAAATCATGAATGCCAGCTCTTTAGAGGGAAGCCTTCTCCATAAACACTGTTCTGGGCATGTCTCCTGACTGGTAGTCAGGTTGCAGCTCAGCATTTGAGCTTATCATTTGCATGCAAAAGGTCCCAAGTTCAATCTCCAGGTGAGTCTAGGAAATATGCTTGTCTGAAATTCCAGAGAGCCACTGCCAGTCAGAGTACACAATGCTGCTCTAGATGAACCAGTGGCCAGACATTAACAGCCAGCTTCCTTTGCTCCTGTTTAATTCAGCCCTTTATTCAGAACTATGAAGGTCTTGTTTTAGAGGAAGGTTCATAATTCAGTGGTTAAAGTAGATAGCTTTATGCTCTGTGAATTTGTCTAATCCCCCTTCAGAGCCATCCAGGCTGGATGCTTAGCTATGGTATAGCTTAGCATTACTAGCAAACTAGGGCAGGTTGTGGTAGAGAACTCCTGGTATTATATGCTTGGAAGAAGTACACTCTCCACCATGAGCTACTTTGGGAGCCTACTTGCCTATCACGCAGGGCTAGTGTTGTGTGTGTTGTGTTGTGTTATTATTATTATTATTATTATTTAATATTTATTGAATTTATATACCACCCTATACTTGGAGGTCTCAGGGTGGTTCACAGAATAAAATCAAAATATAAAACCGCAAAATACATAATCAAAATAAAAACAACAACCCAATAACACCCCCAAAGTGCAAGAAGCACTGTTCTCTGCACCTCCCACCCATTATTCTTTCTTCTACTTTTTTTCTCTCTCCACGGTGTCTTGTACAGGTCAACAGAGCCAACAGCAGAACAGCCAACCAGACTACAGCAAGGCGTGGGAGGACTATTACAAGAAACAGAGTGAGTGAAAATGAGTTTGGGGGTGTGTGTTGCAGTAATTAAGAGTGTTGAACTAGGACCTGGGAGAGACCAGGGTTCAAATCCCCATTTGGCCATGAAACTCACTAGGTGACTATGGGTCAGTCGCTACCTCTCAGCCTAGCCTTCCTCACAGGGTTACAGGTTACAGGGACAGGTGGGCTGTTGTTATTACTAGTTTACCCATCCTTCACTCTAAGGTCCCAGGGTGGGTTACAAGAATTAAAACACAAAATTAAAAGCACTTTAAAGCAACTTGCCACTACAGAAATAAGCTGGATTCCAAAAATATACATCTCAAGTGTCAAAACCCAGGATGAAGAAGTACATCCACAACATTCTTGTTGGCACCCAGTCTACCTCAGAAGACAATGAAAGAGTGCTCCTTTGGGGGTGAAGTCAAACTGTTGGAGAGTTACAGCTCCTTCTGTGGCTGTAGAAACAGAAACGGAAGAAAAATGTTTTGTTGCAGCTGGGGCGAATGAATGTCTCTGGTTGTGCTGCTGCAGATGCACCATGGCGTTTCTTCTCTCTACACTCTTCCCAGTGCTCAATCTTCCTCTGGTCACTGCTACTGATGTATGACCTGACTGTCTCTAGGCACTGTGGTTGTCTGCAAGGGATTACCACATGGCAGGGTTGATGTTGTCAGCCTTCAGTTCACATTTGCAGACATCTTTGTAACACAGAGTTGGTCTGCCAATAGACCTAGTGCCTGACACCAGCTCCTTGTAGAACACGTCCTTTGGGAGCCTGCCTGGAAGAGCACATATTCTTTTGAGACTCTGTTGGACATGTGATCCCCAAAACCTCCCTGATGTAGTGCATGTGGAAGGCATTGAAGCTACACTTCTGGCAGGTGTAAGCTGCCCATGTCTCACTACCATAAAGCTCAATATGTAAGCTTGGTGGACCTTCATCTTGGTATTGGACATTAGCATCATATTCTCCCATATCCCTTTGGAGAGGCAAGCCATTGCTGTAGCTGCCTTGCCAATACACTTGTCTAGCTCAGCATCAATGAAGAGGTTGCTGGTTATGGTGGAGCCCAGGTAGACAAAACCATCTACCACCTCAAGCGTGTGGTCACCAGTGCTGATGACATCCTGACCCAAAATGTTGGTGTTCACTAGACTGATGGTGAGGCTGAACTCCCTGCAGACTCAGGCAAAATGGTAGATGGTTTCTGTAGTTTCCTCAAGAGTGCACTGTCAAGGCTGCATCATCTGCAAACAACATCTCGGATGAGGACCCGCAACACTTTTGTCTTGGTGCAGAGACTTGCCAGGGTGAACAAACCCCCATTGCTCCTTGAGTGGATGTACACACCGTCTGCAGTTGAACTGAACTCATGTGAGAGTAACAAGAAGAAGAATATGTCAAAGGGAGATGGGGTTGAGAGCACAGCCCTTTTTCAAACCACTCTTTATAGGGAAGTCACTGGAGGATGAGCTGGATTTCTGGACGGTGCTATACCTGTTCTTTGTGGAAGGACACAGTGATCTTGTGCAGGTTATGTGGACATCCTGTCTTGTTAAGCTATGTGAAGAGTCTCTTTGGTTGACTAGGTCAAAGGCCTTCATCAGGTCTATGAATGCAATGTGTAAGGGGTTTCTCTGCTCTCATCATTTCTCTTGCAACCAGTCTTAGCAACCAAGAAAGAATCTGTAGAGTATGGAGGTAATCTTCCAGGTATTTGGGGCCTGAGTCATAGTGGATTAAACCTAGCACCTTCTGTATTGCAAAACAGATGCTCTACCACAGTGTTGTAGCCTTTCTCCTAAAAATAAAGATTCTAGTCCTCGTGAGTCTGATTTAAGTAGGAATATAAGAAGCGGATGTTCTCTGAGTCAGACACTGTCAGTAGCTCTCCAAGGTTCTGGGCTGAGGACATGCTCACTGTGCATGTTTGGGATCTTAACCCTGGGGGTTGTTGGGGGGATACTAATCATAATTAAAGGATGCCTGCCCTGGGTCCTGTATTTGGAAAGGGGCGGGATCAGGGTTTGGTGGGTGCATTTGAGTATTTTCTTACTTGCTTCCGCTGACGTTTGACTCTTTGTTGTTCTTTCTCCACCTCCTATCCCTCCAGGTCACGCTGCCACTGCTGTGTCTCAAGCCAGCTCCCAGCCTGACTACACGATGGCCTGGGCAGAGTATTACAGACAGCAGGCTGCTTATTATGGGCAGACATTAGGGCAAGGCCAGGCCCACAACCAGGTGGGTCTCGCTTCTCTCTGCTGTATCTACACCCTTCTTCCTGATAGCTGTTTCCTTGCATAGTTTAGTCATGAAATAATTTTGCAGAAACAACCAGCCCTGTGTATCTTACAAGATCACTTGTGACATATCAGCAACTGCCTGCTCCCAAAGAATCACCTCCCAGTTTTTGAAACATTTTCTGGAAGGGGTGACTGCTTTCCAAACCTAGTTTACCAAAGTTTAACTTCGTTTAAACTTGAAACTTAGGTCCCGTCCCCCCATAACACTGGAACTCATGGACAGCCAGTGATGCTGAACAATGGAAGGTTCAGGACAGATGAAAGGAAAGGACTTCTTCACACAGGGCATAGTGAAACTGTGGAACTCACTCCCACAGGGGGCAGTGATGGTCACCAAACTGGATGGTTTTAAAAGAGGATTGGGCAAATTCATGGAGGAGAGGGGCTATCGATGGCTACTTGCCATGATGGCTATGCTCTGCCTCCACAGAAGCAGTGGCACTTCTGAATACCAGTTTCTGGAAGCTGCAGGAGGAGAGAGGGCTTGTGCTCAAATCCTGTTTCCCACGGGCATCCTTGTGACCACTGTGAGAACCAGAAGCTAGACTAGAAGGACCGTTAGCCTCATTCAGCTGGCTCTTCTTACGTGAAGTTTTCCAAACTTGACTTAGCCTCTTCTGGACCTGGTGAAAGCAAAGGCCAGAATGTTAATAGTGTAGCTTGTGTTTCCAAGTAATGGGCTCCCTGCTGGCAAGCAGCTGATTTTCTGTTTTCCCAAATTTTCTGAGAGCTGAGGTTTGTTTGCACTCCTCTTTTCTGAATTGAAATTGAAGTCACACTTTGCTCGTTCACTTTAGCTTTTTAAGGTGGTGTGAGGTAGCATGGAATACTTGAGAATTGCCACCCCCTACATTTCTGTGCAGAAGCCAGTGGTAGATGTCTGCTAACTGGAGAAGAGGGGGTGCTCTTGCCCACTCCCCTGCCTTATAGCCCCCACCCCAAGGGGCTGTAACTCAGTAGTAGAGCATCTACTTTGAATTTTTATTTTATTTTATTTATTTTAATTTAATTTATAAACCACCCACTCTGTGCAGCTCACAGCATATGTTGAAACATACTAAAGCATCAAACATTTATAACTCCCCGTTACAGAGCTGTCTTCAGGTGTCTTCTGTAAATCAGATAGTTGGCTCTCAGATAGTATGTAGAAGTTCCCAGGTTCGATGCCCACTGGCATCTCCACGTAGGCCTGGGAGCTGCTGCCATTCCCCCAAAATAATGACTCTTCCAGACAGAGGCATCTTCCCACCTCTTGCATGCAGCAGGGAAGCTGTTTCTCAGATCAGGGAAGGGCGACCCTGTGGCCTTCTAACTGTTGCAAGACTCGTTCCCACCACACCTGAGCACCGACCATGCTTACTGGAGCAGGTGGGAATTGCAGCCCAACAACATCTGGAAATCCACACTGGTTAGCCACCTCTAAACTAGGTGTGCCTTCCCGGTCTGATCCAGCAAGGTGGTTCTTGTGTTCTAAAATGTTCTTGAAAGTTTTCTTTCTTAACAGTGGTTTTTCATTTTGTCTCTCTCTTCCCTCCCCCCTTCTCCCCCTTTGCAGGAGCAGTAGAACAACATCCTTGACTCTTCTTTGTTTGTTATTTTCCCCTCCCTGCCCCCCCCCCTTTTCTCTCTCTTGCTCTCTCGGAATCATTGTGGAAACAAACCTTTTTGTAACAGAGGGTTTCTAGATTTGCACCATTTTGATGAAGAAATCTTGCTTTGGTTTTTTTGGTGAAACACTAGTTGTTAGGATAATCTACACTGAACTTTTTTCTAAGAATCAGGAACAATTAGTAATGTACTTAACTTTATGGACTTTGCTGGGTAATCTGTTTGGGGGGAAATGTTAATTATTTTGGGGAGGCTTTTTTGTTTGTTTTCCAAATTTATAAGGAAAAGAAGAGAGAGAGTAAGAAAATAAGTGAAACTCCAGGGTCCTTTTTTGGGGGTTGGGGGGAGAAGCCAGAGAATAACCATCATCGAATCTTACCCCAGAGCTGTGACATTTCAACAAGTGTTTTTAGTCCCCGTCCCGCCACCTCTTATTGCGTGTATTCCACCCCCCTTTCTTCCACCTTGTTTAAATCTTTTCTGTTGTAACAAAAAAGGCTTGGAAGTCTTAGGTGATATGTAACAAATTAAAAAAAAGAAAGAAATTTTTGAAAAACAGTATTTAAATATTCTTAAATATGTAAATTCATTAAATATATGACTTCTAATTTCTTGTATCTTGGCTCTTTTTTATTTTATTGCATTTTTAAGAAAAGAAAGAAAAGAAACTGAACTATGGTATGTTATTGTAATTAATTGTGTGAATTCTTTTATCAAGACAGTTACTGTTTGCTGTCAGGCTGGTTATCAAGGGGGGAATTTTTGTAGGGGGGGCTGTATAATTTTTAGAGATCTAAAGGGGTAATATAAAAAGATGTGTTTAATTTTTTTTTAGCAATTTTATTCTGCTTTCCATGTTCTCCATTTTCTGGTTGCATCTGCGTATCTAAGACCTCCAAGCTTTGTCTAAAACAAAAAAACACACAAAAACAAAATACTTTTTGTCTATTTCAGAAATAAATACTCTTATTTTTAATATTAAGATAAAACTGCTATTATTAGTACTTTTAACAAACACTGTGGAACATTAAGTCATATAAAATAGTAGTAACTATTTTTTAATTCCAGGGTGTGTGTGTGTGTTTGCTTTCCCCCACCCCTCAATTTTTTTTTGTTCGTTTATAAGTATTTTCTTATCTTAATATTTGTCGAAATTTTACCTAGAGAAATAATTAAAAAAAAAATCTAGTATTAACCCCAGGTATGCCGCTGAATACTTTTTTGATTTAATAAAAGGGATATTATGGTTTCCAATGTTTACTTGTAGTGTTTTCTTGTACAGATAACAGTGTATTTTTAAAGGAGAAAAAAATAATAATAACGGGAAGTAAAGCTATTTTTTCTTGACATTTTTAATTGACCTGCGGGACATTCCGTTTTGAACTGTACTGAAGTTATTGTTCTAGGATCCTTCCCCCTCCCTGATTTCTTTATAATGCTTGAAATGTCTAACTATAGGTAAATGCAATTGGATAATATTGAGCATGATGTGTTTTAAACAAATGAAAAATTGTTCTTTTTATTTGACTGACAGTTGCATTTTACACTCTCTCTATAATAAAGCAAATCCACAAGGAAACTTGTGGGTTAAGTATTAAAAGTCTGTTTTTTATCACTGCTCCATTACCTGAAAAAAAAAGATGTCATGTAGAAGCATCATTTTAAAAAAAAAAGTACGCCTCCCCATCCTCTCTATTTTATCTTTTTTTGTGGGTTTGTGTGTGTGACTAGCTTTTTTAAAGGCTATATTATAGTGCTGTTAGCTCCCAATCAAACCTTTAATTCTTTGTGAACTGTGCTGAAATTTCACACCTAGGTTCTCTTGCAACCGCAGAGCTGCAAAGGTGGTCTCTCCTTTCCCCACCCCCCAAAGTAAGGTGGTTATGGAACAGCCCCAGAGCAAGGAATCATCTCGCTAAAAGGAGGCATGTTATAAGCAAAAAAATCTCAGATGATTTCCTGCTTCTCTTCTCTGCAACTCAAACTTGGGGAACAAGGTGGCATTTTTTTCTGCCTACCACTCTCATTTCTCCCCCTCCTTTCCCAGCCAGAGCCCTCCTAATTTCAGGTCTGCAATTCTGGCCCCACTTACCTGCAAGTATACCCTATTGAACCCAACAAGTCTTCCTCCATGGGTTGGTTGTGGCTCAGATTATGGTGCAAAATGCTGCTGTATTCCCCCCGAGTTCTTGGCATAAAACTCCTTTCCTGAAGATAATTGTATCATTACCACTCTTAGTAGCTGTGTGTGTGTGAGAGAGAGAGAGAGAGAGAGACAGAGAGAGAGACAGAGAGAGACAGAGAGAATGGATTTGGTTGTGTGTGTGTTTTTGATGTTTTATTTATTGTTTATGACTGCTTTTCTTATCATGTAATGTGTTGTGTTCATGTCGTAAGCCACCTTGAGCATGCTTTGACCTATGGAAAGGAGGCGTACAAATAAAATTATATATGTTGGTGTGTGTGCATGTGTGTGTGCATGTCTGTCCCCTTATTTATCCTCCCTCCCCCCCAAAAAATCCCCCCCCCCTTCTGTCAATCTAGATTGAATGTGTCCCTTTTTCTTTTTCGGGATTAGAGAAACTTTTCAACTGGTTTCCCAACCCAGATTAGGTCATACCCTGACTTTCTGAAAGAAAAGAATGAAACCCACTATCAAGCTTCATCTTCTTCTCTCTTCCCCCCCCCCGCCCCACCCATTTACCTCCCCAACCAGCCTGGCATCTGTTCACTCGCTCTTTTTAAAAACACACACACACGACCCCATCTGCAAAAGTGGCAACTCGGGGCCCCGGTTGAAAGCCGGAAGAAAGGAGGGGTTGGGTATGGCATCTCTTCAATACACCTCCAGAGAATCGAGAGGCACATATTGAAAGATGGGAATGGTAATAGCCACTTGGGCAGAAGAGAAGAAAAGCCGGGGGGGGGCGGCGGTGGATGGACGGACGGTTGGTATGCAACAGGGAAGAGGAGGTATAAATGCTGATGATGGGGAATAAGGGGGGAGGAGGAGGACATTACGGAGAAGACTTCCTCCTAATTCATCTTCCAAGCTCGCTGCCAAAAGAGCATTTGGTAGGTTTCTCAGGGAGCAATTGTGTGATAATGAACCCAAAGGTGTCCTTTAATTGAAGACAGGAGCATTGCGGCTCGTCCAACCCGAGACTCATAAATGGTCCAAGGGAGAGAAGCTAGGGAGGATGCATTTTCTTAAATGTATCTGTAAGTACACATGAGATAGCAGCTCCCTAGTGGAAATGTCCATAATATGAATTATGGAAACTGGCTTTCATGCAGCCCTAGTCCTCCCACTCCCCCCCCCTTTAAATATCGAGTGGGTGGGGCAACCTACTTTCGCTAGGCCCTCGGAACTGGGTCGGCCATTAAGAATGGCGCCTCATGGAGCCGAGTTTTTCATAAGCAGTCTGGTGTCAGGGAATAAGTATTTTAAGTGCTTGAAATGTTACCAAATCGAGCAATCGATTTTTCATCTCTTTATCTCTGCCACCCCCACCCAGCACTAAGAGCTGCAGGAAAGTCGGGGGGGGGGGGAGAGAGAGAACTTGGCATCCAGAACCAACTGTGGATGGTTTCGCTTTTACAGAACCATGTATTTCCATTAATGTTTACTCCTGCGCCTAACTGCTGGTGACGTGGCTCATCCTTACCAGAATCATTCTGAGCTACCATCAGCACCACCCACATTTCTTACAGCCCTCTCTACACTTTCTCCTGATGTTCTGGAAATTACAGCTATATTTAGCTCTATGTTTAAAATCCCCATCTCTTTCGCTGTGAAGTTCTTCCAGTATCAGTGCCTGCAATGAGCTTTCTTCAGTATTTTTATGAACGCAAGCCCTGATAAAGCAGAGCCAAAAATCCCTTAAGCAGGCTGTAGCCTCTATATTTTGTAGATTGCCTTCACCAGATCAATCCTGGTGCATATGCTAAGATCTACTTTGGGGGGGTCCTCCTTGGCTGCTTACGGTTAAGATTGGTTAGGTTGGCTTTCTCAGTGATGGCCCCAGAACTGTGGACCTCTTATTTTATGACTGAAATAACCTCTGGCCTTCCAGAAATTGCTAAGCTGTATCTCCCGTCAGCCCAAGCAAGCACAGCCAACAGCCGGGGCTGATGGGAGTTGTAGTTCAACATCTGAAGGGCCACAAGTTCACATACATGCAATTGCCCTATTGGTAGCCGCCATTGGTACAGTGAGCAAGGAAGACTAACCTTGTTGAGGCTTCCATGTAAAAGGTGGTAATTCAATTGGGTCTTGCAGAACAGGTTAAGGAGAGGAACAGTACATAGAGACAGACCCCAGTGACAAACAGATTCAATCAATTCTGGTTTTGCTTCCATTCTCCCTGTGGAATTCTATGAGGGCAACACACAACATGTACTTAGTGTAGCACAGAGTTAAAACTATGGAACTTTTCCCACAAAAGGCAGTGGTGGCCACCATCTTGGATGGTTTTAAAATAGACTGGACAAATTGATGGAGGAGAGGGCTTTCAAAAGGCTACCAGCCAGGATATCCTTGCTGTGCCTCAACAGCTGGAGGCAGCAATACTACTGAACACCAGTTGCTGGAATCTACAGGGGGGAGAGGGCTCTTGTGCTCAGGTCCTGCTTGTGGGCTTCCCATGAGGGCTTCTAGTTGGCTGTTGTGAGAAGAGGATTCTGGACTAGTGGCCCATTGGCCTGATCCAGCAGGCTCTTCTTACATTGAAACTGAGGAGGAGGAAGACGCTGATGGGCTGTGTCACCTCCCGTATTGTTTGTAAGCAAGGAGGCAGGCAGGTGAGGGCCAGCTGAGGGCAGAATGAGGTCAGTGGGGCAGCACCTTCTTCACCCTCCACTGGAACACCAAGATTACCAGTTGCTGATAAATACAGCATCTTCTCAAACTCCCCCCATTCAATTTATCTGCTCCTCCATAAGAACTATCTGGCTGCTTCGGACCAAAGGTCTACTGCATACAAACCTAAGCTTCTGGGAAGCAGCTCCTCAGAACATAAAAGGCAACATCAGCTGGATCTTTGGAGGATAGCTGCTGCCTCTAACCACAGAAGCTCAGTTATTTACCATGGTCTATAGCCAGTCCTCTCTGGATTTTTATAAGGTGTGTCCAGTGGGATGAAATAAATTTACCAAAGATGGGATAGTTTTCTTTCACTGAATCAGACCATTGGACTATCTTGCTCAGTGTCTACACTGACTGGCAGTGGCTTTCCTAGCCCTACCAGGTGATGTCTTTCAGAATTGAACTTGGGACCTTTTATATACTGCTGTGGCTCTAGTCTTCATTTTAAGTGGATATTTTATTTCCATACATATTCTTTCGTTTGGATATTGTTCTGTCAACATTGCAAGAATAAATATTTATCATACTGAAAGAAAGCTGATAGTATCAGTCCTCTGAGTGTCTAGATCTGAGCATCTGTCCTTTTGGACTTGCACATCTCTGGATCGGGTTCACTGATGCCTGAGGTTGCAATCCTAATCCATCTTTCCAGGCATACAGGGGTGGTGGAGAATAGACCAATCCATCTCTCCTGCCCCCACTCAATTTTTCAATCTTAAATTCAGTTTTTCACATTTCCTGCTCAGTTTTTGCAAATTTATTTTTTTAAGTTCTCATGAAAGTTCATCATTTTAACATGAATTTCCCCCAACACACATTTTTTTGTGCAGTTCCAATATACAGTACACAGTTTTTGTAAAGCAGTGCTCCCTAGTAAAATGTATTTTGTATGTTTATTTTTCCTAACAGGTGTGTTAATCTGCATTGTATGTGAATTTTTGTACACACTACTTGGCTAGAGAATTGCATTGCAAAATTCTGAGAAGTGTGAATTTCAAAGGATGGCTACTTTTCAGTTTATGTATTGTTTCAGAAAGTGTGAATTAGGTAGGTTCACCTTTAAATGTGAATTGAGTTCAGTTCTCCCCACTCCCACCCCACATCCTTTACTTCCAAAGCACCAAGGTAATTTATGAACCCATCTTACTCTAGCTAGCAAGAGACAACAAGGCTTTCAAGTTTATGAGGCTTTCAAGCACAGAACTGCTTCAAATTTCTCCCTCTTCTCTACCTGGCAGTAAGTAAGCCCCATGGAATTTGTTCAGATATGGTAGACCAGATGTGAGGAACCATTGGCCCTCCAGATATTGCTGAACTCCAACTCCCATCATCCATTGGCCATGCTTGCTGGAACTGATAGGAATTTTAGTCCAGCAACATCTGGAGAGCCAAAGGCTCCCCACACTTGGATATTACTCAGAAATGAGCCATATTGAAGTCAATGGGGCTTACTCCTAGGTAGACTGGATAAGGATCACAGCCTTGCATGGGAGCAATCCCTGCTGCACACAGATTTATTTTCAAACAAACATGAGGAAGCTCACAGTGTGGGTCATGTACCAAACATTCTTTGAAATGAAAATAGATTTTCTATATCATTCTTAAACGAAAGGAGATAGGTCTCTTCCCTTGCATGCCTCCTCATAAGCAACTTGTGTGCTTAAATCACGCTCTCTCACTCTCTCTCCCCTTATTTACAGTAATTTGTATTAGCAAAGTATAACTCAGGGTGGGGGGAGAGAGATTCGCTGCTGGTGGCTCAA